GACTGACATAGTCATCTATCAACGCACAGCCCAAACCACTTGACGGATCGGGCTGAAATTTGGCATGCAGGTAGATGTTATGACGTAGGCATCCGCTAAGAAAGGATTTTGATCAATTCTACCCCCAAGGGGATAAAATAGGGAATGAAGGTTTGTATGAAACTTTGTCAATTTTAAACCGATCGCGCTGAGACTTTGCATGCTACCTGCATGCATCATAGATGAATGTCATTGTGTATAATACAAGCTTGAGAACAAAAACTGTAGTCTACACTTCAGCTCTACACCGAAGCGAAGCGAGGACGGGCCGCTAGTTACTTCTAAAAAGTGAGGTATGTACCTCAGCGCCTTACTCAAACGTTTGCTAGTTTAAATCGAATATAGAAACTTACGCTGCGCCCTCTTAAGGGCAGGGTCAGTGCATTGCCCTGGCGTGTGCCCTCGCGCGTGACTTCTGCGCCGACGCGACGCCGACGCACCGCCCGCCGCATGCGCTACCCCAGCCACTCGCCACTTCGAGACATAGAGCACAAGAGCCTGTTTAACGAACACCTACACGTACAACTTGCGCAATAAATGCTTTTTTTTATTCGTTGATTGCCGTGCTAATTTACATTCTTGTGTAATCTATACTTATAATAAATCTGTAGAGATGTCAATTCTGTACATGAAATATATTTTTAAAATAACTATCAGGGCATGATTAGTGATCGATACTGATGCCAAAAATGCAATCAGTAAATTTTTTGTCTGTCTGTCTGTCTGTCTGTGTGTATGTTCCTTATAGAAACAAAAACTACTCAACGGATTTTAACGAAACTTGGTACAATTATTCTTCATACTCCTGGGCAGGTTATAGTATACTTTTCATCACGCTACAATCAATAGCAGCAGAGTAGTGAAGGGAAATGTTGGGAAAACGGGAGAAGTTACTCCATTTTTTAAGCTTCCGTCGCGGGTGCAGCCTTAATGGTTAAAGTTACATAGAAATCATGTATGACGGAAATATTCTACATAAAATTGTCTAAAAAATATCCCGCAACATCATATGTCTATCTTTTATGGTTGACTCACAATAACACGTGTAATTATATAAATAAAGTCATTCTTTTTTTATAGCACAAGCCTGAGAACAAAAAATATAGTTTACACTACAGCTCTACACCGAAGCGAAGCGAGGACGGGCCACTAGTAATTACATATAATGTGTATGTAGTAGGTTTTATAGTCAGCAACTTCCTAGTACCGAATATTTTAAGCATATTACATTTAATAATAATTCATTTAATTAAATTTTCTACCTAAGTGGCTATTCGTACTCTCGTCCCTACTTTTCAAGGTAACCACGGAAGACCAGCATCGGACAGTCTACGACATCCGACACATGCTGTGTGGACTGCCTTTTTAGTGACGCAAATGTTTAGACCTAATTTATTGTATTTATGTATAAGGTATATTGTTTTCATGTACTTATTTGTGTCACTGAATAAAACATTTTCTTTCTTTCTTTAATGCACGTACCTTATTAGCGAGAATAATTAAATGTCTAGATGTATAAGAAACCTTAAGAATAGTTTCACGTGATGCTTAAAAAATTGAATGCTAAAGCTAAGAATATGGGTTTCACGTGATTCTTGAAAACAGAAATAATCTTGCTAAAATTTAGCTTTTGCTTACTTCGAAATTTTAAGGATGGTTTTACGACTACCTATAAATCGAATTGATTACAAAAAGAAATAAAGAAAATTACGCAAAAATGCTTTTAGACGGGAAACTTTCGATTTAAATCTCACGGCGCGATTACATTACAGTGGATCCCCGGTAGTCCGACAAACATTTTGCAGGGCACTGTCGAACTATCGAATTCGTCGGATTATAGAGTACTGCCTAAGACCCTCTATAGTCCGAATTTTTTTACAAAAGAGTACCTTGTAATCCGACAAATTACAGATCCAATGATAAGATTACAAATCATGTTTCGTTATGGATGTCAAATTTAGTAAATTAAACAACACAATAGAAAGATTATGTTTTATTATAAAAGTAATTAATAGTAAATAGTGATGGTGCGTACAAGTTTTAACTTGTTCAATCGTGAATTAGCGAATACTTCGACGGGTCCCAAGAACAAAGTCGCATCTACAAAAATTGTAGTTGCCAGTGCGCTGCTTTTTTGTCGCGTCCAATTTGAATAGTCAGTTAGATAGTTAAAAAAAAGAAAGTTTTCGGAACATTATAGTAACGGCAGTTTGATTACTTTAATTACATGATTTTCACGTTTTTATAATAAATTTAATATTTAATTCTTTGAAAATGTCTTCTTATGATATAATAAGCTTTTGTTTTTCGGAATAATCTAGTACTTAACCGTAAATACGACTTTGTTTTATGGAATCTTTATCGACTTAAGTGTATATGCAATGTTTTGCTACGTATTTTTTAAAAGATAATTAAGTCGTATGTCGGTATTATCTCTCAATAGTGTTTTAAATAAAATTTAAAAAACATTTTCTTTTACTTTTATTAATCTTTTCAATAATATAATCAAACAAAAACTTAAAAACAAAAATATAAGACAAACTTTTCTTAAAAAAAACAACTATTAAGTTCTTTCTAATTAATACTCATTGAGTTATTACAACTATTAATCACAGATTTGTATAATTATAACTTATGATTAGATAAAAAGAGATCTATGGTACTTATATAAAACTCTCAAAAATAATGATTTTGTATCCAAAAATATAACTTGCCTTAATAAATAAATAATAACTAAAAGCGTTCTCGTCGTACATAATTATTGTAAAAAAATTAACAAAATAAACTTTTTTCAATTTAAGACCCTTTGACTCTTATGTCATTATAATATTACCATATATCCTATTCTTTGTCACTTACGTCATCATCTTGTCCATTATTACAGTCTTCAGAATTATAGGGTAAGGATTTAAAAAACGTAGCATTGGATGGACCTATAACACCAGTATCGCACATACTTACTAAATCTTTATATTTAGCTTTTGTCAATTTAAGGGGAGAATAATAAGCACACTCTAATGCTGGTACTACAGATGAGCGTCTTGTTTCATTCCCGATAACTAAGCATTCATAAGAATCTTCATCTAAATCATATTTATAACACAATTTATGTGGCTCAGATTTATCAACAAAAACTTCTTTAATTTTAGATCAAACAATTTTTTGATTTTTTAAATTCTTACTCCAAAGTTTATCATTGACGAGGGTTTTAAAATTAAAGATATTTTTGTGTCATATTTTTTAACTAAATATGGTTCTCCTTCTGTTTTTGCCCAACGTACAAGTAGACGCCATTCATCGGGAGTATAAATGGTTTTAGATTGGGACGACCGCTCTATAAGTGCATGCACACTGTCTTCCTCGTTCTGCGTGTGTCCTTTCTCAAGGAAGCGATATGTAATAGAAACTTTGTATTTCTTGGCAGCAAATAAATATACAGAGAATACAAATCTGTTCCGATTCTGACCGGCACAATTATCGGACCAGAAACGAAATTCTTTGGCTCCTTCTGTACAAGAATCTTTAATATAGTCTAAAGCATCGTAAAGCATTTCAGTCTTTGTTCTTCTGTCATTTAATCTACGCATTTGTTACGACAATTACAGGGTTTCCGGATGACTTTGTCATCAACTAATTTCCCTGTTTTCGATGCCCTTACCCAGATTTTTCAACTGTTTACGTTTTACGTCAGACCAATTTTCCTTGTACCTATACCAAATGTTTCCTAGACTTTTTTGTTTTAATTGCGTTGATTCCGAACCACTAGTATTACCTAAACATTGTACAGAATCTAGCCATGAACAATGAATAGAACAAAATTCATTACAACATTTCTTGTGTGCATTTAGTGGAGAGGGCATCGGCGTAGCTAAAACCATTTGAGAAGATGATGGAGTGGAAACTTCGGGTTTTTCAAATTCTTCTAAGTAAAATGCCGGTGAATTATTAAAACTAGAGGGTACCTCAATATTCAACGGAGTAAGCACATCCTCATTCGTGAGATTATGAAGCAAAGGAGCAGGTGACGAAGTAACTTGCTGTCAGCAGGGAAATGTAGTGTCATAGGTAGCTTGTAATTGATGTTGTGAAAAATCTATAGGATAATTATTATTAAAAACATCATTCCATACTTCTGCCATGTCTTCTTTAATATTGCGTGCTCCTGGCGGCAATGAGGAGCTCATAGCGGTGTCACATGGAACTTCAGGTTGTGATATAAAACAAAAAAAAAATAAACAATGATTATAATGTTCAACACACAAAGTACCTAACATAAAAGGAATATAATTATGTTACTTTAATTAAGTTAAGTTTTATATTTAGCAAGTTTTTAGAAGAAAAAAATCGTATTATCAGATTAATTCCCATAAACAAAAACGCAAATTTACATACGACAGTTTTTTTTCATTAATTTTCTATAGAACAATGTCTTATCTGCACATGCGATTATAAATTTTTAATGCATTTTTGACGAACTACAACTTATGTGAAAGTAATATGGTGAAAATTAATATTTCACTATAAAATGCTATTATGTTCTATTCAGACTAATTTGACAATAAAATTTGAAAATATAATAAAACACGATCTAAAAATACTTTTTCAAATTGTCCTAGAACAATATCGTAAAATCACAAACGACGGTTATTTATATTTTTTAGGAATTTTGATACTAAATAATTTATAGAATGAAAAATAAAACACTCAACTATTACTACATTGTTGAATTTGAAAACTATAACAATTACTTACCTAAATTGGAGCTTTCATCGTGTGTATTTCTGTTCGAAGTAGAATCATCGTTATCATTATTATCTAGATTTAGGGCTAAATCCAAAATTCTTCTCTTTCTTGATAAGGCCGACATTATAAATTATGCACTATATAGTGTATCCACTCTTTAAATTATTATTTAACACGAAATGTAGTGAAAAAATTCCGCACCATCAAAACGACCGCCAATGCGAAGAACAAACCGGCATCTGATCATAGAGCGCGGCGCGCGAGATGCGACCTGGGAAGAACAAGTTCGTATATGTCTGTACGTTATTGTTCGTCGAATCACGCTTCGGATAAGATGATGTTCGATTGGTTATATCATAAAGTAAACGTATGACGAAAAAAATAATTATATTACCTTATAGCTGATGTAATAGCAAGTACATTAAAATAATAAAATCAATTTTGTCTTAAATTTCCATAAGATTTTGTTCTTGGGACCCGTCGACTTGTATGTAATAGACGATGTCAGATTATAGGGGATACCGCATTAGCCAGGGGCCGGATTACCGGGGCTCCACTGTATTTTGGTTGTTAGTCCGAATACGTTAGCCCGAACACGTTAGCCCGAATACGAGTAGACGTATCCGTATTCCGTACTGGAATACAGTCCAGTGTAAATATTGCTTCGGGCAATTCGAGTAATTTCTTTCGTGCGCCCGAATACGGGATAACGATCAAATGTAATTGCGGCATCATTCGCTACCATTCTTTAAAACTAATGAATTTACTATTCCCTTAATAATAATTTAATTGGACGTTCACATGTGATAACTAAGTCAATTAAAAAATGGTTTTAACATATTGAACATTATCTAATAAAGTTATTGGAGCTATATATTACACGTGTGGCTAACCGCAATGTCAGCAAGAATTAGATCTTGATGTGGAAATATTACATAACATTACCCTTATTAGGTATGCGAGTATACTGTTCGAGAAATAATCCGGATCGGTTCACAACTACAGGCAGTCCTCGACTTACGTCGTTTCAAGTTACGTCAAACAATGTTTTGACACTATTCCTCAAGCATACTTGTTTCGATTTCCGGCATTGAGATTCACTTGTCGCGAAGTGAATGTCCGTGGGGATGTCTCGACTTACGTCAACATGCCGTAAGTACGAGGACTGCCTGTATTTCAGAAACTAACTAAGTTTCTCATTTATTAGAAAAATAAATCGATTGCATTAGATATTTCTGTAACTTTATTGAAAGTTAAATGTAACATTTTATTAGAATTACAAACAATTTAAACCGAGCCGTTTTCAAACAAAATAGAAGTAGATATTGGAACGGTAACGAACGATAACGGACTAGGTATCAAAAAAACCATATAAATTCTAGATAACTCCATCCAAGACTTTTGTCACAGCCAAGCAAAATCGGTAGTTACTAAATAATAAATAAATAGGTGATAGGTAGGTAGGTACTTAAACAAATTGGCATCCTGTTTGTTTGACAAAACATAAAACCGGTGATGATTGCTTGTAAAATATTGACCTGAAGCATTAAATCAAAACAACGGTCTTTTCTTTCTTCATGTGTAACTCGCTTCTCCAATATCTGAAGATTGTGGGTAGAAACTTTGTATTAACGATTTAAAATTACTTCTGGTTAAAACTTAAGGATGTATTCTTCTTCGGATGAGCGGAACTCGAAATATTATTGAATATAATACAAACATTTATATTTTGTCAACAGCACCGTGCGTGAGTGCGGCGGCTCTGCGACCCTGGTGGCTGCGGAGGCGCGTGAGGGCACGTGGTCACCGGCTGCTCGCAGCTCCGGTGTCTGTGTCGAGTGGCCCGGCGACAACGTGGCGCTGCGACCTGGAGACAGGTCTGTACCATAATCCCTTGCCAACCTCGATGGCTGTGGAGGCGCGTGAGAGCACGTGGCCATCGGCTACGTGCAGCCCCAGTGCGTGTTTCGAATAGCCCGGCGACAACGTGACGCTGCGACCTAGAGACAGGTCTTTGCCACAATCCCTGGCCAACCCAGACGGCTGCAGAGGCGCGCGAGGGAACATGGTCACCGGCTGAGCGCGACTCCGGTGTCTATGTTGAGTGCCTCGGCGAAAACGTGGCGCTGCCACCTGGAGACAGGTCTGTGCCCAATCCCTCACCGACTCTGATGGCTGCAGAGGCGCGTGAGAGCACGTGGCCATCGGCTACGTGCTGCCCAGGTGCGTGTTTCGCATAGCCCGGGGACAACGTGACGCTGCGGCCTGGAGACTGGTCTGTACCACAATCCCTCGCCAACCCTGATGGCTGTAGAGGAGCGCGAGGGGACATGGTCACCGGCTGAGCGCGACTCCGGTGTCTATGTTGAGTGCCTCGGCGAAAACATGGCGCTGCGATCTGGAGACAGGTCTGTACCACAATCCCTAGACAACCCTGATGGCTGCGCTGACGCGCGAGGATACATGGTCACCAGATACGTGCAGCCCCGGTGTCTGTGTCGAGTAGCCCGGCTACAACATAGCGCTGCGATCTGGAGACAGGTCTTTATCACAATCCCTAGCCAACCTTGGTTGTTGCGTCGAGTGGCCCGGCGACAAGGTGGCGCTGCGGCCATGAAGTTCTGTACCACCATCCTTCAATAATAGTAGAAGCCTGGCAGCAACATCCATTGACAACTGAGCTTCCTGGAGGAGCTGGGATGGCATGACTGCACAGTTTTGCGTTAGGCAAAACAGCCCGCCGGCTGCCGCCGTAATACTAAGACCACAAACCCTCATCTGACAACTACTTATCAATAGCCTATAGAGAGTATAGCCAGGTGAAAAGGATCACCACGATGAAGGTAGTTCTAAATAAATTCTTTTATTATGAACGAAAATGGAAAAATATTTTCCGCGCACGTAAGGTCGGGTATTTCTGCCTTATTTGCTCGGGATTCTATTTGAATACGAATAACCTATTGTTGTAATTTAAATATTTAGGGCGTATACACACATTGTTATATTAAACGCGAAATCAAAAAACCTTTACCAAATGCCAAATATCGGGACCCTATACTGTTCAAGAGACAAGAGCTCAGAGATAAAAGATTCCAAAATCTACAGCAAACAATAGGTACTGTAAATCTTAAGACCAAGGTCGTATATCACAATTTATGACCTTCTAATACTGATCACTCGGCCCGAAGTGGTTCGCTTTAAATTATTTCAAACATAATAACGGGTATTAGCAGTAAAAATAAGTACCAACGTCCCATCAAAATGGATTAAGTCCTGAGTAACTATAGCCTACCTTAAAAGGTTACAATTACCGTGCATTCCTTGCTCTATTGAGTAATATTACTTATATTAATTACCACGTTTCTTGTTTACGAGGAAACAAATTACCAATACCTCATTAAATTACAAAAGAAATTTCTCGTTCGAAGCACAGATCTGGAGTTATAATGCGATTCGAATTATAATAGGAAAGCCAATGACCTCTATCTGTCAAATGTCGCTTGAAAGTACGGTTTGCATAAAGACTTGGAATCCTTTTTTAGCACTTCACTAATTCAAGAATAAAAACCAAATTTTTGTAAACAAACAAAAACAAATATTGATAATTAATATCGGTTGATATATTTTTTCACTTAATGAGCTTTGGCCATGAATGGTTGATAACCTAAACCGTCAACCAAATGTCACCTTAAGTTGCGTTCAGAAACTCGATTTCAAACTTTCGTTCCGATTATTCATTACTACTCCGGCAGTAATGCAGAGATGAGCGGAATAGAAGAGCTAGATTCTGATTAATGTTTTTTCTCACAGTCTTAATAAATAAATATTATTAAAAATCGGTGGGTTCTGTTTTCTCAATCTTTTAAGTTTTATTAAATAAAATCTTTTTTTTGCTCACTCTACCTATTTGGTTTGAATTGACAGCTATGACATCACAATATGGCGCCCAGTCGGCGCCTATTCTTAGTTGAATCGCATTATATATTATCCTCCGTTTACAGAGTAGCCTGTAAATAACTCTAAACCTACTCCCATTATTACAAAACGCTAAAATTAAAATTGGAGTAAAACTGATGCTGTCACTTTCGTTCGCTAAAAAGAAGACTGAGACAACACGATTGTCTCAGTCTTCTTTTAAACCAAGACTAACTTCAGTCCGCGTTTAGAGCCGGCCCTAGGATAGAAGAAGTGCGGTCCTGAGTTAGAGAGAGACGCCGGGTTTCATGGTGTCGCCGACTCGAGAGGTCCCGGGCTCGAATCCCGGTGGATCTAGATGCTTGTGTGATGAATATGAGCATTTGTACTCCTGTCATGGATGTTTGATATGTATTTCCATATAAATAGATTTATATATGTACAATATATGTATTCTATCCGTTACCCCAGTATCCCATAACACAAGCTTTACAGTGCCTACTTTGGGGCTAGGCTAATTGGTGTAAGTGTTGGAAATTTTTATTTATTTCTTTTCAAGACAAAGTTTTTTTTTAAAGTGAAGATACAATTTACGTAAAGGAACATTAAAGGAAGGGTAGCAAAAGGATGCCAAAAGACAATCTCGCTGTAATCGTTTGCCAGACACTGAGTAAGTTTGGGTCAGCGCAGGCGGTCTTGTATCTAGAGTATAGGAAGATAGGAATATATTTAAAGAAAATATAACTAGAAAAAATTTCACGCGGACCAGGCAGCAGACGGGACTCGAACCCGCACCCTTCGCAATCCGGGCGAATGCACTGACCAATTATGCTACCGCGGCCCTCACGAACCGCGTCGAAATTCCTCTAGCCATTCTTAATTCCGGGCGAATGCATTGGTCAGTGCATTCACCCGGATTGCGAAGAGTGCGGGTTAGAGTCCCGTCTGCTGCCTGGTCCGCTTGGTTTTTTTTCTAGTTTTATTTTCTTTAGATTTAAACATCAAGCAGTTACATGCTTTAAAAATGAAAAAAACTAGGAATATATTTGTTTCTTAAATTTTCACAAACACCACTCATTATATGAAACACTCCTAAACGTAATAATACAAAAAAATGGGTGCGTGTACTTATGTAGGCGCGTGAGAAGTTATCCTTCTTTGGCATCGTTTAAAATTAGTTTTTAATTGCATGCAAATAATACCTATAACTGTTACTTTATTACAAAAAATAAAGATGTGGTTTTTGGTTCTACTACACCAATGGTCAAGAGATGGCGCTGTAGTCTCCTGAATCGCGCTTTGGTTCCGTTGTTCCAGATTAATAAATACTTTTGATAGGCCTTCACAATGCAGTCGTTAGCACCCACTAAAGAGAGATTCTATTTCTATTTTGTTGGTAGATTTTCTTAATGTGCGGTAAACACAAAAGTAACAGCATGAAGTTCAGAACTTCATGCTGTTAATTTTTGTGTTACAGTGATGCGCGCGCATCTTAAAATTTCACTCTCATCATTTTTTCATAACGCGCCTAAAGAAGTATAACTTCAAAAAAGTAATAAAAAGTCGCACTTTGAACCCGTTTAAGCGTGTTTCATTTAGTTAGGAACACGTTTAAAGGTGATATACGGTTATCGCTTTTATCGCCATCTCTAAATAAAAAGATCGTTTTCATTTTAAGAGCGTAGATAGTGTAGATATCAAGGGCTTTATATAAATAGGTATCTCCACTCCGCTACAACAACGGCATATGAGCATGTTCCCGCGGCGCGCGATTTGTCGTCGTCCGATTTGAATGCGACGCGATAAAACCATGCCGGTACCTACTGTAAAAACTATTTAAATTGTAAGTGCATGGATAAAACCGGCACGATTCGAGCAGATATTCCGCAACATTATCTTAACTTTTAAATTAGCGATTTCCTTCAAATTAATAGTAAAAGTGCGTAGTTTCCATCACAAAACGCAAATAGAAAACTCAAGGAAACTTTAAGTAGCGCAGTATTTCGGGCATCTACCGCGCTCAAAACTTTTTGCACCTCGAAAGCAGAGTCGAAAGGTATTCAAAAGTTTGACAGTTGTAGTTAGCAACGAGCGCAACTATTAATATGTAATTCATTGATATCCTGCGCGCGCGTACCTACATCTTATCATACTAAATTTAATTTACTTGCAGCGACTTGCGAACTTCACAACCGGCATTAAATATTAAATGCATTCTAACGGCCAGTTTCAATTTTAATCGCTTGCGCTAAGTTCAAAGCCGCCATTCAGTTTAACGAATTCTAACTGCCAGTTTCAACTATCGAACTCCAACTCCACTCCGAGCTTTACGATTTGCATTATACTCGTATCATGTTTTTATCGCGTCCGACTGTCAATCTTCATAGTAATTGCTAAGAAACGGAACTACTGAAATTATTCTTCTTACCTTTTACTTTTTTTCTTTTATTTTTTAAACACACACCAATTAGCCTTGCCCCAAAGTAAGCACTGTAAGGCTTGTGTTATGCGATACTAAGGTAACGGATAGAATACATGCATAAGTATATTTATACAGAAATACATATTGAACTTCCATGACTGGAGTACAAATGCTCGTATTCATCACACAAACATCTGCCCCCACCGGGATTCGAACCCGGGTCCTCTCGAGTCGGCGACATCATGAAACTCGGCGGCATATGTATAATATATGTATTCTATCCGTTACCCTAGTATCCCATAACACAAGCCTTATAGTGCTTACTTTGGGGCTAGGCTAATTGGTGTGTGTGTTAGAAATATTTATTTATTTATTATTATTATATATCGCAGGTTGGTGGAGGTAAACGGCACGTGTGTGGTGTCGTCGCGCAGCGTGGAGGAGGTGCAGCGAGCGCTGGGCGTGGGTCCAGCGCGGCTGGTGCTGCTACGGCCGCATGCCGCGGCCGGCCCGCTAGGGACCGCAGCCGCGCCGCAACCGCCGCCTACTGCGCTGACGCAGGTATACTAATACATTACATTCATAGACTAAATTGAGCATTCCTTGTCCCAATAAAATCACCTTTATTCGAATTAAAAGCATACCTAATTTAATTTAATAATCCCAAATTTTCCCCGTAGTCAGACAGCTGCAAGTAATTTATATATATAAAACTCAAAGGTGACTGACTGACTGACATAGTGATCTATCAACGCACAGCCCAAACCACTGGACGGATCGGGCTGAAATTGCATGCGGGCAGATGTTATGACGTAGGCATCCGCTAAGAAAGGATTTTGATCAAAACGGAGAACACCACAGAAAGAAAACAAAAAAAAAAAAAAGGATTTTGATCAATTCTACCCCCAAGGGGATAAAATAGGGAATGAAAGTTTGTATGAAACTTTGTCAATTTTAAACCGATCGGGCTGAGACTTTGCATGCAGGTATAAGAAGAATCATAGATGAATGTCATTGTGTATAATACAAGCCTGAGAACAAAAACTGTAGTCTACACTTCAGCTCTACACCGCAGCGAAGCGAGGGCGGGCCGCTAGTGGTTTCATAAAAAGGGCATGCAGGTTGTATAACGATTTTGTGAAATTGGACTTATTTCGTCATAAAGTACATAGATTTAAAGAAATACCTATGCAGTGTTGTACTTTGGAATCTGATTAAGCTATTGTAGTAAAATGATTTTATAACTTGTATTAATATTGTTAGATATTTATTGTTGGCATAGGACATTGTTTGTATAGTCTTAAATTAAAATCAATTTTGCTTTTTAGCTTTTAAGTGATTTCATTGAGGAAACTGTATGTCTAGCACTAAACTTTTTTACTTTACATTATTTGTGACTATGTGAGACTGTTTCTTAATAAAAAAAAATGGGTGCGTGTACTTATGTAGGCGCGTGAGAAGTTATCCTTCTTTGGCATCGTTTAAAATTAGTTTTTAATTGCATGCAAATAATTAATTACAATAAATTAATAAAAAGTCTGGAAAAGGACACAGTCAATAAAGTTCAGTTTTAATTTGAAAAAATAAATAAATAATCAAAATATTCAATTAAAATCGCTACTGAATATAATTTATTAGAACATAATGTGATTTGCACTTGTATGAAACTCAAACACGTATTCCGAATATACAAACTAGAAACATGTGGATAAATATTATAAATATGAATACCTATAACTGTTACTTTATTACAAAAAATAAAGATGTGGTTTTTGGTTCTACTACACCAATGGTCAAGAGATGGCGCTGTAGTCTCCTGAATCGCGCTTTGGTTCCGTTGTTCCAGATTAATAAATACTTTTGATAGGCCTTCACAATGCAGTCGTTAGCACCCACTAAATAGAGATTCTATTTCTATTTTGTTGGTAGACTTTCTTAATGTGCGGTAAAAAAAGTAACAGCATGAAATTGGTCGTTAATTTTTTGTGTTACAGTGATGAGCGCGAATCTTAAAATTTCACTCTCATCATTTTTTCATAACGCGCCTAAAGAAGTATAACTTCAAAAATAATAATAATAAACCTTTTGTCATTGAAGAAAGGTATCTAGAATGCCGACCGACGCCAAGACATGTGCAAGAGGGGTAGAAAGTCTTACGTCGTCATTCTCGATTCCTTTCTTTAATGACAAGAGTTGTAGCACATTTGAATCGTCCATGTTTTTTCTCTACTATACTACTGTAGAGGAGCTCAATGGCGCAAGTGGTTAGCGTGTTCGGCTGCGATCGCTGAAGTTAAGCATATTTCACAGCGGTCGGTCATTGGATGGGTGACCAAAAATTTAATAGCTCGAGCTCCTCCGTGCTTCAGAAGGCACGTTAAGCCGTTGGTCCCGGCTGCATCTGCAGTCGCTAGCAACCACTAATCCGCACTGGGCCCGCGTGGTAGGTCATGGCCCAATCTCCCTATTCCATCCATAGGGAAGGCCTGTGCCCCAGCACTGGGGACATTAATAGGCTTATGATGATTAACTCGGATGCTAGCTACTAACCGACTCGCACATGAGAATAACTCGTATGATGCGATCACACGATACGAGTAGCTGTGCTACAGTAACTGACTAGGCCAGCTCGCACTGTGTAACCCAGTCTTTATACTAGCAAGGTATTAATAGCCTTACTAGGCTTTATTATAATAATACTATATTAAAGTTATTTTTCTTTTCAAATTCTAGACCGAAGCGGCATCGTTGCGCAGTGAATTAGGAGCGCTGCGGACCGCGGCTGAGGAAGCCGAGCGCGCCAAAGAAGGCCTGCGCGCCGACAACACGCGCCTCACGCACCGCATCTCCTACCTAGAGGAACAGGTCGCCGAAATGCTAGCCAGACACACGCAGGTACTTTTGAGCGCAATTGGGAGTCTCCTTGTTTTTATTCGCAACGGTGTGAGCTCATAATTTTTTGTCTATTCCAGCTGCAACCTGTCAGCAGTACCGACAGCAGCTGCATCACAGTGAACAAAACAAAGAAGAACGTGACCAACATCAACATCACATCGGAGCCGGCGTGCAGGCAGAGCCCCAAGTCGGAGGTGCAGGTGTTTCAGAAGGGGCCCGACATCACCGCGCTAGTGGCGAAGCTGCCGGGGCTCGACGGCGCGGAGGCCAATTTGCCTCTCCTGCGGCCGCGCTCCAACGCGTCCGGCGCCTCCTCGCGCGCGCCGCCCTCGCCCCGCGCCTCCCCGCCCCACCACCGGCACCGCGCGCACTCCTCCCACAGCCTCGAGCACCGCGCCGCGCGCATGCGCCACTCGCTGTCCCACCACTGCCTGCACGCCGCCGACGACTACGGCGCCGAGACCGACGCCGCCATTCGCATGATCGAGCGCAACCAGAGGCACATCGAGAAGCAGCGGCTCAAGTCCGAGCGCCTCGGTCGATCCCGGACTGACGACCACTTCCGCTCGGACAGCGACCTCGACGCGCGCGACTCGCTCTCGGGCGTCGGCCCGCCGGAGCCGCGCCCCGCCGACCGGATCGAGGAGAGCATCAAGAAGACCAACTGGGCCGAGCGGAAGACGCTCTCCATCATAGAGCAGCTGAAGCGGTCGCAGCGGCTCCGCAAGTCGAAGAAGCCCGACAGCGCGGAGGACGTGCGACTCGAGACCGAAAAACGATACTCCTACCACCGGATAGACGGGAAGGTGCTGGAGAACGCGCACAAATCGAGCCGGCGCTCGTCGAAGCTGCACTCGCGCAGCGCCAAGTCCTCCGAGTTCGAGTCCGAGTGCTCGGACTTCCCCAACGGCGACGCGTACGGCAGCTCGCCGAGGATAGACTACGGGTCGGAGTCGTGCTCGACGCGACTCAGCCACTACAGGAAGAACGAGAACGAGGCGCGGACGAGGCCGACGCCGCCGAGGAAGCCGCTGCGGCTATCGCTGCACAAGGCGAGGAGCGCGCACTCGCTCCTGAACGGCAGCGAGTCGGAAACGCCGAGCCGGCCGCCCTCCGAGGCGCAGAACGCGGACGGGCCCGACGCTAACAAGAGACCGGTGAAGCGCACGCACGCGGGGGACAAGTGGGCGCGGGAGCGGGAGAGGGAGAAAGAGAAAGAACGCGAGCGCGGGAGAGAAAATGTGCGCGCGACACCGCGGCCGAGTCGCAAGCTGCTGCAGGGCCTCGCGCCCGCCGCCGACGACCTGTACCCCGCCCCTACACGGCGCTCCGCCCCAATCGTGCCGCCCGCCAACTGGTGCTAGCCTTAGATTAAAACAAAAAGGATAGATACGGTACGCTCATACTCGCATCAAACAAAAACTGATCCCACGGCAGCGTGAACGGGACGGCGAGATCCGCGTCACTGCATTACCGACCCGAACGAAACAGCACGTTAAGTTTCAACGGCAGCGCGAACGAGACGGCGAGATCCGCGTCACTGCAGTACCGACCAATCACGCGACCAGTACTCGACGTCACTACCGAATAAGATTCAAATCAAACAGCAATTTTTATGAAAAAAAATTTTTTTTATAGTACTTACGAATGAAAAGTGATGCCGTGGGTTTTATTTTTTTAGTTCTTGAGCAATTTGAGCACTTTTTAAAAACACACTAAGGCATTGTTTTATCATATAAACACAAAATATTAGCAATATTTCTTTTTGGCGTTCACATGTACGTCGTTTGCATGTCAAGTTGTGACTAAAGCGATTAGGGTCGTGGACCACAATTTATGCGGATCACTTTTGTGAGGCTAGTGCCGTATCTACCCTTTTTGTTTTAATCTAAGGTGCTAGCACCCCCATACTCCTAACATACTCTGATAAACGTACGCAGACCTCTGTGACCAGTGTGGTGGCAAACGGATAATTTTAATCGAAACATCCTTAGGGGATAATTTATGTCCATTTATTTCTGCTGCTTTTGAACATTCCACGCAAAACTTTCGATATCAAAGGTACCTAATAATAATAAACACAGTTTCGTTTCAACGTCACAGAAAGCACGAATTATAGGAATGATCAATAATACCAATTACCTTTGATTGATATTTATAAGGAACTAGAACTAAATGGAATAAGCTGTAGATTATGGCCATCGTATGTCCAAGGCCCGTATTTGTAAATGACACATGTAAATATTGTATACGTAACACGATAGGCACCCACCGCGTGTACGCTCAAATTAAAGTGACACGTATTATTTATTTAAGATTAACACCGAGGCTATGAATGCATGCCTGATGATAATTATTATAATAAGAATAATGGCCGAAACAGACTGATGAAACGCGACGCCACCAGACGCCACAAAATTTACTACTGTTTTCTATGATCAGAATCACATTAGGAATATCGGACGCAACGCGATGCGCCATACAAAATAAGCGTCGCGTGGCGTGGCGAGGTGGCGTAGCGTTTCATAACTCTGTTTCTACCTTAAAAATAATGATATAAAAAACACGATTTATTACTGAAAATGACCGTTTTATTGAGACCTTCTTTAACAATCGGATACACTATCGATGCCTATAAATATCGGCTTTATTAACAAAACATAATTTATTATATGGGTAATAACCCGCCATGTGCAGTACGACCACGTGAACACACTTACAGATCTTGCACATGTCACATCTACACTTGCATCGATAATATTGTCACTTTCACTCGACACAATCAGCTATGACGCTCGGAACATAATAATATGTAATGTTGCCAGATATCAAAATCATAGTAAAATTCATCGATAATAATCATTTAGGTCGCTGTTACAAATGCAGCAATGAATCAAGTCCATATTTCAAATAACTGACGACATCTGACGGCGTTTTATAGCAACTTGGCCCTACGCCAATGTTATTCATGGCTACATTCGTTAAACTGGCAACAAATAAAAAAATACCGAGTATTACCACCCACTTACAACATAACACTGAACATTATCATTTCATCAAATCATTAAATCTCCAGACTTCAAAACAGTAACTCTCGCAATAAAATTATATAATTAGTTGCAACAAAAACAATGGACAATATTTACAATGAAAAATTATATTATAAGTTCTATATTATATACACCCAGAGCCGCATGCGACCGACGGACATGAAGATGCCACCCTCTATGAACAAACTATCAGCTATATAACAATATTATAGACTAGGACACACTTACAATGTCATTTGAATCGCATTATGCAGAAATGATCAATCAACAAAAACATAAGCTAATCTAAAGAAAATATAACTAGAAAAAATTCCACGCGGAGCAGGCAGCCGACGGGACTTAAACGGGTTCGAGTCCCGTCTGCTGCCTGGTCCGCGTGGATTTTTTTCTAGTTATATTTTCTTTTGATTTAAACATCGAGCAGTTACATGCGTAAAAAATAAAAGTTATAACGTTAGCTAATGTTATTTACTTCTGAAAAATAATTTTTCATGCAAGCAAATGGTAGATTGTAACCTATCACATTAATTGACTCTTTTTTGACAAAAATGAGTTTTATTAATAATATGAAAGTACAATATTTCGGAGGCTGAATCATTTTTACATAACGCAGTTCAATAAAAACCAACCTCATGAAAATAAGGTCGATCAAATCGAATCCACATTACAACAAGTGCAGTCAAAACCACGACAATGGATATCTGTGACATTGACAGTTTCATAATGACATGCAATAAAAACCATTATGACTATACCAAGTATACCCAGGTTCGTGGTCTTGACCGTACTGAAGTCGTACAAAAAATGGAAATTAAAATAAATGATGAATTAAAATATCAGTCAAATCTGATTAGAATTATCAATCACAGGGGCACAACATTATAATCTTACAAGTAAAATAGACACAACGGCATGAGGCTCCAGGTCCAATTGTAACGATGAACATCATCACAGTTATTATTATAAAATAAAATTATTACAAATTCCAATGCTGACAACGTGCAGATTTTGTATCGCATTCGATATACAGAAACGATCGAGAATTCACTCTGATTTTTTCTATTCATAATGATATAAACACAACTTTTCGGATTAGGGTGACCAATCAATATTGCTCGTGTTAAAATGTGGTCGCTGAAATTTTAGATTTTAGAATTTATTTGTTTGCATTAGAATAGGGAAAAGTTCGGCCCATTCTGCCCTTTACAATAGCATGCAAATATTAAACAATGCATTAATTACATCAATATTATTAATTTACATTAAGCCATTAAGCCGTACCAGTTCCTTGTGTTGAAGGAATAGAGTTCATCTTCGTACATCTTTAATTTTACTTCATCGTAAGTGCTATTCTCTTCTTCTTTTATCAGACAGCTTGGTTGAGTTTTAGCACTTAAGTAGCTTTTACACACAAGGAATTAGTTTAATACAATCTATTATAATAATATTTTTAAATGTAAAAGTGATCTTTATTTTGTTTATATGAGGAATTGACACGAACTGTCACTGGCGCATACTTTCAGTTGCCGCACTGTTGCGATGGCTATAGGGCCATCTAAAAGATCAGGCCATCTAGAAGGGCCATCGAAGACATAAGATCAAAGATAGGACCACCTAAGAGAACAAAATTTGGTAGACAATATAGTCAATAAGAAAGATCGGAAAGAAAGAAACTAAAGAGTGCATCTCAGCACGTATTATTTGTTTCCTAAATTTAATTTAAGAGGAGTTGAACAGAGTATTTCCCGAATTTTTAAAATTGGCTTTTATTTAAAGATTGGAACAAACGATTTAACAGAAAAATAAAAATAAATAAATTAATTTCTTTTAAATAAAACTAGTTTTTACGGGTTAATGCACGAAACTTTATTTATTTATTGACGTTTCGCAGCCTTTTCAGGTCTGCATCGTCAGAATAATGATTTTATTTAAAATCATTATTCTGACTATTAATTTCTTTTTTTCTCCATTATACCAATTAAAGTTGAATTTATTTTTAATGGTTTTGAATTTACCGCAAAAACGGTCGGTTCCATAACGTCTACTGTGTGACGTCAACTTTGTGTATGCTATGTAATCATCTGAAGGTCAAATTATTACCTTTTTTTTACGTTTGCGATAAATTTACAATAATAGTATAATGCTTTGAAAATTTCTTCGCTGCTCATCCTGATTTCTGTGCTATAGAGTTTCGAAACATCAAAAATGTTGCACTTAAGTAACAGAGTTTCGAAACATCAAAAATGTTGCAAAAAAGTTGATAAATTGACCTTCAGATGATTACATAGCACACACAAAGTTGACGTCACAAAGTAAACGATATCGAGCCGAGCGTTTTGGCGGTAAATTCAAAACCATTAAAAATAAATTCATCTTTAATTGGTATAATCAAGAAAAAAAGACATAAATTTATTTATTTTCATTTTTCTGTTAAATCGTATGCTTGGAAAATACCCTATTAAAGGAACTTACGGATCATAGGACAGCGCAGCATAGCTTGGCCTCTGATTGGTTACCCTTATACCCACACAGATGAATACCAAACTAAGCGTTACATAAATCTGTTAAATAAACAAAGCAAAATGAGCTATATTGCAATACTCATAGAACTCAACACTCCGATGCCTGCCTCTTAGTGTATCAATTAGTTTTCGTAATAAACCCCTGATTATAAACAAAAATACTTACATAACAATTACTTTAACTTTAAGGTTGAATCTCGCGTCATTTTGCACTTAAGCGAATTTAGGTACATATTCCATGTTACTTGGAAATGAAAAAAAGAATTGAAAAAAATAGATGTAGTCAAAACTCAGTTTATAATAACAAACTCGCTTAGCACTATTTATTATTATAAAATTCATTCCAACCACAATACACAAAGCTATTATTAGAATTGCAAAGTTACCATAGGACTGAAATGCTGAAGAGCGAATGTACGAGATTCGAACCTAACTAAATATCGGCCCTTACCAATGGCATCTGACGTCACACGACAGATAACTAAGATATTTCACGAGTCTACGCTACGAACCGCCCGCTGCTCATCAACAGATCCCGGGGAAGTACCCAAACAACTTATTTACAGGAGAGCAATACCCGAAGCACGAGCGAATATTGATCATTCGATTAGCTGAATTCATTTTCGACACACGTCAAATGTCAAAAAGTAGTGTATGAAAGATTTTAAATTCTCGATAAATCCATTGTGGCGCTATTCAAATTTCCATGCAATACTTTTCGAAACGATATTGGTTCGTACTAAGGGTTCTGAACACTCTTAACTTTACATACAGTCTTTAATATACATCTTTCGGCTACACAACGTGTCTGCGAGAAATCCAGTTTCCTCCAGATCCATTCTTTCGCGTTGTGATCGCATTATGAGAATTATTTATTTACAATAATGCCAGCAAAATTTTGATATCCAACTTCTTAAAGTGGTATGAGCGAACTTTATTATTACAAATGCTTGTTCATATTCAACAGGTGAAAAGCAAAATCGCATATACGCCACTTTTGTGCTGCATTAAATTTATTTAATTCTAGTTTTTATTCAATGCACTGTCCATTTGATCTGCTGACATTCAATTAATAATATTTTTTCTACTGCTGGAATATCATCGAGCCCGGAGAATCAGTATATAAACAACCCATTCAAAAGGCTATCCGGCACAGTAGTTCACTATATGCGTATACGACAACAAACGCACAATGTTACAATGGTGCCGATCCTGGCATGAATCTCTAAACTTAAAACTAAATTTAACATCAGTCTCTCGTCTTCATTCTGCGTAGAGAATGACAAGGATACACTGTTGTCAAATTTAATTTTAGATTTAGGCAAACATACCAGAATCGACACCAATAATAACTTATAAGATATTGCTCCATACTTTGCCTCACATAAAGTAGTACTTCTGATGTGCTTTACTGTTTTTACTTCAGCCCTCCTATTAATAAACGAAGACTAAGCTTGGATAAGTTATATTGTTTTAAACTTTCATGGTCACTAACATTATAGCTATTTACGGGATTGTTACCATGTACCTTGTCATATGTGCAAAAACCGCAAAAATCTAAAAAGTGTCGTTCCACTATCTGATACTGTGAGTATTGTGTGTCGGGAACAAGTGCGAGTGAATGGTGAAAATGTGACCAATGGTAAGGATATCGAGCGCAGTAAAAGACGACGTCAGAGGGTAGACCGATATGTCTGCCAATAACATCTACCCGCAATTACTTCAGTTACCCCGTAATCATGGCGCTTGCAACAGTGCCGAAATATCGGAGACTCATAAAAAACAAGGTACATGGTAACAATCGCGTTAAGAGCTATAATTGGATAAGTTACTCTATGTTTTGTCTCTGTTCATTGAATGACAAATGACATTTGAGTGATATGAAAAAAACACGGCGTGACTAGTTTAAGCTCATTCCTCGTTGATTAATAAGGGGATAAGTGTATTAGCTAGAAGCTCAAGCAAATTGGCTACCAGCTCCATTTAAATCACAACCTGGAAGTACTTGTCGAAGCAATCTCTCAGATTCTACTCAACTCAGTGGAATTTGTATACAGTTGTTTTAGAAATTGGAAGCCAAAATATCTTGAACGAGGTTGCCGTACTTTAAAAAACCTTATTTAATGGACAAGAATTCTGCAAAATTTGGCCACTAGGGGCGCTGTAATCGCTTGACCCAAAACTTCGATCAAATACATACCTATTAGCTCATATTCATTTTTAAGCTTTTTATTAAACAACATACAAATGCCGAGTTGTGCAATCCCTGGTAGTTGTGAGAGCATGAGCATCCTTACCGACTAAAACCAGAGTAACCTAACTCTATGAGATGTCTGACTGATGCTAAAATAAGATAGATTTGACTAATGAGCCCGCTAAAACTTACTCAGATCCATGAACTATTAAAATAATCAGGGAAAATGCATCTATGTACCGAGAATGAGCATTCTAACATAATAATAGAAAGAGTACCCTTCTACTTGATCAGCTTTTCTGCCTTACACAGATGCTCCTCTCCTTTTCAACTCTGTTTTTAGCTGTATTACAAACCATGTTGAATATATTTTCACCACTTATTTAATATTTTTAACAACAAAAAACCACGTTTATTTGACATCGGCAATATTTGGCTGTAGTTTGGGTCAAGCGTTTGCAGCGCCATCTATGTCGAGCTTTGCGTATACTTCTCCATTGCAATGGCACATCAGCGGAATATACCACATAGGCTGTTGGCTCTAAACACAATTTCATTAACGGTGCAGCTTTCAAACCAACTCCCTGCAGTCACTCAACTTCGTAGCGGAGGAATCTGTACTTGACATTACTTGATAACTTGTAGCAGTGCCCGTGATGGACGCTCTTTCGATAGCAGAGGTGGTTTAACACTTATTTCGTCACGTAACTGTCTTAACGGCGACTCAACTCTCTTCTTTCCTACATCTTCCTTGGCACTAGTTTAGAACTTTGACGCCACGCTTCATGAGTATAGAGAGTCGTTCTCGGGAGTGGGGGAATCCCCCGCTTGCAACGCCTCCTGTCGGCAACCACGTGACTTCTTTCCGTATTTTTCTCAACAGTGGAATTTGTTCGTCAACACTGGTTTAGAATCCGAAGCAGCTCATTTTGATGGCAAGGGTAGTTGAACGCTTTGTTTCTTCACTAAACTGGTTAACAGCTGTAATGCGAATAGAAGTCTTTGCTTAGTGACTCACAGCACTTCTTCCCGTGTCTCCCTCCACAGTAGAATTAGTTGGTAGCGAGTTGTTTAGAAGGTTTTCTTGAGCGTAACCTCCCGCTTAAAACTCGAAATAGCGCCCGAAGTTGACGTACTTTTAATGGTGGGGGTAGTTTAACGCTAATTTTGTCACTGAACTGTTACAAGTCTTAGTACTGCGACTCACCATAGATGTTCCTCGACATTTTAGAACTCGAAGCAGCGTCCCAGGTTGACGTATTTCTTGAGCGCATACGGCAACGGCAGTTCTTTGACGCCACGCTTCATGAGTATAGAGAGACGCACTCTCCTAGCGTCGGGCGTGGGGGAATCCCCCGCTCGCCGTTTGCAACGTCGCCGCGCCCCGTCGGAAGAGTCTGAAGTTGAAGTGGAGGTGGAGGAACGCGCCTCGCCTGAGACGCGGCTACGCTTCTGTAGCTTGCGACGACCTAATAAATAAATAATAATAATATTTATTTAGACCAGCATATAAGTAACTTTACGTCTTATAAACTATGGACACCATATATTATTATATTATTAAGAATATAAAAGACAATCTTTAGCGTCTGCTGCCGAACTAGGATTTTGATCCTGTATTTCAGCATTCAGTCAATCAATCTCAGGTTTAGACAATTACTTGTATCCTATAAGCTAGTGAAGTAAGTTTCTTGTAATACTGATATTACAAGAAATACTTATTTGGATTTTATAAAACTGTTAAAATAAAAATTGTGTAAGTGAAGGAATGGAGTAAATTTGGAAAAATATATATTGTGCACACATCTGAAGTGAAACTTGTTTTCTTAAATAACCCAACATTAAGCGGTGCATAAGGCATAGGGGAATGGAGCTCATCTTGTTGCGTGTGATGCTCGTAGCGTTTCAGCCTTCGACGAGTTACCTTTCAACTTTCACACTCGTCGGGAAGATCTGCGCACGCATCCCACACGCACGCATCCCCATTCACATATATACCGGGTGTAAGGGGAAAGTTCCCCTAAAAAATGACAGGGGGTAGAGTAACCGATTCCGGATATGATACTACTTAAAATTCGTTAAAAACAATCCAATTAAAAAAAATACTACTGTCATAAGTTTACAATTTTATAGTATAATACACATTTTTCGGCTTCGGAAGCGTTCGCCTTACACCCTGTATATATAGTCGTGTGACAAGCGTGACGCATCGGAAATACGTCATCATCGTTCCCATAAGATATTTCCATTTACGCCCCGACCGAAAAATAGTTTCACTTCAATAAACATATTGGAAAACTAAAGAAAATTGTACTAGGAAAATCCACCCGGTCCTGACAGTATTTCCGTTATCCGGGTGGATGCGCTAACCAATTATTCTACCGCGACCTTAATGGTCGTGTCGAATTTTCTCTAGTATTTCTAAGGCTACAAAGTAGCGCTATCTCTTCGTGTTGTAACCCACAATGTCAAGCGAAATACCTTTATAAGTACACCGGGGACTCGAACCCTCACCTCTCGCTCGGGTCTCGTCTGCTGTCCGGACCACGTGAATTTTATCTAGTGAAATTGTCATTTACATATAAAAATCTAGCAGTTAAATTGTCCCATTAAAGTCACTATCATCGTCATCACCAGCCTATTAATGTCCCCACTGATGCTCTTCTGTGCTTCAGAAGGCACTTGAAGCCATTGGTCCCAGCTGCATCAGCAGTCGTTAGCACCCACTAATCCGCACTGGGCCCGCGTGGTCAGTCATGGTCCAATCTCCTTATTCCATCCATAGGGATGGCCTGTGCCCAAGCTGTGGGGACATTAATAGACTGATGATAAGACGAGGAACGCAATATATAATTTATTGACTCACTTGGTGGCTTCTTATCATCGACGTCATCGGTGAGGCTGTCAGACGGCCGCGAAGCATCCGCGTCCGAGTCGTCCGTCTTCGAGTCCGACTTGGTAGGAGACGAGTCGCTAGTAGGGGTCGTTTCTTCTCCGATGCCGCTGTCCAGCTTCTGCCGCTTCTCCTGCTTCTCCTTAGCGGAGTCTTCAGGAGTTTCCTCGTCGCTAGACCTTTCGTCTTCCGCTTCGCCCTCCCATTCCATGGTCGTCGAAGGTCCAGCTTGGACGTTGCTAGTCTTGCCCAAGTAGATTTCCACTTCTGCGGGGACTGCGGGGCTCTCGTCGTTGGTTCTAGGTTTGTCGGAGTCTGTGTTATCGGCGCTATCGCTAGGGGTAGGCGGTGTTGAGGAAGAAGATTGAGCGCCTGCCGACCTCTCTGACTCGACTACGTCCCGGAATTCGAATGTGAGCATGCCGCGACGAGACCTTGCGGCCGTTCTGTCTTCGTCGGTGCTGCCGCGACTGCTCGGCTCTTGTCGGGAGCGGTCGGGGGAGCTCTGTTTAGTTGAAGCAGCCCCTCCCCCTCCCCCTCCCCCGTCCCCGTCGCCGCCGTTGTCGTCGTCGTTGCCGTCGTCTCCGTCGCCCCTGTGTTCCTCTTCCTCGTCCTCTGACGTAGAGTCCAGAGGGGGGGAATCTAGCCGGTCGAAACGCAAAGCCCCCGCTACTCTGTTCTGCCCCATGCTGAGCACTAGACTGAGAAGGGCGTTCATCTCGTGAGCACCGTCCGCGGGGTCCAAATCGTGGAGCGCGTTCAAGCCCTCTGTGAAAAGTTACGACAAGTTATATTTTGTTTGAGTCCAAGACCTCCGTGACCGAGTGGTATATACGCTGTTGCGGTGTGTGTGATCTGAGGAGTTATTCTCCCTTATTCCACCTTCCCCTTTCCTTCAGAGGACCAAGAAGCTGGCCTACGTTGCCACCGACTAACTGTAGGCACTATACCAACGCGTACAAAGAAATTCGGTGACTCATTTCTTTGTCGCACTAACCGCAAATGGAATGCTCTGCCCGCTCACGTGTTCTCCCTCCCTCTTACAACCTGGGATCCTTTAAGAGGCGTGAAGAAGCAACATGCAGTCCGGAGGGGAGGATGGCAGGTAGAACTGCTGTACCAGCTATCTTCGCGTCTGGACTTCACCGTCACTTAACATCAGGTGGGGTGGAGCCACTTGTCGGACCTATCTATGAAAAAAAACGCTGGGTTCCATGGCATCGCCTATTCAGAGGTCCCGGGTTTGAATCCCGGTGGGGGCAAATGTTAGAATGATGAATACGAGCGTACTTTAGTCATGGACGTTTATATATATTTCTAGATAAAATATAACCATATATGTATCAGTATATGTATATTATGTATTCTCTTTACGTTACCCTTACTTTGGGGCTAGACTAATTGGTGTCACTGTGGGAAATAAGTACTTGTTCGCATTCAAAATTCTGATATTCCTAAACAATCTAAAAGCTGTATTCTAATATGTATGTAGGAAGCATCCGTCAAGCATCGTGGAAACAGCGCTACTCGAATACACAAAGCATCGCGCAACGTAGCATGAAGAATTGGAATGCATAGTATTTAGCGCGTTCATTCTGCGATTCTGAAGATAGAGTAACTTTGCACCTGAATCATTTATTACGGCGAGGTTTGAGAGCAATTGTTGAGAAGCGGCGCTCGCAAAATCAAATACTTACAGGCTCAAACAGTGCCTCAACAAAACCTATACACAGACACTGACCGACGTCGCTGTCGTCCTCGATGGGGATGCAGATGCGGCGCAGGCAGGGCTTCTTGGCGGGGGGGTGCCGGGGCGGGGGCTCCCTATACAGACAGATCCCTACACAGACACTGACCGACGTCGCTGTCGTCCTCGATGGGGATGCAGATGCGGCGCAGGCAGGGCTTCTTGGCGGGGGGGTGCCGGGGCGGGGGCTCCCTATACAGACAGATCCCTACACAGACACTGACCGACGTCGCTGTCGTCCTCGATGGGGATGCAGATGCGGCGCGGGCAGGGCTTCTTGGCGGGGGGGTGCCGGGGCGGGGGCTCCCTATACAGACAGATCCCTACACAGACACTGACCGACGTCGCTGTCGTCCTCGATGGGGATGCAGATGCGGCGCGGGCAGGGCTTCTTGGCGGGGGGGTGCCGGGGCGGGGGCTCCCTATACAGACAGATCCCTACACAGACACTGACCGACGTCGCTGTCGTCCTCGATGGGGATGCAGATGCGGCGCGGGCAGGGCTTCTTGGCGGGGGGGTGCCGGGGCGGGGGCTCCCTATACAGACAGATCCCTACACAGACACTGACCGACGTCGCTGTCGTCCTCGATGGGGATGCAGATGCGGCGCGGGCAGGGCTTCTTGGCGGGGGGGTGCCGGGGCGGGGGCTCCCTATACAGACAGATCCCTACACAGACACTGACCGACGTCGCTGTCGTCCTCGATGGGGATGCAGATGCGGCGCGGGCAGGGCTTCTTGGCGGGGGGGTGCCGGGGCGGGGGCTCCCTATACAGACAGATCCCTACACAGACACTGACCGACGTCGCTGTCGTCCTCGATGGGGATGCAGATGCGGCGCGGGCAGGGCTTCTTGGCGGGGGGGTGCCGGGGCGGGGGCTCCCTATACAGACAGATCCCTACACAGACACTGACCGACGTCGCTGTCGTCCTCGATGGGGATGCAGATGCGGCGCGGGCAGGGCTTCTTGGCGGGGGGGTGCCGGGGCGGGGGCTCCCTATACAGACAGATCCCTACACAGACACTGACCGACGTCGCTGTCGTCCTCGATGGGGATGCAGATGCGGCGCGGGCAGGGCTTCTTGGCGGGGGGGTGCCGGGGCGGGGGCTCCCTATACAGACAGATCCCTACACAGACACTGACCGACGTCGCTGTCGTCCTCGATGGGGATGCAGATGCGGCGCGGGCAGGGCTTCTTGGCGGGGGGGTGGCGGGGCGGGGGCTCCCTCAGCTCGGGGTGCCTCCGCATGAGGCCGGCCCGCATGCCGGTCCGAACTGCCGCGCGGCACAACACCTGCAGCCGCGCCGGCGTCTGTTCCTCTATATAACCGACATAACACAAACATACTTATTTATTTATTAAGCCTTTTTTGGCGGAGCTCGATGGCGCAAGTGGTTACCGCGTTCGGCTGCGATCGTTGAAATTAAGCAACTTTCGCAGTGGTCAGTCATTGGATGGGTGACCAAAAATTTATTATCTCGAGGTCCTCCGTGTTTCGGAAGGCACGTTAAGCCGTTGGTCCCGGCTGCATCTGCAGTCGTTAGCACCCACCAATCCGCACTGGGCCCGCGTGGTGGGTCATGGCCCAATCTCCCTATTCCATCCATAGGAGAGGCCTGTGCCCCAGCAGTGAGGACATTAATAGGCTGGTGATGATGAAGCCTTTTTTGCCGCTATGTTCTTGAAAATCTCTAGATTCGACGTGACTTCTGGCATAGGCCAACAGCTCTTTATTAAACATAGTAATGTAATGATAAATCCGATGAGAATTTAAACACAGTTAGATTTCAGCCTTTTGTGTCATCTGCATATTGATGTTTTGTGATTGTAATGACACCTATGGTGACACCACGCTCCCAATAGGCGCTCGTCTGATAATACATTCTCCATGGATGTTAAACAGAAGGGGGGACAGAATGCAAGCCACGCCTTTCCCAGACCTGGAAGGCTCATATGTTATTTCAACCCTTACCCACATTATTCTGGTACAGCAATTGAACCAGAACAACTAGATGTTTAGGCACTCCAAGTGCTTCCAATATTTTCCACTCCACAGGGCCGTCCAAATAACACAGTCCAAGGCTCTGCTGCAGTCAATAAAGCACGTGGTGATAGGAGTATTGAATTAGTAGTACTTTTAAATGAATAAGAGGACATTGAGCTGTTTGCAAGTCTCTTTACAATTTACGAAGCCGGCCTTGCCAGTTCAGAAAATAACTGATTCTATTATTTTTTATTTGTTTATCTGTGTATTGTAAAGCTATTGGCAAAAGTAAAAACAGATTAAAGAATCCCGCTCATTTGAAATTACGGAGATATAAAATTGAAATGCTTTATTGTTAAATTATTTTAATTTTCATTAAATAGGGTATTTGACAAGTTTTAGAAAACGATCTCACGTGATTGACTAATGTTTATGGAGTCCGTAAAAAGTGGATATTCATCATTCTGTTGTGTATTTCAGTAAAAATAACCAAATCAAAAACTCCATTTTCAAGTTGCCGCGAAAACGTTTCTCTGGACAATATGGCGTCTTACTAGTATGTGACGTCACACGACTGTTATTAAAACGTCAAACGATACAATGTAATGTCACATTAACCGGAAGTTTACTTGCGTGCGTGAGACGTCATTTTAGGCTCCGCCAATCCCAAGCGTTTTGGGTCACGTGACAATAGATAAGAAAACTATTAACTTTTTCGTGGGTTTTTCGTAAAATTATGAACATTTTTTTTTTGTAAAAATAGTAAAAACCCCTGCCAATATTCATTCCAAACACAGATGCTAACATATAGCACTTTATTTTTAATACTGTCAAATACCCTATTCAATCAGTATCCAAAATTTCGATATTAATAAAGTCAAAATCGATATTGAAATGTAGCAGTTTTGCTCCGATATTTCGATATTCAAACCCTATCTGTTTGTAATGACTTACCTAACTTGAGTAGGTCCGCAGCCTCATCCTTGCTAGGCACCCTCAGCGAGGCGAACGATACGTTGAGCAAGCTGCGCGACACCCACTCCGCTTCACCCACGCGTCGCACTTGCAGCAGGTTGTCGTTCAACGGCATCACAAGCAAACCACCTACCTGCGAGCGTCACCATTCTTTCAGTACCATTCAAACTTTGTCGTGACTAAGAAATTAGCTCAAATCGCGACGCTGTGAAACCAGTACCCCTAGCACGAACCAATATCGAATTCGTATCGTTTGCGAGTCCGAAATGTCATTGTCAAATGTGAACTGATTTTTAGTTCCCGGTACTTTGTACCGCTGCTGTTCAAGTTTCCATACAAAATTTAAGAGAGAGAGAGAATCATTTTTATTGACCACATTAATAAATTTACAAAACAAAAAAAAATATGAAAATTTACAATAGAGAAAAGAAAAGAAAAAAATACACCATTTGTGGTCAGTCAGGACCCTGCCTCAGCGTAATGCTGCCGCAACACGCTACAAAACGTGTCACAGCAGCGCTGGTATTCTGGCAGGGCCTGTTATGCCGGAACTTCACATGGCCAATCGCATCTGCCTCGATAGCAGTCCCTTCCTCTTGACATTGACTTCTCAAACTTCTCAAATTTGACATTGACATTTCGGTTTGCAAACTATTCGAATTTGATAATGGTTCGTGCTAGAGGTACTGTTTATAATTGCGCTCGCTGCTGACTCACAACGAAATGAAATAAAATTAAACTTTATTCAAGTTGACATATAAAAATCTCAATTCAGTATATTTTTAGCTGACAAGAAGATCATGTGAAAGAAACTTCTCAACTTCAAAAAAGATATGTTTTTTGTTTTTTTTTTCTTTAGATTTAAAAAAGATGTCGTTACGATTACATCGTATTCTTTTTATGTTACAAATTTGTAATTTCTTTATTAAGAATATTTAATATTGCATTGTGAAATGAAACAACCGCTACTTTACAATCGTCATAACCAAAAAAAGCAGAAGTCTAATCTACATAGAAGCAAAACAAGGGCGGGTTATTAGTATGTAATAAAATTTTACAGCAGTCTTTCCTATTCATTACCTATAGCATGATAAAGATATACAAAATATGATATGTACATTTTATATACATATTATCATATCATAACAGTAGCATTAATTATTTTAGGTCCATATAAAACATTTATAAGTAGGCAAATAAAAAAAGAAACAATAAATTCCAAATAAGAAAAAAATATCGTTATTTCTAAAAAAAAACAAATAACAACTGATAAGTGAATATAATAGCTTATGATATGATAATAAGGAGTCATCGACTAATGTTTGGTATTGTACTGATTATACATATTATATTATATAACTTTTATATGGAGCAAGTGATAAAGCAATGACGACATTTAAATACATAACAAAAACCAATGCTAACTTTATTGTAAACCGTTACAAAAGGATCTTTTCATCCATCCTTTCCTTAAAGGATATACCAAATCCTTTCCCATACAACTCTGCTCAATTTTATACCTCAAGTATTATCATGCATTTATGTGTAGAAAAATAAGCCAAATTCATGGAAAATATAAATGGATTTTATTATCCATTTGTACCACATGAAAATGTCGTTCAAACATTTAAATTAATGGCAGCACAGATAATATTTTTTGATAAATGTGCATCTTTAAGTTAATTAAAATTATTTGTTTATTTGTTTCTTAGGTTTTCACGCACGTCACTCATTAAATTAAACATGTTACAATGGATATGATGTACTTATTGTATTTGTTTAGAACTTCTGTGTGTCCTTGAATATACCCAAGTCTGAAGAAATGTCAGGTTGAAAGACAAGAGATTGAGACAAGTTGCCATAGAGTGGGTTCAAAACACACTGGTATATTGGGAATGATAGACGAAGGAAAGCGAAAAAACTATTAAATAAACAAGGCGGAGATTTATGTTTCCAGAAGATATAAACATATATCATTGGCAGATATAAACTCTGAAAGTTGATGTAACATCTCTATTAGAGGATAATCTCTGTTCTGGATAATTTAAAAAATAATTTATCTGCTTCTGATGGACAGTGGCGGGTCCGTGCATTCCAACTGTAGAGTGTTGATAGCTGAGGACTTTTTAGCTCCCAAAATTATGCAGACACTTAGATTGCAACTTTTCTAGAGATTTTTAGTGATGATTTCAGGCAGGGTTCCAGTAAAAAAGATGCATAGTCTAAGTGGCTATGAACTAGCGTTATAAAGTAGCTTCTGACAGAAGGGATGAGCTCCCCACCAGGTTCCAGATAGAGACCTAAGAATGTTTATATTTTTTTGGCACATTTAACTACATGGGCGATGTAATGAAATCCTGTCATTTTTGAATCAAGGACCAATCCAAGGAACTTGGCCTGGTTTTTTAAGGGGATGGGTTGGCCTGCAAACTCAATAATAGTGTTTAGGGTGTTCCTAGAACGGGTTAAATATACAATATTACTCTTCTCAACTGAAAACGAAAGGCCATGGTTAGATAACCAGTCATGCAAATATGACAAAGCCATATTGAGGCGGGACTTAGCAGCTTCAGGGTTAAAATCCGTGATGTACAAACAAATATCGTCTGCGTATTATAGGACGTTACAGAATTGAGAGAAAGCTCTAGAATTGTAAATCGTATATAGATTGTACGGACGAGGGCTTAGGACTAGGACAATTCCCGGAGGAAGCCCCCGTGGTGATCACTTCCATCGGTAACAGGGAGGATAGTCTATGTAATGAGTGATGCCATGGAGGGTGAACATAGAGTCAAATCCACTGCACATCTAACAGTGTCAGCAAATGACCTCCTGATCGACCTGATGAAGCTACTAGCAAACTCGCTGGCTTGTAGCTTGTAAACTCGCCCTGTGTCAACGAGGCTAAGATAACATTGCTTTATGAAAGCAGTATTGAATGTGGGAAATGTCAACATGCCATATAATTTTATAATGAAAAAGAAGAAGCATATGTTAGTTGACTTGTAAATGAAAGAGTTACTCTAACGCAGCCAATGCCGAAAAGTGGCTGCCTCCTTAGTTAACACCAAGACACAACACAGTACAGTACAAGTTGCTGGTTAAAAGAAACCTACTTTTTTGTAACGCTGTCTAGGTGTGCGCACCACTTTGTGTCTCAGTGTTAACTGACCTTTATTCTCAAAGAATGAAAATTACTTTCTATTATGTCCCTGCACTACGTAACGCGAGGCTACAGAAAACATACGAAATGTGTATCTTTTTAGGACTTTTACGGACGGACGCGTATCGCGGCGCGTCATGGTCAAAACTGATTAAATTCTATATTCCTACTACGAAGCAAAACTAGATGTTTAACTTTTAATTAACTTTCAATCAGACGAAAGTTCAAAATTGGATTTATTCTCTTATCATTACGTCATGGCTGCTCTCATTTGTAGAGGTGAAACAATTTTATGGTAAAGGCAGAAAATGACATGTACCTTGTCTAATATTTGTACCTTAATGAGTTGTTTAAAGTAGTTCTGATACTCTTCAGGGCAGCCAGCTCCGCAGTACACGCGGTCGTAGGGCGCCTGCAGTGGCGCGAGGCACAAGCCATTACCTGGTGATTATTCTCAAAGTTATACTTTCACTCATGTAATACTCCTGGAAAAAACATCTAGGTGACGATTTATGCAAATTATGTAAAACACAAAGGTTACATGTTAACATTAGCACCTCACTGATTAAACTTTTGACAACATAAACCGCAGATTACAGAACAAAAGGCAGAGAACACACAATGCGTGGCACCATAGCAAATACGAAATAAAAAGAGACTATAAATTTTCATCCATACACCACAACGCATTGTGTTGTGAATACGACCCATGAATATTAGGTTTTAAATAAAACTGTGCCACCTTATTCAAACATCGTAAAAACTGTTCACAAAGACAAATAAATTCAATTACTTTTTACTACATATTTGCTTTGGGGGCACGCATTGCATGTACCATGCACTCCATCTTCTGCTTTTGATCGGTAATCTGAGACATAAACATTCACACATTGTATTAATACTAGAAAGGTGCACAATGACACATTTCACAAAATAAACTGTGTTTATATATTGTAATAATTTAAGAGAGCAATGAAATAGCTAAGCATTAATGTTCCAGAAACAATAAAATACAATTTCGTCTTGTCAGTACTCAATCAATTAAAATGTTGTTTGTATTTTAGTCAATGTTGAATACTATTTTTAAATTCACTGTCTCCTTTGCCAAAATGTAAAATTATATGGTTTCCAAGGGAATTACCAGAATTAAATGAAAAAAATATGTACCTATATTAAACACTGCTACAGTGTATTTTTTGAATCTTAACATAATAATTGAGAACATAGAAAATATGCAAGATGGCATATTTTTGACAAAGATGGTTAATAACATAAAAATAAAAATGTTACCTGTATGAATACTCACCATAATAGAACTTTGGTTCACAAAAATCAAACTCATCCAAAGTAGGTGAGTTTTCTAAGAACTGACACATCTTTTTGTTGGCATATTCCACAACAATCGGATGAGCTTCTACACCATGGCTGATTCCTCCAGAGCCTAATATGAGTCCAACAAGAGTGCTGAGGTAGCCAGTACCTGATCCAATATTGAGGAATGAGAGCCCTGGTCTCAACTCCAGCCCCTCCATAACTTCACTATAATGAAAATGAAATGGCAATGTTTTAAATAGTAATAAACAGCAATTATTAATTAACATTTATGTGCAAATTGATTATTAAGATACTACATTATCAAAAAACCTGTCGGAAAAAAGTACCTGATCTGAAGATTCTGTCAACAAACTCTGCTGTGACAAAAGATCAGAATCAAACTTAAAAGAGGTGTACTCTTTTTTATAATCTCTCAATAACTTAATTGTTGCATTAAAGGAAAACAGGGTCGATAGAATGAAAGGATTAAATGGCGGTTCCTTAAATAAAAATAAATGATTCACATTAATACCTGTAAATACAAGGAGCTGACATGTGAAGGGGTCCATTCCGCCAGGCCAAATCTTTGTACGCTTGGTCCCGTGCCTCTGGCGTCATGTAGTCGGCACGGTCTAAAGCTCTGAACACTCTCTCGACGCATCGTGTACGTATATAGTTTCCACCCATTAAATTATCTATCAGCTCGTCATTGTCGCGGCCCGAGCTCACTGCGCCCCCCATTTTGTTTGTTTTTGCTGTCCAAAGTTGATTTGATACCTATTTGTTTAAGCACCTCAGCTGATTGAACTTGTGACGTCACACCTGTTTTTCAACATATTTTTGGACAGATTTTCAACTGTGATCTCATGACACTCCTATAAACTTAATAATTTTAAATTTATAACAATTTTGATAGTCGAATCAAGTTTAAATACAAAGCAAACTTTACACAGACACAAATATTACAGACTATTTCCAATGAATTTCTTTGAAAATCAAACAAAATCTTCTCTCGCCCTCTTGCTTGCTTGTCCACAGATGTGCTTTTCTTTTTGTATAGTCATGTGTAATATATATGTCATTTGCAAACGATCTATGAACTAGTCCCACAGAGGACCCGTACGAACTAGTTCCCTTGTCTGTTTTCTTCCATTAATGAATACATAATCAGATTGAATGATTCAACAAACATTACATGCCTTGTATAATAACACGTTAAGAATGTTGATTTAAAATTCAGTAATATCTTAGTCTACAGTGCTAAATTCAAATTAGGCAAACTAATTTTGAACACGAATCTATCGAACATAAATCAAAATTTTACAGCAGTCTACATATCATTCATTTAATAAAAAAATGTGTGCGTGTACTAGTGTACACACGTAAGAAGTGAAACTTCTTTATGGCCTTATTTTTCGAAAAATGATCTACATGCAACTTTCCAGAAATTGGTTAAATAAAGTTAAATTAGATAAAGTTTAAACAAAAGGATTTTATTATCATAGACATGAATACAAATTACTGTCTATGAAACTGTTATGATTACACGGCTCAGTAATCTAAGGCACATGTTCCACCTCCGACGATGAACGATAAGCGAGTAGAAACGGCAGTCCTGAGTTAAAATGCACGCGCACGGCTTTTGACAGCCAAGCCAGCTTAACCGAGCGAGTATAGCTGAGCGAGTATCGCTGAGCGAGAATCGCTGGGCGAGTATCGCTGAGCGAGTATCGCTGAGCGAGTATCGCTATGCGAGTTTGGCTGAGCGAGTCTTATCTTTAATAACTATTGTCACTCAGCTACAAACGAGTAAAGAGAGTTCTCGCCGGCGACAGTGTGATCATTCAGCTATCAACTATTAATATAAAAAAAGATGGCGCGTAACGGAAAAATGTGACGCGTTACCGAAAAATGTGACGGTAAATTTTTTTCCAACGCCGATAAAGAAGTTTCACTTCAAAAAGTATCCGCTTGTAAAACAGAAAAGGTCGCATGAAAATGATGGTCTTTCTTGGTTGATTTTGGACCTGACGAACTGAGAAACCACGAGTAAAACTAATTCGCTGAGGAACTGCAAACAAACGATTACGACAGGGGTGCTCAAAAGGTCGATCGCGAGTGCTTTTGGTGTAGATCGTAGATCTTGAGAAGTTTTTTTTTAATAAGTAGGTACTTAACTAAACTACAAAAAATTATTACGTCATAAAATAACACTCTGCTAGCGGCAAAAGGCGGCTTTATAAAAGGAACGCGCGGTACTTGTCAAAGAAAAGCCGCGTTTTTTATTCTTGCCGCTTTTCTAGAAATTTCGGGCGGCGCGTTTTACGGAAACATTTGAGACTTTCGTTCACGCCGATATAAATATTGCGCCTGCAGGATTTGGAGTCATTCTTAATTGTAACTTGAAGGAAATACTACGTCGATACAATGATTATTATTATATAGTACAAAATGAGTGCAGCGAAGAAATCTAAAACGTATCATTTTAATAACTATTGGGAGGAAGAATTTTTCTTTTGTATGGTGAAGGATAAGTGCATTTGTCTTATTTGTCGTACGTCAGTTGCAATACCTAAGCGTGGAACACCCGAAGGAACATCTTTATACTCGTACGCAGATTGATAACCTGACAATGTCACAGCCTGACAACGATTCCAGCGAACAAATCGCCGTGGAAACCGAGCTGCCAAAGTTTAGTTATGATCTTGGTTATGAGGGTGTTGTGACAGATTTTATCGAAACATTTGGCGAAGTCGGTATAAACAGCATCCACCTGAATAGTGCTGTCCATGTATCCAATAACATCTCGGCAAAGCTGAGGAGGTTACTATCAATGCCACACTTCCTACAATTATAATACAAAATAAACAAAATATTTTATTACTATAATGGTGTCGATTCTGGCGTGATTCTCTAAACTTAAAACTAAATTTATCATCAATCTCTCCTTTTCATTCTGTATAGAGAATGACAAAGATACGCTGTTGTCAAATTTACGTTTAGGTTTAGAGAATCGTGTCAGAATTGACACCGATACCTATAATACGGAGTCGATTCTGGCACGATTCTCTAAATTTAAAGCTAAATTTAATATCAGTCTCTTCTTTTCATTTTGTATAGATAATGACAAGGATACACTATTGTCAAATTTAGGTTTAGGTTTGGAGAATCATGCCAGAATTGACACCTTTGTCGGAATAAAATTTTACTTAGTCTTTTGCCTTTCATTCTGTTTCTTTGTTGGTTGTCTATTTGAGCAGCCTTTTATAATAACTTTTTAGGTCTTTCTAATAAGATTTATTTGAATCAATTTATAAAAAAAAACATTGTTAAGGTTTCTGAGTTAAGGTGGAAATTATTTGAAAAAGTATTTGCAAAAAAAATATAATCATAATCATTTTCTGATATCGCTAGTAAAGTTTCTTAGGTAACTCAAAATTCACGGTGTATAATATAAACAGGACACCACTGTTACCAATAAAACGGACTTAGTGGGAGATAGAGAACGGGGGCCTTTTATCCCTTTCTAATAGTATGACCCTTACAGGAGAAGTCATGCAGATAGGGGTAGATAAAAGATACCGTCATTAAACTTATGCACATGGAAGGCATATATTTTGTTGATTTTTTAATTTTTGGGAAATATTACTGGCATTGTGCTCTATAAATTCAATAGATCCCGCTTCTGGTATGTACGTGATACATTTCATTGACACTCGGTTTGCTCATCTCCTTTTCTTTGGTTTTATTGACATTAAGAGTCACCTTAACTTTTTTCGATTTGATATTTTTATATCGATATATCAAATAAAAAGCAGCTTTGTCAAAACATCGATTCACTTGATATATCGTATGGTAACGAATTAATTCGATATATCGATATTAAATGAATATCCCTATTTCTATCATTCTTGTTGAAAAATGACAAACAGACTGTGAAACAGACCACGGGATTGAAATTGAATTGGCGATGTGAATTATTATTTTGTTGAATTTTTGTGTGAACAGGCTAGTTAATCATAAAAATTGTTAAGTTTAAAGGTAATTGTGCTAGTTTATTGTCATTAAGCATTGAAAGTTACTAAATTAAAAGATCCATTCAGCTTTAAATGTCGTGGCTAAGTATGAGACGTCACCCTAGATTTGTGATTGCGATTGCTGAGATGTATGTACGATGTTAAGTAATTGACGTTACTAAGATAGTGAGAGTGCATTTTATTCGCTAGAGTAATGGCAGAAACGAGCGAAGCACAGGCGAGCGCTTCAGCGTCAGCCCCAGGCGGCGACGCGGGGGGCGAAGATGACAAACATGATGAACGTATGCTGGAATGCAACATTTGCTTGGACACGGCTCGAGATGCTGTTGTCAGTATGTGCGGACACCTTTTCTGGTAAGTGATAACAAGGATTAGCCTACAATAGTTCCAAAGAAATAAAAGCACTAAAAATGTGAATGAAAATCTAGGTCAATGTTTGGGTATTTTGAAGTAGCATAGCTAGGGATTATTTTAAGCTTAATAAATATTTTCTTTTGGTTATTTATTTGCTACAAAGTTGAAAAAAGGCTACAGTATTAAGTTCAAAAAGCAATTCATTATGGAATTTTAATGACGGCTGACCTTATGTCAAGGTCTGCTTTAAAAAATCATTAACCTTATGTAAATTTTTCCAGTTTGTGTCTTTATGTTTACAAGACTTCATAATTGTGCTTGAAATATTATGGATTTTATTTTATAACTGATAAATTCCTTTTTAGCCCAACCTTGATTAATAATGAATAATGTTTAGTTTTGTCCGAATTGCATCAGCCATCCACATTTAAACTTAAGTGTAATATATATATCACTTTTTGAAATAAATATGCATGTTAAAATGTGAATCTGACAACCTGAAGGCAACACAAAGTTGTAAAAGATTTGACTGCCTAACATAAAGTAGGTATCTAATCCAATCACTTTATATATCTTGCAATAAGGTTTACAGTTATCGGTGTGTTCTATTTCAGCAATGAATGTAATATATGTTTCCCAACCACACTTTGTACCACAGATATGCATTGGTTTGAAATTTATAGGTCCGTGTATTGCTGTCTTTTATTTGGAATAAAGCAAAGATGAATAGGTCTAATTGGAATTTAACATAAATGACTTTTGTTTCTACAAATTTATGTTACAATTAGATTATCAATTTTGCTATCATTATTTCTAATTGAACTCAGTGACAGTTTCTAAGTTGTTATTGTAACTTATTTTATCTACACCCATGCTTTTTAACCTCTATATAAATGATTCTGAAACAGTTACCTTATTGTCAATATTAAAACATCCACTGTTCTAATAAAAGAAAAATAATATCATCCAAACTGGTGTTACAATGTTGTACTAAATTTCATAATAACCCTTATATATTGATACCTCAATGAAATTATATTAAAATACTAAATATGCTGAGAACTCAGTGTATTATACCTCCCCAATTCAAAAATTAAACTTTAAACAGGAGCCCACATTAGAGAAAAGAAAGTGGACATTGTCTTCAGCTGCCTTAATAAAATAATGCAGTTATAATAATCAAATTAATTTGATTAAATTACAAAATTAATTTTATTTAATGGTATTGTATTGACTAATAATGTGTATGGATTAAATTGTGAATAAGTCCCTGCTTTTTATTCTGTTTATATGACAAAATGGCCAATAAACGCTTCCTTTCTTAATAAATATATTAATAACCTTCTCATAAATACATTTTTATTTCTATTTAGCTGGCCATGCCTGCATCAGTGGTTGGAAACGCGGCCTAGCAGACAAGTTTGTCCGGTCTGCAAGGCTGCTATCAGTAGGGATAAAGTCATCCCACTCTATGGTAGAGGCAATACCAAGCAAGAAGATCCTAGAAATAAGGTTTGAAATTATCCATTGAGATAACCCTGATAAGTCAAACATGTAATTTATTTATATGGTTCTAATAATATTATTGTTTACTAATAACATGTCAATGTTACAGGTACCACCACGACCAGCAGGACAGCGTACAGAACCTGACAACAATAGTGGGTTTCCTGGCTTCGGTTTTGGTGAAGGCTTCCATATGTCCTTTGGCATTGGTGCATTCCCTTTTGGTGTCTTCACTTCTACATTTAACTTCGGTGATCCCAGACCAAGCGCAGGTATGTTTAGGTAATCCAAACTGAAGCGTGCATTCTTCATGTTATTAAATAAAATTAAGAAATCCTTATGTAATATTAAAGCTATTTTCTACATGCAAAGTATATATGTTTGTTTGAGTGGAATCTTGCAACTCAATTATGAAGCTGGTGTCTTCATTCAGTTCAGCTGAAATTTTGTACATACTTTTAGTTTGGATGACAATGCATAATGAGCTGTGTGACGTTATTCTAAATCAAATATGACGGGCTAAGTTTGTTATCAATATGGATATCAAATGAAAAGGTTTGCTGAGAATAACTTGAAAAATAAAGTGTTGTCACCTTAAATCCAATTTTGCAAACTTAAAAATATGGCAGACCAAGTTTTTTATGCTTTCCTACAATACGGGTATCAAATGTAAAAACTATCTGAGAATATGGGGGCTTTGAAGTTCTCGATTATGTCCATTGTAAGGTAAAAAAAAATAAAAACAAAAAGTTTTCATTTAAATGCTCTAAATGGAATAAAATTATTTACTTTTAAAACTTTTACTGAGACGTTAAAACGTCATGTCATCACACAATTTATATAATATAAAAGCTGATATTATCAGATAAAAAAATTATAAAAAAAAATGGGTGCGTGTACTTATGTAGGCGCGTGAGAAGTTATCCTTCTTTGGCATCGTTTAAAATTAGTTTTTAATTGCATGCAAATAATTAATTACAATAAATTAATAAAAAGTCTGGAAAAGGACACAGTCAATAAAGTTCAGTTTTAATTTGAAAAAATAAATAAATAATCAAAATATTCAATTAAAATCGCTACTGAATATAATTTATTAGAACATATGTGATTTGCACTTGTATGAAACTCAAACACGTATTCCGAATATACAAACTAGAAACATGTGGATAAATATTATAAATATGAATACCTATAACTGTTACTTTATTACAAAAAAATAAAGATGTGGTTTTTGGTTCTACTACACCAATGGTCAAGAGATGGCACTGTAGTCTCCTGAATCGCGCTTTGGTTCCGTTGTTCCAGATTAATAAATACTTTTTGTTACTTTATTACAAAAAATAAAGATGTGGTTTTTGGTTCTACTACACCAATGGTCAAGAGATGGCGCTGTAGTCTCCTGAATCGCGCTTTGGTTCCGTTGTTCCAGATTAATAAATACTTTTGATAGGCCTTCACAATGCAGTCGTTAGCACCCACAAAATAGAGATTCTATTTCTATTTTGTTGGTAGATTTTCTTAATGTGCGTTAAACACAAAAGTAACAGCATGAAGTTGGTCGCTAAAGCGACCAACTTCATGCTGTTAATCTTTTGTGTTACAGTGATGCGCGCGCATCTTAAAATTTCACTCTCATCATTTTTTCATAACGCGCCTAAAGAAGTATAACTTCAAAAATTAAATCAATCCTATCAAGTTATGTTCTTCTTCTTCTTGTTGCTACGGGCGTTTCCGCAACTCGACGTCCTTATGGCGCCTGTTTTGCGTGAGGAGGGTGTATAGCCGGAATCACTCCAGCCAGCCCAGCTCCGCCAGGAACGCCCCCAGGGCTTTCACATTGGTGACCTGCCTCTTGAAGGTTTCCCGGTGAGCCGAGGTATTTCACTCGGTATTCGGCCACTCCGTTGCATTCCAGCAGAACGTGAGTGGCTGTTTCTTCTGCCTCCATGCATCCTCTGCATAGGGGGCTGTCCGTGACACCTAATTTAAAAAGATGTCTGTTAAAATGTGCATGTCCAGTAATAGCACCTGTTACCATGCGCAGTGTAGGTTTGCTTAGCTGTAGGAGAGTTTTGGAGAAGGCAGCGTTCATCCGTGGCAAAGCGAGCTTCGTCTGCCTGCACGTGTCCAGATCAAGTCAGTGTTGCTGGTGTAGTGCGGCTGTGTGCTCGCGGATTTTATTGATTAGACAGCTTACCGGTACCGGGATGATTGGTTCGGGACCTGTCGAGCCCCGAGTGGTGCTGAGGGGTCGGACGTCGGCGGAGTGTCGACGTACTTCCCCTTGGCGTCCCTGAACTTCAGGTCCACCGACCCAAACATAAAGTTAGTCGGCGTCCCCTAGTCAGGATCGCAGGCACAACGTCCTCAGGGATCGAAACCACAACGAATGTGGCCCCGATAGTAGGCTGCTGTTGGATGCCGTTAATCAGCCAACGTTCGGGTTTCAGCTCCGGATTCCCGATCTGTAGGCTTTTGCCTAGCAACGCCCGATCGTGCTTCCAGAGCTTGGGCAGCACAAAACCACACCTGAGTCTCTTGGGGACCTCGTCGTCCTTTTTTTTCTGTGTTGACACAATAAGTATAAAATTTCGACTATGTCAATGCACAAGGAACACTTTATTCGATCCTTAATCAAATCTCGCAACCAGCGTAGGGACATCATGCCGCTTTAATCGGTTGTGTGACACACTTTCTGCACCCTGTAGTTTAGAGGCCAGTTCATTGACGTGAGTTGATATTCGAGTTTGATAGGATTTACTATGTTTAGCAATCTCCTGTTTGACTGTATTGATGTTTAGGTCCTCATGAATATATTTGTTGCTCACGTTGTATGGTATGTTTAACATGGCTCTCAAGGTTTTGCTCTGGAATCTTTCTAGAATCTCGATATTGCTATTACTAGCGGTCCCCCACAGTTGAATACCATATGTCCATATTGGTTTCAGGATGGTCTTATATATTGCAATCTTGCTTTCGTGATGATCTTTCTCGTCGTCCTGGAGGACAACAAGCTCTCACAGCTCCGAGTCGTGGAGGTCTCGTACCACTTGTTGAACCCAACCAAACGTTGCGGTGTTGGTGCACGAAAAGCGAAGGCACTCGTTCATTCTCCCTCATACAGGCCGGACGTTCCGTGCTCATCGCTGCCTGTAAAAAGGCTTCCTCGAGCTTCTCCTCAATCTGCTCCGCCGTCGGCCTCGAGATAAACCCGGTCATCGACGTGACGGCGCATCTGATGAGAACCGAGGAATCCGGTGCCGTCGCGTAGGATTTCGGGGTGGTCCCGGTCGCCGTCGTCTTAGGCCGTTTGGATTCGCCTGGAGGAGATACTGTCTCATCGAGCCTAGCCCGCTTGGCCCTAGACGTCGTCTTCGCGGGTCCTTTCCCCTTCGGCTTTGGGCGGTCTAGCTTCCGACTCGGGTTGTCACCTGGGGTTGCTTGAGCAGATGGATGCCTTTCGCTCCCCCTGGCGTCCCAGAGTCCTTGTCTTCCAACTGGACAATACGGTCACTAGAAGAGGCCGTCGCACGGGAGACCCGTTTGAGCTGCCGTCTTTTTCGCGTCCGCTCCCTCTGCCTCTCCTAACGCTTGGAGGTCTGACCGGATGGCGCGTGGGTCCGAGTTTAATCCACCTTCCTCGCTCCTTTCCTAGCCACGACCGTCCAGTTCTGCTCTAGCAGTTGTATGGTGTCCTCAATCTGCGGTGTAGTGGAGCTTTTCTCAAGCAGGCATTCCGATTTCTCGGTTTGCGAGCGAGTAGCTGTGCCCTCTGGTTTCCCATCGGGTGTTGGCGGAACGTTGAACCTGTTAGTGTCCATTGTTCGTGGTGTTAAAATTCATCCAGTCAGCTTCCCACCCTCCTTGGAGCCCGCGCATTTGGGAGTGCCCATAGTGGTGCACTAGGAATACCGACTGAATATAGGAGCAGAAAGTTGGTGTCAGGTGCGACATCGGAGACTCGGAAGTGTGTGGCTGGGTTACCGGTTCAGAGTACCCAAGTTGTTCCACACACACTTGCCTCGTCAGCATGACCCTAACGATCCAGAGTGGCAAGCCGCCCTGGACCCCCCCCCCCCCCCCCCCCCACTCCTTGCTGCGGCCCTCTGACGGGACGCGTGACCGTTTCCCGTCTGGCGTTACCCAAAGGGGCTGCCGTTTCGGTTGAAATCCGGATCAAAGAGGGCGTGTTGTGACGCGAAGGTACCACCGCCGACCTCGCTTCATTCAACCCTCCAGGACTCCCTCATCCCCCCTTACGGCGCTCAACTGCGCAGGCCTTAGCGCAGGAGGGGCTAGTAGTCTCCCATTTTCTCGGTAGAGCCGAAGGCCTTTGTTAGGGTCGGCATTGACAGAATTCAGGATGAGGGAGGATTAAACGATTATTTGGAGTTGGAAAGAAGGGAATACGGGTCACAGGAAGTGTCTCCCATGATGTTGGAGTGCATGAATGGGATAGCATCACTAAATTCAGCTACGAGGATTCCAGGGTAGATGTTAGTGTACGTTGCCTGTTAGCAGATCCAAGTATTACCGGGGTGAACGACGTAGACGTAAGAGTGACACGTGACGGTAGACGTGAATTGCCCAACAACGTACACTTGGGCTCACATCAGCCGCCCCTCCCTTTGGTCTCGAAGTGGAATTGAAATTAGGTACCCCGTCAAAGTGAAGAAACTAGCGATCAAAATTTTCCCTGCGTTCCTCGATCGCTTCGCTTTCGTAGGCGTTGGTTCATTTTGAAACAGCCAAACTGTCGACTGACGCTTTGTTTCAAAATAACATTTAAAATTGCACTATAAAAGATTCACTCATAAAAATCTCTAGCAAAACCAATAAAAAATTATAAAAAAAAAGTAGGAGGGCCAAAGGAGAAGATCTTCCTCCGAGCTGGGTGATATTAGCTCGGGGGCCGCGGCCCAACTGATGTTGGTCGAGCATCGTATATATGGAGTGTTTGGCTCCGAATTTCTCTTGCGCGATTTAGGCTTCCATACGTTGTAAACGCAGCGCCGGTAGCGCCATCTCTTAAGGAGGCGAGTGACTATTTCCTCTATGTTCATTATATGTGGGGCATGTAGATGTCGCCGCCACAGGATCATATTGATAAATCCAGGACTCTTCACCTGTCACAATATCGTAAACGCGCGTTATCAAGTTATGTTTATCTACTGGTTAATCTCGCGACTAGCTTTTATATTATATAAATTGTGTAATGACGTTATAAGTTCATAGTAAAAGTTTTAAACAGTTTTTTTTTGTTATTCATTTGAGCGCATTTAAATAAAAGATAGTTTTTAAAAAGTTTTTTTTAACTTGCTGAAAACCTTAGAATAAATATATATTTATGAGTTTCAAGAATAAAGAACTAAGTAAAGAAGAACTAGTAAACTTTTCTTTAGATTTAAACATCTAGCAGTTAAATGCTTAAAAATAAATAAAAACATAAATAAAGAACTCTGTTATGATTAATAATAAACTGGTTTTCGTACTCAAAATTTGTTACATATAATTTATTAACTCATTTTTTGCGGTAACACTCTTTAACAAACGTAATCACATCTTCATTTTTTATGTTGAATTTCAGCGCCCCGCGGCACTGCACAGTATGAGGAGGAGCAATTCCTTTCGAAGATATTCCTGTGGGTGGCAATATTGTTTGTGCTGTGGCTGATTTTCGCCTGACCCACCGACGGCGCGGAGGGGGGGCGCGTCTACACACTGAAAGCACCCTACGATGCACAGCTGCTGCTACAATATGACCCAGGCTTCTAGACTCCGAACACAAGTGCGAAACGACGCAAAAACATTCCCCGATTCGGAGACATCGCAAGACTACGCGCCGTTAACGCGTGACCGTTTACAAAATTCTTGCGATGCGTCGCATAATGTATGATTGTGAGACTTTAAAAACTAGTGCGGTCGAAAACACGCGCCTCTGAAAAAGTTTAGCTACAAGATCAGAAGTGTGCTAGTGAATGCCCGTGTAAAATCAAAAAAGTTTGTTTTACTATGTGTTGATATTGCTGGCAATCACAAAAGGCTGAATCGCTTGGGCAACTTCTAAGGATATTGTGATGTCGGTATTACGTTATTTGAATTATCATATTATGTCGTTCCAACCGAGAGAGGTGAGTACATCAAAGTGTGCTTTACGTAAGCCTCTGTGCTAATTAGATTTGCTATATGTATTAGGTAGCTTGTGCACGTGTGAGCAGCCTTCGTGGGCGCTTAAGCTAATTTCTTCATAAATTTAAGGCGTTTATTAGAAACTAAATATCAGCGCGTCCACGCCTGTATGACTCGAAGCCTTGTTTAAATCATTGTTCTGCTTTTAAAATTAATAAGACTGTAAATATAAGAGGTTCATATTATTTTTAGTGTTTCCTACCTCAAAAGGAAAAAACGAAGCCCTTATAGGATCACTTTGTTGTCCGTCAAGACCCTTTCCTCGGGGACCCTTGACAGTGTCGAGTTTAAATGTAAACCTTACACAGATTCAGATCTCCGGTCTTTTGACGCTGTAAAAATCGAACATCTAAGTTGAAGTAAAAAATATGATTATACCTATCTGTCTGTTGAGACCATTTATCTCGGGAACCATATACTCAAGTTTACGCCCACGGTACCTTGAATCTGTGAAAAATAAAAAATGTGTGCGTGTACTACTGTACACACGTAAGAAGTGAAACTTCTTTATGGCCTTATTTTTTTCGAAAAATGATCTACATGCAACTTTCCAGAAATATATATATAGGCGTGCGCTAAGATTTTTCAAAAACTCACCCACTAAAGGGGTATAACTTCACCTTACCTTACCTTACTTTACCTTACCTTACCTTACCTTACCTTACCTTACCTTACCTTACCTTACCTTACCTTACCTTACCTTACCTTGTGTGAAACACGAATATTTGCTGTCGATACTTTTTTTTTTAAAGTTGACAGAAGAAGCAATTGTTCGGATGAGGTAAATAGTGCTCTTTTAAAAAAAAGATGGCGCGTAACCAAAAAACGTGACACGTAACCGAAAAAAATGTGACGGTAAATTTTTTTCCAACGAAAGATGGTAATTTTTTTTCTTTTTTTCCAAAAAAGAAGTTTCACTTCAAAAATTTTTCTTAAAAGGTACGGCGGTTTATGTTGCGTACCTACAAATTAGTACGGAACCCTCGGTTTGTATGCCTGACTTGCACTTTCCTGGTTATTTTTAATTCACGACCGATGAACCTTTAAGACCAAAAGGCATTTCTTTTTTAATTTTCACCCGTCCGTGTCTATCGTAAATTAGACTGAAGACCAAGAACAATAATCCTATTTATTATTATAATTGTGAAAGTTTATGTTTGTTACTCAATCACGCAAAAACAACTAAACGGATTTGGATGAAATTTGGTAGGTATTGTGTTTATGACTTGGATTGAGACATAAGACACCTTTCTTTCCAAGACAAAAGGCAGGTTCTCGTGGGTATTGAGCATCTTAGCACATGTAAGGATTCATTTCGTAATAAAACTTAAATTTGTATAGCATTGAGAATAGCCAGTTTAACTGCCACTTTGTAACTGCTGCGCAAATAGATGCATTTTCACTGAGAATGATCTCGTCTATGGGTGGTTCATCCAAACCAACTCAAAACTTTGGTGTTAATATTAACTAGGTAACTTATTTTTCTGACAGAAAGCTGAGATTCATCAAGCGACGTAGTCGTAGGCATTTATTGTGTACGGGAAGCGCCCGGGTGGTCTAGAATAGCGAGATCGCGTGTATATAATTGTTTAATTTTACAAATCACATGGTGAAAAGATATTTTGTGAAATGTATGCTGTTTAAAATAAATATTCTTGGCCATCATAAGTCAACAATGCCAAAAACAAGAATGGGATTCTATATGGATATTATAGCTGTAGAGCTTCCCTCTGCTGAAGAAAGCTGGAAATGTTGCTGGAAATTTGACAGCTTCTTAAAGTATCGCATCGTCAGTTTCTATGGAAACTATGCAGCGCCCCTATCGGACGTAAGAGCAAATTAGCTTTTTCCATACTTTTGACGATTTACTTATACTTTACGGAGCTGTCAAATACTCGTGCTTGGGCCTCTGAAGAAGATAAGTGCAGCTACGATTAAAGGAAACGTTTAGCTGTGGAGAGTCGAGCTCAATCTTTCCTACGTCTCCAGAGTATCATGCTGGACAAATATTGGCAGAATAAGCAAAAATCATTATTGATTCATCATCATTATACAGGGTGTAAAAAACCTATAACGAAGTCGAAAGCCACGTATTTCCCACATCATGACGATAATTTTTTTCTTCTTTACCATATCTGGGAAATTTACAGAATGCGTAGTTTAAGTCTTTTCGTTAAGAATCGATTTGCATATGCATACCGGGCCATAAGGGGCCCGGTATGAGAAAAATGTGAGGAGTAAAATCTATCGATGAATGGACCTCGTTACGTTTTTTACACCCAAGATATATTTGTAAATATTTTGAACATGATTTTTATGAAAATACGTATAGTTTCCACTTAAATGTACCGTCTCTAATCTGTTGCATTAACATAAAATAGTAAAATATTACATACATGCAAACGCGTGGTGCCATAAAAACTGATTATTTGAAAAAATTACCCAGTAAATAGCAGCCAGGCTACACAAAAAATTAATCTATTCCAGATGAAGAAATCATAAATTAAGCAATGTTTTTTAGATGTTGCATACAAATGTCGCCATTTTAGACCACTGAATTACACCGTCAATAATATAATTATCAGATGAAAATTTCAGATACTTATTTCATAACATGTTCCTTGGCTTGTATATGAGAAACTGTGTTTTTTTTGCTTTGCGTCTTTTGCTATTCCTGTAGCTGTGTTTTGGACAAGATAAGAACAACATTATATGGCATATACCAAAATGGACTCAATTGACGATCCCTTATTACAGATAGCGGCACGTTACTCTAGCGCTGAACAAAACGCTGAGGGGATAGCTGCGTATACGTACGACTGAAGAGCCAATCGGCGCACCTCGTTTCCCCCTCAAGACATCTTAATTTTTACTTCTGCGCAATAACGGTCAGCGCTAGAGTTTCGTGCCGCGACCAACGATATTAAATACCCTAGATACACCAACACGAACAAAATCGTGCCCGAAACCTATCCAAAAGGTACATTGAACGATCCACGGAGCTCCGCAAGATGGTCGCGTAGTCAAAATCTATATAAGGCATTATTTAAATATTGAAAGTAACCTTTAATACATACTGTATAAGGTCTTTAATAAAACGCATGCTTCAATGACTTTTGACAGTTCGAAATGCAAGCTCGTAAAATTTTAAGACTTATTGCTATATGCGGAAAAATTTAGACCTTAGTTCTTTGACTCTACGCGCATTCTGAACGCGCTGTTAGCAATATAGCAGGCACGGACCGCGAGGAAAAGAGACGGCTATATGGCGACGTATAACCGATCATGCATTTGAATATCACAAATATTTTATATTAAATCAGTTTATAGTAAATATTACATCAAAATTTACTTCAAATGTGTTAAATTAACAAACATTCTCTAGACACCTGTCGAAAAAACGACACTTTTAGTACTCTAAGTATATTTTTCGCGGAGCTCTGTGGCATCATGACTTTGTTACGGTCCGCGCATGACTATGAACCGAGAAGTGCTTCAGTGGAGTTCAAGCACTTATTGATTGGGACACATTTTGAGCGCTCGTGGTGTATCTAGGGTATTTAATATCGTTGGCCTCGACTTATACAAAGCTTTTGTGGATAGGGGGATGTCCACTCGTGTATAGGCATCTTAGACTAAGTTGTTGTCATAATAAATTAGATTCGTGTAAAATATAATGAAAAACTAACATGACCTCATGTTAGCTATACTGTAATATGGTTATGTTTTTAGACTTCTACATGTATAATATTTTACTGATTCTATTCGAGATGAATTGGCCTGCCTACTGTTATTGAAAAGACCATACTATATAATATATTGATTGGTAGATAAGTTTTTATGTTAATATTCCTGTAAAATAATAAGTGTATATATTTATATTTGAACTATTTCAAAGATAATGTCATGGGATGAAAACATGTTAAAATTATAAAAAATAAATATACCTTTACGCTATGAGCTGTTTTACTAATCTATATATATACTAGCAAACCAGTGAACCAAATGTTCACCAAAAAAAAAAATAAAAAATTTAATTAATTGAGAACTTCGGAGATTTTGTGTGGTTTCGTTTGAAATAGAAATCACGTGATTTCTCGAAAACCGGAAGTGCTACGTTACTCAAATCCGGTTTGTAGTCTTATCAGACTATTCTTAACTTATAACTTAAACATTCTCTTTATCTATCTCTTACGGTTTGGCCGCTGAAACAGCACCACGGACGGACGGACGGACTTGTCTATTAGATAAGAGATATATAACTCAAAGGTGACTGACTGACATAGTGATCTATCAACGCACAGCCCAAACCACTGGATGGATCGGGCTGAAATTTGGCATGAAGGTAGATGTTATGACGTAGGCATCCGCTAAGAAAGGATTTTGATCAATTCTACCCCCAAGGGGATAAAATAGGGAATGAAAGTTTGTATGAAACTTTGACAATTTTAAACCGATTGGGCTGAGACTTTGCATGCAGGTATAAGAAGAATCATAGTGTATAATACAAGCCTGAGAACAAAAACAGTAGTCTACACTGAAGCGAAGCGAGGGGGGCCCGCTGGTATTCCATAATAGGGAAGACATTCATGAAAATAAAATCAAAAGCTTCATATTGGTCCAATGCTTTATTGTTTAAAAAACAAAATCTAATTTACAGGACAAAATATAGTGAGCTCTTATTAATTCTATACATACACGACATATTTTAACCTCAAGTGTAACTGAGGTCAATAAAGAAACTTAAGGAAATTGCCGACACAAAACTTTACGTCCCTCCCTTAAATTATTCCTAGCAGCATGTTGGTGAGGGATAGAACATCTTGCTCCATTTCTATTAATTTCTTTACTGGTGCTAGCTACATACACCTATCGTAAACGAATGTAGTCGAAAAGTTGCAATCTTTCTATTCATTTGTGTGTTAACACTTACAATTAAAATTTAAAATAAGAAATATGCTTTTAAAAAGCATGCTGTGAGCTTAACTGAATTGTTTAATATACGCTATTGATAAATTCTCGAAATTTCAATGTTTAATCACATTATAAAAATATTACTTACAACTATAGAAAGATTGCCACTTCCCTCTTGCAATATTTTCTTGACCAACTATCGCAGTCATATCTAGGAGCTGTCAAAGTCCAAGATACTTAATCAAAACAAAAGAAAATTCTCAAGTCATCACATCAATCAACATTTAAACAACACGGGACAGCAGTGTCTTGTCTCTATACACACTAGAATATTCACTTTTATATCAATTCAATCACATAATCATCATAATTATCGAAAAAAGAAAATTTATATCTAAGATCAAATGATGATACGTATCACTGGACAGCAATATTTATATTAAAATTAAGGCGCTTTGCAGACGGCGGGGCGGAGCGGGCCGGTCAATTTCGCCGCGAACGATAGCACAAAGTGAATCCTATACTACAAATGCACACAGAGGACAAAAAGACCGCGCATGTCCGCGGCTGCCCGCCGTGGATCATACAAATCAGTTTATATGCTGTAACGCAGACGGCGGCGCGGGGCGGCTAGCTCACTCCGCGCCACGCGCTTTTTAGTGATGGACATATTCACTAGAACGAACGTCCTGAAATGACTGCCTCTGCCCGTCGTGTGCTTTGTGTACGCGGCGAGGGCAGCCGCAGACATCGACGGGCAGACGCGGTTTTTATTGCTTCGCGGACAAAAAGCCCGCCCCGCCCCGTCGTCTGCAAAGCGCCTAATCGGTTCTGTGTCCGGGTACCTATTCCTATTATTACCGAACAATTACCTAAATGCTGATGTATTAATTATTTCAGGCTATAAAATTCCAGACCAAGATTACAAAACGGTCTAACTTCTCCAGTTCACTTTGAGCTTTATCTTGTACGGCATAAGATTCACAATCAATTGGAAAAAAAGAACCATATGATGAAATGTAGACTGCACATATTTCCATGTCGTGCTCTTCCAAGCCCACAACGAAGAACAATATATAAATTAACAAGCACTTATGAAAGTTAGAGGCTTTTCGCAACAACAGCTACCGAAGTTGCTCTGTCCGATCATAACCATTTACTATCTGCACCGAGAAGACAGCAGCTAACGCATTCTAAGTTTATTTTTCAGTCCTAGTTCATCATGTAAATTGACCTATCAAGTATGATAGGCGACAATATTTTTTTCTTAAGCCTAGTTCATCATGTCTGCTTATCAAAATAATCAAACTACAGAACGATTATAACTGACGACCTCCGTGGTCGAGTGGTTTGTACGCCGGGTTGCATGGTGTCGCCGACTCGAGAGGTCCCGGGTTCAAATCCCGGTGGGGGCAGATGTTTGTGTGATGAATACGAGCATTTGTACTCCAGTCATGGATGTTTAATATGTATTTCTATAAAAAAAAAAATATATATACTTATATATGTACAGTTTATGTATTCTATCCGTTACCCTAGTATCCCATAACACAAGCCTTATAGTGCTTACTTTGGGGCTAGGCTAATTGGTGTGAGTGTTGGAAATATTTATTATTTATTATTATTATTATAACAAAGTTGTTGAACCAAAAAATTAATTGTCATACAATCACTGACCTGAGTGTTGATGATCTTATGCCGGCACTTCCTTGGGCTACACCATGAATTATAAGGAATGACAAGGACAGGCTGATTTCACGTTAACACATAGCAAACACGAATAGCCAAGTGAAGTGCCAGCATTACTCATTATTTTGTTTGTTATAAAAATCCTACTGGTACAATACACAAAGTATCACAACTTCTTGAAATTCAGCATTACCAGTACCCCAACTAACCAACCGTCAGTTTTTATGAAAATTAGGCAGCGCCCCTACCGGACGTAAGGAGAAACTAGCTCCTTATATAGACACTTTGATATTGGCAATACGAATACTTTCTAGGTTTCTTTCTACCCTTAGCACGAAACAATATCGAATTCGTAACGTTTGCGAGTCCAAAATGTCATTGTCAAATGTGTACTGATTTTTAGTTCTCGTTACGTACTTTGTGGCGCTCTTTGGCTACTCTTTTGAAACGGCTTCTCTTACTTTTAACTTCATGTCAATAGAAAATGATCTCACGTTATTTACTAATGTTAATGGAGTCCATAAAAAGTGGATATTTTAAATTCCGTTATGTAATTTAGTTAAAAAAAAATCAATTTTCAAGTTGCCGCGAAAACTTTTCTCTAGACATTATGGCGTCTCACGACTTTAATGAAAACTTCAAACGATACAATGTAATGTCCACTTTGGCCGGAAGTACACTAGCGTGTGACGTCATTGTAGTCTTGGCCAATCCCAGGCGTTTTCGGTCACATGCTCATGGAGCAAAAAAAATAATTTCTATTAGAAGATTTTATAGAAGTTATTAATTTTTTGTTCTTTCGGAATAGTGAAATTGCTGTTAATATTAATATTAAATACAGATGCAGCAACAATTGGTACATATTTCTTTATAATATCAACTAGCCTATTAAAACACACCGTACTCGTAATCTGGGAATATTAACTCCCATTGTTTGCGATTTTAATATTTTCGGGCAACAAGTGTGCGCAAAATTTTTTCATGATTGAGGGACTTTAGTCGTCCGCGGACAAGTCCTTCTGCTGCGTAGGCCATAACACAATACTATTTGCTTAGAAACGTTTAGCTATGTAATCTTTCTATGTTTATATTTCAATTCTTAATTATTAATATAGTGTTAGAACCACAGAACACAGAAAGATGTGATCATAAACCGTTTGTACGGGAACCAATGTCGCCGGCTGACCCCCACTACACTTGCATCTAATAGATAATAGCCAATCAAACGACGCGACATCAAACAATCGAACCATTCAGCTCTCATACCCGAGAGCAACGGTGCAATTAAAATAAGTTTTGGGTTTAAGTTATGAGCATTTGCTCACATATTACTGTGGCGCGCCTGTCACGCCCAGAAGGCTCTTCTAACTTCTTTCTGTTTTCTGTGGTTTGATCAACAAAAATGCGCTCACTCTCTTATTTAAGTTGTAACACATGATTCTACTCCATCTGATGTTATGTGTGGGTCGAATTCCAATGCAAAGATAGCTGGATAGGTACATCAGCCAGCCTGGTTGAACTGTATTCTTCTTATTCCATGGATGTCTGCTAACTGTATTCACTGTAGTAACACAACACAGAATATAGTGTTAGCCGGTTATAGTTTACATTGTTTTAAAGTTTCATGGTCACTAACTTTATAGTAATTTATGTTCTTTACGGGATTGTTAGGGGGCGTCCATAAATTACGTGAGATGTTAAGGGGGGAGGGGGTCGAGTCAAATCTCATCTAATCTTACGTTGGAGAGAGAGGGGGGTCGAGTCAAATATCACGCAATTTTTTTTCTGTTTGAACCAAAAAGAAATATACTATTTTGGTCCATTTAATCCAGATTGTACATGCTTAAGATTTAATCATAAGAGTAATCGTAATACGATTAAGATCATTCACCATTTCGTTCGAAACAAATAACTCTCAGCAATATTGATTACTAGTCTTAACTAGTCGTAAATAAAAGCACGAAACATTTTTTTTTTCTTTTTACAATAACAATCCAACGCGTTTACGTAAGAAACCCACATTTTGAAAAATCTCAGGAGATTGGGGGTCGGGGGAGGGGGTTGAATAAAATCTCACGACATCTCACCAGGGGGGGAGGGAGGGACAGAAAATTCAAAAAATCACCTCACGTAATTTATGGACGCCCCCTTACTATGTACCTTGTTTTCAGCGAATGCCTGATACTTTAGAACGTCTCCGATAGTAAAAACATGGTACATGGAAGGAATCTCTTAAAAAACATAAATGACAATAACATAATATTTTACTGGACTGAGACATGGGATACTTTATTATATTTTTTTTTGTTAAGCATTTAATTGCTATGTTTAAATCTAAGACAAAAATTTACTATAAAAAATAAACACAATCCGCCATCGTAGTAGCATAATTGGTCAGTACATCCGCCCGGATAGCGGAAGGTGCGGGTTCGAGTCCCGTCTGCTTCATGGCGGGACTCGAACCCGCACCCTACGCAATCCGAGCGAATGCACTGACATTGGACAGAGTTCGCTCGGATGCTACCACGGCCTTGTGGGTAACCTACAATGCGAAGAGATGGCGCTGCCTTGCAGCTTAAGGCTGGGAAAATTTCGACGCGGCCATTACGGCTGTGGTAGCATAATTGGTTAGTGCATTCGCCCGGATTGCGAAGGGTGCGGGTTCGAGTCCCGTCCGCTGCGTTAAGATAAAACTTATTCTGAGGTATGGGTGTGCTCGTCGCAGTAAGAGTCGGGCGCGCCTTAGATTAAAACAAAAAGGGTAGATACGGCACTAGCCTCACAAAAGTGATCCGCACAAATTGTGGTCCACGACCCTAATCGCTTTAGTCACAACTTGACATGCAAACGACGTACACGTGAACGTCAAAAAGAAATATTGATAATATTTTGTGTTTATATGATAAAGCAATGCCTAAGTATGTTTTTAAAAAGTGCTCAAATTCCTCAAGAACTAAAAATAAAACCCACGGCATCACTTTTCATTCGTAAGTACTATAAAATATATTTTTTCATAAAAATTGCTGTTTGTTTTGAATCTTATTCGGCAGTGACGTCGAGTATTGGTCGCGTGATTGGTCGGTAGTGCAGTGACGCGGATCTCGCCGTCTCGTTCGCGCTGCCGTTGAAACTTAACGTGCTGTTTCGCTCGGGTCGGTAATGCAGTGACGCGGATCTCGCCGTCCCGTTCGCGGTGCCGTGGGATCAGTTTTTGTTTGATGCAATGAGGGCTATCGCGTATGAATCCGCCGCTAGAGGCGCTAGTGTAGCGTGAGGTCTCCGAAATGTCAAATGTTATTGCTTGTTGGTTGACTACGCGGGTTTATTTCTTATTAAAATAATGTTGTGAATAATTGGTAACAATTCGGCTTAATTATGGCAAATACGTGTTATGTGGCAATGAATGTCAGTTATCAAAAAATTGAGCTTATAAAAATGATTATGTTCCCATTTTTTCCGAATAAAACGGAACTGGGCGTCACTGTGGCATGGCCTATTATGTTTAGGATATGGTTCTTTTGTGTTAAAATACGATCTAAATGTAACCTTTGATTTCATGTGCGTATCAATAAACTTTAAAAGTTACAATTTAGGACCTCACTCAACAGTGGCGCCATCTGGTGAGACAGAAAACGGTAGCCCTCATTATGAGCGTACCGTATCTACCCTTTTTGTTTTAATCTAAGGTGGTATCATCACCTGATGGGGGGCGGGGCGCCTACTGCGCGCCGTACAGCTTGAGCGTGCGGTCCATGCTGGCGGAGGCGAGGTAGCCGGCGTGGGGCCCGAAGCGCAGCGCGGTGGCGGCGTGGGTGTGGTCGTCGCACTAAGTGTCGGGCGCGTGGTATCATCACCTGATGGGGGGCGGGGCGGGGCGGGGCGCCTACTGCGCGCCGTACAGCTTGAGCGTGCGGTCCATGCTGGCGGAGGCGAGGTAGCCGGCGTGGGGCCCGAAGCGCAGCGCGGTGGCGGCGGCGGTGTGGTCGTTGAAGGCCCTCAGCTCGGCCCACTGTCGGCACACGAATACGCGCACGTCCGAACCCGCCACGCCCAAGTAGGTGCCGCTGCCGTCGAACACCACCTCCTGTACGACACCGAGTTTACGGGTAATACACTATTTTGACGTGACAACGTCTTAAATTAGGTTGCGGCTGGGAGTCACTTATGAAAAAGTGTAACGCTCGGTTACGTTACGATGAGTCTCTCGTGTTAAGTTTAAGTTTACATGTACAATGTTTTAGTAAACAAAATATATTTCTATAGTTAAAATTTGTGCAATTCTTATTTTCATTCAATTCCTTGTTCCTATTGTGCAATTTAATTATATTCATATCAATAAATATTCTACCGAGAAAAAGACGTTGTCACGTAAAATCTTCGTCCGTAAAACCGACTTTACAGGCAACCATTTTTTTTTAATTTATTTATAACTATACTATAACACTATTATCTACACTTTATAATTTCGCCAAACTGATTAACAGTTTATTGGCGAAAAATGCACTCATCTTTATCTAATTTCGTTTGGACATTTATTACATATACTCCTATCCTAACATACCAATGCCACAAGTTATGTTGAAAATAACTTCTAATAATAAAATAAATGAATTACAATTTCTTTAAAGTAACAAGAGTGATAGAGTAAAGATATATAATATAGATTAAAGATAGGTTGATAAATAGAATCGAGGAGCTCGATGACGCAAGTTGTTAGCGCGTTCGGTTTCGATCGTTGAAGTTAAGCAACTTTCGCAGTGGTTGGTCATTGGATGGGTGACCAAAAATTTACTATCTCGAGCTCCTCCGTGCTTCGGAAGGCAAGTTAAGCCGTTGGTTCCGGCTGCATCTGCAGTCGTTACCACCCACCAATCCACACTGGGTCCGCGTGGTGTGTCATGGCCCAATCTCCCTATTCCATCCATAGGGAAGGCCTGTGCCTCAGCAGTGGGGACATTAATAGGCTGATGATGATAATGCTAAATAGAAAATCACTAGAAACAATTACTGAGAGTCTATTGAGATCATTTACATTACTATAACAAAGTAGGTTAGGTTAGAAAATACACAGGAAAAATTCAATATTTTATTATTACGAAACACTGAAATTAATAAATTGCAAAGTAAAAAAAGGTCGCGCAGCGGGTTATGAGTTCAATGTGCTGCTAAACCCGTACGCCGAGGGCGGGTTATATTTTTAACATTTGGGTTTTCTGGGGAAGCTCGATATCGCAATTGATAGGCGCGTTCGACTGCAATCGTTGAAATTAAGCAACATTCGCAGTGGTCGGTCATTGAATGGGTGACCGAAAATTTATCTTCACGAGCTCCTCCGTCCTTCGAAAGGCAAGGTTAAGTCTTTGGTTGAATAGTCTTGAAGTTCACGAGTTTCCTAAGATTACAGAGTAAGACAAACTCGTCTCCAGCGGCGGTGACCAGATAGTTCGCTTTTTATATAACTAGATGGCGGCACAAGCGACTATTATAGTACCTTCTATATACCTAGATAGTTAAAATATAACCAGAAGTTTACCTTGATGACGTATCCTTCCTCCAGCTAGATAGTCTTGAAGTTCTTGAGATTCCTGAGATGCCAGAGTATGATAAACTCGTCTCTAGCGGCGGTGACCAAATAGTTCGCTTTTTATACTACTAGATGGAGCCACAAGAGACTAAATAGTACCTTCTATATACCTACATAGTTTGATATAACCACAAGTTTACCTTGATGACGTATTCTTCCTCCAGCTGGATAGCCTTGAAGTTCTCGAGTTTTCTGAGATACCAGAGTTTGATAAATTCGTCTACAGCGACCGTAACCAGATAGTTTGCTTTTGATACAACTAGATGGAGCCACAAGAGACTAAATAGTACCTTCTATAAACCTAGATATTTATAATATAACCAAAAGTTTAGCTTTATGAAGTATCATTCCTCCAGCTGAATAGTCTTGAAATTCTTAAGTTTCCTGGGTGCCAGAGTATGATAAACTCGTCTCCAGCGGCGGTGACCAGATAGTTCGCTTTTAATACAACTAGATGGAGCCACAAGAGACTAAATAGTACCTTCTATAAACCTAGATATTTATAATATAACCACAAGTTTACCTTTATGAAGTATCATTCCTCCAGCTGAATAGTCTTGAAATTCTTGAATTTCCTGGGTGCCAGAGTACGATAAACTCGTCTCCAGCGACGGTGACCAGATAGTTCGCTTTTTATACAACTAGATGGAGCCACAAGACTAAGTAGTACCTTTTATATACCCAGATAGTAACACTAAAATTATAAAGGCGAAAGTTTGTGAGTGTGCGTGTATGTTTGTTACTGCTTCACGTCTAAACGGCTGGAGCATTTTTACTAAAATTTGGTATGGATTTAGCTGACTAGTGGATTAACACATAGGCTACGTTATACTGCGGGTAAATATCTCTAATAAACCGCGGGTAACACCGCGGGGCACAGCTAGTTACACAAATACAAAATTAGTCTATTTCAGTAACTTATAATATAACCACAATTTTACCTTGATGACGTATCCTTCCTCCAGCTGGATAGTCTTGAAGTTCTTGAGTTTTCTCAAATCCCAGAGTTTAACACACGCGTCTTCTGCAGCCGTGGCCAAATAGTACCCGTTCTCAGAGAACGATATGGAAGTGACGGGCCCAACGTGGCCTGGGAAATTGGCCACGTTGCTCTGCTCTTTCAGATCCCAGATTTTAACCTGCGAAATTAAAGTTGGTTAGGTTAAGGGTCCCCCTATGTTACTCAAAAAAGAAGAAGTTTACAGTCCGAGCTTCTGTCAGTGAAACTGTAGCATAGAATCAAATCATAAATCAATATATCTTTATTCAAATTGGATGTATAGTACAACTCTTTTCAATAGTCTAAAAAAAATTTTTTCCCTACCACTCGTTATGGACATATTTTTTTGTTGCGGAGAAAAACGAGTAAAAAAACTCCACAACATTAAAATTCTAAAGTAACAACATTTACAAATCATTATGTTGTTACAAGATCAATCCAATTATGATTTATTTAATAAAGAAAACTTGTTGGAATGATGAAACTGTAATATAATCAGACACTTTGTAATAAGCTTTTTAATAAGTGCTTTTTTTATAATAATAATAAAAGCATTTATTTCAGACACGAGATCCATATCAAAATTATAAAAAAAAACAATACAACAATAACATAAAAATAAATAATAATAGCAATAAAACAATACATTTAAAAACACATATGTCAAATTAAATGGAAATAATATTGAATTAAAACAGAATAAAATAATTTAAATCATTCAGTCAAATTTTGTTCAATTATTTATTTAAATTCTTTATACTATCTTTAAATTTGTTTATGGTTAACTCTTGGATATTGCTTGGCACTTTATTGTATAAGCGAACACAAAGACCTTTAAATGAATTATTAATTTTGTGAAGCGTAGTAGCAGGTAAAGTTAGTTTATTTTTGAAACAAATTAATATTTTTTCTTATTGCGATGCGCGCGCGCATCAGGATGAAGGAAAAAATGAGTATTTAGTACATTTTATAATGTGGTAGTTCTCACGTGTTGTATAAATAGGAGTAACGAAATACACAAAAATAAAATGACAAAAAAACAAGTACCAGGTATGGCAGAGTAGAAAACTGTTTTTGTAGTTTTAAAAATGAAGAATAAACTGGTAGGAAATATACATTATTACACGATAAGCATTCTTGATGGTCGTCTTTTTTCTTAGCAAGTTAATGTGAGATAATATAGACAATGAAGAATACCTGTGAGTTGTCTGTGCCGGTGCCGAAAATAAGTCCGTCTGGATGGAACTGTGCCGTAGTGAGGCTGGAAGCTGCAGCGTCTGCCACCTGCACAACAAATTATTTTAATTTGAAATCTATATAATTATATAAAACTCAAAGGTGACTGACGATGAATATTAATTAATTAAAAACGAACCAGAAACTTAGTAAGAAACGTGCGAAGTTTCGATCTTCGATTTTGCGTTGAATTAGAGTAGGCCTACAGTACCTTTGTAAGTAATGCGCCGGTCCTGAGGTCGGAGAAGGCCCAGTGTGCATCTGTCGAAGTGGACAGCACGTAGTCGCCCGTGGGATGTAGAGACAGACCGGTCACTGGCCCGTCGTGCACTCGAAGTATTACGCTCGTTTGAGACCTACACATTACACAATATTGTTATTTATTTCTTTCTCAGGTTTACACGCACATAAACATACAGTCGCATTCAAGTTGGTCAATAAATAAATAAAATTTCGTACATTAACCCGTATAAACTAGTTTTATTCAATATTGTAATTACATAAACAGGTCCTAAAATTGTATTTTGTTAAATAAATAATAAAAAAAAATTGCTCTCCAAAGTAGTCAAACGACTATTGCTTGATGATTTGAGTGTGTTATTATTTCGCAATGTTTTATTCAGCCATTTTATTTTTCATTTTTTTTTTCTGTAGTGAAACTTCTTTTCGGGCCGTGTAAATGGCAAAAATCTTATGGAAAAGATGAAATAGTAATGAAATAGAAGTATGTTGTGGTCGGGCGAGGCGGTGACGACGGTCTTCGTCCGGGTGATATATGACCCGGGTCACCTTCTTGAATACGAACGAGCTGGGATATGAGTTAGGACAGTAGAATGACATAATAAACTCACGTTGGCACGTTCCACACTCGTATGGTGTGGTCGGGTGAGTCAGTGACGACGGTGTCTTCGTCCGGGTGATATATAACCCGGGTCACCTTCTTGAATACGAACGAGCTGGGATATGAGTTAGGACAGTAGAATGACATAATAAACTCACGTTGGCACGTTCCACACTCGTATGGTGTGGTCGGGCGAGGCGGTGACGACGGTGTCTTCGTCCGGGTGATATATGACCCGGGTCACCTTCTTGAAAACGAACGAGCTGGGATATGAGTTAGTACAGTAGAATGATATAATAAACTCACGTTGGCACGTTCCACACTCGTATGGTGTGGTCGGGCGAGGCGGTGACGACGGTCTTCGTCCGGGTGATATATGACCCGGGTCACCTTCTTGAATACGAACGAGCTGGGATATGAGTTAGGACAGTAGAATGACATAATAAACTCACGTTGGCACGTTCCACACTCGTATGGTGTGGTCGGGTGAGTCCGTGACGACGGTGTCTTCGTCCGGGTGATATATAACCCGGGTCACCTTCTTGAATACGAACGAGCTGGGATATGAGTTAGTACAGTAGAATGACATAATAAACTCACGTTGGCACGTTCCACACTCGTATGGTGTGGTCGGGCGAGGCGGTGACGACGGTCTTCGTCCGGGTGATATATGACCCGGGTCACCTTCTTGAATACGAACGAGCTGGGATATGAGTTAGGACAGTAGAATGACATAATAAACTCACGTTGGCACGTTCCACACTCGTATGGTGTGGTCGGGCGAGGCGGTGACGACGGTGTCTTCGTCCGGGTGATATATGACCCGGGTCACCTTCTTGAATACGAACGAGCTGGGATATGAGTTAGGACAGTAGAATGACATAATAAACTCACGTTGGCACGTTCCACACTCGTATGGTGTGGTCGGGCGAGACGGTGTCTTCATCCGAGTGATATATGACCCGGGTCACCTTCTTGAATACGAACGAGCTGGGATATGAGTTAGGACAGTAGAATGACATAATAAACTCACGTTGGCACGTTCCACACTCGTATGGTGTGGTCGGGTGAGTCAGTGACGACGGTGTCTTCGTCCGGGTGATATATAACCCGGGTCACCTTCTTGAATACGAACGAGCTGGGATATGAGTTAGGACAGTAGAATGACATAATAAACTCACGTTGGCACGTTCCACACTCGTATGGTGTGGTCGGGCGAGGCGGTGACGACGGTGTCTTCGTCCGGGTGATATATGACCCGGGTCACCTTCTTGAAAACGAACGAGCTGGGATATGAGTTAGGACAGTAGAATGATATAATAAACTCACGTTGGCACGTTCCACACTCGTATGGTGTGGTCGGGCGAGGCGGTGACGACGGTGTCTTCGTCCGGGTGATATATGACCCGGGTCACCTTCTTGAATACGAACGAGCTGGGATATGAGTTAGGACAGTAGAATGACATAATAAACTCACGTTGGCACGTTCCACACTCGTATGGTGTGGTCGGGCGAGACGGTGTCTTCGTCCGAGTGATATATGACCCGGGTCACCTTCTTGAATACGAACGAGCTGGGATATGAGTTAGGACAGTAGAATGACATAATAAACTCACGTTGGCACGTTCCACACTCGTATGGTGTGGTCGGGCGAGGCGGTGACGACGGTCTTCGTCCGGGTGATATAGGACCCGGGTCACCTTCTTGAATACGAACGAGCTGGGATATGAGTTAGGACAGTAGAATGACATAATAAACTCACGTTGGCACGTTCCACACTCGTATGGTGTGGTCGGGCGAGGCGGTGACGACGGTGTCTTCGTCCGGGTGATATATGACCCGGGTCACCTTCTTGGTGTGTCCCTTCAGTATGGCCACCACTTGTTCCGTGTCCTTGTTGAATACGGTCGCGTTGCGGTCGTTGCCGCCTGTTAGCAACTTGCTGGAGTCCGAAGGGTTGATGTCCAGCGCTAGGATGCCGGGCACGCTGGCCGAATGCAGACCCTGTGTGATTAGAAATCAAGATTGGTTAATTTGTTATTATATTATTTGTTTGAGGAACGGTGTTACAATGAATAGATTAAAGTATTCGAGAATATTTAATAAACCCTTTCGCCGGTTATCATAACATACAAGTGTTTTTTTGTTTCACATTTCATGAGTTTGATTCCCAGTTTTGACAGGCGATTGTAGTGATCATACTGGTTATTAAGTGCTGATGTGTTTCATGCGCTCATTCTTCTCATTAGCTAAAAGATGTCCCTGAATAGGTGGCAGGAAAAAACATTGGATGATTCTAAAGAGCTTTCAAAATGTCAATTTGAATAAAGTATAATTTCATTTCATGTTACAGACTTTGATTCAAATGTGTATTCGAATTGTTATGGCCAACATAATACATAAGGGCCCATAAGTACACTTTTACTAAACATAATATTATCAAGTTTGTGAACATTATGGTAGTAATAAATGTTGAGTATTAAGAAACATATTGCAGACTATTCAATTGAATGCACTAACACTACAAATTTTCTTTAAATATAATAATCAAATAGTCAATGTAATATAATAAATCTCCTGCGTCAGCACCGTCGACATGCCTGAGGGTATAACGTATACTGACGGGATGCGAGGCGAGCGTGACGTAGGCGCGGATCTGGTCGGGCGCCACGAGCCCCTCGGGCACGGTGCGTCCGCGCCGCTTGCGCTCCTGCAGACGCGACATGCCTGAGGGTATAACGTATACTGACGGGATGCGAGGCGAGCGTGACGTAGGCGCGGATCTGGTCGGGCGCCACGAGCCCCTCGGGCACGGTGCGTCCGCGCCGCTTGCGCTCCTGCGTCAGCGCCGTGGCGCGCTCCTGCAGCCGCGACACCACCTCCGCTGACATGCCTACGGGCGTCGCGCCCGATGCCGCGCCCGCTGCCGCACCCGCTTCCGCCTGTACAATTATTCAGTGTGCTTAGCTGCAATTTGGTTGTTTTTATAAGTTAAAAAGATGGCATACGGCTAACAAGCTTATGGCCCGCCTGATGGTAAGCGGCCACCATAGCCTGGACACTTGCGATATAAAAAATATCACTCGCGCCACTGCCAACCCTGACCCCATTCCCTACCCTGCAAAGTCCTGAAACCTTACTCACTGACAGAAACTCAACACCACCACCGAAAGGTAGTGTTATTTGATTATGGTCTTCTGTTAGAAGTAAGTAACCCCCCACTTAAAATCATGCACAAAAAATCTTAACAACTATGTTTGATGGGGATTTTTTGTCATTTTAACAACTTGAGACTCGCTTCATCATCCCAGCACTTCATTGGCTAGCACCACTAGTCTACTTCATTTTGGATAATATATACGTATATACAAGATAGTAAATACAATGATGAGACAGCAGCAATGGCAAGAACAGCGGCAGGAGAGTAATCCTCACACCACCTCTCTCATTCTACTAAGCAACTTAGGGAATAGGGGTTGCATTGAATGGTTGGACATTTGGATTTGTATTGACTCTGAGGTAATGTGCAAAGCGGCACTGAACGGTCAACTTTACGAGTGCACAAGAAAGGCCGCAGTGCGGGAGGAATAGAGGCGTATTGTAAAGCACGCCACCAACCCTGATGTGACAACCTCTCTGTCAAGAGTGTAGTGCTAACGAAGAAGAATGTGCAAATATCTTTAATTTACAAATAGAAATTAGAATAGCTCCAATCAATATAGTGCCAAAGGAACAATACCTATCATTTAATTTATAAAAGCAGCTTAGTTTTAATTGCATTCATACATCAAGATACCTAGTTGTTAAAACTTCTGCAGTAATGAAGTAAAAGTAGTATACATACTGCATGAGCCGGCTGCGGTGCCACGATGCCAGCCTGTGGCTTAAGCGTGGCGAGGGCTTCTCTCGCAGCTGTCACTTCCTTCGTGAGGCGCGCGATCACGCGACACGCTGCGTCGTGCTGGTATAAAGCGTGACTCAGCTCCTACACAAAACGAACCCGTATAACCTTACTAACTTACAAGGAAACTTATATTTTACATTTCCTTGTAAAAGAGTTACCATGTAAAACTAAGGTTATTAAAATCAGATAGAGATAAAATGAGGCTTAATCATGATAAGCTTTTAATTGGGAACTTTAGTGCAAGTTGTCTCAGACATTAATTTCTTCATCCAATTATTGGATCCCATATCTAAAAGGAGAATATGATGTGAACTATTCCATAATCCTCAGAATATTTATGAAACATGGATTATTTACTCCTACAACAAAGGAACTGCTGAGTAAACAGTTTACAAAAAAAAACAAACTGATTTACAACTTTGTTAAATATATTTTTAAGTATTAAGGGTAAAAAGCCAGTTAGTCGTTAGCAAAGCCCATAACAAAATTAGCCAAGAAAATGCTTGAATATCTACCAAATCATAACTTACACTCAGATTAACATCTTAAGAGTATCAAGACTTAAATTAATATACATTTACAATTTGTAATATATTTAAAGCATATTTTGACAGAAGATCTTGTGAAAAGGGAATATGGTATAAAACTTGACAATCGGAGCCTCCTCGCTTCCCCTGGTTTAGTAATACATGGTCTGGTCGTATTCCATTAAATTTTAAACATCTAATGAAATCAACAGAATCCCCAAACTGTGCAATATGTGGAGTATAAGAACACATAAAATAAAATAAAATAAAAATAAAAAAGCTTTTTATTCCATATCCATTGGTTACTTCTACATTTTATTTATGTTAGTTTGTTAGTAAACCTAAGTATTATGTTGGTTTTTAGTATTTGTTAGTACAGTTTCAGACATGGATCCCATCTGGGTAAAAGCCTCCTCCATTGCTTTCCACTTTTCTCTATCTTTCCCCGCCTTCAGCCAGTCCCTGCCTGCCACAGACACAATATCGTCGGACCATCGTTTTCTGGGTCTGCCTACTTTTCTTTTGCCTTTTGGTCCGGACCATCCAGTGGACTTGAGGGACCACCTTTTGTCAGTATATCTTGACAGATGACCCGCCCATTTCCATTTAAGTTTAAGGGCCTGTTCCAGAGCATCTGTTAGTCCAGTTTTGCTCCTTATGTCTGTACACCTTATTTTGTCTATTCTCCTTAATTTTAGCATGCTTCTTTCTATTGCTCTCTGGCATGTAGTAATTTTGTTTTTTATTTTATTTGTATAAACCCAAGTTTGACATCCGTACAGTAGGCTTGGTAATAGGCATGTGTCTACTACTGTCTTTTTTAGTGATATATCGAGATTGCCTTTTAGGATTTCTTTGTGTGCCCAATATTTCTTCCATGTAGAATTTATTCTTCTATCCACTTCTTCTTCGTGACTGTTTGCTCTGAATGATACCTGTTTTCCTAAATATATATATTCATTTACATATTCTATATCTTTTTCTTCAATTGTTATTGGTTTATTTTCTGAATTAGTCATTATTTTCGTTTTGCTAGGATTCATGTGTAATCCCACTATTTTACTCTGTGTGTCCAGTGATTTTAACATATTTTCTATTTCTGGAGCTGTTTCTGCAAACAAGGCAATATCGTCGGCAAATCTTAGATGACTTAGGTGTTGATTTTGTATTATTATACCTTTATTCTTCCATTCTATAGATTGGAATATATTTTCTAGGACAGCGATGAACAACTTAGGTGACAGCGGATCTCCCTGTCTAACACCTCTTTCTATTTTGATTTCTTTCCCATAGTTTTCTAATCGCAGTCTGCTTACACTGTTACAGTATATGTTTTTTAAAATATTTATGTATTTATTATTTATTTTACATGTGTTGAGTGCTTTCCATATTGAACTGTGTGTAATGCTGTCGAAGGCCTTTGTATAATCTACAAAGAATACAACAGACCATTATGGTCTGTTGTATTCTTTATACTTTTCGATGATTTGTTCTATTGTGTGAATATAATCTATTGTTGAGAAATTTGAACGAAATCCAGCTTGTTCGGGTGGTTGGTGGTTATCTATATTAGCAGCTATTCTTGCAGTTAGTATGGATGTGAATAGTTTGTAGGTGCTTGATAGTAGACTTATTGGTCGATAGTTCGAAATATCTGTGGGATCGCCTTTTTTATAAAGTAGAATGATGTCTGCGTGAAGCCAATGTTTTGGTACTATCTCATATTCTAGAATTAAATTAAACAGGTCTGTTAAGAAGGTGATTATGATTGGTGCACCGAGTTTTATTGCTTCATTACTAATGCCGTCTGGGCCTGGGGTCTTCTCTGATTTTAGTTTCTTTATATGGGTTAGTACCTCTGTTTCTGTTATGGGATCTATTGTGAGAATTTCTCTTTCTGTTGGGTGTTCAATTTCTACATTTCCTATGTCTTCTTTTGTTTTCCTATATAATTTTGTATAAAATTCAGTAGCACAGTTCATAATGTCATTTCGGGATTTTGTTTCTTTTTTCCCTTTTTTTAGTTTTTGAATCCATTTTTCATGTGTTTTAAGTTCTTTGTACGCTCGTTTTAAGCTTCGAAATTTTGTTAGTTTTTCTTGGATTATCCTCTGTCTGTAGTTTTTGTAGTCCTCTTTAATCGATTTGTTTTTCTTTTTGGATAGATCTTTTAGTTCTTCCTTTTGTTTTTTGCTCTTATTTTTGGTTTTTATTAGTTCTGTGCGTTTGGTTATTAAATTTATTGTTTTCTCACTCATTATTTTGTGTTTATTGTTTTTGTGCTTTCCTTTTTCCATTTTCAGGCTCGTTGTTATGATTTCTGCTAGTTTGTTAGAGTATGTTTCGACTTCTTTAGAGTGTTGTAATATTTCTAGGTTCATTTGTATGTTTGCTTTTAGATTGTTAAGGTATGTTGCTATTTCTTCGTCGGTTTTCGGTATTCTCGGTATGGGTTTAAATGACTTTCTACTTAGTTTGTTTGGTTTTACTTGGAAAGAAGCTCTTACTGGTCTATGGTCAGATGCAAAGTGTATTTGGTTTAGGACTTCAACATTTGTGATTCTTTTAGGTTTGTTACACATTACAAAATCTATTTCATTTTTAGTTCGTGTATCTGGTGATTGCCACGTCCATTTCCGACTCTGTTTCTTTTTGAAAAATGTATTCATAATAGAAAGTTTATTTTCATTGGCATATTCAATTAATTTTTCACCTCTTTCATTTCGACTTCCGTATCCATATTTTCCCATTATAAGATCTTCATGGGCTTTTGTGTGTCCTATTTTTGCATTAAAATCGCCCATTACCAGTGTGGTTTTTTCTGACATATCGTTTGCTGTTTTTAAGTCGTTATAGAACTGACAAATTTCTTCGTCTGTTGATCTTTCTGTCGGGGCGTACACCTGGATCAGTGTTATAGCCTCGTCTCCAAGTTTAAGTTGCAATACAGCCACTCTTTCCGATATGCCTATGAAGTTTGCTATGTTTAGTTTAAATTTTTTCTTTATTAGAAAACCGACCCCATATAGACCTTCTGTTTCTCCTATCTAGAGTAAAATGTAATCCTTGTACTCTTCAATACTACATCCCATTCTCCTTACCTCTGCAAGTCCTAAAATGTCGCAATCTATTTTTTTCATGGCGTGTGTTAAAGAAATCTTTCTTCTGATGAGAGTGTTCTTACATTGTAGGTACATATCTTTATTAGTTCTTGTTTTTGTTTTTTGTTTTTATGTTAATAAGAACACATACATCATTTATTTTGTTAGTAGAATGTGAGCAGAATAATAGCTTAAGAGGCAGAGTGGTTATGTTAAATTAAGTGTTTTAATGTACAGGATGTTGGTTATATGACCAATTTCTTAGCTTAGCCTTCTTCAAAGGCTGCTAAAATCGTTGTCAATTCTGCAATTTCTAGTATTAAGTTGATTTAGTAAATAAGATTTGGCTAAGATGGAGCTAACATGATCAAATATATTGATCAAAGCTTCTAAACAAATAAATAAAATAAAAGTATCAAGACTTGCCTGTCTCGCTGTCTGTAGTTGCTGGCGCTGTGTGAATGTGTGCAGCATTAGAGCATCCCACTCATCTTGCATACTCTTTAGAGTAGCCGGTATAGATGTGGCACTGGGGGGCTTTGGCTTAACAATAGGTGGAGCTGTTGAAGTTTAACATTTAAGAGTTAGAGGAAACACATTACCTAATCAACAAACACTACCTAATAAAAGGAAGTATATTTTAAAATACGCAAGTATATTTTTAAATATGCAGGCGCTCTCCAACAAGGTGGACAGACCTTATTAAATCGGCGACGCACTCCTAGCGTAAATGATTGTTCTCGCTCTGCAAAGCATCGAGCTGCATGGCGACGCATCGCAATTGCCAAGAGTGCACAACTGGGAAGAAGATATTTTAAAAAGGCACTCTCAATTTTTTTATTATAATTTTGTTTAACATAAATGTGGAATGAATCAGGAGAGATTATTGTCTCACTTCTGTGATCCCCTTTATAGCATAAGAATTTTTTCAATATGATATCAACTTAAAAATTAAGAGGCTCATGGAAGGATTTAAGAAGAGAGTAGTTACAAGCTTAGGCCACTACAAAAAAATATCATAGATAATTTTAACTTTAAGTATACAGAATAGATGGTACATCTTCCATCTGGCACTTACTTTTTATTTCTATGAGATCTTCAACTCTAAGTTCTTTACCACTTAAAGGATCAACGCCATTCTCTATTATATACTTTTCAATGATACGTTTCTCGAAAACAGCCCCAGACGATGGGGATACCACGGGAACTTCAGGCACTTCATTGGATACTACAAAACAAAAAAAAGTTAGGTTACAAATGGCAGGTCAAGTAAATATAAACAAAACGAGCAAAGTATTCTTTTGGTATTGAATAATATTATCAGCATAAATAATGTAACACTTCATCACTAATAAATGTGCTATTTTTTGGATTCATTTTAACTTTTTCATTGTCAAAATTCCGGTTCGCGCGTCCGAGATTATCTTTTGCAAATAAAATGTGAGCGACATTTTATTACTTACTGGCACAGTAGAGAGCCATTCTATATCCAGTTTTGTAGTATTTTATTAGTAATTTCGGAAAATTAAATTAAAATCTCCAAAAAACGTTCGGCATCAAAAAGAATCACTATCACCACAGAGCACTCTGCACTGTTGCCACTTTTTTTTTAACTTTTACGGCCGTGAATTTCTTTATTTCGGCCGTGTTGCCACTGCCAGGTTTAGGGATGCAAACGATACATCGATGTTTGTAAAACATCGAGGTATCGGTGATAAACATCGATGTGTACATCGTGTTTTGATAAGCGATATATCGTCGTTAAATCGTTGACTACATTCACAAACATCGACATCGTTCTTGTCTGTTCGGATTTTCGGAATCACTGTGACGTTCGCTCACATTGCATTGATATGCTGACATGTAAATTAGTTTATAATCACTTGTAAAAATATTTACATTTGGAAATACCACAAGCAGCTGACAAATAAAAACATAGAAAATAAATCATCTGTTGCAGCTATGCCACTATCAGGCTTTATCAGCGAAACCGACCTTTCATCGCCTGTGACACCAATAAAGAGAGATGCCATCGAAATTTAGGACGATATGAAATCTCTATTTCCACAACGACCAAAGTCGCAATGATATACCTTCCCATCGTTGCCACGTCTGTCTCAAGTGAGCGATTGTTCTAGGAAGCTGGATTAACCATTATTCAACAAAGAAATAGGCTGTTAGGGTCTAGCTTATCTAAGCCTTTTCCTTGACTCTGTTGCAAGATTGTTAAATTCAAAATTAATAATGCGTATGTAATAAAATGGGTTTAATGTAATCAAATATGTTAATACTATAGCCAATGAAGCATTCTATTAAAAATATAAAACATTAGCAAAAATATCGATATATCGCTCTTATCAACGATATTTTTGAACATCATGTTTTTCATGCAAACATCGATGTTTTAAAATATCGACGTTTGTCAGAACGTTGTTGCATCCCTAGCCAGGTCCGATTGTTAAAAATTGGGAGGCGTTATAGAAAAAGCCGTAGATGTATGGAAAGAGCTACAAGAAAAAACAGAGATAAATCAAATCCAGATATAGGTCAGTAACGAATGTGGTTTTGTGGCTTCTGCTGCCCCTCAAAGTTTTTTTAGACGGTGACATATAATAAAACAGAAATTTTAAAAAAGAAAATCGTATTCTAAGAAAGCAGTAGATTCATGTAGAAAAATAACGAGCGAGCCTTGCAGTAGTCGCGTATTATGTGTAACATTTGAAACCTCGCCTCATATTAGTAAAAAAAGAAATAAAACCTATACAAAAGGAATAAGCCATTTGAACATTATATTCTAAAATCAAATCAAATAGCGCTCCATTTCACGAAATCACTCCCACAAATTGCAGGAAAGCGGGAGGAAAGATGTTACACATTAAAACAGTAGAACAGGAGAAATTTCAGAAAAACAGGAGGAGGATCTGTAAAATCGGGAGGCCTGGCAACACTGCCACGGAGTAAAGAGAACTGTAGGGGTACGGCCAGTTTTTAGACTTTAGGTAGTTTAAACTTTTGTAATTTAAATATTTCTATGTAAATTACGAAATAAATAAACATCAGTCTCTTCCTTTCATTCTGTATACATAATGACAAAGATACACTGTTGTAAAATTTAAGTTTAGGTTTAAAGAAATATGCCAGAATCGACACCAGTATCTATACAGAACTTTTGAAATTCTGGAGATTCAATAACGAACACCGAACCACAATATTTTTCCTGTGTTCATTTGTTTTGTTTTTCATAAATAGCTTTCTCTTACGAAATCCAGTTCGAAATTTAAATTTAACCTTTGATAAATTACTTCCTTGGTTGCCTTGTATCCGAATAAAAGATCGTTCCATTTGAAAAAAAAGCTATGTAATTTATATGACCGCTAAACACGAAAATATGGATTTTCATACAAATTTTGCCGGTCGCTGCTCGCATGTACTATGCGTTTCAAATAAGAATAGGAAAGCCAATGACCCCCATCTGTCAAATGTCGCTTGAAAAGTACGGTTTGCAAAAAAAAACTTGGATCATTTTTTTAGCACTGAGTTAATCTTAGAATAAATACCAAACATATTATGTAAACAAAAGAAGGAAATAAATCATACATATGAAACATATAGAAAATGAGTACTGGAAAACCTTTAGTTTTATTATAAATATTTACAGGTAAAAAAACAGTTTTTATTTTAAATAAAGTTGTCGTTTTAAAACCTACAATAATAGATATTTTATTTTATAGTCGAAAGCATCAGTGATGATAATGACTACTCCGTTAGTAGTACAGAGATGAGCGGAATTAAAGAGCTAATCTTTGTTTAATGTTTTTTCTCACTCAGTCTTTAACTTTAATAATAAATATTATTAAAGTTAAAAAAGTTTTTTGCTTACTCTACCTAACTGGTTTGAATTAACAGCTAAGACGCCACAATATGGCGCCCAGTCGGTCTTATTTTTAGTTGAATCGCATTATATATGGCCAGTACACAAAATAATGCTCACATTTCCAAGCATGTTTTATAAAACGATAAATTATTGTTAACTTGGGGCCGGTTGAATTTATGCAGTCATTAGCATCCTCTAATCCTCACTGGGCCCATGTGGGGATCATTATCCCTATGCCATCCATAGGGATGGTCTGTGCCCCAGCAGTGGAGACATTAAAGGCTGATGATGATGTTCCCAAACAAATGACTATATTTTAATAAATATGTACCCAAATTCATTTAGCAATACCTACTAATGTTGCCAGAGTCGGCAATTCTTTTTTGGTAGATATGCTGCTACAATTTTCTTTTGGTATTGTATTCTGGCACTTACGGAGATGCAAACGAAATAACATACCCACCCTCGGCTATTTTCATTTTTATTAAATGAGAATAACCAAAAACGTTAATAAAAAATAAATAAAACCATCATGTTTTTTCACAAAACTTTTATTACGTTATCGAACAACAGTTTAGAATAATTTGCGCCAAACAAAATGGCACATTTTACTTAGCACTAAAGGTTATTACGGATTCATGAAGTCAGATGTTACAAGCTTGCCTATTTATCTCTAGTTCTCATCTGAAGTCAGGAAAGTGTAACGACCACATCGGCATTGCTGCATGGTGTAAAAACTTACTCTAAAGGTATTACCTCACTTTGTACAACATGGCTACATTAGAAATGCCTTCGATTAAACTTAAGGGAGGGAAATATTTACATACTATCCCCATATAAAGAATTCCTTTCGATTTGCCTAAAGTTTAGTTTCTTCAAGCTGTTTAAATAACCAGTGAAGGTTACTTTGCAAAATATATGAACTCTTCGAAGAATGCGAAACTACAAATCGCGCATCCTTTATCAGTAACATAAGTTAAATGTAAATCATGACATGGCTACTTCAAGCCAACAAAAAACTTACCTACTCTAAGAGTTGTCAACAATACCCTTACATAAGTAAAAAAATACCCATTCATTATTTTAATGACTCAAAACTGAATTCTAATAAAATAATAATTTCCTATAAATAGAGACTATTAATTAAAATGCAACTTATTATGTAGAATAAATTCGAACTTATACTACGATTAAACTATAGTAAAAAAAACAAACTAACTCATGCCGAAAATATTCATTAGGCAATGACCAAAAATAATAATAACACAATTATTTTTACGATCAGTTATTTTTCTTGATAATAAAGTAATTTCAACATTTTTATGTGTCAGTCCATTAGCTATCCATAATTAAAAAGCGAAACAAATAAATCATTCAAATATAAGTACATTAAATTGTACTTATAGTTAAAAAAAAACTAATATTAAATTGCACAAGAACATTTACAATTATTATGTACAAAATTATTAGAATAAAAAGCAATCTATCCATTAAAATAAATAGGTTAAACTTCGGATAAAACGTTATCTGATATGATAACATCGATAGCCCCCTGCCCCCCTAGCATCATCACCGCGATATGATATATAGCTCGATTTTTATCACGCTTAATTGTCAAATTAGTATAGAGTTTGACAGTAAGATGCGATAAAAATCGCGATATAATGTTTAATGTGGTGTTCATACTACTAGGACTGCTTTAAAATGTGTCCAGAAAAAAAAAATACTTTTATTCTGTGATATTGACTTGATTTCTAATTAGGTAATAATGATATTGATTATAGACAAATGATTTATAATGGAATCTCTGAATTAGGTAAATTGTAAAAAAAATAGACCTAAATATATTGTTTTAACCTTTCATGGTCACTAACATTATAGTAATATAAGTTATTTACGGTATTGTTACCATGTACCTTGTTTTTAGCGAGTTTCCGATATTTCGGCACTGTTGCAAGCGCCATGATCACGGAGTAACCGTATAATAATATCGGAAACTCGCTAAAAACAAGGTACATTGTAACAATACCGTAAATAACTTATATTAGACCTCAATGTTATGAAAATAAGTGTTCAACAAGTTTTCAAGCAACTGTGACTGTTATATGAGTAAATATACAAAATGATTTAAATACCAAATTACTGTATCCTCCAAGTTGATCGTATTAAACATCTCCAACTTAAGAATAGGCTACATTCATAAAAATCACAAAATAGATAGCTTATTCACAACCACAGCTTTTAAAGCATGTTTTCTTTAACAATTAATCCATTTTGTGCTATTTCTGAGACCAATGTAGAAGAGAGTTCATAATATAGCAAATTTTTTAGATTTTTCTTTTTATAGTTCATTGTGAAAATAACCAGTGAAATTTACCAAGTTACACATTCCACGTTGAAGTTGAGATGGTAAAAAACACGATTAGATATGAAGTTGTACACTACACTGAAGTTCTTTAACACCAATCTGTGGAACTAAATCCACGACACACATTCATGTTGCGTCGTCTGGTGTACGTACGCTTGGCAACAATAATATGTATAGACAAACTAATGGCCGCACTCAGAGAAGGCAATAGGGTATTTGACAGAATTAAAAATAAAGTGCCAATTGTTAGCATCTGTGTTTAGAATGAATTTTGGCAGGGGTTTTTACTATTTTTACAAAAAAAAAATTATCATAATTTTACTAAAAACCCACCAACAAACGAAAAAGATAATAGTTTTCTTTTCTATTGTCACGTGACCCAAAACGCTAGGGATTGGCGAAGCCTAAAATGACGTCACACGCAAGTAAACTTCCGGATAAACATTACATTGTATCATTTGACGTTTTTATAGCAGTCGTGTGACGTCACACACTAGTAAGACGCCATATTGTCTAAAGAAACGTTTTCGCGGCAACTTGAAAATGGAGTTTTTGATTTGGTTATTTTTACTGAAATACATAGCAGAATGATGAATATCCACTTTTTACGGACTCTATAAACATTAGTCAATAACCTCGAGATCGTTTTCTAAAACTTGCCAAATACCCTATTAAGTTTAGTGTGATTAAATTGCAGTCACTTTGTGACAAGAAAAGAATGAGATAACACATAACTCAATGAAGAATTAAGAAGTCTCTGGGTACGGCGGTACCCTCTTATTAAAAAACGTAGTTAGTGACTTGGTTATGGGTCACTCAATGACGTATAAAAACAGGTAGACTCCCAATCGACTTACAATTTTTGTTCATCATCAAAAAACGTCTGACCAGCGTTGTATATACATTAAACATCAAATAACGCAAATAGCATTAACACATTTGTTCAAATTAACACATTATGTCGTTGCAGTAAGGTTCAATGACAATTGTATGAGAGAGAGAAAGGGTTTGATTACGGCGCAGGAGAGACATACACGATGACGCGGATAGATGCTTTGCTGTATCTATTAAAATGTAATCAATAGGGTATTTTCCAAGTTTTTGAAAACTGCTTATATATAAAGATTGGGACAAATGATTTAACAGAAAAATAAAAATTAATTAATTAATATCTTTTTTTCTGTATTAGACCAATTAAAGTAGAATTTGTTTTTAATGGTTTTTGAATTTACCGCCAAAACGCTCGGTTCGATGACGACTACTGTGTGACGTCAACTATGTGTATGCTACGTAATCATCTGAAGGTCTAATTAATATTTTTTCACGTTCGGGATAAAGTTATAATATAATAATTTGCAAATTTCTTCGCTACTAATCTTGATTTCTGTGCTACAGAGTTTCGAAACATCAGAAATTTTGTGTAAGTATTATACTGTAAATTTATCCCGAACGTAAAAAAGTTAATAATATGCCCTTCAGATAATTACATAGCATTCACAAAGTTGACGTCGCACAGTAGACGTCAACGAACCAAATAAAACGTTTTTGCGGTAAATTCAAAACCATTAAAAATAAATTTATCTGTAATTGGTTTAATGGAGAAAAAAAGACATTAATTAATTTATTTTTATTTTTCTATTAAATCGTTTGTCCCAATCTTTAAATATAAGCAGTTTTCAAAATTTTGGAAAAAACTCCTATTCGCAATACAATAGAAAACCCAAAGAATTTGTTAGTTTAAAGAAACTCGCATGTTTTCTAAGTGTGGATGAGGTGTCATTTGGTCATTTTTTAAACGAACAATTTGTCATTGCGTGGCGTTGTAATCAAAGCGCGGTCGAAATGCGACCGTTCGAAAATTACTCAGAATAGACGAATGTGCGTTATTTTGCTTCCAACACTTTTTGAGCGCGATTGTGAGTCTTATGTATATATATAATATTCGTCCGTTTGGGATATATATATCCCAAAGCCGTGGGACGCCCTGTATATATATATCATAAGTATTATTATTTGCTGTATTTTGCTGTATATATATATATATATATATATATATACTAGCCGACCCAGCGAACTTCGTACCGCCCTAAAAAAATAGGGGTTGTCCAGTGGACAAAATTGTGAATCTAAAGCATTCTCAGATCCCCTTGAACACACACAAAAAAAATCATCAAAATCGGTCCAGTCGTTTAAGAGAAGTTCAGTGACATACACACTCACAGAAGAATTATATATATACAGATACAGCAAATAATAATACTTATGATTAACCCTTTCGATGGCTATCTTAAAATATGTCGTGTTTTTTTTTTCGAAATTTCACGAGTTTGAATCCCAGTTGTAGCAGGCGAATTAAAAAAAAACTGTGAATGCAGTTCTAATTAATATTAAAATAAAATGATGTCTTCTTTCAGTAAAATATCCTATCTTCAATATTTAATATACTTTCCCTCCGTGTGAGGTAGCCGTGGGACGCTCTGTACATATATATATATATACTAGCGGACCCGACAGACGTTGTCCTGTCTACACGTCTTTGTGAATCTAAACCATTCTCAGATCCCCTTGAACACACACAAAAAATTTCATCAAAATCGGTCCAGTCGCTTAAGAGAAGTTCAGTGACATACACACTCACAGAAGAATTATATATATAAAGATATAACCCAAACACGGACGAATAAGGTAAATATATGAATTCCGAATATAGGGGTGTATTAGAAACTTAGGGCTCACTTGTGAGTCCGTTCAATTGTTTTTACGTCACAGATATAACTCAAATGACTCATGAGCGATGAACAGTGACATAAGATTGCATAGCTATTCCAAGCTAACTATTCGTTTTTTAATAAGAGGGTATAGAAAAACACAGCAATAACATGTCAATGTAAGTACAAACACTTCTGAAACATACCAAATTACATTAAACATACAATCACTTTCTGTACCAGCAATCCGTTCATGAGTCTACCACTCATTCAATGTGACGGAGTTCTACACACAGTGGCTTGGTATCAAAAGTATGGTACTTGGTACAATATGAGACAGATAGAAACATGGTATTTGTTTCCGCAGCACACCTCAGTCGTTTGGCATGAGGTTGGGCCCAAGATGTAAAAGAACAAGAAACAAAAAGGTATTATTTGAAATGCCCAAGTTGCAAGGGCGGATCCAGAGGGGGGGTCATGGGGGTCATGACCTGGGGGGCTGGGTCCATCTGTACCCACTTCACAATCTGTAGCCACTGTGTCTTGACCACGACTATATGACCCCCCCTGGGCTGGGTCCATCTGTACCCACTTCACAATCTGTAGCCACTGTGTCTTGACCACGACTATATGACCCCCCCTGGGCTGGGTCCATCTGTACCCACTGTGTCTTGACCACGACTATATGACCCCCCCTGGGCTGGGTCCATCTGTACCCACTTCACAATCTGTAGCCACTGTGTCTTGACCACGACTATATGACCCCCCCTGGGCTGGGTCCATCTGTACCCACTTCACAATCTGTAGCCACTGTGTCTTGACCACGACTATATGACCCCCCCTGGGCTGGGTCCATCTGTACCCACTTCACAATCTGTAGCCACTGTGTCTTGACCACGACTATATGACCCCCCCTGGGCTGGGTCCATCTGTACCCACTGTGTCTTGACCACGACTATATGACCCCCCCTGGGCTGGGTCCATCTGTACCCACTTCACAATCTGTAGCCACTGTGTCTTGACCACGACTATATGACCCCCCCTGGGCTGGGTCCATCTGTACCCACTTCACAATCTGTACCCACTGTGTCTTGACCACGACTATATGACCCCCCCTGGACTGGGTCCATCTGTACCCACTTCACAATCTGTACCCACTGTGACTTGACCACGACTATATGACCCTCCCTGGCGCCAAAGCTGGATCCGCCCTTGCCAAGTTGTTTAAAGTGTTGTCTGAGATATGATTTTTTTAAGTTGTGTTAGAGTAGTGTAGAGGTAGTGATAAAGGTGAAGAGTGGAGGGAGCTCACACCAGGATGCGGAGGGCGCGCTCCCGCAAGTCGCGGCATCACGAGCACGCCTCGCGGAGTAGTTGTACCGCTGCGTATACCTACAATAATAAATAATAATAATAAATATTTCCAACACTCACACCAATTAGCCTAGCCCCAAAGTAAGCACTGTAAGGCTTGTGTTATGGGATGCTAGGGGTAACGGATAGAATACATATACCGTACATATATAATTATATTTATATAGAAATACATATTAAACATCCATGACTGGAGTACAAATGCTCGTATTCATCACACAAACATCTGCCCCCACCGGGATTCGAACCCGGGACCTCTCGAGTCGGCGACACCATGAAACCCGGCGTACAAACCACTCGACCACGGAGGTCGTCAATGCGATACATTCATTTGAACCGAGTTTGAATTACGTAACAGTTTAAATTAGTGTACGAGCAAACGCGTACATTGCCGACGCAGCGTTTCTTTATTGACCTAATTTACCTATTTTTATCTATATATATAAAACTCAAAGGTAACTGACTGACTGACATAGTGATCTATCAACGCACAGCCCAAACCACTGGACGGATCGGGCTGAAATTTGGCATGCAGGTAGATGTTATGACGTAGACATCCGCTGAGAAAGGATTTTGATCAATTCTACCCCCAAGGGGATAAAATAGGGAATGAAAGTTTGTATGAAACTTTGTCAATTTTAAACCGATCGGGCTGAGTCATTGCATGCAGGTATAAGAAGAATCATAGATGAATGATACAAGCCTGAGAACAAAAACTGTAGTCTACACTTCAGCTCTACACCGAAGCGAAGCGAGGGCGGGCCGCTAGTAATTCATAATTTATTTTACATCGTTCAGTTCGCATTTCGTCGTCAAGCATACCACGCGTTTCCATTAGTTTAATCAGTTTATAATTACCAATATACTTCAGTTTGAAAATTATTTCCAGTTTTATTATTTTATCAGTTTTTATGTGACGGGCTCCCCGTACAATTAGGTACCTACAATTTTAAGTTGGGGGTCGTTCAAGTATTACGTAAGCAGATTTATTACAATTATTTACCCCCTCCTCCCCCTCGTCAGCAAAAGTAAGCAAAGCTCTTACCCCTCCCCCCCATCCTTACGTAAACATTGGTACCTATATGCATTTTTCCTTTAATGTATTCTGTTTTTTTATTGATTCATGAGCTTTCATGAGCTTCATGAGCAGCAGTACTTAATCTCCCCTCCACCCCCCTATCATCATGCGTACGTCACCTTGACGGCGGGTCCGAGCCGCAGTCGCAGCGCGCGCGCGAGCTCGGCGCGGGAGGCCATCAGCAGGGAGGGGCCGCGCAGGCTCCCCTCCACCCCCCTATCATCATGCGTACGTCACCTTGACGGCGGGCCCGAGCCGCAGTCGCAGCGCGCGCGCGAGCTCGGCGCGGGAGGCCATCAGCAGGGAGGGGCCGCGCAGGCTCCCCTCCACCCCCCTATCATCATGCGTACGTCACCTTGACGGCGGGTCCGAGCCGCAGCCGCAGCGCGCGCGCGAGCTCGGCGCGGGAGGCCATCAGCAGGGAGGGGCCGCGCAGGCTCCCCTCCACCCCCCTATCATCATGCGTACGTCACCTTGACGGCGGGTCCGAGCCGCAGCCGCAGCGCGCGCGCGAGCTCGGCGCGGGAGGCCATCAGCAGGGAGGGGCCGCGCAGGCTCCCCTCCACCCCCCTATCATCATGCGTACGTCACCTTGACGGCGGGTCCGAGCCGCAGCCGCAGCGCGCGCGCGAGCTCGGCGCGGGAGGCCATCAGCAGGGAGGGGCCGCGCAGGCCGGCGGCGGCGGCGGCAGCGCCCGCGCCCGCACCGCAAACGCGGCCGACCACCATCACCACCTCTTTCTACAATAAATAAATATAAAATTATTGCTGTTGCATATCTATTTTTAACCAACTATCATAACATTTAATTTATAAAGAATGGAAATTCATCACTGTAAAGAATATATTCTCATTTAGAAAGCGCAAAGAGAGAAGTTTTTTTCACTCGTTTTCTCCACAGCTTAAAAAATGTCATTAACAAGTATGGGAGGGAAAAAATGGACGATTCAAAAGAGTTGTATTATACTTCCTAATTGAAGATAAAAAGCCATTTTACATTTATGAAAGACGTTTTAACAATGCCTTTGTTCGAATATTAATACTTTAAGACAACACGGTAATATTATCTATACAGTATTGTGACTCCGCCCTGTCCTTGAAAATAAATGCCTACGGCCGAGCGCTGCGTTAGCACGCGGTAGGGCCGCCCGCCTACATTTTATGTAGTTTTGTTTTTAACGCGAGTGTAGGTAGATTACTCGTTTGTCTCTTTTTTCATCCTAACCACTTATTTATAATATTATTCCAGATATTTTGCCCGATGGAAAAACCGAAATACCTAAATATTAGAAACGAATTACGTACTAGTAGATAGGTATATAAAAAATATTCTATAAAGGTAAGACACCTTTCCAATATTTCAGGTAATTTAAAAAATGATATCTCTGGGTGTTTTATTGAAGAGTTCAAGCAACCAAAAACAGCAATTGTGCTGTCGTACGATATTGATCGTCGTTTGTTCTTTTCCATACTAAATTATGTAGGTATCTACTTAATTAAATCAAATATTTACAATACAAAACGCACGTTTAACGAACTGTAAAAAATTCGTGCTTAGGGTTCTACTTTTCATATTTAATGTGTAACATCTTTCCTCTCGCTTTCCTGCAATTTGTGGAGTAAAGTGTGTAACAGGAAGTTGCGAAAGCGCTCGCGATTTTATTTTAGAACAATGTTCAAATGCCTATTTCTTTTGTAGTAGGTTTTATTTCTTTTATTACTTATATAAGGAGAGGTTTCAAATGTTACACATCATACGCGACTACTGTAAGGCTCGCTCGTTATTTATTTATTTTTATAACTAGGTCCGACAAATGACTCCACCCCACCTGATGTTAAGTGACGGTGTAAGTCCAGACGCGACGATAGCTAATACAGCAGTTCTACTTGCCACACCAGCCATCCTCACCCTGCCGGGCTGCATGTTGCTTCTTCACGCCTCTTTTAAAGGATCCCAGGATGTAAGAGTGAGGGAACGCGTGAGCGGGCTGAGCATTCCATTTACGCATAGTGCGACAAAGAAATGAGTCACCATACTGTTTTGTACGCTTTGGAATAGTGGCCACAGTTAGTCGGTGGCAACGTAGGCCAGCGCGCGTGGTCCTCTGAAGGAAAGGGGAAGGTGGAATAATTCTTCATAGAGCTAGGAATCTCGTTGGCCAGATCGCTGTTCGTATAGTTTGCCCACCTCTGTCCACGTGGGATCCGCTGCTAGATATAATTCAGCGACATGTCAGGCTAGATACGATCCTCTCGCTGCTCATCATCGCCCTGAAGCAGACCGCCTCGACTCAGATTCCTGCGTACAGGGCTCTAAATCCTATTCTTCTTGGTTCTTCATAGAGCTAAGAACCTAAGCATGACATAATTACACTATAAGCTAGTACTCACCTCTGTCCAAGTAGTAGGGTCTGCTGGCAGATCTAATTCAGCGATATGTCTGGCTAGATGCGCTCGCGGTTCGCTGCTCATCACCGCGTTGGAAACGGACCGCCTCGACTGAGATTCCTTCGTTCGGGGCTTTAAATCCTATTCTTCTTGGTTCTTCATAAAGCTAGGAACCTGAGCACAACATAATTATACTATAATCTAGTACTCACCTCTGTCCAAGTAGTAGGGTCTGCTGGCAGATCTAATTCAGCGATATGTCTGGCTAGATGCGCTCGCGGTTCGCTGCTCATCACCGCGTTGGAAACGGACCGCCTCGACTGAGATTCCTTCGTTCGGGGCTTTAAATCCTGTTCTTCTTGGTTTTTCATAGAGCTAGGGAGCTCGTTGGACGGTTCGCTGTTCGCATCTTTGTTCTCATTCCCGCGTTCGCTCTCGCTTCCGCGCCAACGCTTACCGCCGCCGCTCGAGACTGAATCGTCGTCCGATATCTAGAAATAAAGCCATGGCTGTATTTAAAGTGAAACTTTTATCACATCGCTAGATTCTGTGAGGAAAAAGAATGGGATTTAGATTGGAGGGCGCTGCAGTGCTTTTCTATCGTATTTGTAAGGTTTTACCCCTTTTAGACTTGATTAAATACAAAAAACCGCAAGAAATCACAACAACAAACAAATCCGTATCAATACAAAACTTTGACGTTTTAAATTTTTCTGGGTTTGATTGCCAAATAAAAATCTTAATGTTAGTTCCGTTTTTCGCCACGCCCATTCCCTTTCCGCACAGACTCTACTAATATTTTTCGTTTATCTTTACCATGTCGCATTACATCTCTAATAGTAGCTAAAGAAATTAGGTTTTACCAACAAGCATTCATAGCTCAGTGATAGGCCCGGGTTCGATTCGCAGCCGAGAAAGGATTTTTTTATTAATGCAATTGAAAGTTACACTTGCATCATGGTTTTATTAAAATACACCATTTTTCTTATATTCCTAAGCACACGAATCATTTAAAAATAGACTGCGGGTTATTGATTGCGTATATACACTTCAGGATACATCTTTCGGCTCACCTAGCATTTTATTTTAACAGTCCTTAGCTAAAAGTGAATGTTACATTGAGTAAAAAGTTATTATCTACGTTTATATTATTTATTTTTTATATTATTTATTTTTTAAGCATTTAACTGCTAGATGTTTAAATCTAAAGAAAATATAACGAGAATAAATTTAACACCGACCAGGCAGCAGACGGGACTCGAACCCGCACCCTTCGTTATCCGGGCGAATGAACCAACATTATGCATATAAGTGCTTGAACTCCACTCAAGCACTTCTTGGTTCACAGTCACGAGCGGATGGTTACAAGTCAGGATGCCACAGAGCTACGCGAAAAAATGCGAAAATAATACTTAGATATTTGATACTGACGTTTTTTCGATAGGTATTTAGTCAATGTTTGTTAATTTAACGCATTTGAAGTAAATTTTGATCTAATACTTATTATAAACTGATTTAATATAAAATATTCAAATGCATGGTCGGTTATACGTCGCCATATAGCTGTCTCTTTTCCTCGCGGTCCGTGCCTGCTATATTGCTAATGTTGCCTGTTCAGAATTACGCGTAGAGTCAAAGAACTAAGGTCTAAATTCTTCCGCATATAGCAATAAGTCGTAAAATTTTTTGAGCTTGCATTTCGAACTGTCAGATGTCCTTGACGCATGCGTTTTATTTAAGACCTTATACAGTATGTATTAAAGGTTACTTTCCATATTCAAATAATACCTTATATTGATTTTTACTACGCGATCATCTAACGGAGCTCCGTGGATCGTTCAATGTACCTTTTTGACAGGTTTCGGGCACGATTTTGTTCGTGTTGGTGTATCTAGGGTATTTAGTTGGATATTATCGCTAAATCTCCAGTCTCTTCAATTTTCACAATTTGCGCAGACGCAGAAGATTGCGCAGTTTGCTCCCCTGGCGTAGACATTTTCTCGTCGCATGCTATTACCTGCCTGCCAGACTATATGCGTAGCAGGAAGTCGTATCTGGTACGATAAACTAATTATTACGCAACGTTCACAGTTCACACTTTACAAATTTTAATTTCTATTTTATGTGCGTCAATAGTTATAAGTAGGGTTGCAACGATATATCGGAATATCGATATTATCGATAATATCGAGACCAAAATATCGATATTTATATCGATATTTAAAATTCACTGATATCGATAATATCGATATCGGAAATTCCAAAATATCGATATTTCGTAGACTTAATTTGAAGACAATAATATCAATTAATTTACCTGCTATGACTATCTAAATTGAATAATATCGAAATAACTATTGCTTTGAAATTGCAAGAGCTTATAGATGTATTAAAAAAATCTTGAACCCCAAGAAATATACTAAACTGGTGTGGACTCTGGCAGGTTTCTCTAAACCTAAAATTAAATTTGACAACAGTGTATCCTTGTCATTCTCTATACAGAATGAAAACGAGAGACTGATGTTAAATTTAGTTTTAAATTTAGATAATCATGCCATCGACACCAACGTATATAGGTATAATCGTATACCTAATGGTAACTCATGCACTAAAATAAACACCCCTTGCCTCTCTTTCTAGATAATTGTCAACTACTGATTAATTGAAATTTAATATCATTGTAATATAACACAAAATAAAATTAAGAATCTTATACAAATCGTAAATTTTTTAAGCTCGCCAAGTCAAGAAAGTAAGATAGGTATAGTAATTTTGGAAGCTTTGGGCTTACCCTATTCTGGAGCCTGATGTGTAGGTTTTACTAATTCATAACAATTGTTTTTCATATGATTATCTATTCTGATTTTGGCTGCGTGCAAATATTTTAAACAAAATAAATATCTTTGATTCGAAATTGCTTTTGATTTGATACTTCTTACAGCGCTATAAAAAATATAGAAAATATCGTGTTGGAAATGTTGGAATGGCTGACATATCTGATCGGATTTCGATATTTACCTGCCCACATTATAAATATCGATATTTCGGAAACCTTTGCTTCCTTAATTTTAGGTTTTTGCATTGCAAACTTAATACAAAGCAAAAAAAAGAAAAAAATAATCGATATATCGATAATATCGAGTTAAAATGGTCGATATATCGGATATCGATATTTGCCTGACTTCGATATAAATATCGATATTTCAAAAGACTTTGCATCCCTAGTTATAAGGGTCTTTCCATATGGAATAATTTTTATTTATTCAAAATACATTACACCATTATATAACAGGTATATACCTAATTCAATAGTGTAGTCGTCCTCTCAAACTAACAATAAATTCTAATAAAATTACATTAATTCTTAAAAATATTATTTCTATAATAAAGTCAATATACTTGGAACACTGTAGTTTTATTTGTCACTCAACATGAGATTTTACACTACCCTTATACAACTTGTCCTAGTTACAAAAATGTATATGTGTGAATTAAGCAAAAGCCTGTAAAACATATTTTTGCTACAGACCGTTGAAATTTATAATACAAAGTTGGCCGATACACGTGTCCGGAAGCATATTATTATTATGCGACTAAGATCTCAATTTTGAAAACTTTAACGCGTTTTTTCTTCACAGTCAATTCAAAGTGCTATCAAAGTTTTTGGTTATAAATGAAACACTTACCACGTCACCTTTGACAACTTCCTCAACACGCTTATGCTTGGGCGGTCTGCCTTTCAAGGGTAATGACCTGTTCATAAAATAACGAAAGAAATAGTTATGATATTTGAAATAAACGGATAAAAGTTTAAACACTTCAGTTAATAAAGCTATTTGTTTCTTAGGTTTTCACGCACATCACTCATTAAATAAAACTAGTTTTTACGGGTTAATGTACGAAACTTTATTTATTTATTGACGTTTCGCAGCCTTTTCAGGTCTGCATCGTCAGAATAATGATTTTTTTTTCATCATTATTCTGACGATGCAGACCTGAAAAGGCTGCGAAACGTCAATAAATAAATAAAGTTTCGTGCATTAACCCGTAAAAACTAGTTTTATTTAATAAAGCTAGTTTACCTTATATCTTTGGCAGTGTCGCTCGTCGGCGTGCTTGTTGTAATAGATTTTGGGGCTTTACTCAATACTCTGTAAGAATGAAAACATAATTTAATATAAAAAGGTAAATTAGGCTTTAGTCAAATATTAATCTATATGTATAAAACTCAAAGGTGACTGACTGACATAGTGATCTATCAACGCACAGCCCTAACCACTGGACGGATCGGGCTGAAATTTGGCATGCAGGTAGATGTTATGACGTAGGCATCCGCTAAGAAAGGATTTTGATCAATTCTACCCCCAAGGGGATAAAATAGGGAATGAAAGTTTGTATGAAACTTTGTCAATTTTAAACCGATCGGGCCGAGACTTTGCTCAGCATTGTATAAGAAGAATCATAGATGAATGGCATTGTGTATAATACAAGTCTGAGAACAAAAACTGTAGTCTATACTTCAGCTCTACACCGAAGCGAAGCGAGGGCGGGCCGCTAGTAGTAGATAATAATATAATAAAAATACATTGCTTGTGTCGTGGAACACTCATACGGTTGGAGCGAAGTTAATAGTAGATTGTTTACTAAAGCAGTAAATAACCATTCTAAAGGCAAGAGCTATTTTTGTATCCAAAGCAGGATTTTATAGATAAAAGACTCTGCTACTAAATTTTCAAGCATACTTTCACTCACTACACGAGGAAAAGACTCGTTTTTTATAAAACTAAATAGATCAGAATCTGAGTACCTACTAATCAGACGGACAACAGATGAACGAAGGCTAAATGTATTTCGGGCGTTTGTATTTTTTTGGATAAGCACTCGTATCATTTTTGCTAATAATAGCCAGATACGAAATCCAAATCGCTTTTATTCCGTAAGGATTAAAACGCTATTTTGGTCCCTATAAATAGAGAACAAACTAACCTGTGCTCGCGGGGCGATACGAAGTGGGGGTGGAGCGGGGCGAGGCGGTTCGCCGGGGTGCCAAACACATTGTATACACACCTTTTTTATGTCTTAGAAATGCCTAACGTTTCCTTGGGGAGCATGAAGAGGGTATCCGGGACTCCTCTCCGTTAACTTCATCCAGTTTTGTAGCTCGATAAGTGACTCTACCAGTCCCCGTAGCATGAGCACCTCAATTTACCTTACATCAGGTTTTTTATATATACTCTTTATTGCACACAAAAAAATGTAAGATACAAAACATAAATATGTGAGCAAAGGAGGGCTTATCTCTAAGAGAGATCTCTTCCAGCCAACCAAGGTTTAGTGAGAGATAAAAGTAAGCGGGTGTAGAGATGTGCACTAAGTACTTACTTGCAGATTATATACCTATCTAAGACTACATACATACATACATATATATACATATACATACATACACTATAAAATAATAAATACACAATACATGAAATTATGTTAAGATAAAACAAAGAGTGGAATAAATAGACAACTAAGAGTGGGAATTTATTTCCAGAAAGTGCTCTTTGACCTTTGCTTTAAAAGAGACAATAGAAGGACAGTCTTGAATATTAGAGGGAAGTCTGTTCCAGAGTAAAGCAGCACGAACAGAAAAGGAATGGAAAAAGAAGTTGGTATTACTTTTTGGTAGTTCAAGTGTCTTCGTGTTGCAAGACCTTTTAGGACGAGTAGGAGGAGGAAGCGTTTTGAAACGGGAAACAAGGTAATGAGGAGAACTAGGATCTTTGAGGATTTTAAACAAGAATGATAGGATATGCATATCACGTCGAAGACGAATGGGAAGCCATTTCAATTGAGAGCGAAAAGCAGAAACTCGGTCATATTTACGCAATCCGAATATGAAACGAATTGCAAGATTTTGGAGACGCTCTAGCTTATTCAATTGATCTTCAGTTACATCCAAGTAGCAAATATCGGCGTAGTCGAGAATGGTGAGAAGGAGTGATTGCGCCAGCATAATTTTGGTTTTGAAGGGAAGAAAAAATTGAAGCCGCTTGAGGGAGTGAAATGAGTAATGAATACGTTTACTGACTTCACTAATATGTGGGGACCATGACATTGTGCTATCCATAATTAAGCCCAGGTTTTTCACTTTATCGGTGTAAGGTATAGGCACGTCGTTATATTTAATGGGAGGTATCAAGTTCCAGTCTAATTTGTATCTAATCCTGCTACTACCGACAATCATGGCTTGACATTTATTCGGGTTAACTAAGAGACCAAACGAAGCAGTCCAGTTTTGAATGGATGTTAGATTCCTATTTAAAAAAGTAATGGCATCAGTGATTTCAGCTAAGGCAAAATCTTTATAAATTTGCAGGTCATCAGCGTAAAGGTGAAAAGGGCAAGAGAGGACACGAGAAATATTGTTAATAAATAACGAAAATAATAAAGGTGAGAGAACACCTCCTTGAGGCACACCAGCTGATACATTCGACCAATCAGAGAATTCGTCATTTAGTTGGACACGCTGGAATCGATTGAAAAGATATGAACGGAACCATCCAATCACAGAGGAGCACACGCCAAAGTAACTTAAAGTAGAGAGTAAGAGGTCGAAGTCGACACAGTCAAATGCGCTGCTCAGATCTAATAATACGATAGCTGTTAGTTTGGTGTTGTCCATAGCAGAGCGAATGTCCTCAGTTATGTTGAGCAGTGCACCAACTGTGCCGTGAGATGGGCGAAAACCGGATTGGTAAGGACATAATAAGGAATTAGAAACGAGAAAGGAATACAACTGTTTGTGGACTACAGATTCTAAAACCTTAGAGAGTAAGGGAAGAATAGAAATAGGCCGAAACTGGGAGAGTGAAGATGGATTGGGAGTTTTTGGAATGGGAATGACATGAGCTTTCTTCCATGATGACGGAAAGACATTGTTTTCCAACGAAAAATTAATTATGTGTGTGATTATGGGAACAATGTACTCCAGCACCGGAAGAAGCATGTCTAGACTAAGACCATCACCACCAATGGCTTTGGTGGAGATAGATTTAATACTTTTTGCCACGTCCTCCTCTGAAACTGAGTTGAAAGAAAACGAGGGATGATTATTACTTTGAGGTTGATTAAGACTAGACAATAGGGAGAGGGTATTAGACTTAGAAAGATTATCTAGAGTCAAAGGTGGTGAAGAAAAGTGTTTATTCAGGGAATTGAGATCTATGATATTCTGACTTGTATCCGTTGGCTTACCTACTCCCAATGATCTTAAGAAACTCCAGATCTGCCTCTGGTCCGAACCCTCAATTTGATCATGAATATACTTGCGCTTAGCATCCCTGCACATCCTATTGCAAAGATTGCGCAACTTCTTGTAAGCTTGCAAGTTCTCAATGGACGGTGAAAGTTTTTGACGGCTTTTAGCCTTGTCACGCTTTGCCATAACTCTACGAATGGCTGGAGTCAACCAAGGGGCGGGAATGTGTTTAAGGCGAACTGGTCGCACTGGAGCATGAATATCGTACATTTTCGTTAGAGTACTAGTAAAATATTCCACCATCGCATCTATATTGTGAGCAAGTAGAACCGGAGACCAATCTATATCTCTCATATCAACCCTCAAGCGTTCAAGATCCATTTGCTTAAAATTGCGCAGAAAACGAACTCTAGGTTTGGCTTTGGGAACACGTACTTTGTGAGATAGAAAGATGAGGTCATGATAAGAAAAGGGTGCTGTCATTTGTCCATGAGCACCAACCAAGTCAGGGTTAGAAACAATAACAAGATCAAGAAGAGATGGTTTGGAGTTTGGGAAATAATGAGTTGGAGACGACTTTTGAAGAATATGGAGATTGAGAGAAGATGTCAGACTATTAAGCTTACCAGCTCTAGTATCATTTTTTAAAAGACAAGTGTTAAGATCACCCATCAAGATGATCTGGTCGTAAACAGGCACTACATCCTCAAGCGCACTCTCAAGAGAGTTAAAATAATCCACCTGATCGTTTGGACTATAAAGGGCCCCTAGGAGAATCTTTGTATGGCGTGTAATAATCTCAACAAATAAATATTCAATGGCGCCAGTGTAATGTGATGGAGAATGCATGATTACTCTGGCAGGAATATGACTACGCAGATAGATACCTACACCACCGCCCCCTAGACCAGTGCGATCATTGCGAAAAAGCTTATAGCCCGGGATAGAGAAACATGTGCTAGAAAGGGAAGGCTTTAACCAAGTTTCCGAAATAAGTATACAGTCAACTACGCCATTGTCAAAGGAAGTAAGAAGATCATTATAATGGGATGGAATACTTTGGGCGTTGATATGCACAAGGGAAAGAGAATTGGGATTTTTACCAAAAGTTTCTAACAATTTGTAATTCAAAGGTTTTGAATCAAAAAGCAAAGAATCATTACTATCTGCACATTCATATTCGTCAGACGAACAAGAAAAATATTCATCATTCACTAACATATATAAAGATAATATATATAATATAATAACAAAAAAATAAATAAATAAAATAAAATAACAGTAATAAAAAAAAACAATTAATTTAAAAACCTCCGTAAGCCCAAGTTGACTTGAAGAAGAATCTCCGATAACCGGACACATTTCAAGGCAAAACAGCTACAGAAAACAAAACAGATTGGACAATAGGTTTATGCCGATTACAAATTTTGAAATTTAATTTTAACCAAAATTAGATAACGTGATAACAAACACTGTCATGAAAAAAAAAAAAAAAAGTTCTTTGGCTGTATGAATATCATTACCTTGTCTTTAAAAATGAAGTAAGTAAAAAAAAAACAATGACATTTGCTCTACTGCAGTTTAGTTGACAGTGACGTGACAGATTACCGACAGTATTTTGATTCTACTTGTAATCAAAAAGTATATTCTGTTCAATAAAAATAGATAAATTACGGTAGAATAACAATTAATGTTCATTTGCGACCAAAATAGCTCGCACGAAGTGAAGTTAGTAATTGAACTACAATTATCGACATACCGCACAGTTCAATGTTATAGTCCGACAAAGAAATAGAGGACAGGCAAACCGAAATGTTACTTGACACTTTCTTGAACCACTTCCTCCGATTGTTTTGGATGCCTGAGTATCAATTGTTGGAGATCATTGCTAGAAAAGATTTTCTTACGCACACCGTCCGCCAACAGAACAGAAATAACGCCTTCAGTTGACCAGCATTTCTTCCTACCAAAATGTTTGCGAGCTGCTACAAAAAGTTCTTGTCTCATCTTAGTAAGGAACTCGGATACTGATATATTAGAATCCTTCAGCTTGGTTTTACTGTTCCACACCATCATGCGTTGTTTCATTGAAATAAAGCGAACCAGGACTGGACGATTTGAACCCTTTTTCTTTGTGCCAAGCCGATGACAAGAGCCAATAGCTTCAGAACTCATACTGGCTAATTGTAATTTGGTGGTTAATATGGAAACAGTTTTGTTTACTATATCTTCATCCTCATCCTCCCTGATCCCATGAAACAAGAGAACCTTCCTGCGGGTATATGCATCCAGGCGATCCAAACCCAATGTCAGCAGTTCAATCTGTGACTTTAGTATGGAGAGTGTCTTCCAGACAAATGTCTTGAACGATGCAAAGTCAGCAGCTAAGGATTTTACCGTAGTGTTGGATTCTTTTGAACCAGGTACTTGAAGATGTTTTTCGAACTCGGTCATCCGGCTGTCATTTTAATCGCATCTAACTGTCAAACTCCGTAGTAATTTGACAGTTGAGCGTGATAAAAACGAGTAATATATCATTTCGCGGTGCTCATGCTAGGCGGGTAGGCGGTCAATTGCTTACAGGGTTGCTATGGGTATCTCTATCGCTTACAATTTCATTTTGTTATTTCTGACCGTTGAAGGTTTCCAAATACCTAACGCTTATTTCTTTAATATTGTTATTACCAATGCAAAAGAAATAAGAGTTTGAGGCATTTGAAATCGCTTAATCAGACTTTTTGGCGGGATCGGGAAGCGTCACTTTAGCAGGTTTGTTTTTCTTGTTAAAAATTGTGTTGTGGCGGCTGTTAGTGTCTAATAATGGTGGATTATTAACCAATAAGTGTTGCACAAGTGTTGGCAAGTGAAACAAAAATGCGGAAAGTGTCTTTCGACGTTCCCTCAAGAAGTCCACGGGAACTCCCCACATTTTTATTGAAACATAGGGAAAGCGCTTGACTTGACTGCCACTTACTTTGACCACGAGTGCGATAGACACTTGACATTGGCTAAATGCACAAGCCGTGCGAAGCCATTTAGAAGAAAAAAAAGCTTAATCGGGCGTCGCGCCGCCCCCCGACGAGCCCAGTCCCCGACACCCTCCCATGCCGCACGGACCGGTCCCTGGTACTGACCTGCGCTCGCGCGGCGACACGTGCTGGGGGTGGGGCGGGGCGAGGCGGTCGGGCGGGGGCGGGCGCGGGCGGTAGGGGCACGTGGACGCGGCGTTGTGCTGCTTGTGCGCGCCGCCCCCCGACGAGCCCAGTCCCCGACACCCTCCCATGCCGCACGGACCGGTCCCTGGTACTGACCTGCGCTCGCGCGGCGACACGTGCTGGGGGTGGGGCGGGGCGAGGCGGTCGGGCGGGGGCGGGCGCGGGCGGTAGGGGCACGTGGACGCGGCGTTGTGCTGCTTGTGCGCGCCGCCCCCCGACGAGCCCAGTCCCCGACACCCTCCCATGCCGCACGGACCGGTCACCGACAGCTCCTCCGCCGCTGTGCCCAAAATAATAATCGTCAATCTATGATGTTTTATAGTAATAACACGCTTCTAATTTGGCAATACAAAAGTCAAATGATTGCCCGACTCGCATTCATACTCTCTCGCCGCGGCTGCAACTCGCTACGTGTAAATATTTTACGTTTTTCTTATATATTTTACTATAACCCTGCCAGTATCGACGTTGACTTACAGAGGGGGGTCTCCAGCGGGTGGCCGGTCTTGAGGTACCAATCCACGGGGTGCATGTCGGGGTAGTCATCGTCCAGCCACGCGGAGAGCCTTCGGACGAGACTATAACCCTGCCAGTACCGAGGTTGACTCACTGAGGGGGGGGGGGGGGGGGGGGCTCCAGCGGGTGGTCAGTCTTGAAGCATCAGCCCACGGGGTGCATGTCGGGGGAATCGTCGTCCAGCCACTCGGAGAGCCTTCGGACGAGACTATAACCCTGCCAGTATCGAGGTTGACTCACTGAGGGGGGGGCTCCAGCGGGTGGCCGGTCTTGAGGCACCAGCCCACGGGGTGCATGTCGGGGGAGTCGTCGTCCAGCCACTCGGACGAGACTATAACCCTGCCAGTATCGAGGTTGACTCACTGAGGGGGGGCTCCAGCGGGTGGCCGGTCTTGAGGCACCAGCCCACGGGGTGCATGTCGGGGGAGTCGTCGTCCAGCCACTCGGACAACCTTCGGACGAAACTATAACCCTGTCAGTATCGAGGTTGACTCACTGAGGGGGGGCTCCAGCGGGTGGCCGGTCTTGAGGCACCAGCCCACGGGGTGCATGTCGGGGGAGTCGTCGTCCAGCCACTCGGACAGCCTTCGGACGAGACTATAACCCTGCCAGTATCGAGGTTGACTCACTGAGGGGGGGCTCCAGCGGGTGGCCGGTCTTGAGGCACCAGCCCACGGGGTGCATGGTGGGGGTAGTCGTCGTCCAGCCACTCGGACAACCTTCGGACGAAACTATAACCCTGCCAGTATCGAGGTTGACTCACTGAGGGGGGGCTCCAGCGGGTGGCCAGTCTTGAGGCACCAGCCCACGGGGTGCATGTCGGGGGAGTCGTCGTCCAGCCATTCGGACAGCCTTCGGACGAGACTATAACCCTGCCAGTATCGAGGTTGACTCACTGAGGGGGGGCTCCAGCGGATGGCCGGTCTTGAGGCATCAGCCCACGAGGTGCATGTCGGGGGACTCGTCGTCCAGCCACTCGGACAACCTTCGGACGAAACTATAACCCTGTCAGTATCGAGGTTGACTCACTGAGGGGGGGCTCCAGCGGGTGGCCGGTCTTGAGGCACCAGCCCACGGGGTGCATGTCGGGGGAGTCGTCGTCCAGCCACTCGGACAACCTTCGGACGAAACTATAACCCTGTCAGTATCGAGGTTGACTCACTGAGGGGGGGCTCCAGCGGGTGGCCGGTCTTGAGGCACCAGCCCACGGGGTGCATGTCGGGGGAGTCGTCGTCCAGCCACTCGGAGAGCTCGTCGGGCCAGCCGTCGAACGAGACGCGTACCTGGTGGCCCTTCACCGCGCTTATCGTCGCCACGCGAATCAGGAACGGTACCTGTTGGTGAATTCAATGCTTTCTATTGTACAGAACAGAACCAAACCTTAGTGTCGCCGCACATGGACCACCGACCACAACCACAAAACGCCGCCACCGGCATATTTCTTGTAGTTTTCATACACTTTATATGGACTCGCCACACACGGTACGCCGGTGGCCGCGACACGCTATAAATCGTCGTTACTCGCTTCTTGTGGCCCGCACCGGCCACTTAATGCGCCGATACAAGAAGCCTTCTAGCTTCTCGTGGCGGCGTTTGTGGCTGTGGCGTGTGGCCCGTCGACGGCGACACTTACTATAACTACCTACCTATAGATCCTTGTTTAATATTACAATGGTGTCAATTCTAGCATGATTCTCTAAATCTAAAGAAAAGTTTACTAGAAAAAAATACACGCGGATCAGGCAGCGGACGGGACTCGAACCCGCATCCTTCGCTATCCAGGCGAATGCACTGACCATTATGCTACCACGGCCCTATTAGCCGCGTCGAAATTTTCCTAGCCTTAAGCTGCAAGGCAGCGCCATCTCTTCGCAAATAAAATAAATAAAATCATAACTATAATTGCTATTATGTTTTTATTTATTTTTTAAGCATTTAACTGCTAGATGTTTAAATCTAAAGAAAAGTTTACTAGAAAAAAATATATAATATATAATTGCTATTTCTTCTTTCAAATGTTTAATACTTGAAAAAGTATTCATTTGACATTGTGGGTTACCTACAATGCGAAGAGATGGCGCTGCCTTGCAGCTTAAGGCTAGGAAAATTTCGACGCGGCTAATAGGGCCGTGGTAGCATAATGGTCAGTGCATTCGCCCGGGTAGCGAAGGATGCGGGTTCGAGTCCCGTCCGCTGCCTGGTCCGCGTGGATTTTTTTCTAGTAAACTTTTCTTTAGATTTAAACATCTAGCAGTTAAATGCTTAAAAAATAAATAAAATCATGATTCTCTAAACTTAAAACTAAATTTAACGTAAATCTCTCCCTCTTATTCTTTATAGAGAATGACAAGGATATACTGTTATCTAATTTAAGTTTAGGTTTGAGAATCATCCCAGAATCGGCACCAGTGTAATGTATACACCAGAGTCTAGTCGATAAATGTTATATTTATATTAATCATACCTTTTAATATACAGCAGAATTTTGCAAGTCGATTAGCTAGTTACCCCGAACAAATCGTGACACGAAAGGTAAGAATCTCGACATTAATACTGCGGTATTAATGAATACTATGCCTTGAAAGGACACCACAATAGCCGGTCTTAGGGTGGGTGACCAAAAACTTATTATTTGGAGCTCCTTCGTACTTCAGATGGCAGGTTAAGAGCCCTTTCACATTTTTTGTAAAAAATCGCAATTTTTGAGCGCCTCGTTTACCCCCCTAAAATGATTTTGTCTATTTCCAATAGAAGTAAACAGTTGGTTGATTTATTCTTCTTGTAAGTTAATGTACAATATTTGCAAATACTGTTTTCCTTTTTTTGTACTGATCGTTCTACCGCAGCTAGTTTACGGAAAAAACGATAATATGCACAACTTCAAACTCCTAATTCTCTAAATAATGTTCAATAAATTAGATCAAATTAATTACTACGACATCCAAAATATGTTTTTATTGTAACATAATGCATTAGAAATTTAATTTTGCATCTCATTAATTATCAAAAAAAACATCTAACCTCCGTGAGTTTTCCCAAAAAACAATGCAGGTTTACCTCGTATTTTGATATTGAATTAAATAGAATTACTATCAAAAACTTTCATAAAACTAATCTAAAAATTATTGAACTATTGAAATATGTATATATTTTTATAATTAGTTCATCTATACTTATAATAAATCTGTAGAGAGGTCAATTCTGTACATGAAATATATTTTCAAAATACCTATCAGGGGGCGATTAGTGATCGATACTGATGGCAAAAATGCAATCAGTAAAATTTTTGTCTGTCTATCTGTATGTTCCTTATAGAAACAGAAACTACTCGACGGATTTTAACGAAACTTGGTACAATTATTCTTCATACTCCTGGGCAGGTTATAGTATACTTTTCATCACGCTACAATTAATAGCAGCAGAGTAGTGAAGAGAAATATTGGGAAAACGGAAGAAGTTACTCCATTTTTTAAGCTTCCGTCGCGTGTGCAGCCTTAATGGTTAAAGTTACATAGAAATCATGTATGACGGAAATATTCTACATAAAATTGTCTAAAAAATATCCCGCAACAGCATATGTCAATCTTTTATGGTTGACTCACAATAACACGTGTAATTATATAAATAAAGGCATTGTTTATAGCACAAGCCTGAGAACAAAAACTATAGTTTACAGTACAGCTCTACACCGAAGCGAAGCGAGGGCGGGCCACTAGTTAATAATAATTTTATAAGACTCGAAACATCACCCGTAAAATGCAATAACATATTAGTGCCAATCTACCTACGCGCCGATCAGTACGGCAGCGGCGCAGTTTTGTAAAAGAGCTCTGAAGTCCATGATCCCGGCTGTATCTACAGTTAACAGCCACCGCCACCGGCCAATACGTACTAGAAGCGCGTGGTGGGTTATGGTTCAACCTAACTATTCCATACATAAATAAGTATTTCTAACACTCACACCAATTAGCCTAGTCCCAAAGTAAGCACTGTAGGCTTGCGTTATCATCCATGACTGGAGTACAAATATGCTCGTACTCATCACAAAAACATCTGCCCCCAACGGGATTCTAACCCGGGACCTCTCGAGTAGGCGACACCTTGATACCCGGCAAACAAACCACTCGGCCTCGGAGGTCGACAAACATATCATCATCATCATCAGCCTATTAATGTCCCCACTGCTGGGGCACAGGCCTTCCCTATGTATGGAATAGGGAGATTGGGCCATGACCCACCACGCGGGCCCAGTGCGGATTGGTGGGTGCTAACGACTGCAGATGCAGCCGGGACCAACGGCTTAACGTGCCTTCCGAAGCACGGAGGAGCTCGAGATAGTAAATTTTCGGTCACCCATCCAATGACCACTACTGCGAAAGTTGCTTAACTTCAACGATCGCAGCCGAACGCGCTAACCACTTGCGCCATCGAGCTCCTCTTTACGTACGCCGGGTTTCATGGTATCGCCGACTCGAGAGGTCCCGGGTTCAAATCCCGGTGGGGGCAGATGTTTGTGTGATGAATAAGAGCATTTGTACTCCAGTCATGGATGTTTAATATGTATTTTCTATATAAATATACTTATATGTGTACAGTTACTTACTAGTATCCCATAACACAAGCCTTATAGTGCTTACTTTGGGGCTAGACTAATTGGTGTGTGTTGGAAATATTTATTTATTTTATTATTTATTTATTAATAAGAGGGTTAGGGAAGGCTTATGCTCCAGCAGTGGGGGCATTAATAGGCTGCCGGACGATGATGATAACCTAGGGTAGACAGATGTTGGCTTATCAATTCAGGGATATTTTCACCCTCCCCCACCCCCTGAAAAAAATAAAGCATCAAATGAAACCCCCCAACACCACCTAGAATTAAAATATCAAGTAGGCCAGCGGTGTCATTTGTTGTAAGTTTATTTTGTAACGCAACTAGCACATTTTCGGAATCCGGGACAATATGGTCTAATTACAATACCCTTAGTACGAGTTTCAGCTCACGAAAACTATCATAGTTTTCGTAATTGTAAATTATGTTTCTATGTTCATTTTGGTGAAAAGTAACCAAATGTACTTAAAATTTAAGAAGACGCAAATGATTTAATGATTGAATTTAAACACTGTTTATTTGTATTGAATGAAAAAAATAAAATCAGTACCCTTAGAATGAGTTCGAGCTCACGAAAACTATCATAGTTTTCGTAATTGTAAAACTCGTACTAAGGGTCAGTGGCGTAGCATGGGGGGGGGGGGGGGGGGGGGGCGGTCCGCACCGGGCGGCACTTTGCCGGGGGCGGCGCTGCGGAGGTGGCAGATAGAGAAAAGAAAAAAATATAAAAAAAAGTTAATTTCTTTCCATTTTTTTTCGTCATTTTTTTGTTGTTGCTACCAAATACCCAGGTACGCAGGTTCTATGCATGGGTGATGCAAGCGCAAGGTTTCTCAATAACTATTATTTAGGAAACTTATTTCGTTTCAAGTTTCAATGTTATTTTAAATAAATATGTCTTTAATATTGTTGTGGGTTTACCTATAATGCGAAGAGATGGCGCTGCCTTGCAGCTTAAGAATAGCTAGAAAGAATTTCGACGCGGTCCGTGAGGGCCGCGGTAGCATAATTGGTCAGTGCATTCGCCCGGATTGCGAAGGGTGCGGGTTCGAGTCCCGTCTGCTGCCTGGTCCGCGGGGAATTTTTTCTAGTTATATTTTCTTTATAAATATGTCTCCTTACGCATTCTTTGTACTTCACCGTAGCTAAAGCTAAAAGCTACTGGTAGAAAAACAGCAAAGTTACGCGTTACGCGTACATTGTTGCAACACGAATTACACCTTGGGAGGCAATCGACAGCATTTTTTGCTTACAGAAAATAATGATTTAACGATTACCGATGACCGTTTCATAGGATATATTCACAAAGTTAGCGAGTAAAAAGCTTTACATTTTTTTTTAAAAAACGGTGTTTCGTGTCAAACACTACTACTTAAAAAGTTAGATAGTCTACCTTCTACTCTATGTCAAAAAATGTTAATTTCACTCTTAGGTTAGTGTTATTCAATAAAAGTACTCTTTTTACCATGCCTCAATTTTTTTATAATGGATTGCAAAAATAAGAGGGCGGCAAATTTGGAATCCGCACCGGGTGCTAGTGACCTATGCTACGCCACTGCTAAGGGTACTGGATACGGGGCAAGACTCAAAATTCCGGGACAATCCCGGATTTCCCGGCCATCTGACCAGCCTATGATAAACTCACCTTGGGGTCAACGACCTCCAGCTTCATCCCCGGCTTGAATCCCTGCGGCGGGCGCGGCTTGAACGCACGCGGCGGCGCCGCCGACGCACCCGTCTCCGACAGGTAGTTCTCCCACGAGAAGCTGTCCGGATCCTTGTAGACTGACACCAAATAAAAATACGTAAATATGCTACTAATATTATAAATGTGAAAGTTTTGTATGTTTGTTAGAATCACGCAAACTGATTTGGGTGAAATTTGGTACGCTTATACAAAATTTACGACCGTGGATTTATTTATTTATTCTTTATTACCAAAATACAGTAAATGGCGGACTTAATGCCATAGGCATTCTCTACCAGTCAACCAGTATGGGTGTATGAGACGAATGTTGTGGCGATAGAGTGAGAGCTACTAAAGTGAGAAAAAAAATCCTACTGAACTATACTACATTACAAAACAATAAATATTTATTATATATAAATAACATATCCCTATATATATAAATACATAAACAGTTCATACACAATATACATACACATATATATATATAAATTAATAAACATACATATATAATTATGTACTTAATTAGTTAGATATAATTAAATAAGATGGTACAGATGACTACTGATTAAAGAAATATTAGGCGGTCTGATAGTGTGCACGCACTAGTTTTTTGAACACTAACTTACTACGAGCACTGCGAATGTTTAATGGCAAAGCATTCCAAAGACGTAAAGTTGTAATGGTGAAAGATTTGGAAACGAAGCCAGTATGGTGAAAATGAGTTTTAAGGGTAAGGTGCCTGCAAGAGCGAAGATCACGTGGTTTGGAGAGACCCAGAAACTGAAACCTAGATTTCAAGTATTCTGGGGCACGTGGATCGTATAAAATAGTGAAAATCATGTATACAATTCGGAGATTTCTACGGTCACGTATGGGCAGCCACTTGAGTTGATTTCTATAGTGAGAGATATGGTCATACTTACGCAAACCGAAGATAAAGCGAATACCGCTATTGAGCAAACGATCCAGTTTAGAAAGAATGTTTTGAATGGTGTCAGAATCGCAGACGTCAGCATAGTCAAGGATAGGAAGAATGAGAGCTTGTACGAGCGCAACCTTTGTACTGGAAGGGGAAAGAATTTCAATCGAGTGGATTGAGACATGGGATACTTTTTATCCCGAAAAAATGTATGATTTCCGAGGGATTTTCAAAAAACAACTATTATGCGGACAAAGTCGTGGGCGAGTGCTAGTTTAAAATAATATAAAAATATAAAAAAAAAATATACAAAATAAACTACACACACTACACATTTGCTCAAGTAATCCCAGTAAGTTATACAATCAGGCAAGCACTTGCAGTAAAGATCTTGCGAGTCATTTACAAAGTTAAATGAATACAAATATTGCACCTAATGTAACCGGACCAGCGTTTGTTCATTCAAAAATTGCAGGAAGAACTTGCTAGCCTAAACCTTACTTATCTCTTATCTATTAGACAAGTCCGTCCGTCCGTCTGTGGTGCTGTTTCAGCGGCCAAACCGTAAGAGATGGATAAAGAGAATATTTAAGTTATAAGTTAAGAATAGTCTGATAAGACTACAAACCGGATTTGAGTAACGTAGCACTTCCGGTTTTCGAGAAATCACGAATTTCAAACGAAACCACACAAAATCTCCGAAGTTCTCAATTAATTAAATACATTTTTTTTTTAAATCAGGTTTTGGTGAACATTTGGTTCACTGGGTTGCTAGTAACTAATAACCAGCGTAATAATTTTTAAATGTCGCAAATCAAAATAACGCTCAAAAACCATACGGAAATACTTTAGAAGAAAATTTCATTTAGTTTATTCTACTTCAATAGCCAAGAATCAAACCCGAAACCATGAAGAAAAAAACACCGACGAAACCAAACGTAGATGAGGTAATAATCACCTCACAATGTAAATTAAAAAGAGGTTAAAAAAATCATACGCTCACTTTATATGTTAGGAAGCACATATCACTAGCTTAGAAATTATAAATACGCGTATCATTATACCGAAACCACGAACAAACTGCACATTAACAAACAATAAATTAACACATCATGCATCCGACTATCCTCATTGGACAGGGAAACGCTAATAACAACTACATAGCTTACTTCCCGTTCAGATCGCGCGCTTGTTACCATACACTACAAGCAATACTCAATGAAAATTCCTTTGTTACATAATCTAATTGCAATTCATATTTGCGTAGTGCCAGCTACATCTAAACTAAGTATATTAATCACTAACAAAAATTACTTCTCCTTAGGCAAAACTCTAACGGAAACAACGTGTGTGTCGCCTGCGAGCTAACCGCATACAATCCAATATTAATGTATTTCCATTCTAAGATTGTCATGATATATGTTTACGATACAAAGAGCAACATTATTGAAATTAAATTTACCTACAATAAACATAATAACCCATTTTTAATCTTTAAAATTTTAACTAACTACTACCATTGTAATCTAAGTAAATCAGGATAAGCAACAGATAAACAGACAAACGAGTTTTGTCCTGAAGAGTGTTAATTCCAAGTAATGAGTAAAACACTTAGATAACGTCGTGGCGAAGGAAGAGAAATTATGTCAGTTATTATCTTTGGCTATAAATAAGTTATTTATAAAGCTTATACCGATTAGTTGTAACGCAATAAATTTAGGCCATAAAATAATACTACTTTTAAATAACATGTGCTATAGTCACACGTAACTTTTAAATCACAAAAGCACGTATTTGTTATTTAACTGTCTGAGTATCTAGTACGATTCAAATAAGAATAGGAAAACCAATGACCTCCATCTGTCAAATGTCGCTTGAAAAGTACGGTTTGCAAAAAATCTTGGAATCCTTTTTAGCACTCGGCTGATTCTAGAAAAAAAACCAAACCTTTGTAAAGAAACAATAACAAATATTGATAATTAATATTGGTTGATATTTTTTTTCCGTTTAATGAGCTTTGGCTATGAATGGTTGATAACCTAAATCGTCAACCAAATGTCACTTTAAGTAGCGTTCAAAAACTCGATTTAGAACTTTCGTTTACATAAAGGATGCATGTTGGTATGTGACCTAGTAATAGAGCATGATTATTCATAACTACTCTGGCGGTAATGCAGAGATGAGCGGAATAGAAGAGCTAGATTCTGATTAATGTTTTTTCTCACAGTGTTAATAAATGAGGCAAGGGGAGGATGGTTGGTGTAGCAGTTTATGATTGCTATACCAGCTATCTTCGCGTTTGGACTTTATCACCACTTAACATCAGGTGGGGTAGAGTCATTTGCCTACCTACCTATAGAAAAAAAAGTACTTTTTATTTTCTCAATCTTGGTAAATAAATTTTATTAAAAAAAACTGATGTTATTCTCAATTAATTTTAGTAAATAAGTTTTATATTTTTTTTGCTGACTCTACCTATTTGGTTAGAATTGACAGCTATGACGTCACAATATGGTGCCCAGTCGGTCCTATTCTTAGTTGAATCGCATTATATATGCAGAAGGAAAAAATATCTTGTATATTTATTATATCGACCAATGTCAGCAACTTCGCAAGTTTCGCATAAAATGACCAGCAATATTTAGATTATAAATTCCGACAAACGGATGCCGTGTCGGCTGCAATTCCAATTGTGTCGGCTATTATTCAAATGTCAGCGGAAGGTTAATAAGCTCAAGAACTCAAGAGGTGTCAATGATTCAATTTTCCAGCAATAATATATCTCGCATGATGATAACGGAAATAATAAACCATACAATTTCGGATAGCTACATGCCAGTTCAAATTAATTAATTTTTCACAAAGCTCTGCGGCATCTTTACTTTACAACGGTCCGCGTGTAACCAAGAAGTGCTTGAGTGTTGTACAAGCACTTCTTGGTTTTATGTTCGGCACACATTTTGAGCGTACTTAGTGTATCTAGGGTATTAATATCGTTGTGTGGTAGTCCCATTTATGTTGAGTCGTCTGGATAGGTACCACCGTATTTTTTATTTCTGCCGTAAAGCAGTTAGCTGTGTTTCGGTTTCAAGTGTAATAACTGGGCATGAAGGCATTTCGTTATAGGCCTCAGAATGGCAACACCTGTAATAGCAAGTGCTTTCTTCAAAATCCACCATTGGAAAGGATAGATCGATGTTGCAGGTATCATACGTGAAAGTAGTAACTTAACACCACGTGGACAGTATGCTTTTTTGCCATTTAATAGTATAAAAAATGTACTACCAAGTACTAACTTCTTATCAAAAATTATTAAGAATCTGTAAATTTATGTTTTTACCAACATTTTATTTTAAATATATGTAATTTCTTAAACTTCTCGATTTATAAATTTTAATCTGTGCAAAAGTAATTATCTACAGTACCTACTACATAAATACAGAAATAGTTTTAGCTTGTGTGTTTTACCTCGTCCCCTGCCAGAATTGAAAGAAACTTGTATGGAATGAAGAACTTAGGGCTACTCCTGTTTAATAGATGCTTAAAGGTTTTTAATATCGTTGTTAAATAATTTGCCAGAAAATATATATATAATTGTTATATACTGCATCAAGTAGCTATAATGATATAATATTTTTACCGGCATTTCAAGCCCTGTAATAAACACTTTATTGCTCACATGCAAAAGGAAAGAAAGGTGAATTAAACACAGGTAACAATAATGAGTTTTAGTTTTAAACATCTAGACAGTTAAATGCTTTAAAAATAAAAAGAAATAAAGAACAATGGTGTGATGTGAAGGAGATGTGGTATGCCAGCATAGTCAATAAAAATATTAGTTTTTATTTTACTTTATTTTACAGTGAGATGGGGTCCAACCAGTAGTTGTAGACTCCGTCCCAATTGCAGAAGTTGATCAGCATATTTGGGGGGAATTTATCTAAAGATTTCATCACTTACAGTTAGGTGGAGTTAACAAGAGCTCATTCTCTTGGGCTCAGCCCACGGGTTGCATGTATGGCGATGTGGGGTCCACCCAGTAGTCGTTGATCTTGTGCCAGTTGTCGAAGGTGATCAGCATATTTGGGGGGAATTAGCTTAACTAGAGCGTTCAAAACCCACAGTTAGGTGGAGTCAGTGAGAGCATATTCTCCTCAGCCCATCTTACGGGGTAAATGTATGGCGAGGTAGGATCCACCCAGTAGTTGTAGATCTTGTACCAGCTGTATAAAGTAATAGGCAAATTTGGGGGGAATTTATCAAAAAATTTCAATACTCACAGTTAGGTGGAGTCAGCGAGAGTCCATTCTCCTCAGCCCATCCAACGGGGTGAATGTATGGCGAAGTGGGATCCACCCAATAGTCGTAGATCTCATCCCAACTATCGAAGGTGATTAGCATCCGGCTGTCCATCATCTCAGCTATGGAGGCAACGCACACCAGCTCGTTCTTACGGTCCTCGGCTTCCAATTTCATGCCCACACGGAAGCAGGTCGGTTTGAATATCTAAAATATAGGGATAGCAATTTGCGTGAAACTCTAATTGGTACATACTCAAGAGCTAGATATGGGTGCATACAGAATTTTAGTACTGAATGAAATTTATTAGCCCGTATTCAGGTACATGAAGCAATATTTCCACTGGAATACGGGCTGGAAGATGGTGCTGGGTAACCAAAACTTCAGGGTAGCAGCCAAGTGTAATTGAGCCATTAGGATTAAAGCTCATGGATCATGTACTTGTTTTTATTTTTTTTTATTATTATTGAAATTAGAAAAGCTGAAAGCCCCAATATATTTCGGTCTAAATTAAAGAATATGTTACTTAAAAAGGCATATTATAGTATTAAGGAATTTTTAGAGGACAAATCTGTGTAAATGGATGTACCTTTGTGTTTATTTTAATTTGCATGCCTTGTGGTGAAATATGAATTATGCATACTTATTAATTTAACACCTTTGTATCACCTGTATTTGCAAATAAATAATTGATTGATTGATTGATCATTATGTATGAATGTAGTAAAAACTACCTGTACCAATATTGTTATTAAGTATTAGTTGTTTCCATTGTTTCATTTTGTATTATTTGATCAAGACATTAGTGTAAAACATTGTGAAAATCAATGTATTGTTTAATTTAAAAATAATATTATAAATTAAGTATGTTCTTCAAATATTCTAAAGTCATAAACGAACCACATAAAATTGGTAATTTGTTATTAATTCACGAAAAGTAACAAATACTCACTGAACTAGTGACGTGAAGGAACAAATGTTTGGGCGCAGCGACCGCTTTAACTTGCTTCAAATATAGCGGCCACGAGAAGGAGGATGAGGAGTAGTTAGCGGGCGGCTTCAACGAGCGGCCGTTCTTCTCGCACCAGCCGGGCGGGAATATATCCGCGCAGTCCGCATTTACCCAGTAGTCGTACAGCTCCGGGTACTCGTCGAAGTGCAGCCGCATGCGGAACCCCTGCACTTCCGCCACCGACACCACGCAGAACATAGAGGGATGCTGCGGATCTATCGCCTCCATACGCATCCCCACTTTAAACCCGTTCCGAGTATATGGAAACGGATCTTTAAACAACTTCACCGGAGCATCTTTCGCCTTGCAAACATCCAAGTACCGCATCCACGAAAAACCACTTTTCCCGCACATCCACGGATACTTGTCGTTCTCGAACGAATCTTCACCCATCTTCATTAAAGCCACGTCGGTCAACCCTTCGGCTGGTGCGCTGTCATAGTGCTTGAGTGACGGCTTTTCGTTGCTCTCCAAGAATAAATCAGACTCGGATATATGCTTGCGCATCAGCAATTTCTTCATTTTATTCCTCTTCTTGGTCAATTCTATTCTTTCCCTGTCCTTTTTCTTTTGCAAAGCTTTTTGAACCTCGCTTTGACAAGTTAAACTACAGAAGTTTGGAGTTATGAACTCTGCAGCCATACCATGACAGCCGCAGCCGTCGCAACGGTACATGTCTTCTGGAGAAGTTGGTTTCTTGTCCCTACTGTTTCGTTCTATTCTTTGTTTGAGAGGTGTATGATATTTTGTACTAGGGTTGAGTGTCATATCTTCATTATCACTATTTTCAATAAGATCAATGAGACCAAACTCGTTTGTTTGGAATTGTATATTGCTACCGTGTAATAAAGCAACCCCATTACTCCAAATCAATCCCGGTGGATCTTCTTCTAAAGTACTATCCAGGCTATCTCTTTTAACTCTTGTTGAAATATCTTTTTTCACAAAATCATCAATTTTATTATAATACATGTTTTGATTACTTTTGTCAAAGCTGGTGTCTGATTTGACTTCTTTATATTCATCAGGGTCTGAATCAACCAGATTGACCTTAGCATCTAAATCTTTATCTAATTTTTCATCACAGAAAAGAGACGGTACACGATGATCATCGTTATTGTCAGGCTCATCTATTTCTGAATGTTTTTCAACAATTTTTGCGTGAGGTAGACTGAATTTGAAACCTTTGTTTGAAAAGTTGTCTGTGCACAATGAGATGCGTCTCTTGATGTTAGCATTAACAGTTTTTCTTTCACTGTTGTCTGAATTAGAACGTCTCAATATTGCAGGTGCAGCTGGCCCTGTGCATGTTTCATTTCTGTCCATATTTTTTAACAAACTCTTACCTTTTTCAGGTATGGATAATGTAAATGACTTCTCGTGCGTTTGGTTACCTTCATCATCAGCTATGGATACTGTATAAATATCATCATTCATGGAAGCATTGGTTTCAGGGATGGAGAGTGTGTATTCACCCTGCTCTCCAGTTGGCTCTGCTCTTGATCCAGGTATAGACAGTGTAAAAGATTTCTCACTTAGAGGGCTTTGTGGCAAAGGATTTGTTTCTTTTCCATTCATATTCATCATTTTTGCAAGAGGCTGCAAAGGAGGCATTTCTGTGTTTTCCATGCCGGCAGTATCCCTCATAACGGTGATGCTTCCTTGAGGATCATTTTGAATTTGACCGTTTGCTATTTGAAGATTTATTATTGGTCCCTTTGATGACATACTTGCAGGTAAATTAACCGGTAGTATAAACTTGGTGTTTTGAATTTTGGGCATATTCATGGGTGTTATAAAAAGTTTCTGATTATTTGTGCTAACATTCTGTTGATTATGAGAAATGAGTATTGATTGGCTCTCAGTAATGTTTTTAGGAGCAGGTTTTTTCACAGAGCTGAGGTACGCAATAGCCTGTTTGCCTTGAGGTGCAATACTCACTGGAACAACCATTTTCTCAGTAGTTTTTGGTTTCTGGATAACAATGGGCTGAGTAGCATTCACAGGGGCAAGTATAGAGGATTTGTTTTGAGTGACTTTGGGTGCAATGTTAGGTTTATTGCTCACATTAGATATAAGGTAATTTGAACTACTTGTTACCTGAAAAAGATAGAATAAATACTATAAATATTATTTTAAATAGTAATAACAAATAAGTCATAAATTTATTGTTTTTTAATACTACAAAATTGCATCTTAACCACTTGTAACATTATGTTATAGTAGCTGTGTCTGTCAGCTCTACTCTTTATAAAAAAAATTGGCTTTATACTTTAAAAAATCTCTCACATGACAAGAGTTTTTTTTATTTTAGTGAAGATCTAAACTTTGACATTGCTACTGTTATTTGCCCCATGCATCATTTTGGACTGCTATATATAATAATATATAATACTACAATTATGGCCAATTATTAGATAGATTAGAATATTAGCAAAGGTACAGCACAATCACAGCACTGTCCAACAAAACAATCACAAAATTAAAAAGCACAATGGTCCCTTAGTACATTCAGCCTTCCTTTGAACACAATAAAATTGGTTGAATTCACATTCATATGTTTTTAGAACAGAAAGTCTAATCTTTCCTTATATGTACTAATATAAGAAATCAAAAAAATTGCATAATATTTATCAATTAGATAAACATTACTTAGATAATAAATTTTCTGAGGAATTAGTTATATGTCACATTGCAAAACATTTATTACCATTAATTCTTTATTATTCATAAGTGACAAATTACTTGTACATAATTTGTATATCATCTTATAAATAATAAACATTTCAAATTTCAGTTCAATATTATTATATATAATTTATTTTTGCAAAATATAAATTCATTTTAAATAATTTTTAATAATGTTAATCACAACACAAAATACTTACAGGTCTTCTTACAATAATTTGTGGAGGGTTTCCACTTGTACTTGCTTGACTTATGACTTCTGTGCTTGTGACAGGTTTCAGACCATTTGGAGTTTGTATGTACACCATATGGGGCACGGTCCGTGTAGAGCCTCTCAGTTGCACAGTACCCGAGTTACCATTATTCGGCAGAGCTAACTGTATAGAGTTGTTGGAGGAGCTTGGGATCTGCATTACATTAGAGTTTGTTCCGACTTGTACTTGAGAAACCGATGTAGGATTATTTAATTTCATTTGTACTCCTGATGAATCAGGTAATTGCATTTGAGTAGTGCTAGAAACAGTCATATCGGATCCGTTATCCATGCTCGTGGTCCTAGGATTAGATCCCATATGTACATGGATAATTGAACTGTGTAGCGGCTGAGCTGGATTTTGAAGTAATGGCATAGAAGGTAAAGTGGGCCCGGTTAATTGGATGTTCTGATTGCCAGGAATTTGTAGAGGGACATTAATTGTGTCACCAGCTGATAATTGTACAGGAACACTAGTAGAGCCTGACACTTGCAACGGTAAACTCACTGGAGCAATTTGTAAAGGAACGCTACTAGTCGCACCTGACAATTGCACAGGAACATTGATATTTGAATTGGAGCCAGGAATCTGTACTGGTACATGAACTGTTGACAGTTGCAGGGGGTAGGGAGAATTATTTGTATGGATTTTCACAGGAGCTATAGAATGTGTTACTAAATTGTGAGTAATAGGGATTGAGCTCTGTGGGGCATGCACAGAGGACACAATCATGCTGCTTGATATTGGCGCCTGAAAAGTGATAACAAGGTTATGGTTTGGAAAACTGCAAATCTTCAATAAAAACAGCTAATTGGTTAAACCAGTAAAAACACTCACACGAATAGTATTTAATAGCACATTATGCTGTGATGTATTTTGAGAATAGTTAGCACCTATGGAATTGTTGCTCGATTTTAGCAGTCTTTTTTTCAAAATTTCAGTTTTGGGTTCATCAAAGTTTTGAAGTGAATTACACTGCTGTCTCTCCATTTCTCGAACTCGAAAACGTTTGAGAATTCATTACAGATACTTTATTATCTCTTGCAAACCATTACTGATGACCTGCAAAGTATGTAAAAATAAAATATCGCAAACACAAAAATCATTTAGGCGCACTATGGTCTCGTAACAATCAACATTATGAGAACACAGCCGAATGTACAAAATATTTCATTTTCAATAATTGAGGATTGATAATTGAGTTAATTTAATTTGGAGTAATTTACATATTCTTTCATTTTTTTATTTCGCAAAGATTGCACTCTCTACCAATTGTGCAGCTACTTTTACAGGTCCACAACCTTCTGTAAAAAAGTTCGTGAAACATAAATAGCAAAATTTTTCACTCACCTAAAATAGTATCAGCAAGTAGAAAAGCTCTCGTAGTATCCTATTATCACTTATAACTCCAGATTCGTAAGAAAAACCATTATGAAAAATAATTTATTTCAATAACGCGACGATATTTACCTGCCCAGGACGACTGGTAATAATTTTGACAACATTGCCAAATTGTTTTAAGTTTTGCTAAGTTGGTACAATCTAAATCCTAAACCAATCAGAGGAGAGCGTTTACGTGACGAAGCTTTCGCGCCCGATTATTCAGCTAAAAAGTCATGAGATAACTTTTGTATTTTTACCAAAGGTATTTATAGAAAATCAATTTTATAATAAATGTACTTTAACTCATGTCGCAAATAACTTCAATGATATTACTCAAATGTTTGACATTGATACCAAAATAAATATATTAACTTCCGAAAGCAACTCAAGATCTAGCATTTTCCTGTTGAATACGTTCATCAGAGTGACTCTTAAGTTCACTAAAATAAGATTCAATTTAGGTCTCAGTTACTTAGTACAAACAGTTATTAATACTGAACACGACATTCATATGCCTCTTAATGTCGATTTTATTAACAATACATTTTAAAAGATTTATTAAATGTTTATAGAGCTATATCACCGATTAAAAATAACATTAAAGAATACTAAACTACTATAGCACCGGAAACTGGAGATGGAAGTATGTTATAAATTGCCGCTGTAATTCAAAGTGAGTTTTCCTTGAAGTGGTGGTGGCTTGGGTATGGGATAGCTAATGTATTATTTACGTATCTGTACGTTTGCTTAAACGTATCAATTTTAAAATCAATCGAATTTTCCTACACATATCACCAAAAACAATGCAATTAACAGCTTTTCTCATGTCATGAAATCAGAACATATCGGCAGTGGAAAAGCAAAACCGCTTATACGCCACATTGGTGTTGCTAAAAATTTACATTGATTTAAAATAGACCAAAGTTAATTTTTGAGCAACATCAAAGTGGCGTATGAGCTTAGATTAAAACAAAAAGTGTAGATACGGCACTAGCCTCACAAAAATGATCCGCATAAATTGTGGCCCAAGACCACAATCGCTTTAGTCTCAACTTGACATGCAAACGACGTACATGTGAACGCCAAAGAGAAATAATGCTAATATTTTGTGTTTATATGATAAAACTTGTGTTTATATGATAAAACAATGCCTAAGTGTGTTTTTAAAAAGTGCTCAAATTCCTCAAGAACTAAAAATAAAACCCACGGCATCACTTTTCATTCGTAAGTACCTACTATAAAATTTATTTTTTCATAAAAATTGCTGTTTGTTTTGAATCTTATTCGGTAGTGACGTCGAGTACTGGTCGCATGATTGGCCGGTAGTGCAGTGACGCGGATTTCGCCGTCTCGTTCGCGCTGCCGTTGAAACTTAAATTGCTGTTTCGTTCGTTCGATTGTATCTTTACAAACAGGTACTTACGAACAGACGGTTTATTTAAAAGAGGAGTTTATTTTATGGTCTCGATTCTGGCATGATTTTCTAAACCTAAATTTAAATTTGACAACAGTGTATCCTTGTCATTCTCTATACAGAGTGAAAACGAAAGACTAAAGTTAAATTAAGTTTTAAGTTCAGAGAATCATGCCAGAATCGACACCAATATCTTAACAAACCAGCATGATTAAAGTGCTGACAAAGTAAACTAGAGGTGCCAATTCTAATTTTATCAAACCTGCTTATGAATGGACTGAGTGGAATTTTATCTAGAATTTTTCGTTAGCTTTAAAAATATAGCAGTTAAAATTTTATTAGAACATTAGAATAAAATATCTAATTTTTTAGTATTGATTTAATCGGTTTTTCGATATATCATTGCAACCCTAAGTGTCACCTATGTCATCTCAGGTTCTCAACTTGTCAGTCAGGTGTCAGGAGTTTTTGGCGGGATTTCATCGAGTTCGGTTGGCATCGTATTTTAATTATTCTTTAAATTCATTCATAGTGGATATTAAATAAAATTGGTGTGATTTTGTGTTACAATCGTCAGCGCAACTGAAGAATTAACGGAATCTTTAAAATATTCGCTATATCGAGCAAATGGATGTGAGAACTTTATTGTGGTGTTGACTACCTCACAGGAGCTTGTCGAGAAAGCTGACTCGATACATTTTGTGCCAAATACTCCAAGAAACATTAAAATGCGTCACACCCGCATTCAAATGTAAAATATTAATTAATTTAAAAGATTAATAAAAAAAAGACGATGGCTGCATGACTTTGCCTTTGCTTTTATCAATAGGGAAGAATGGAACTAAAAAAAAAAAAAAAAAAAAAATACACTGGAGAGAGAAGAGCGCGGGAACCTTCGAACTGTAAAGGCGGAAAATGTAAATTTTATCATATTTAATTGTTTTTAAGGTTTAAGTCAAATCAAAAGAAGCAAATTCGTTATTATTATTTAATAATACACAGGTAATCCAATATGGGGAGGAACAAAGTGGGCAAGAAGCGGAAGAAAACTGAACCAGATAAAGATGACCCTGATGGACTCCAGTTGGACTCTACCTCTTCGGATTCTGATGAAGATGGGGAGGAGAGCCTTCGCGTCCCATATTACGTCACAGACTATACACGCCAATACCAGGAGGATTCAATGAACTCAGAATATGTGGTCTTTGTAGAGTCGGCAGATACTCAGAGACCCATAGGAACAAGGGATCTACTTTCACTGTCAAACTGCCTTAGACGATATATAAAGGGAGTAAAGTATCTACGTTCAATTAATAAATACAAAATTGGAGTATATTTTGAAAAACCAAATTTGGCTAACGCTTTATTAAATAATAAAACTTTTCTAAATGACAATAATTTAAAAGCAATCATTCCAGCATCAGCAGCAGAAATCACTGGAATAATAAGAAACGTCTCAACTAAATATAGCAATAAGAAAATTTTTACATTACTTTCAAGCTTCAAAAAAATTATAAGTGTAAGACGTTTCTTTAAAAAGGTGTATAATGATGGTTCTGGTTTTTCCCTTCAGCCAACACAGACGGTCGCAATCACTTTTGCTGCTTCTCATCTGCCAGACTTCGTCGATTTGGATGGATGGAGGCATAGTATCACAACATATATACCACCAGTGAAACAATGCTACAGGTGTTTGAGGTATGGTCACATTTCAAAGTTTTGCAAAAATGCAGAAAAGTGTTCCATCTGTAACAATAACACAATGAAGTTGCCATCATCATTAGTAATACAATATGTTATAATAGATTAACTACATACTCTGATGATTCAATACAAAACCTAGCAGTGCAAGTTAAAATAAACAATAAACTACTAACTATTGTCTCTATATATTGTCCAATTAATAGCACACCTAGATTTAACATAAGTAAGTTCACTAACCTCATTAATGAATTACCTAAACCAGTATATATTGCCGGTGACTTCAATGCTCACCATACCATTTAGGGCTGCCACACAGTGGATGCTCGAGGCAGAGATATATTAGATAGTTTAGAGAATTGTGACTTGATCTTATTAAATGATGCACAAGCAACTACTGTTGGCACTGACACTTGGAGACCAAATGGTTTAGATCTCACAATGGTGAGTCCTGTTATGGCATTGAACTGTGACTGGTTTGTTAATGATGATCCTTTAGGAAGCTACCACTTACCTACGTTAACTCATATTCATATTAGTATAAACCCTACAACGGCTTCAACCACAAACCTTACGTCAACACCACAAAAATTTGAAATGCGTAAACTCCCTTCTCATGTTAACTTTCGCTTAGTCAATTGGGAACATTACACGCAATTAGCAAACGAAACATTAAAGTCTTTCTGTTTGTTCTAGCGATCCTTTATTTTCTTACAATAGTTTTTCTAATAAAATAACATTAGCATTAAATAAATCAGTTCCTAAATTCAATAAACAAAATCATAGAATTCACGTTGACAGTGACAGTGATAATCCAGATGTTTTTAAGAATGGAGATAGGGATAAACGTTTTGTTTCTCCTTATCCCCATTCTCGTAAAAGGAGACATTTTGCTGTCCCTTGGTGGAATGAAAATTGCAATAAAGCAGTACAAAATAGTAAGGAAGCTTATATTAAATTTAAAAACAACTCATCGCAGGAAAATTATGTCAACTTTAAAAAAATGTAAGCACTTAAAAAAATTATTATAAAAAAAGAAAGGACCACTAGTTGGAAGGAATTCTGTTCTGATATAAATAGATCATCACCTCTATCTAAAATTTGGCAAACTATGCGTAAATTTAACCGGAGCTTTAGGCATTGTCCTAATACAACGCGATAACGCGAATGAGCGATGCGATCATCGTACGAGTCGACGATCAAACATATTGATCTAGAATAGGTGTCCTAATAGACGATCGCGCGACTAAAATGTTTAAAAATCTATTCGCGCGATCTTAGTTCGCGCGAACGCGCAATCAAACCTATTAACGATGAATAGGTGTCCTAACCGAAGTTCGCGCGCTGATCGCGTCGCGTCGATAGGAAGTGGGTGAGGGGCAGGGCTAACCCGTTCCGTATTCGCGTTCTATTAGGACACCCAGTTCGCGATCACGCGATGGTCGCGTCGTTTAAACGCGCGATGATCGCGTTATCGCGTTGTATTAGGACAATGCCTTATTCCTCCAATTAAAGACGAAATTCCATCTTGGGTAAACGACTTTTTACGAAAATACACACCTGATTTTGTAGAAGTTGCACCTTTTCCCTCAGATCTGCGATTGAACTCTAATTCCTGCGATATCACTAATAGTACGAATGATTACCTAACTTCACCTTTCACTTTGTCTGAATTATCTGCTGCAATAAAATCTAGAAAAGATACAGCTTGTGGACTAGATCTTATATCCTACAAAATGTTAAAAAAGTTAGACTGCAATAGTATCAAAAAACTCTTAACCATATTTAACGGCCTTTGGGAAAATAGTTTAATTCCTGATAACTGGAAGATAGATTGTTTGATTCCTGTAATTAAACCAAATAAATCCAAGGCTTGTGCTGACTCATATCGTGCTATAGCTTTATCTTCTTGTATGGGTAAAATATTCGAGCAATTATTGAAACACCGTCTTGAATTTTATATAGAAAGTAATAATTTACTCCCAAACAACCAGTTTGGATTCAGACGTGGCCGATCTGCCCGCGAAAGTATAGGATGTCTCCATACTGACATACAAAATGCACTCAATGACAACAATATAATGGTGTGTATATTCCTTGACATTGTCGGTGCCTTTAATAACGTGAATTTGTCTGTACTATCAACCACACTTTTTAGATTAGGTATTCCATATAAGATGGTTAAATGGTTATTCAACTTTCTTAATGGTCGACAAGTTTACGTAAAAATCAATAATAATTTACATGGCCCTCGACTTTCCCACAAAGGAGTTTGTCAAGGTGGAATTCTAAGCCCTTCATTGTATATATTGTATATTCATAGATTAAATGAAATACTCGGGCGAGATTTTACAATTTCGAATTTGCAGTTCGCTGATGACTTAGTTATTTATGCAAAGGGTTCTAAACTTTCGTCATTGGAACCCAAACTAAACAATGTCCTTTCACAATTGTATTCCCATTTTAGATACCTAAACCTAGATGTTAATACAAGTAAAAGTAATGTGGGTGTTTTTAGGAAAAGATTTGTAAACGTGTCTAACTTAAAATTACTTTATAACGGTCAAACTTTACCCGTTTTGAAATCAGCAAAATTTTTAGGGGTTATTTTTCAACAAAACCTATCGTGGAAAGCTTATGTCGATTGTTTGATAGACCGTTCTATGAGGGCTACCAACGTATTAAGATCCCTTGTTGGTTACCAGTGGGGCGCCGATCCTAAAATTTTGCTTCTGTTGTATAAAACTTTAGTCAGAAGTCATTTCGAATATGCTTTTTTCTGTTTTGCATCTGACAAAAAACTAACAAATAGATTAGAAATAATACAAAATAAAAATCTAAGAATTATTTTAGGTGCTATGAATACCTCACCAATAAATTCTATGCAAATAGAATGCAATTTGCCCCCTTTGCATATACGTTTTGAATTTCTCAATTGTAAATTTTTATTAAAAGTGATGTCTATAGAAAATAGTTTACTTAGAAATAAACTTAGTGCATATAATACCAATTCCTTTTTACATAATTTTGTAAATAATATTTCGAGAGTTATAGATGATAATAATGTATATATTAGTGATAGGTTGCCTTGTTATAAAAGTAAATTTCAGGAAATAAATATAGTAATAAATAGGGATCTTTCTTGTAAATATGATGTTTATAACGAGTTAAATGTATGGGCTGAATATAGACAGTTGTACACCGATGGATCGAAGAATAATAAAAATGTTTCCATGGCGTTTTATGATTTGTACACAAAAATTGGCCATGGCTTGAAATTACCAAGTCAAAGTAGCGTTTATACAGCGGAAGCAATGGCTATATTAGCAGCCTTAGAATATATTTCAAAATCTAACCATAGTAAATGGATCATAATAACAGATAGCATGAGTATACTCCAAGACTTATCAAACCCAGCGTTTTCTTCAAAATCCAATTACACTATACACGAGATCAGAGAAAAATATTGTCAACTAACAACAAACGGAAAAGACATCATTTTGTTTTGGACTCCATCACATATAGGCGTTTACGGAAATGAACAAGTAGATACACTGGCAAAGATTATAACTAACACGGCTGAAAATGTTCCTGTGAAAAACATAAAGATTCCTGATTCTGATTGTGTAGAATTTCTAAAAGACAAAATAAAGAAGACATGGTTAGATCATTGGCATGAAACTTTACAAACTAAAGGTGTTTGGTATCATATTATTAATAACACAATCAGAAAGCCGTGGTTTGCTCAGAGAAATTTTATACACCGAAAATTTTACACTACAATATGTAGACTGCGACTCGGACATGGACGCTTTAACGAACATTTATTCAGAATGAACATGGTCTCCTCCCCATCATGCTCGTTCTGCAGATTCTCAAGTCAGTCACTTCATTATTTGTTCCTCAAATGCCCTCATTTTGCTCTTCAACGAATATTTCTCAGTAATAGTTTGCTTGAAATCTACAATTCAGCCGAGAACATCCCGCGTTCCTTACCTGTACTTCTCCAAAACCCACAATGTTATTTGTCGCTGTATAATTACATCAAGAGTACTATAGAAGATATTTAAACTTGGATTTCGAATGATTCTCTATGAAGACTTGAAGAAAAGAACTTTTAGTCTTGGCTGTATGGCGCATTTTGTCGTCTTTGCCTTTTCCGTTTAATGAACGGAAAGAACAGAACCAAAAAAAAAAAAAAAGTTGTCAGTCAATGACAGCATCGAATTCTGAAAGTGGAAAAATATTTGCTCTAAATATTGATAAAACAATAATAAAACCTTAAATTATATAAATCGTATCAAATATTATCTACCTTGGTATCATGCTATGAATATTTAAAGCATAAGTAAGTTGATAAATACCTTGTATTATATTAATACTAACGTCAATAAAGTGTAATTTTTGCATACGCAAAACACGTAAATATTTATATTTGCCGTAGATTTAGGAATGGAACAATTAATCAGACATGGTTTTAGCACAATTTTAAAGGAACAATGAATATAAATCATAATCTAGAATGTTCCATGCAAATTTCTGGTATCTGTGTTATTTGTTTATTTGCGCAATCTTTTTTACCTACCGCTTAGCGAAGCGCTTTTGCTCTGTTTTATTTGCAAACACAATGCTTTAAATTTGTAAGTCAGAGCTACGGCTTGCTCATTAATAAATATTATGCAAAATTACACTCAGTAATAGAAAAATGTTCACCTTAAAACACAAGCTCTTGTGAAGTAGAGATAAAAAGATGTGTATTTAGATTATTGTTCTATTCCTATGAAGTAAGTTTTTCTTTATCTTTTAATTTGATTGTTTTTGGTATATTACTAAGAATAATCATCTTTCTAACTTTTTAAAGGATACTTTACAATGTTATTCACAATGTCGTCACTCAATTTCTATTGTATAATTCAGTTATTTTTACTTTATCATAGAATTGATATCTCAATGAGACTTACGATTGTTAATTTTGTAGACTGTCAAACAATCAGAAAAGATGAGTAGCCAGCATCAGTATATGAATGTGAACAATGTTTCAAGCTCTCGTGTTGGTGATATAGAGCACATAAGTAAGTAATTTTTAAAAAGTACCAGAAATTAACAAGCTAACACTCCAACATGGATAAGCACTCAGGGGCATATAGTGGACTAAAATAAGTATGGTAATTCAAAAACCTTGACTTTGTTCAATCAAATTTAAACACATGTGCAAATCATTAAACTTTGCTAAAGAAATTGCCACTTCAGATTTATATTCTTAACAAACATATCTAGTTTGTAATGCTTTTAAAAATAATTGTACATGGGTTCTACCACATATCGTTTGATATATTTTATCAACGTGATCATACATTTTTTTCCATTCACCTGGCAACCACATCAAAACCATGGAATTCTCAAATCAATTAATACAGTTAACAATAGTTATTTATTATACAAGAGTGGAAAGTTCCTTTTTAACCGCGTGCTCGATTTGGATGACCGAGCAAGCGAAGGATTCTAAATTAGAATCCTGAGCGTCAGCGAGGGAAACAAACGAGCACAAGGTGAAAAATCTTTCCACTCGAGTGCAATACGTAACTTTTCATCCCACCTCAGCGAGGAAATGACAAAATGAAAAAGAAAACAATTTATAATGACAAAATATTTTTATTTCAATTAAAACACATTAAGATAATCTATAAATTGAAGAAAATAATAAGAAGTAGAAAATAATTAAGAAATATTAAATGTAACGTTGCTACAGTTACTTATGTTAAGTTTAATATTTTTGTTAGGTAATGTTATGTTGGTGTTTGTGAATTGTGCGCTGTTTTGTGGTAAACTACTCGTATCAGTAATTTTAAATAGTTGTGCCGATTCATTGGATTCTATTGGCGTAAATGTTGGCGAGAGAGGGCTATTGTTTCCAATCTTATGGGGGCTCATTTTAGATGTAGAAGGGCGAGACCAAGAATCTGACAGAGGTTCTTTCAGCGTTATGGCCTCCACGATACTATTACAAATTTTTGATTTACTTTGGATTGAATCCTCTATGTATCCCTCTACAACCGAATTAGACTTCCAGCCTCCATGGCGCTTAAGCGATAGAAGATCAGCCCCTGATTCGGCCAAAAGTGTGGCTGAGGTTCTTCTAAAACAGTGACCGGTGTATAACGGGGGTTCTAAAAGTCCGAGAAAAGTTGCTATTTCTCGTGGAATACTGCCAATTTTATTCTGACCCATAGGTTGTCGGATACACTTTCCGTTGCGATATTGTAGAAAAAATCGTTCAATTGGGGTGTTAGAAGGACGTAAAGCTTGATATTTCTGAACAATGTTTACATATTCCTTGCGAATAACGAAGTTGCGGTCTTTTTTTGTCTTGGTATTTAGTACATTAATTAATAGCAATTCATCAGAATTATGAGAATATTTTGATACGTTATTGACATTAAGTAGTGTAAGTTCATTTGTTCGACATGCTCCGGTTATACCAATAATAAGAACAACCTGTAACAAAAGAAGTATTTATAATCGTAAATAAATTAATCAAATTAAAAATATTGTAAGTACTATGTACAATTTTATCAACAACAAAAAATTACACGTATTGACTTACTTTTGCCGCTAAATATACGGAATCAGGTGCTTCATTAATAAACTTTGCAATTTCAGATGCTGTGAAAACCTTCGATTTTTTTGGTTTATAACCAGATGAGGCTCTTTTTAAAAATGCCACTAATTTATGATAGGTGTCGATATGAACGTCTTTCTTCATCTTAATTGTTAATTTTAGCATTGAATACGTACTCCATAGCGTGCTTGCTTTCTTGGTCTCAGATAATTCTATAAAATATGCCAGCAAAACGTTTTCGGAGAAAGTTTTTGCTCCTTTAGCTAGTCGCCACATGTTAAATATATCGTACTGTTTCAAATACTTCTCTCGTGATTGCTGAGGGAGAAGGCTCATTTGCGCATTATTAACTGTTTCAGTTAACTCAGTTGGCGTTAGATAAACTTCATCGTCGCTAATGTCACTCATTTTAGTTGATTTTTTTGTACAGTTTTTAGGTTATGTTAATTATATTAAGCAATAAAACGTGAAAAACTAGAATGGCGCGAAGCACGCAAATAAAACAAAGAAACCAAGAAGGTTCCAAATTTAAATTTTTTCACAATTTAAAAAGTTCTAATCATAAATTTGGCACCATAGAGGTTACATTAAATAGGTTTAATGACGTTTTGAATTTACAATTATATTGAGTACTCATTATATGTGATGTTCTAAATTCAAATCTACTTTGCCGCTCAAGCGAATAAAATAGAATTTTCCAGCCAGATTTCGAAGCGCAAAATTACACTTTCCGAGGTGGTGGGATGAAAAAGAATTTATCAATTGTTAATGCTACTTGTCTCTGTCACTATCTTAGAATGTTAAACATTTTAGGCCACTTATCAGAGCACATAGGCTCTTTGTGCCTCTCATCCGAGTACTCTGATGTGACCCTGATAGTGGAAGGGCAGCGCATCCCCGCCCACAAGGTGATACTCGCTGCCAGTAGTGACTATTTCAGGGCCCTCCTCTATGGAGGAATGAGAGAAGCTAATCAGGTGGGTCTACTTATTATAGTTATAGTTTCCTATAATTTTTGTCATTAAAAACTAAAGATTTATAACTAAAGATTTAGAAGTAGTCATTAATTAAATGAGTATTAATAAATAATAATAAATAAATATTTCCAACACACACACCAATTAGCCTAGCCCCAAAGTAAGCACTATAAGGCTTGTGTTATGGGATACTAGGGTAACGGATAGAATACATATACTGTACATATATAAGTATATTTATATAGAAATACATATTAAATATCCATGACTGGAGTACAAATGCACGTATTCATCACACAAACATCTGCCCCAATTATTGATAATAATTCATTGATTTACAGGCTGAAGTGGAGTTGCAAGCACCACTACAAGCATTTAAAGCTCTTTTACGCTATGTTTATTCTGGTAAGTACTAGTTAAATTGTTGTAAACCAATAGATACCAGTGTATTGAACAAAATTTATTTTTTTGTAACTTTTTAAAAACACTTAATGTTAAATTGTTGGTGAAACGTAGTGAATAAATGCTAATGCTAAGATAGCATTGCTTTGTAATAATGATGTTTAGACTTATTTTAGGCTATTTACCCGGCTGCGCAATGCAAGAGCGCGAAACGCGACGCGCAGACAGGGTTATGTGTTTAACAGTCTATATATGTATGTTTGTTCCTTTGTGGCATACTAGAGACCAAACGCCTGGACCGATTTTGATGATTACATACATCAATCGATTCGTCTCAATCATGGGAGTGCTACTAAAGATATGATAGTAATCAAAATTCAATATGCCCCAAATTAGGCGCCATATTGTGACGAAGTAAAAAAAATAAGTTGACAAAATATGTCGAGTGGATCACTGTCTAGATAATCAAAAATCATATTTAGGTTCCTAACACCATTTTTCATTTAATATGATTGTTTAGGATCTACAACGCTTTAAACTTGTATATTAACCACTTACGCTTTTAATTTCAATCTTACGTTTGTATGGATCTTTGTTACTCTTTCACCTAAAAAATACTGAATGGATTTTAATGAAACCTAACAGTAATATAGCTCATATATGATAATTACATATATATAATAATTTATGTAGTTATTGAGTGAATTGGCCAATATATAACAATAAGTGTCACATAAGACGGAAAAAAATCTCCCATCTGCGAGCCATTTTTGCCTGCACTGCGAAAACAATAAAAGTTACATGAATGTAATGCTGAGTGAAAATGTATCTCTTAAATAGTTCTAAACAAAATCCGTGACACCATATATCTATTTTTAATGTGTAAGTCATTACCGCTAAAATACTGAATCAAAACTAAAATATTATTTGATATCTATTTCCAAAATGTACATTTTGTATTAACAAATCATTTTTTATCAAAACAAATACTTTTATCGCTTTTGATATTTAAAGACGATAAACCTTGCTGTTTACACTATGTCATTTCGACAAATATTTAAAAAGTTACAACGATGACAAAGTGATAGCGCGGTGTACTATGTAAAAGAAAAAAAATGGGCTATTCGCTGTATCTGATCCTATACGAAGCACTAACAATAAAACTGTGATACAGTTCCTTCTTATTAAATGATGAAAAATATATTATCATAATAGGTATTTATGATTATTGAATTTTAATGAAAAACTCAGAATTTTACTGTTTTTCATTTTTTTAACGATATTACTTAATGTTACAAAAAAGGTTTACTTAATATAATGACAAATAACCCATTTTTCGCTAGTAAGTACATACTTATTGGAATCCCTATATTTATTAATCAGCTCGCGATAATATTGGTTTTGTAATAATTCTATAAAATTCAAAAGTAAACAATGTAGATTTTTATAGGTAAATCACCCCTTTCATCATCCTACGCCAATAAGTATTGCGATGTTGTAGCTAAGAATCAAGTTCCCATCTACTTCTATATGGGAATTCATTATATTCGATTTAGCTATTAAGGCACGGAAGCGCAACAAACAAACTCACTTTCACATCTATAATATTATATTATACTTACTAGTGATCCACCCGGGCATTGTACGGGCGAAATTTATTTATCGGGATAAAATATAGCCTATGTCACTCGGACAAAATGTATTTAAATAAAGAAAAATGTAATAATAAATAATGTAGCTACCTTATGATGAATTAATATTTGAAACCGGTTCAGTAGTTTGACAGATTATTTGTTACAAATATACAAATCTTGCCTCTTTATAATATTAGTATAGATAGTTAGGATATGATAAGTATTTAATTGATGAAAAGATTTAAAAATAAAGTAAGTAATAGGTTTATTTGATTATATTTGTAAAAGTTACTTAGAATTTGTGCTTAACAGTGATTCGTTATTCGGTATTTTTTTAAACAAAAAAAATTTGGAAAATAATTGCCCTACTGGGAGTACTGTTCATTCAAACTTTACACTACCAATAAAAAATGGTCGATCACAAAGTCTTTGACCTGTTATATGTGAACGCTTTAAAAGAAAACTATAAAGAGAACTATAAATTGATAATAAATGAGATTGCTATGGTGCTCTACCTAACGTTATGAAAAATTTATTATGCGCCTTTAGTTTAATCAAATTTTATAAACTTTGCTTTGGTGATTGCATAATTATTTAATTTAGTGATCTAAGGCAGTTGCCACCATTTTCCAAAACAGCAAACGGGAATTACTGCTTTCTTCAACCTGCGACATAAACGTCATTGATTGTTATTGTATATAGGGTGATTAAAAACATTTGAAGTTAACTTCTGGCATCTACATATTGGGTTTCTGTGAATTATGTAGGTATATCAAATTACTAGGGACTGACACTGCATTTGTGTATATCACAATCTTAGACGTCCGGCATTGACATGACAATGCAGCCACTGCCAATTTTAAATAGTCGACGAATAAAAGTAAATGAATTTTATATTTACTGCTAAACTATTAAAAAAACATAAACAAAAGATGACTTTTTGAGTAAGTGCTAGTTTACTATAAAATTTACATACATTAGAGATATTTATGTAATGACTTGATTTAACTTCACACATTTTTGCGAAAATTTAGGCCCATCTGTAGCCTTGACCCCGCTGGTAAAGTCTTTATATGTCTTAATAAATCAATCTTTTAGACCGACGCAAGGTACTTAATAATTCCCGCGATATTAATTCCTTTACTGAAGCAACAAGACTACGGTATATACCGTCTTAAAATACTAAGTAACTAAAAAGTGTGAAATAAAAAAGGTAAATTTAAAAAATCAAAAAACCCGACTGCTTAATTATATTTCAAATAAAAACTGAAAAGAAAAAAACAAGTCCAGTAGTCTATAATTCTGTTAATAAGGAGCAAAGCTATTTTAACAGTTGGGACCCATTAGATATTCAAGAATACATAATATTTTTCAACAGTGGGTCCCGACTGTTAAAATAGCTTTGCTCCTTATTAACAGAATTATAGACTACTGGACTTGTTTTTTTCTTTTCAGTTTTTATTTGAAGTATAATTAAGCAGTCGGGTTTTTTGATTTTTTAAATTTACCTTTTTTTTGTTACCTGTTTAAAGAATATACATCTTTATTCGCATTGAGTTAAAAGTTACTACAAATATTTTTTTAAATAATGATTCAGATTCTGTATTGTATCTTTACATGGATATAGAGAACACAACATAAACAAAAAATACAGTTCATGTGACACCCTGCATGAGTGTTTAAATATGAGCAGTAATAAATTACATGCACAATGATATTGTAGGGCACATGGGCTTGTCCCTACTCCGCGAGGATACAGTATTGGACATGCTGGGGTTGGCGCACCAGTTCAACTTCCAGGAGTTGGAGACGGCCATATCTGACTACTTGCGTCAGGTGCTGGCGCTCAGGAACGTATGCTCTGTATTAGACGCAGCTAGGTGAGTCAATGGTTGTTTGTTGACAGTGCATTGAATATGTTAGCTGGTTTTTAATTTTTGGTCCCATTTACTGGACACCAAAGGTCCTTTAGGATTTAGTCACAGAAGAAGTGTAATCTAATACTATAGACAATAATTTATGGTACGGTAAGAGCATAAAATTGGGAGAAGCTCGATGGCGCAGGTGCTAGCAGGCTTGGCTGAGATTGTTGAAGTTAAGCAACTTTCGCAATGGTCGGTCAATGGATGGGTGACCAAAAATTTTCTATCTCGAGTTCCTCCGTGCGTCGGAAGGCACGTTTAGCTGTTGGTCCCTGCCGTATCTGCAGTTGTTAGCACCCGCCAATCCGCACTAGGGCCGCGTGGTGGGTCATTAATAGGCTGATAATGATGATGATGATAAAATTGGGAATTTGTGACAAATCCTATCCTATCTCAGAAAAAACTAAATTGACTGGGATAGTTATCGCATCTTAATATATCTTAATTTTAAATATATATGGCTCAAAATCACCAAGGTGGAAAATACTGAATTCTGTTTTATGATGCTATAGAGTAGAAGCTAAATATATTGATAATTACTCTAAATCATAACTAAACTTATGTTAAACTATATTGACCTTGGCAGAGCATAGAATTAAATACTTTTCTTGAAATTTCAATTTTTAAGTGTGCTATCACTAAAATTAATCATTCGGGGAACGGTATTCTTAAGTTTATAATTAAATAAAAATATATATATATATATTTCATTTTTACCCTTAACGATAACGGAGATACGTCGCCAATAGTACGAACTTAAAAAAACTTTGACAAAATTTGGAATTAAAACGTTTTTAAGGACAATATCGCTGTAAATTAAGCTATATGACTATTTCATGTTCTTAAATTTACAAAATAAGTGAATATCGCTCACTTGCATATAAATAAATCTGCGGTAGCTATAGGGATTCAGCCTGTTTCCAATATTATCAGACTTTATTCCTAAATAACTTATGTTATAATGGCATTTCTTTGATTTTAAAGGTGTTCCCCGAAATGATGAGAGCATTCATCAAATGACGATATGCAGACAATTATGGTTTAATTCACAGTTAAAATGAATAATAAGCCAAATTATAGGAAGTAATTGTTATTTATTTATTTGCTATAAGATTTATTCTTAAAAAGAACTTAATTCTAACTCAATTAAATCACTTTTTTAGTCTCATAATTGATGACACAGCCAAGTAAAACTCTTGACGTCAGTGCTTTAACTGAACATGAAAGGAGGCGTTTCTGCTTCTTAATCCCGTTTTTCTTTACGAAATCTCTCTTGGCTGGACACACCCTACTGACATCATCTCTTTGGAAGAACTCTTTGACTTTTTCGCGAACTTCTTTATTCAAAACAACCTCATGAATTTTGGCGTCAGATTTGAGAATAGTACTGGTTTTCTCTTTTGGCAAAAAACAATTAACCTTATGAAGCAATTTGTATTGCCTTACCATAATCCCGCTAACACATTTTTGAAAAACTACCCTGTCTTTGGATTTTTTTCTCAAATAAAAGATTTCACTTCGTTAAATAAAAGATTCTTGCGCACTTCAGGAGGTACGTCAACGTTTTCTAACAATGCGTTAACTTTGCTATTGGGAGTTGTAGGGTTCTGAGACTTCACTTCTTTGAGTAAGCTGTACTGTTTTTCTTTATTTGCTTATTCGAACGGTTTTTTTCAGCTTTGTGAGACTCCATATTGCTGTAAAAATAAAGTTAGTATACCTATTGATAACTTTGTAAGCACGACATACACAAAATTGACAGTTAGTAATAGAAAGTACCAATTAGTAACTAAATAGTCATTTGGGGAACAACAACATCATTTAGAGAACGGTCCATCAAATCGGAGAACGTTCCCCAAATGACCGTTCACCAAATGATATTTTCAAATAACCGCGTCTTTTTTAAACGGCAGCCATATTTGACAGCAATTCTTGCTTCCATCCTAATTTTTTATCACATACTGGCAGCACTCATTGAGCACTAAATTATTAACCGTTGATTATCATAGATCTTCGATCCAGAGTGATGAATGTAAAATATTTGATTATAACATTTGTTATACAACACTATAAAAGCTATTATTGCATAATTTTGATTGGAAAACGCGTTCCCCAATTGACGACCTATTGATGTACGCTCTGTAAATAATGAATTGAAAGCCACTTACCACTTATTTTAATTTCATTTGGCGAACTACTTTCTTCACAGCCACTATGTTTACAACTCTTTCTACAGCTGTTCCATAGACTAAAGAGGGATGCGTTCGAAATTTTTTGTTTCGCGTAATCAAAGCTGCGTTCACTAACATGATGCTTATATTGTCGGACATTATATTTAGACTTAGATTTTCTAAAATCGTTTTTCTTCTTTAATAATGCTTTCAATAATGTAATATTAGATACAATTGAAGGTGAATGGGTATTAATAACCGTTAAAAATGTTTTATTTTATGACTATTTCTGGTGTTAGCTTTTAAGAATTGCTACTTAGGACGCGTTCTCCAAATGATTTTTTGTACTTATTTGTCCATATAAAATGTAATATATAAGACTTTTTAATTATTTTGTGTGATGTGTGGTTAAAGTAAACACAGTTAAGTGTTTACCAATGCTAAAATGTTAAAAAAATACAGAATTTAGGCATTTATTTGCTGCCGAAGTGGATTTACCACCTTGGTGATTTTGAGTCATATACATATTTATTGTTTATTTTACGCATGTTTTTATTTCGTTTTGGTTGATTGCAGAAACATGAATGTTTATTAGACTCGTTCCCAATTAGTGATTTTTCTCTGGTAATATCAAGTTTTCATTCCTTTCGCCCGCTATGTTTCATCATCTAAGATTGAAGACTGTTTCATCAATGTTTTTTTCTTTATATGTTTTCTTTTTGGTAACTAAGGTTTACTTATGTTATTCAGCTGTGTACATTTTTGCTGGCTTTGGCTGTTTAATGTACCTTTATAAATAAAATAAATTAAAAATAAATTAATGAATGACCACTCAAATAACTTGTTTCAGACTATATGGACTCGATGCACTTATGGACTACTGCTACAATTTCTTGGATAGAAATGCAACAGAAGTCCTCCAGCATGACTCCTTCCTGCAGCTGTCAGTCGTAAGTTATACTATAGCAAAATTTTTGCTGTTAAAAAAAAGCCGAAGTTCAGCAGTTCAGAGAATAGAATAGAATATATTTTATTAACCCTCATATTACTGATATTACACATTTACAGATACAAATTCAAAAAACATTGCGACATTGTGTCGCACCAGCGCTGTTAAAATTCAAAATTCAAACTCATTTATTCAGTCTAGGCTGTTACAAGCTCTTGTGAAAGTCAAACGCTACGCCATCGGTTCGTAAATCTACGGCGGGAGACCTTGTACTGAGAAGAACCGGCAAGAAACTCAGCAAGGTTATTCTGGCAGAGACTGTTTAGTGACACAAAAAAAAGACATGTTAATTATTTTTTTATCACTTGAAAGGATGTATGGACCGAGAGCAGATCTTTAGTGATAAGTGGGATTCGTTACCAAGCATGACGGATGAATCAGTCGTTTCAGAGAGCAGACGCCTAAGCACGACTTTTTGACAGCAAACTAGTTTGTTCTTGCCTCCGATTGGGGCTGCTTACTTATCATAGAAAATTTGACGATGGGATTCTTGACGGAGCTGTCAAAAAGTCATGCTTCCATGCCTCAGTGTGAAATGGTCAAGGTATCATATTTAAAACTTGTCTTCTTTGTTTCATATTGCGTAGGAAGCCCTTCAAGGTTTGTTGGAGCGAGACTCGTTCTTCGCGGCTGAAGTGGACATCTTCAAGGCGGTCTGCAATTGGTTCAACTCCAACCAAGCTTGGGTCAAATCGGACAGTGGCCAAGCGCAAGTCGTGAGTTCATAACTTACAGTTTTATTTCACTCCCGACACTGAATAGTGCTTTCATTATGTATTTTGGCATCCTCATCAATCAATAATTTGTCATTCTCATTTTTTTCAAAGTTAAAGGAATCCAAATTTCCAGTAGTACTTTTTCCTTAATATGACACCGATATAATAATGTTTGGTAGTTAAATTTCTTAAGAACGCTGAATGAAAATCTTAAATTATTGAAATTTAAGATTTGTATTCGATAATCATTACAAAAGCACAATGGAGAACACAAAAGGGTCAAGATGTTACATTAAAAAATTTACCTAGCATCAAAGTATACTCTACGTATGTTATATTAGTTTTTATTTCATGTACATACACATAAATACATGCAGTATTAAATAATAGTAAATATTTCTAACACTCACACCAATTAGCCTAGCCCCAAAGTAAGCACTGTAAAGCTTGTGTTATGGGATGCTAGGGTAATGGATAGAATACACATACTGTATATATATATAAGTATATTCATATAGAAATATATATTAAAACATCCATGACCGGAGTACAAATGCTCGTATTCATCATACAAACATCTGCCCCCACCGGGATTCGAACCCGGGACCTCTCGAGTCGGCGAAACCATGAAACCCGGCATACAAACTACTCGACCACGGAGGTCGTCATATGCAAGCCATATACGTTCCCAAGTTATGGGATACTAGGGAAACGGATAGAATACATATGCTGTACATATTTAAGTATATTTATATAAAAATACACATTAAACATCCATGACTGGAGTACAAATGCTCGTATTCATCACACAAACATCTGCCCCCACCGGGATTTGAACCCGGGACCTCTCGAGTCGGGACACCATGAAACCCGGCATACAAACCACTCGGCCATGGAGGTCGTCAACGAAGTTATGACTGTAAGAAGTTTATGCTCTATTTTAAATTTCCGAGATTTCGCGTTTCCTTCGCTTCCGTCTCTCGTCCCCAGGGTTGCGTTCCATACCTACGCTCTAAGGCTGGAAACAGTGCTCGACCGACGGTACGTTCTGACCGTCGGTTGCGAAAATGCATTCAGTGATACGCTGACGGCGAACGGCGACGCGTGTGTACAGTTCACGAGAAAAATGAACCCTTTTGCTGTAATATATGCACGCCATTTTTTGCGCAATTAATCTAATATATAAAATTCTCGTGTCGCGGTGTTTGTGGTTAAACTCCTCCGAAACGGCTCGACCGATTTTCGTGAAATTTTATATGCATATTCAGTAGGTCTGAGAATCGGACAACTTCTGTTTTTCATCCCCCTAAATGTTAAGGGTTAACCATCTTTAATTTTTTTTTGTTCAATATATTTTTTTTTTGATACATCATACAAAAATAGATACAGCCCTAAATTTTCTGCCTTCTACCACCAACTCCTATTTTTTTATGGCGGTACGAAGTTCGCTGGGACAGCTAGTTCTTTACAAAGTTCTTGCCAAGCACTTATTTTAGCATCACGTTCTTTATAAAATACATACGATAAATTCCATATTGCCGGACGAAACCGCACTTCAGTAATAAGGCGCTCTGTATCAATATTCATTTTTGCTTTGAGTGTACGTACGCACGTTTGGTCGGTCTCTCCATCAGTGAAGCACTAAACGCATCCATACAATCTTTATAGCTCGTCGGTTGATCGACGTTTTCGCGACCGACGAGCCGGATAGCTGTGTGCGCATTCATAGACTTGCATAGAAAAAAAAAGTCAAACCCATAACTTTAACACGAGATTTCAGAACAAGCTTGCCATTCCATGTTTTAGACTCCAAAAATCAAGAGGTTCATTTCTGAGATGTTGTATTGCATTGTTTAACAAAGTGCCCCAAGATCTGATTGAGCTTCCACTAACCAAATTTAAATCTCAGATCAAGAATACTCTTATGAATAAGGGCTATTATAAAGTTAATGATTATCTAAATGATCGTAATGCATGGACATAGTGTTTCTTGTAATTTCTTATTTGATGGGTATGAGTCAGTTTTGTAACAGTAATATGGTACCTATCTAATGCCGCTTCCTATATACTAAATATAAAATTTATTATAACTATATATCTATATCCTAAATAATGTAATGGAAGGTGACAGTCATTTTTCAACTTGACAACTCTGTATATATCAATATACAGGGGAAAAAAAGCAGCCCTTGCTGAGTTTCTTGCCGGTTCTTCTCAGTACAAGGTCTCCCGCCATAGTTTTACGAACCGATGGCGTAGCTTCTTGACCTTCACAAGTGCTTGCCTAGACTGAATAAATGACTTTTCATTTCATTTCATTTCATTTCGATATAGCTACGCCGACGGTCAGCGCTGACCGTCGGTCGAGCACTGTTTCCAGCCTTAGTGCAATTCTTTACCCTGACGTTTTCAATTTTGACATTATATCTATGAAACTAATGTCAACTTTGACTTTACCTGCACTAAGAGCGTAAGTTTTAAACGGGCCGCGACATGGCGAGTGACGTCATTGCAAGTTCGCATGCCGCCCGCGTTTTAAAAAAAACTTCGTGCGATAAGACATAGTTTAAATTAAATTCTTCTCAGATATATTTAAAGATAGTAAAAAGTAGAAAAACAGTGATTCCTTAAATTTTTTGGTAGAATCACTTAGGCATTTTCAGAAAAAAAAAAGTTTGTCATCTCCATTGCTAGCACATACCAACTTTAGATGAACAAAAAATCTTGTAATTTTATCTCTATGTCTTGTCAATAAAGATTAACCTTTACCTTATTTTTAATTAATATTTTCAAAATTATCATCATTATCATCAGCCCATTAATGTCCCCACTGCTGGGGCACAGGCCTTCCCTATGGATGGAATAGGGAGATTGGGCCATGACCCACCACGCGGGCCCAGTGCGGATTGGTGGGTGCTAACGACTGCAGATGCAGCCGGGACCAACGGCTTAACGTGCCTTCCGAAGTACGGGGTGCTCGAGATAGTAAATTTTTGGTCACCTATCCAATGACCGACCACTGCGAAAGTTACTTAACTTCAACGATCGCAGCCGAACGCGCTAACCACTTGCGCCATCGAGCTCCTCAAGCTTCAAAATTATACTTTTAAAAATTTATTCCTTTCACAATTTTTCTACGACCATAGGAGAAGATATTGAAATGCGTACGTCTGACGCTGATGAGCTTAGAAGAGTTACTGAGCGTTGTACGTCCGTTCTCGTTGGTCACTCCAGACATGCTTCTTGACGCCATACAGGAGAAGACGCAGACCAACACCACGGACCTGCCTCACCGGGGCATGCTGCGTGAGTTATATAGAGCATCGTATTATCATCATGAGCCTATAATGCGATTCAAATAAGAATAGGAAAGCCAATGACCTCTATCTGTCAAATGTCGCTTGAAAAGTACGGTTTGCAAAAAACAATCTTGGAACCCTTTTTTAGCACTCCGCTAATTCAAGAATAAAAAACAAACATTTGTAAACAAACAATAACAAATATTGATAATTAATATCGGTTAATATTTTTTTTTCACTTATTGAGCTTTGGCCATGAATGGTTGATAACCTAAATCGTCAACCAAATGTCACTTTGTTGCGTTCAGAAACTCGATTTCAAACTATCGTTTACTTAAAGGATGCATGTTCGTATGTGACCTAGTAATAGTGCATGATTATTCATAACTACTCCGGCGGTAATGCAGAAATGAGCGGAATAAAAGAGCTAGATTCTGATTAATGTTTTTTCTTACAGTCTTAATAAATAAATATTATTAAAAATCGGTAGTTTTTTTTTCAATATGAGTAATTAAATAAATCTGATGCTTTTTCTCACTTAATCTTATTAAATAAGTTTTATTAAATAAAATATTTTTTTGCTCGCTCAGCCTATTTGGTTTGAATTGACAGCATGACATCAGAATATGGCGCCCAGTCGGTCCTATCCTTAGTTGAATCGCATTATATATATGTCCCCACTGCTGGGGCCCAGGCCTTCCCTATGGATGGAATAGGGATATTGGATCAAGACACACCACGCGGGCACAGTGCGGATTGGCCGGTGCTAACGACTGCAGATGCAGCCGGGACCAACGTCCTGACGTGCCTTCTGAAGCACGGATGAACTCGAGATAGAAGATTTTTGGTTACCCATCCAATGACCGAGCACACTGCGAAAGTTGCTTAACTTCAACGATCGCAGCCGAACGCGCTAGCCACTTGCGCCATCGAGCTCATGGTATCATAGTCTTTACAATACGGTTATATCTGTAATTCATAGCTCTATTCATAAAACATAGGGTTCAGGATGATCTGTCAAACTAGCACTATCCTCAATTTAAACGGCTAAGATAATATCACGACGGACAGAGTAATGTTTTTCTCATTACAAACTTTCGCCGGAGAATTACGACCGTTGGCGTAGAGTTGACGTTCACAAGAGCTTGAAACAGCCTAGCCTGAATTAATGATTTTGAGTTTAAATAGCTTTATGTATAAAAAAAGAATGTTCCGATACTAGTTGAAAACATCGACAGCAGTTCTAACCTGTAGCCAAGTCGCCAATAAATTGGTCCTACCGAAAAGTTGAAGAGATTAAAAACGAGGGTTACCTACAATGCGAAGAGATGGCGCTGCCTTGCAACTTAATAACGGCTACAGAAAATTCGACATGGCAATCAGGGCCGCGGTAGCATAATGGTCAGTGCATTCGCCCGGATAGCGAAGGGTGCGCGTTCGAGTCCACTTCTGCTGCCTGGTCCGCGTGGAATTTTCTCTAGTAATATTTTAAAAAATTCAGTGCCCGAGGAGAACGTAGCGACGCCTAAGCGCGGCGCCCGCGTCATCTCCGGAGACATGCGATCCGCTCTATTGGACGGCGACACGGAGAATTACGACATGGAACGCGGATACACGCGACACACTATCAACGAGGCGCCCGACAACCCCGGCATATTGGTGCGCCTCGCAGCCCCCACCATCCTCAACCACGTGCGACTGTTGCTGTGGGACAGAGACAACAGGTGAGGGAGGAGCATAGACACGGAACGCGGATACACGCGACACACTATCAACGAGGCGCCCGACAACCCCGGCATATTGGTGCGCCTCGCAGCCCCCACCATCCTCAACCACGTGCGACTGTTGCTGTGGGACAGAGACAACAGGTGAGGGAGGAGCATAGACACGGAACGCGGATACACGCGACACACTATCAACGAGGCGCCCGACAACCCCGGCATATTGGTGCGCCTCGCAGCCCCCACCATCCTCAACCACGTGCGACTGTTGCTGTGGGACAGAGACAACAGGTGAGGGAGGAGCATAGACACGGAACGCGGATACACGCGACACACTATCAACGAGGCGCCCGACAACCCCGGCATATTGGTGCGCCTCGCAGCCCCCACCATCCTCAACCACGTGCGACTGTTGCTGTGGGACAGAGACAACAGGTGAGGGAGGAGCATAGACACGGAACGCGGATACACGCGACACACTATCAACGAGGCGCCCGACAACCCCGGCATATTGGTGCGCCTCGCAGCCCCCACCATCCTCAACCACGTGCGACTGTTGCTGTGGGACAGAGACAACAGGTGAGGGAGGAGCATAGACACGGAACGCGGATACACGCGACACACTATCAACGAGGCGCCCGACAACCCCGGCATATTGGTGCGCCTCGCAGCCCCCACCATCCTCAACCACGTGCGACTGTTGCTGTGGGACAGAGACAACAGGTGAGGGAGGAGCATAGACACGGAACGCGGATACACGCGACACACTATCAACGAGGCGCCCGACAACCCCGGCATATTGGTGCGCCTCGCAGCCCCCACCATCCTCAACCACGTGCGACTGTTGCTGTGGGACAGAGACAACAGGTGAGGGAGGAGCATAGACACGGAACGCGGATACACGCGACACACTATCAACGAGGCGCCCGACAACCCCGGCATATTGGTGCGCCTCGCAGCCCCCACCATCCTCAACCACGTGCGACTGTTGCTGTGGGACAGAGACAACAGGTGAGGGAGGAGCATAGACACGGAACGCGGATACACGCGACACACTATCAACGAGGCGCCCGACAACCCCGGCATATTGGTGCGCCTCGCAGCCCCCACCATCCTCAACCACGTGCGACTGTTGCTGTGGGACAAGGACAACAGGTTGTGTCGCAGTCGCACATCGCTTGCTGTGCGACTGCGACACATCCTTCTTATAATATAAATGTGAAAGTTTGGATGTTTTTTAACTTATACATCCAAAAACGGCTGAACAGATTTGGATGATGAAATTGGGAGCACACATAGTTTCTTCCATAAATTGAGGAGATATGACCAGGGCTTGAAACCGGTTTCGAAAATACCGGTAAATAAAGGTTAATACCGGTTTTTAGTAAAGGTTTCGTTCGGAGCGCGTCCGAAATGAAAGCGGTACCTTAAACCTTAATAAACCGGTTTAATCCAGAGCGGCACGGGCACGCGTCGGCATCACTTGATGTTTAAAAAAAAAAAATCCAACACACACCAATTAGCCTAGCCCCAAAGTAAGCACTATAAGGCTTGTGTTATGGGATACTAGGGTAAGGGATAGAATACATATACAGTACATATATAAGTATATTTATATAGAAATACATATTAAACATCCATGACTGGAGTACAAATACTCGTATTCATCATACAAACATCTGCCCCCACCGGGATTTGAACCCGGGACCTCTCGAGTCGGTGACACCATGAAACCCGGCGTACAAACCACTCGACCACGGAGGTCGTCAATGGTGTCGATTCTGGCGTGATTCTCTAAACTTAAAACTAAATTTAACATCAGTATCTCCTATTCATTTTGTATAGAGAATGACAAGGATATACTGCTGTCAAATTTTAGTTTAGGTTTAGAGAATCATGCCAGAATCGATACCACTGGTGTCGATTCTGGCACGATTCTCTAAATCTAAACTTAAACTTGACAACAGTGTTTCCTTGTCATTCTCTATACAGAATGAAAAAGAGAGACTGATGTTAAATTTAATATTAAGTTTAGAGAATCACGCCAGAATCGACACCATTGTTTGTTTTAACTAATCAAGTCACAACTTGTTAATGCTCAGAGATTGATGCATTTATTGACACGTTTGCTAGCGTCTAGTGAGTCAAGTTATTCATTTATTATCGATGCCGTCAGTAAGAGCTAAATAAAACCCTTTAAAATCCGCTAAATTGATAAAAAACCTATTTGATTTCGATGTTTAGGAAAATCGGTTTTTTAAGGTTAAGGTAGAGCCCAACCTAAATAAAACGCTCCTAATGTACTTGATACTGATTTAGGTTTTAAAATCACCCGGTAAACAAGCCCTGATTTAAACATCTAGCAGTTAAATGCTTAAAATATAAAAATATTTCTAATATTATATTTATTTAAGCATGGTTGCAATACTACGATGGGTGGTTGCGACCAAGGATCCTGTGAAAGATACGAAACATCGAGAATACTGTAAAAATAAATAAATAGTGCTTTATATGTATATCCGTTTACAAAAACTGTTTTATCAAATTCATCCTTATCATACAAATATATTATATCGACTTCTCAGGTCGTACGGGTACTACATCGAGGTATCAGTCGACCAGAAGGACTGGGTGCGCGTAGTCGACCACAGCAACTACTACTGCCGCTCGTGGCAGAACCTGTACTTCGAGCCCCGCGTGGTGCACTATATCAAGCTGGTCGGCACCAGCAACACTGTCAACAAGGTGAGGCGGCACATTCCACAGCTGCTACTACTGCCGCTCGTGGCAGAACCTGTACTTCGAGCCCCGCGTGGTGCACTATATCAAGCTGGTCGGCACCAGCAACACTGTCAACAAGGTGAGGCGGCACATTCCACAGCTGCTACTACTGCCGCTCGTGGCAGAACCTGTACTTCGAGCCCCGCGTGGTGCACTATATCAAGCTGGTCGGCACCAGCAACACTGTCAACAAGGTGAGGCGGCACATTCCACAGCTGCTACTACTGCCGCTCGTGGCAGAACCTGTACTTCGAGCCCCGCGTGGTGCACTATATCAAGCTGGTCGGCACCAGCAACACTGTCAACAAGGTGAGGCGGCACATTCCACAGCTGCTACTACTGCCGCTCGTGGCAGAACCTGTACTTCGAGCCCCGCGTGGTGCACTATATCAAGCTGGTCGGCACCAGCAACACTGTCAACAAGGTGAGGCGGCACATTCCACAGCTGCTACTACTGCCGCTCGTGGCAGAACCTGTACTTCGAGCCCCGCGTGGTGCACTATATCAAGCTGGTCGGCACCAGCAACACTGTCAACAAGGTGAGGCGGCACATTCCACAGCTGCTACTACTGCCGCTCGTGGCAGAACCTGTACTTCGAGCCCCGCGTGGTGCACTATATCAAGCTGGTCGGCACCAGCAACACTGTCAACAAGGTGAGGCGGCACATTCCACAGCTGCTACTACTGCCGCTCGTGGCAGAACCTGTACTTCGAGCCCCGCGTGGTGCACTATATCAAGCTGGTCGGCACCAGCAACACTGTCAACAAGGTGAGGCGGCACATTCCACAGCAACTACTATTGCCGCTCGTGGCAGAACCTGTACTTCGAGCCCCGCGTGGTGCACTATATCAAGCTGGTCGGCACCAGCAACACTGTCAACAAGGTGAGGCGGCACATTCCACAGCAACTACTATTGCCGCTCGTGGCAGAACCTGTACTTCGAGCCCCGCGTGGTGCACTATATCAAGCTGGTCGGCACCAGCAACACTGTCAACAAGGTGAGGCGGCACATTCCACAGCAACTACTATTGCCGCTCGTGGCAGAACCTGTACTTCGAGCCCCGCGTGGTGCACTATATCAAGCTGGTCGGCACCAGCAACACTGTCAACAAGGTGAGGCGGCACATTCCACAGCAACTACTATTGCCGCTCGTGGCAGAACCTGTACTTCGAGCCCCGCGTGGTGCACTATATCAAGCTGGTCGGCACCAGCAACACTGTCAACAAGGTGAGGCGGCACATTCCACAGCAACTACTATTGCCGCTCGTGGCAGAACCTGTACTTCGAGCCCCGCGTGGTGCACTATATCAAGCTGGTCGGCACCAGCAACACTGTCAACAAGGTGAGGCGGCACATTCCACAGCAACTACTATTGCCGCTCGTGGCAGAACCTGTACTTCGAGCCCCGCGTGGTGCACTATATCAAGCTGGTCGGCACCAGCAACACTGTCAACAAGGTGAGGCGGCACATTCCACAGCTGCTACTACTGCCGCTCGTGGCAGAACCTGTACTTCGAGCCCCGCGTGGTGCACTGTTTTCAAAAAATGCTTTATTTCAAGACATGACCTCATATATGTTAGTAACAATTTTTCAAAACATATGTTAGTATTTCATTACAATTTCAATCTTCATTATAACTTATATAAAAATAATTAAAATAAATAATTACAAAATTAAAATAATTAAAAATTTATTAATTTTACTGCATCCTCCCCTCGGCCTGGTCACCAAACATGTAGTTTGATGAACTGACCGAGCAGAGGGGAGTCCATTCTATTTGCTAACATACCCAGGACTCTGTTAGGGGGCCATAAATTACGTGAGGTGTTTTTTTGGATTTTCTGTCCCTCCCTCCCCCCCTGGTGAGATGTCGTGAGATTTTATTCGCTTATACAATAAAGTCCCAAGCAATATCCAAGAGTTAGCCATAAATAAATTTAAAGATATTATAAAAAAAACACTTATTAAAAAAGCTTATTACAAAGTGTCTGAATATATTACAGAGAAAAATGCTTGGGTTTGAACTGTTCCAATCATTCCAACAGGTTTTCTATATTAAATAAATCATAATTGTATTGACGTTGTAACAACATAATGATTTGTAAATGTTGTTACATTACACTTTTAATGTTGTGGAGTTTATTCGCTCGTTTTTCTCCGCAGCTAAAAAATATGTCCATAACGAGTGGTAGGGAAAAAAATTTTTTGGATGATTCAAAAGAGTTGTACTATACATCCAATTTGAATAAAGATATATTGATTTCTGATTTCTTTATTCAACCCCCTCCCCTTTCCCCCAATCTCACGTGAGATTTTTCAAAATGTGGGTTTCTTTCGCAAACGCGTTGGATTGTTATGGTAAAAAGAGAAAAAATGCTTCGTGCTTTTATTTACGACTAGTTAAGACTAGTAATCAATATTGCTGAGAGTTAGAAGTGTAATAAAAATTTCACAATAGAATACTTAATAGATACTAATGTGAAAAAAAAATGCGTGATATTTGCCGAGACCCCCCCTCTCTCCAACGTAAGATTAGATGAGATTTGACTCGACCCCCTCCTCCCCTTAAACATCTCACGTAATTTATGGACGCCCCCTTACAACCTCCCCGCAGCCGATGCACCAGTGACGCGACTTTTTTACGCATAATAGCATAAAAGTCGTCAGTGCTTGCGTCCGCAAACATGCCAGATGCACTACAGTAGCGTGGAAGTATTACGTATTTAAATAATATTTTACTAGAAAAAAATCCACGTGGACCAGGCAGCAGACGGGACTCGAACCCGCATCCCCAGCTATCCGGACGGATGCACTGACCATTATGCTACCGCGGCCTTATTATGTATTTCATCATCATCATCATCCTATTAAGTTCCCTTAAGGTCCCCACTGCTGGGGCACAAGCCTTCTCTATGGATGAAATATGGAGATTGGGCCATGACCCACCACGCGGGCCCAGTGCGGATTAGCGGGTGCTAACGACTGCAGATGCAGCCGGGACCAACGGCTTGACGTGCCATCCGAAGCACGCAGGAACTCGAGATAGAAGATTTTTGGTCACCCATCCAACGACCGACCATTGCGAAAGTTGCTTAACTTCAACGATCGCACCCGAACCGAACGAACGCGCTAAGCTCATTGTGTATTTATTTTTATTTATTCATTTATGAGGAGCTCGATGGCGCAAGTGGTTAGCGCGTTCGGCTGCGAACGTTGAAGTTAAGCAACTTTCGCAGTGGTCGGGCATTGGATGGGTGACCAAAAAATTTACTATCTCGAGCTCCTCCGTGCTTCGGAAGGCACGTAAAGCCGTTGGTCCCGGCTGCATCTGCAGTCGTTGGCACCCGCCAATCCGCACTGGGCCCGCGTGGTGGGTCATGACCTAATCTCCCTATTCCATCCATAGGGAAGGCCTGTGCCAGCAGTGGGGACATTAAAAGGCTGATGATGATGATGATGATTCATTTATGTACCTGGTAGGTATTCCACGCGGTGGCATTGGAAGCGATGCACACGACAAAGGTGCCGCCCTTATGCGACGGGTTAGTGAAGCCCGCGCACAACGTCGCTACCGTAGAGCTGTCCGCCGTCGTTATAGAAGGAATCAGGTAATGACACATGAACGATGAACGAATGAAGAGAGCTATTCGATCAATTTATAATCTTATTTTTTTAGCAACTAAAACTAAGAAAGAAAAGGAAAATGCATTAACGAAATTGAAATATCAAGTAATGTATATTAGGCATGCGTCCGATATATCAAAACGAATCCAAAATCCGATTTCAAACACAAATCGATACCGAACGATTTCTCAACAAGAAAATCCGATTTCAGAAATCTAACCGAACCAAAACGCTAGCGATCTAATACCACCACAAGTATCCAAATGTAAATCGGATTCGAAATTCGTGCTTTCGTTTTCGGAAGTCCGACTTCGTGCTCGGAAGTCCGATATCGGTTTGCTGTTTACGGAAATCTATTGTTCTTCTCTAAGGCGGGATTATTTATTACTGAAAAAGATGTCGTCTAAAAACATCAAAAGTCGAGCAACTGACATTTTTTGAACGCTAACCTGAAGTAATTAGGTTTGATTTTGTAAATGGTTTATAATAAAAACAAACAGAAAAACAAAAAAAAAATGTAAAGAGAAATCATTGTATATAAGCCGATTTTTAAATGCACCGCTAAAGTTTTACTCTTAACCGTAAAGATAACTTTTCTGCTAGTCCTAAGCCACAGAATATATACTCTTGCCTAAGCTTAGATTTAAAGCATAAAGGAAAATCGCGAAATCTACGAGTATCCTTGCTTCGTACAATTAATTGTTTGTGATTGTCGCTGGCTAATAAAACCAAATCATAACACAAACTAGTGAATTGGCTAAGTTCGGCACATCTGAAATCGGATATCTAAAAACGGATTTTAAAATCGATTTTGAAGTCTGAAATCCGATAAATATTCGTTTGCGTACAAAACCAAAAACGCCCATGTCTAATGTATATGTTAACAACTGTTTGTGGCTTTCTGTGCTGCGGTGTGGATGTGTGTATCGTTTCGATAGACGACCTCCGTGGCCGCGTGGAGTGTACGCCGGCATTCAGGGTGTCGCCTACCCGTGAGGTCCCGGTTTAAGTCCTGGTGGGGGCAGATGTTCGTGTGGTGAATGCGAGCACTTGTACTCCAGTCATGAATGTTTAATGTGTATTTCCATATCAAAATCTATATATATGAATTCTATCCGTTGCCCTGGTATCCCATAACACAAGACTAGTGCTTACTTTGGGGCTAGGCTAAGCTAATTTGGTGTGAATGTTGGAAATGTTCATTCATTTGCATTGCGGTACGGAAAGTTATTATAGAAGGTTATCAAAGTACGTTAAAATATAGTACCTACCAAAGGGATATTAAGAAGAAAAAAAAGAAAAAAATTTTTGGTTGATTGCTTTCTCTTTTTTCTTATTATTTTTGTTTCTCTGTCATAGAAAGTTGACATATATTATAGTATGATGATTTTAAATATGATAATATTTCTACGAGAACTCTGTCGACAAACTGCGTTGCAGTTTGGCAGATATAATGTAATTTTACATGTAAATTTTTTGTTTGATGAATAATTAAATAAAAAAAAATAAAAAAAGTTAAGGATTCCTTAAGAGATAGGTTTAAAGAATTTGAAATAATGACGGTCGCATCACAATACATATTTTATACGAAAATTTATTACTTGTAACAAAACATATTAATTTGTTTCTTAAAAACAGTGATGTTCACACACTTAATACAAGAAACAAAAATAAACTAACTTTACCTGCTACTAGGCTTCACAAAATTAATAATTCATTTAAATGTCTTTGTGTTCGCTTATACAATAAAGTCCCAAGCAATATCCAAGAGTTAACCATAAATAAGTTCAAAGATAGTATAAAAAAACACTTATTAAAAAAGCTTATAAGAAAGTGTCTGATTATATTACAGACAAAAATGCTTGGGTTTGAACTGTTCCAAACATTCCAACAGGTTTTCTATATTAAATAAATCATAATTGTATTGACGTTGTAACAACATACTGATTTGTAAATGTTGTTACATTATACTTTTAATGTTGTGGAGTTTTTTTCGCTCGTTATTCTCCGCAGTTAAAAAATATGTCCAATAACGAGTGGTAGGGAAGAAAATGTTTGGACGATTTAAGTGTCCAATCTGAATAAAGATATATTGATTTCTGATTTGTGAACACACAAACACACATATACAGATCACGACGACCTCCGTTGCCGAGTGGTTTGTACGTCGGGATTCACGGCTGTCGCTAATTCGAGAGGTCCCGGGTTCTAATTATGGTGGGGGAAGATGTTTGTGTGATGAATACGAGCATTTGTACTCCTGCCATGGATGTTGAATATGTATTTTTTATATAAATATACTTATATATGAACAGTATATGTATTCTATCCTTTACCCTAGTATCCCATAACACAAGCCTTACAGTGCTTACTTTGAGGCTAGGCTAATGAGGGCTACCGTTTTCTGTCTGACCAGATGGCGCCACTGTTGAGTGAGGTCCTAAATTGTAACTTTTAAAGTTTATTAATACGCACATGAAATCAAAGGTTACATTTAGATCGTATTTTAACACAAAAGAACCATATCCTAAACATAATAGGCCATGCCACAGTGACGCCCAGTTCCGTTTTATTCGGAAAAAATGGGAACATAATCATTTTTCTAAGCACAATTTTTTAATAACTGACTTTCATTGCCACATAACTCATATTGGCCATAATTAAGCCGAATTGTTACCAATTATTCACAACATTATTTTAATTAGAAATAAACCCGCGTAGTCAACCAACAAGCAATAACATTTGACATTTCGGAGACCTCATGCTACACTAGCGCCTCTAGCGGCGGATTCATACGCGATAGCCCTCATTGGTGTGAATGTTGGAAATATAACATAATATAAACCCGGCGTACAAACCACTCGGCCACGGAGGTCTTCAAGTATAGTCGTCAGTATAATAATGTAAGCTGTTGTCCACCAGTCGTTCCCGGAACGCGCTTTTAAACGGAGACACGGAACACTACGACTGGGAACAAGGCTACACCTGCCATCAGCTCGGCTCCGGCGCCATAGTGGTAACTAACCTCACTTTCAAACATCTGCATTTCATCTAAAGAAAAGTTTACTAGAAAAAAAAATTACTAGAAAAAAATCCACGCGGACCAGGCAGCGGACGGGACTCGAACCCGCATCCTTCGCTATCCGGGCGAATGCACTGACCATTATGCTACCACGGCCCTATTAGCCGCGTCGAAATTTTCCTAGCTTTAAGCTGCAAGGCAGCGCCATCTCTTCGCATTGTAGGTAACCCACAATGTCAAATGAATACTTTTTCAAGTATTAAACATATGAAAGAAGAAATAGCAATTATAGTTATGTGTTTAAATCTAAAGAAAAGTTTACTAGAAAAAAATCCACGCGGACCAGGCAGCGGACGGGACTCGAACCCGCATCCTTCGCTATCCGGGCGAATGCACTGACCATTATGCTACCAAGGCCCTATTAGCCGCGTCGAAATTTTCCTAGCTTTAAGCTGCAAGGCAGCGCCATCTCTTCGCATTGTAGGTAACCCACAATGTCAAATGAATACTTTTTCAAGTATTAAACATTTGAAAGAAGAAATAGCAATTATAGTTATGTGTTTAAATCTAAAGAAAAGTTTACTAGAAACAAAATCCACGCGGACCAGGCAGCGGACGGGACTCGAACCCGCATCCTTCGCTATCCGGGCGAATGCACTGACCATTATGCTACCAAGGCCCTATTAGCCGCGTCGAAATTTTCCTAGCTTTAAGCTGCAAGGCAGCGCCATCTCTTCGCATTGTAGGTAACCCACAATGTCAAATGAATTCTTTAGATTTAAACATCTAGCAGTTAAATGCTTAAAAAAGAAATAAAATCATATCTGCATTTCATATTTGTTTCTTAGGTTTTCACACACATCACTCATTAAATAAAACTAGTTTTTCACGGGTTAATGCACGAAATTTTTATTTATTTATTGACGTTTCGCCTTTACAGGTTGCGTTGTCGGAATCAATTATTTATTTAATTTTGTCGAGCTACAAAATTACAAAAAAGATTTTTAAATCAAAGTACTTTATTAACTAAATTAAGTAATAAAGTCATACATAGACAATAAAACTTTAAAAATCGAACAATGAATTAACCGAACGCTCAATAAAAGTTTTGAAGGTAGCTCGACAAAATTAAATAAATAATTTATGCCGGCGACGCAGCCTGTAAAGGCTGCGAAACGTCAATAAATAAATAAAGTTTCGTGCATTAACCCGTGAAAAAATAGTTTTATCTGCATTTCAGTTATAACTTTTATTATTATTGATGTGTAACATCTTTCATCTCGCTTTCCTGAATTTTGTGGTAGTGGTTGAAGTGTGACGGAAGTGTGTAACAGGTAATTTTGGGAAGCGCGCGCTATTTGATTTGATTTTTGAACATAATGTTCAAATGGCTTATTCCTTTTTGTAGTAGGTTTTTTTTTTTAAATAATTTTCAAATGTTACACATCATACGTGAATACTGTAAGGCTAGCTCGTTTTTTTAGCATGTAACTGCTCAATGTAAACAAAATATTACTAGAAAAAATTCCACACGGACCAGGGAGCAGACGGGATTCGAACCCGTACCCTACGCTATCCGGGCGAATGCACTGACCAATTTAGCTACTGCGGCCCTGATGGCTGTGTCGAATTCTTTCTAGCCTTACTTAAATTGCAAGGCAGCGCCATCTCTTCGCATTGTAGGTAAACCCACAATATCAAAAGAAAACCTTTTCAAGCATTAAATATTTGAAAGAAGAAATAGCAATTATAGGATAGCGAAGGGAGCGAACCCGCAGGTTCTCTCTGCTGCCTGGTCCGCGTGGAATTTTTTCTAGTTATATTTTCTTTAGATTTAAACATCAAGCAGTTACATGCTTAAAAAATAAAAATTATAACTATAATTTTATTTTAGTATTTATTTAAGCTTAATTTTTAAACAGCACCAAGGTGTCGTGTTAGCTATTTAGCACTGTCGATACACTCTCATTAGCGCTTGTATTTAAGTATATTTTGAAAACCCTTGTGATCAGGTGCAGCTGGCCCAGCCTTACCTTCTGTCATCGATCCGCATACTACTGTGGGACTGCGACTACCGACACTATTCTTACTACGTGGAGACCTCGCTCAACTACTGGGACTGGGAGACTGTATGCGACCGCACCCGCGACCATTGCAGGTATACTGCGACCATAGACATCTGTGGAGCCCCTACTGTGGGACTGCGACTACCGACACTATTCTTACTACGTGGAGACCTCGCTCAACTACTGGGACTGGGAGACTGTATGCGACCGCACCCGCGACCATTGCAGGTATACTGCGACCATAGACATCTGTGGAACCCCCACTGTGGGACTGCGACTACCGACACTACTCTTACTACGTGGAGACCTCGCTCAACTACTGGGACTGGGAGACTGTATGCGACCGCACCCGCGACCATTGCAGGTATACTGCGACCATAGACATCTGTGGAGCCCCCACTGTGGGACTGCGACTACCGACACTACTCTTACTACGTGGAGACCTCGCTCAACTACTGGGACTGGGAGACTGTATGCGACCGCACCCGCGACCATTGCAGGTATACTGCGACCATAGACATCTGTGGAGCCCCCACTGTGGGACTGCGACTACCGACACTACTCTTACTACGTGGAGACCTCGCTCAACTACTGGGACTGGGAGACTGTATGCGACCGCACCCGCGACCATTGCAGGTATACTGCGACCATAGACATCTGTGGAGCCCCCACTGTGGGACTGCGACTACCGACACTACTCTTACTACGTGGAGACCTCGCTCAACTACTGGGACTGGGAGACTGTATGCGACCGCACCCGCGACCATTGCAGGTATACTGCGACCATAGACATCTGTGGAGCCCCCACTGTGGGACTGCGACTACCGACACTACTCTTACTACGTGGAGACCTCGCTCAACTACTGGGACTGGGAGACTGTACGCGACCGCACCCGCGACCATTGCAGGTATACTGCGACCATAGACATCTGTGGAGCCCCCACTGTGGGACTGCGACTACCGACACTACTCTTACTACGTGGAGACCTCGCTCAACTACTGGGACTGGGAGACTGTATGCGACCGCACCCGCGACCATTGCAGGTATACTGCGACCATAGACATCTGTGGAGCTCCTACTATGGGACTGCGACAACCGACACTATTCTTACTACGTGGAGATCTCGCTCAACTACTGGGACTGGGAGACTGTATGCGACCGCACCCGCGACCATTGCAGGTATACTGCGACCATAGACATCTGTGGAGCCCCCACTGTGGGACTGCGACTACCGACACTACTCTTACTACGTGGAGACCTCGCTCAACTACTGGGACTGGGAGACTGTATGCGACCGCACCCGCGACCATTGCAGGTATACTGCGACCATAGACATCTGTGGAGCCCCCACTGTGGGACTGCGACTACCGACACTATTCTTACTACGTGGAGACCTCGCTCAACTACTGGGACTGGGAGACTGTATGCGACCGCACCCGCGACCATTGCAGGTATACTGCGACCATAGACATCTGTGGAGCCCCCACTGTGGGACTGCGACTACCGACACTATTCTTACTACGTGGAGACCTCGCTCAACTACTGGGACTGGGAGACTGTATGCGACCGCACCCGCGACCATTGCAGGTATACTGCGACCATAGACATCTGTGGAGCCCCCACTGTGGGACTGCGACTACCGACACTATTCTTACTACGTGGAGACCTCGCTCAACTACTGGGACTGGGAGACTGTATGCGACCGCACCCGCGACCATTGCAGGTATACTGCGACCATAGACATCTGTGGAGCCCCCACTGTGGGACTGCGACTACCGACACTACTCTTACTACGTGGAGACCTCGCTCAACTACTGGGACTGGGAGACTGTATGCGACCGGACCCGCGACCATTGCAGGTATACTGCGACCATAGACATCTGTGGAGACAATTTAAACGGCCCCCAGTACAGTAGGGGCTAGTAGAGGATATTGCTAGTTTGACAGATCATCCTGAACCCTATGTTTTTATCTAGTAGAGCTATAAATTACAGATAGCGTTCGGCTGCGGTCGTTGAAGTTCAGCAACTTTCGCAGTGGTCGGTCTTTGGATGGGTGACCAAAAATTTATTATCTCGAGCTCCTCCGTGCTTCGGAAGGCACGTTAAGCCGTTGGTCCCGGCTGCATCTGCAGTCGTTAGCACCCACCAATCCGCACTGGGCCCGCGTGGTGGGTCATGGCCCAATATCCCTATTCCATCCATAGGGAAGGCCTGTGCCCCAGCAGTGGGGACATTAATAGGCAGATCATGATAGGGGGGCCCCCGTCTTTGCTTTGCTTATTTTTGATGACATGGGGGGGGGGGGGGGTCGAGATAGTGATTACGTCAGCATCATGGATTCGGGTGTCATGGACTGAAGACAGTTAATTGGAGTACAAATTAAAGATTATATTTGTACCTTACTCTATGTAGAATATCCTAAGCCTATTTAAGTTCTGCTGCTTATGAAGCTCATGAAAGCTCATGAATCAATAAAAAAACAGAATACATTAAAGGAAAAATTCATAAAGGTACCAATGTTTACGTAAGCCCGGGGCGGGGGGAGGTAAGAGCTTTGCTTACTTTTGCTGACGAGGGGGAGGAGGGGTAAATAATTGTAATAAATCTGCTTACGTAATACTTGAACGGCACCCTGTTATAAGCATAGAGAACAGAAAATTTATCGTCTCGAGCTTCTCCACGTTTTGGAAGGCACATAAACCGTTGGTCTCAGCAGACATACTGGTGGTCTTTATATTTTTGAAGCATTTAACTGCAAGATGTTTAATCTAAAGATTTATTACTAGAAAAATTTCCACGCGGGCCAAGCAGCAGACGGTATTCGAACCTGCACCCTCCGCTATCCATTCAGATGCCCTGACTATTATGCTACCGTGGGCCTGATGGCCTTATCGCATTTTCTTTAGTATTTTTTTGGCTGCAAGGCAGCGCTATTTCTTCGCATTGTAGATAACCCACAATGTCAAACGAGTACCTTTACAAGTAACATTTGAAAGAAGAAATAGCAATTGTGTTTATATTTTTATTCTTAAAGCTTTTAATTGCTAGATGTTTAAATAAAAAATACTAGAAAAATTGTGGGTTATCTACAATGCGAAGAAATGGCGCCGCGTTGCAGCCTAAGAAATACTAGAGAAAATTCGACACGGCCATCAGGGCGGCCCTGATGGCCGTAGGCCGTAGTAGCATAATGGCCAGTGCATTCGCCAGGAAAGCGGAGGGTGCGGGTTCGAGTCCCGTCTGCTGTCTGCTCCGCGTGGATTTTTCTCGAGTAAACATTTCTTTAGATGTCAGTACCCTAAGCACGAACCATTATCGAATTCGAATAATTTGCGAGTGCGAAATGTCAATGTCAAATTTTGTATGGATACTTGTACAGCAGCGCCACAAAGTGCGTAACGAGAACTAAAAATCAGTACGCATTTGACAATGACATTTCGGACTCGCAAACGATTCGATTTCGATATTGGTTCGTGCTATGGGTACTGGTCTTAACAAAGCCTTTCTATTCTCAGGTCATGGCAAGTGATTTACTTCAGCCCGCGGCCGGTGTCCATCATACGTATCGTTGGCACCAACAATTCTGTAAACGAGGTAAGTATTTATACAGAAAAGACAGTAAAGTACGATTCAAACCATGGCGGTAGTAAACACAGATAGAGGTTAGAAGGGCCTTGTGGGCGGGGCAGGCGCGCCATAGTTATGTGTGAGCAAATGCTCATAAAATAAAACAAGTTCCAACGGTATAGATGCACTGATTTATTTATTTTACACGTTTTCTTTTTACGCAGACGCAGCTTGAAAATTATGCGAAACGTCATAAATATTCACGGTTAATTTAAAACACCAACAACTTCTTAGGGGGTGATTCTACCCATCAACAGGAACAACTTTTATTATGGGACCAACGTTGAAATCGCGAAAAAGAAATCTGCTGTTTCATACAAAAGTGCATCAGCTAATCGACCGAAATGTATGAAACAGCTGATTTTAACGTTGGTCCCATAATAAAAGTTTGTTCCTGTTGATGGGTGAATCACCCCCTAAGAGGTTGTTGGTGTTTTAAAATTAACCCTGTGTAAATCAGTGCATCTATACCGTGGAAACTTGTTTTATTTAATAAGTGGTGTGCGCGAAAACCTAAGAAACAAAAATGCTCATAACTTGATTATGATTGGGTCGTTGCTCTCGGCAGATTGGTCACCCCGCCAATCCACACTGTGCCCGCGTGGGGGGTCATTGGCTAAATTCCCTATTCCATCCATAGGGAAGGCCTGTGCCCCAGCAGTGGGGACATTAATAGGCTGATGATGATGATGAATTGGCCTTAATAAATTGAGCGGTACACTCGATAAATGACAACTCTACAAAGGGAGAGAAAAAAAATGCAGTTTGCCATCCTCATCTAAGCGTTTGTGTGTTATAGACAGGGTTCTACTAACTCTTTCCAGTGAACAGAGTATATCTCAAGTACTGTGTGAAGTATCCACTGTATCGAGTTATCTTCAAACAGGAATAAATACCAATTGAAGCTGTTTGTACTTCTTTTATATGAAAAAAATGTATTAGGAATAAAAATAGATGTTTTTCATCTAGAAAATATAAATTCTTACGTAGGTGTTTCATCTTGTGCACTTGGAGTGCCCGGCGCAAGTAGAGGAACCGCGTGAAGACGCCACCACCAAGAAACAGCGACAGTCCCCGCAAGACAATCGGCTGAATCCATCCAACGGTATGAATGTTTTTATTTTGTTTCATGTTGGCGCCCAACGTGGTATTGGCGCCCAACATGGTACTGGCACTCGATCTGTATGTCTGTCATAAAATTTGTGTAAAATAGTCGACACAGTGACGTAATGATATAGTGTCCTTACGCCTAGTATACTCATCGTGGGATTTTGGTATTTCAAGAAAGTCAGAAATATTCCTTCTACAATAGTGACAGATAGTGCTCAAACGAAAAAGAATATGCTAGCCCAAGGTTACGTCTAGCATTTGGGAAATCTGTGTGAGCTATAATTATAATTCATATTTATTTCATAAAAATAGTGTCTAATAGTGTCTTCAAAGAATATCTGGTGCTCTCATATTTTCTATACGGTTATATATACGGTTTGTTTAGTGAGTGTGCCAGACGAAGGTTCTTCGCATAGCCACCAATTTACATTAAAATAAATATTTTGGAAAAAGTGCCTTCAATGAGAGCATACTTATTGACATTTGCCCTAGAAAGTCATTCACTTGTAAGATTATTGAATGAAACTGATTGTTATTTTATATACAAAGATCACTCCAACTCTTCGCTCCACTTATTTTCGTGGTGTACCCTTGGCCATATAACCAAATAAAACAGATCGATCTCAGTACATCTGTTGTCCTGATCCATGATGGACTTAGTTTATCTATATATATAAAACTCAATGGTGACTGACTGACTGACATAGTGATCTATCAACGCACAGCCCAAACCACTGGACGGATCGGGCTGAAATTTGGCATGCAGGTAGATGTTATGACGTAGGCATCCGCTAAGAAAGGTTTTTGATCAATTCTACCCCCAAGGGGATAAAAAAGGGAATCAAAGTTTGTATGATTTTTTAAACCGATCGGGCTGAGACTTTGCATGCAGGTACAAGAAGTATCATAGATGAATGTCATTGTGTATAATACAAGCCTGAGAACAAAAACTGTAGTCTTCACTTCAGCTCTACACCGAAGCGAAGCGAGGGCGGGCTGCTAGTTTTTCATAGATCTTTTTTAAACAATATAAGAAGAGAAAAAACTAGCATTTTTAAGAAGACTCAATTTCAAACCAGAACCTCTTAGTCATGCATTTTCTGCTAGTACTTTTTCGTAATTTGTAAACTAAAATATGAACATTATAGCTAAAACAAACCTTATGTGACTGCTTATCATTTCGCAATGAGAATAAGTATATTACATTCTTACATTGGTCGTATATTCTTCCCAAGGGCAAAGCGGTTAGTAATAATTTTCCAACTCTACCCTCAAGGGAACACAGGACAATAAGTGCTCGTCCCAGTTTCAAAATTTTAATGAAATGAAATGAAATTTATTTGCATTAATTGTGGTTACAATAATGTTTTTAAATGATTAGGTCAGATCGCACAATTAGCCGTTTCCAGCATGCAAAAATTAATTGAAATATCGATTTAAACTTATGTTATGACTTTTTTGCACTAAGAGCATATCTCTTAGTCTATGTAAAATACTTAATTGCAAAATAAAAATCTAATACATTTTTTTAAACAGACCAATTAGCCTAGCCCCAAAGTAAGCACTGTAAGGCGTGTGTTATGGGATACTAGGGTAACGGATAGAATACATACACAGTACATATATAAAGTATATTTATATAGAAATACATATTAAACATCCATGACTGGAGTACAAATGCTCGTATTCATCACACAAACATCTGCCCCCACCGGGATTCGAACGGGACCTCTCGAGTAGGCGACACCATGAAACCCGGCGTACAAACCACTCAACCACGGTGGTCGTCAAAATTAATTGAAATATAGATGTTATGACTTTTTTGTACTAAGAGCATATCTCTTAGTACTTATTTGCAAAATAAAAAATCACAAATACATTGATAAAATAAAATGTCAAAATTTTAAAATTAACCATTCTTTATGGTATTAGGTCCCGGTTCTAGCGCTTCCGAAGCGAGCGGTCGCGCCGCGTCCCCTTGTAGTTCTGACGCCAGCGAACCGAGGCTACCTCCCGCCGAAACTGCCACCGAGGCAGAGGAAAGGTACCCCGACTGAACCCTGGGGGGGTCGCAGTGCCCCGCCAACAAACGGAGACCTACCCTCACACCGACCGCTGGCAAGAAACTCAAACTGGCTTAAATGTGTTATATAAATATAAGATAGTGCAGTTCGGACAGGTGCGTACCGCGGTATCTTCCGCTGAAGCCGTCACCGAGACCGAGGAATGATACGAACTGAACCCTGGGGTCACACTGCCCCCGTGAACAGATGCAGACCTACCCTCAAACCGAAAGCTGTCAAAAAACTAAAACTGGCTCCAATGTGTAATAAATATAAGATATTGTGTAATAAATATAAGATATTGTGTATTAAATATAAGATATTGTGTAATAAATATGAGCAGCTCGATGGCGCAGGAGCTTGTTCTAAAAGTTCATCAACTTTCTCAATGGCCGGTAATTGGATGGGCGATCGAGAAGCTCCTCGTGCTTTGGAAGCTAAGTTCAAACGTTGTTCTCAGCTGCATCTACACTGGGCTCGCGTGGTCATAGCCCTCTCTCCCTCCCTATTCTTTACATAGAGTGGGTCTGTGCCCCAGCAGTGGGGACATTAGTAGGCTGATGAAGATTCTATAATTAAGCACTTTTTATTTAGAGAGGTTCAATCTATAGCGTGAAGGCTTGAGCTGGCGCCAGAAAAAACGCGTCAATGTTTTTGTAAGATTAAAAAACACTTATTACACAATCCTTTAAGAAATGCCTGTGCTTGTGTAAACTTTTCAATTAAAGTTGAACAAAACAGTATGCTTGAGCGATGTATCATTAAAATATTTTCATAATGTGAAACCCCAAATTACAATTACTTCGTTCTTTTAATTTGATATGTAAATAATCGTGCAAATAGGCTCCAGAAGTTGGCGCGGTTGTGACGTGAAAGGTCGTATCGGAGATTCTTTGAATGTTTCAAGTGATTATGAACAAAATGTACACAACGGATTTTGTAACGTACGTCGTATAGGTGGGTTATTATTTTATCAATCCAATAATTCATAGAAGATTAGTTCTTTGTGTAAGGTATTACCGTTATTATTTTGCTTCATAAGGAAAAGTGCGCTCACTTACAGTTCAAATATTTTGATATATTAATTAAATAAAAACATGGTAGAAAATATTACTTTTCTCACTTATTTACTTACACAAATGACGCCTAATCGAATGAATTCAACAAATTAAAGATAAGAGAATTATAATACAAACAAAAAATATACATCAGTACACTTAAATTATTCGAATATAATAATTAATTATTACGAACAGGCTATAGATTAATAATGATGAAATTACAAGGAAATTATAGGACATTTTTAATTATTTTCTATCGCAAACGAATAACAAGGGGTGAATAAATATTTATCATTTTTATGACGTACTTTATAATGTTTTGGATTTTATGTGATAAAAATTAAACAAAATGTAAGTTGTAGTTTGTAAGTGTTGCATGTCTAGATTTTGAGTAGATTTCTTTTCTGGCAACAAACCAAGATACTGTTTATTAAAAAAAATGCAAAAACGGAAAATAATTGATTTATACACAAAATTATGATAGTTAACTGAAACGGAAATGTTACTAAAACACCTGCCTGTAAACACTCAATTGAAATTTTCAACAGAGTATTTGTCCATATTATCGACAAATATACTTGCAACCACTAATTTTGAATTACGTAATTAAGTTATAATCGTCAATCCCGTTAAGTTATTTAGTGTTTAAGCTTTTATATTTCTAGTCTTCTTTCTCAGTTGCATATTCATTTTTACATTCTTTTCCGTGTTACTAATTTATATTTTTCCATTCTCGATGCCCTGTTTTAATAGCTTATTGTAATTTAATTAAGTGTAATTGCTAATTGTATATAGATGGGTACTTTTATTAATTCCTTTGAAAATAACTTCCTACTTTCCAATATCTAATTTGAAGTAAGTATGATAAATGTCCTTTGCGAATTATGGACTTGTGTTTATACGTTAAAATTTTATTGAGATTTTCTATGAAAATATTTTTAGTTGCACTCATCTGCGATGAGAATTCAGCCCCCTTAGTGTCGCCGCACACGGGCCACACGCCAGAGCCACAAACGCCACCACGAGAAGCTAGAAGCGGCTACTAAAGTCGCTGAAGCGCGCGACAGCGGCCGACTAAGGTAAGGGAGAGAGGGGTGGGGAATCGCGCGAGTGACGTGTGGAAGCATTTGGTATCGGCGCATTAAGTGGCCGGTGCGGGGCACAAGAAGCGAGCAACGACGATTTGTAGCGTGTGGCGGCCACCGGCGTACCGTGTGTGGCGAGTCCATATAAAATGCATGAAAACTGTAAGAAATATGCTGGTGGCGGCATTTTGTGATTTTGGTCGGTCGCCCGTGTGCGGCGACACTTAGATAAGCGGAAGTGGCCGTCCTTCTATATGAGCGAACGCTATACCTAAGTTAAAAGAGAAACAATAAAATTTTAAATGTCTGCGAAGCTTCTCACTACCGTAAGATAAATCAAACGTTTGCTTAACTTGAGCTTACGACACGTATTTTAATTGTTTACTGTTTATTATTAAACGAATAGAAAGAATGCCACTTCTGTGGGTAGATACAAGTAGGTGTAGGCCGTGTGTGCGCACTGTTCTGCGGCAGAAAAACAGCAAGGTTTTTTATGAAGATTTCTTGCGATTCTTTTAGGAATGCCCGCGCCAACGTTGCTGTTTTCCGCCGCACGTTTTCATAGTCCTCACATTTTTTATCAACTAGGAACAAAATGAACATATTTTTATAGTTTGTAAGAGGTTGTGATGATAAAGATACCAAGAAAGCTGGGCTTAACGTGTACGAGTCAACTAATTGGTTCCAAATTGAACTGGTTACTTTAAATATTTATTATTTTGTTTGTAATCTCATAGGTATTTGTTAATTAAGGCTAAGAATTATTGCGATTGTTTACAATTCGAAATTAAGCTACTGTGATAATGACTTGTACTAGTTGATTAGCAAACTTATAGTAACCTAATTGATAAGAATTCAAAACGTATCAATATTGAGCTTTTATTTGTGTTAATAAACTGCAAATTTTCATAATTTTCTGTAAATTTATTTCTTTTACCATCCAAGCAGTTATGAATGTTATACTTGGACCAAATCATGCCCTCTAGTATGAGCACTGCGATATGATATGTAACTCACTTTTATCACGCTCAATTGTCAAATAACTATAGACGCGATAAAAAATGCGATATAATGTAAATTGTGGTGCTCATTCTACAGAGAGTGGGTTTCATATTTCAAGGAATGTGGGTAGATGCAAGTCTGATGCTAGAAGCCTTTGACTTGATTTAATATTATTGATAAATTATTCGAAAAATAGACATGACCACTGTCAATGAAGTTGAAAAAACACCAATGACATTTTCATATTCACATACAGTTCTTAATATAATTATATTTGTATACATATATAAAATATCAAAATACATATTATTAAATATAGGAATTCATATTTAGAGCAATGTAAACAGCAGGGCAGTAATTTTCACCATGAATGAAGCAATGGTTTTTCCTACAAATGAGGGCAGTTCTTCTCTTTGTCCCATAATTCATGGCGAATTTGCTATCTGGCTGCTCTGCCCTGCTTTCTATTAACAAAATCAGCAGTTTTCAGATTGACTTATTTAATATTGTACAGAACACAATAGACATACATTTCCGTATTAAAACTGGATACAGATGAATTTGTATAGGTACTTTTCCAGTTGTTATAAAAGCATTTTATTAAAAAGTACATTTTGGGTACAAGAACTATAATTAAAAAGACCACTTTTCAGTGTGAGAATAGTATATTTTCAAGTAATTTTAGGCCCTCTTTCTGCTAATGCCGCTTTGTTTTTCTTTAAAAGCTCATCAGGCTCAATTATATCTGGATTATTCTCTTCAGCATATTCATCTAGCCTTTTCCTAAGCCTTGTTTTTAGTTGTTCTATACTTGATGTATCATTTAGAGCAGATATTCCTATGATGTCTTTGAATGAAATAATTTTATCAGGTATGAGCTCCTTGGGAATGTCATGAATAATTTCATCAATTCTTTCATAAGATTCAACAAGTTTATCATAAATTTCTTGGGCCCCTTCTAAATCCATTTTGTTTACCGCTAATATAGCTGGTTTCTCTAATAACTCTGGATCATAAAGTTCCAACTCTTTGTTCAACAGTAACACTGTTTCCAAACAAGATCTTTGAGGATGTTTAGGACTTAATTGAAAGCCATGTACATCAGCTATGAACAACAGCAGTTTAGTTCTTTCAACATGCTTTAAGAATTTGTGTCCCAATCCTATATTTACATGAGCGCCTTCTATGAGACCAGGTAAGTCTGCTATGGAAATTTGTCTATGATCAGCATAGTGTATTATGCCTTTGTTTGGTTTGATAGTAGTAAAAGGATAATTTGCTATTCTAGGTTTTGCTCTAGATATTGCTTTTAAGAGTGAACTTTTGCCTGCATTAGGAAATCCTACAAGTCCTACGTCAGCAATCAATTTCAAATCTAATCTAACATGGTGTATTTGACCATAGTGGCCAAGAAAGTTATTTTCTTTATTTCCTCCAGGACCACCTCTCGCAAGTATTAGCGTTTGGTCTTCGTTATCAATTGTTCCCAATACTTTGCCATCTTCCCTGTACACTGTAACACCGAGTGGTACTTCTAGTTTTATATCTGCTCCTGGATTTCCGACTATTTTAGTTTTACGGCTGTCTTCGCCGTGGCCGGCAGCGATGGTTTTGCTACGGTAAAAGGTCATAATTTTCCTAAGGCTTGCATCCTCTTTTCCACTACAATACACACATCCACCCTGACCCCCAAGGCCACCATATTTTGGTAGACCAGTCCCCCCTGTGCCGCCTTTTACGTGTAATCTTACTGAATCAATAAATTTACTTCGAAGGTAATTACGCGGTCGTTTTATTTCCTTCGCAGCGTATAAAGTCCGGAGAATAAATACCATTTTGAAGATCACTTGATTACTTTAATAGTCGCCCTTTGTATCGCCATGTAAAGACTAGAATATTTTTTTTTTTATCTTACCGCATTACATTACTTAAATATTTGAGGTTATTTTTATTTGGACAATTTTGTATGTAATGTAACTGTCACTGACATATTTTTTAAAGTTATGTTAACCATTAAAGATAGGCAAAGGTTAACTTGTACAGCCTTGTCATTTGTAGTTTTTTTCTTCTTCGTGGACCCCAAACATGGTCACATGGCCTTGAGAAATAACAATAACTCAATACATCAACAAATTCCATAGCATTTGCAGTATTATAGAGGTGAAAACCGCTAGCACTGAGATAATACTGAAGAAAAGTAAACAACTGCTTGAGTAAAAAAAGCATGTCCTTGGACGAGGAATCTCGCTATACTATGTTTATGGGCGTGGTGGGGTGCCATGGCGGTTCCAGATGCAACTTTTTACCGTGACGTTTCAATTTTGACATAAAATGTATGTTATGTCAAAATTAATTTTGGCATCTGGAATGTAGGTTTGAAACGTAGCCCTGCCATGAATGTATAATTATATATTAACATGGATCTATAAACACGAATGAGTGCTCTTATGTATCTATAAAACTGAAAAGGGAAGTGAGAGATACATAGCAGAGGCCTTTTATCTCTTTCTGATAATAACTTCTTAACATAGAAAATAATATATATAAGTGACCATAATTTTATTATCTCGAGCTCCTCCGTGGTCTGAAAGGCACGTTAAGCCATTGGTCCCGGCCACATTTACAGTCGTTAGCACCCACCAATCAGCAATGCGCCCGCGTGGTGGGTCATTTCATGATCCAATCCGCCTATTCCATCGATAGTGAAGGTCTGTGCCCCAGCAGTGAGAACGAACAGGCTGGTGATGCTAATGAACAGCGTTAAACACGCTACTACACAAACGTTAAAGATAACCTTTTATGGTTTATTACGTCAAATTAGTTGGCTTTTTTCACGCCTTTACGGCCGCCAGAAAATTTTCGTTGGCAACACTCAAACGGCTATCAATGTCATAACTGTCCAAGGAACTGTCAATGTCAACATTGTTTTTGTGTTCTACGGTACCTAGTCGGTATTAGATAAAAAATAAAAAAGGACTTAATAAAATACTATTTCAAAGAATAAAAGCAAATGAAATTATACAGCATAGTAATATTATTTTTATTTAATGAAGTTTCATATATTTCTACTAGTGACGGAGACCGATCTCCTTATTACCAAAAGTGTGTAAAGAAATGTTTAGCTGAAACTTGTAAAACAGGTAAATTTATAAGTTATTGAGGATTTGAAGCATTATTTGAATTAGTTGTCGATCAGCAATGATTGAAGGTGCGTAAGTCCCGACTTGCAGTCTTGAGTTCGAATCCTGGTACCAGCATTTGTTTGAATGGAGATAAAGTATTAGTTTCAAAGCGATGGTTACTAATTTCAGTATATAAATATGTACCTTCTGTTATTATTTAGTAGTCTTAGTAGTCGGTACTAAATTCCATTAGTTGTGGTGGAATTTCGGCGTATTTTTTTTTTTATTTTATTATTTAGTAGTCATAAGGCTATGCTTGTGTTTTTTGGAATTTAATATTATTTTCAGATAATTACTTACTAGTACTTATGAAATGCATTATTTTTACACTTTTGACTAAGAACATTTATTTCATAATTTTAGATGGTTATTATTTTAAAAATAGCGCACAGCTTAATTTTTGGAGTAAATTGCTGTGGAACTGCAGAGATGAATGTAGATATAACTGCATGTGGCGCACTGTGCAAAGTTTCCAAGAGAGAGGTTATTTAATACCAAAGTTTCATGGCAAGGTATGTTTATGATCATAGAACTACAAATCACATCACATAATCTTATACAAGCATACTTGTTTCATCATAGTGTTTGTGATACTCCTGGTGTTGAAAGTATCCATGGGCAATGGTGATCACTTACCATCAGGTGAGCCGTCCGCTCATATGCCCCCTATAACATAAAATATATATATATAAATGCAATGAAATGAAAATAGCCAAAATTATTTTTGTGGCATTTTCATCCTTGATAAAATTCAATCCCATATTATGATACAAGCTTTCAATCTTTTATCAGTATATGCAATTGACAAATATCAGAGCCATTTACAATAGGTGATTTCAAATATTATTTGTTTTTAGTGGCCATTTGTGAGGGTGTATGGGGTACAAGAACCTGGTTCAGTACTCGCTTCCTTGTTGAACCTGGCCGCCCACATCTACATGTATACCGAGATCATGAGAAGGTTCACTATTAAGGGTACTCCATTAGTACTCTTTTGGCATATTTTTGTTGCTGTAAGTTTGAATTAATCATCTTGTTAACAGATATTTATACTTTAATAATATGTAGTAATAAATTCTGACATTAATGGGATTGCTACCTTGTATTTTATGAGTCCGGGTATTTTGGCACTGTTGTAAATGCCATGATCATGTTGTAACTGTTCCTGTTAATAATTATCTCGGTGATAACATATTACTATAGTATTAGTGTGACCATGGAAATTTAAAACAATAAATTCTAACATTTTATGAAATTTAATTTGACATTAACAGCTCTTTTTGATTCCCTACAAAGCATGATTTATAATTCATTTTAAATCATGCTTTGCAATTGCAAACACAAAATTTATAATTTTTTAAACGGTAGTCATCCTTTAACACGAATTTTAGGGTTGGCAGTGTTACTAGGAGTATTTCTCTTTCTTGCTGCCTCCTAGCTATACCAATGTCCTTATTTTCATATACTTTGTTAATAGACATGTTAGTAGTTCAGTCTTCAAAGATCATCTTTAATTTGATGAGACCAAGATAAACTTAAAACTAATTTTAACATCAGTCTCTCCTGTTCATTCTGTATAGAGAATGACAAGGTTGTTGTCAAATTTATGTTTAGGTTTAGAGAAATATGCTAGAATCGACACCAATATATCCATAAATAAATTAATAGTTCTGTGTGTATTGTAAAGGATATAATGAAGTTTTAAATATTATATATATACTTTTTTTTTTATTCTGTTTAGTATGTTACAATTTAAAGTACATAATTATAGAAATTTAATTGTGAGGCTTTAATAAAGTACTTTTCAGAAAAATATGTATTTCTTCACATAAAATTAAGAACATAGTAACAAATAATAAAATGTTTCCATTGTAGGTGTGTATAAATGCTTGGATTTGGTCAACAATATTTCACACAAGAGACACCCAGTTCACTGAGTTTATGGACTATGCATGTGCTTTATCAATGGTCATGGGATTATTTGTAGCAGCTGTGGTAAGGTATAAAATTGTATAATTTTTTAATGAAGTGTTTATGTTGTTTATTTTACATGATATCGCCTCTATGGTCGCGAATCCTTTTTACTTGAGGGGCTGAAATTGCAAGTGCGTGAATATTTTTTGTAATTTTGGTCACCTCTGCTACAGTCAGGTTGAATTGCCATTGACAGAAATGACTTTCCCCTTGTGGTCAAAAATAACCTATGTAAATAAATGCCTCTTTACATTAATTAAACAATAGCAGAGTACCTAAATTTGTAATAATAAAATAAAATTGCAGGAATAATACAGTAATGAAATTGTATTCTATACAATTATTGTACTTTCATAGGAACTGTTAAAACATTAAATATTGATAATATAAAATTATTTATGTAATTTTTTAATTTAAAGGTGATTATATAACTGATTTTTACTATTATCATAATATTATCACACTTACACTAATATTATAAAGGTGAATGTTTGTGAGTGTATATGTTTATTACTTCTTTACATCTTAACGGCTATAGCGATTTTAATAAAATTTGGTACGCAGTTCGCTGACACCATGGATAGGCTACATTTTACTGCAGGAAAAGATCTCTAATAAACCACGGGTAACACCGCTAGTCATAAATAAAATGAAGTGTCGTCAATCATCTCATCATTGTGCACATTTCATCTAACGTCTGTAATCTCTTTTCTTTTACATTTGTGGTTTACATTAAAAAAATATTCTCTCAACAGGGCTTTCCATCGTCAAAGAAAGTTAGTGTCGGTCATACTGGTGGCATCTCTGCTCTTCTATGCAACCCATGTGCAGTATTTATATAGGGGCATTGTCAACTATGATTACAACATGATGGTTAACTTGGCCTTTGGTAAGATATATTTTTATGAAGATTTTTAGCATAAAGAGCATAATTTTTGTAGGCCCATGGTAGCAGGGGAAGAATAATAAACTAGCCTTTTCAATATTTATCTACAGACAATTAATAATTGAAGATAATGAAAAATCACTCTGTTTTGAAGAATACAAAACGGAAATAATGTATGAAGGGACATTTTTTACAAACACCCTGTAGTGTATACCTATCGGAAACGTAATTAGGTCATGTCGCAATCCGCCATTTACGTAGATAGTTTTAGCATGTAAGCAATATTATTAATTCAATTATTTTGTAATGTTTTATTTCACTCGATAAACGGACTTCAAACTATAAACTATGTTTCCTTAAATAACCAACGATAGGCTAATATTAGAACCCTCATTGTATGGGTATTATCGTACAGGGGTGGCGGGTTCGCTGGTTTGGTTATGCTGGGCGGGCGTTCAGATGTTAGCGGGGCGGAGGCACGCGTGGCGCATGGGGGCGTTTACTGTCGCGTCGGGCGCCACCCTGGCGCTGGAGCTGATGGACTTCCCGCCATTATTCACCGCCTGGGACGCGCATGCGCTCTGGCACCTGGCCACGGCGCCCCTGCCGCTGCTGTTCTACAGGTCTTTATTGAAACACGAAACTTTTATTAATAAACACAGTTAAAGATGTCAGCGCCCACCTCTGTTTGATTAACTTAAACATATACTAAGCTACATTTACAGAAATGCATGTGTAATGACCAATGAATCATACACAGTGTATGTATGTGTGTGTGTGTTGTTACAATAATAATAATATTTTATTTGCGTTTGAACAGGGTAATCAAGGTCACAAATAGTTACACATAACTATACTGTAGGATTGAGGAGCTCGATGGCGCAGGTGGCTAGCGCGTTCGGCTGCGATCGTTGAAGTTAAGCAACTTTCGCAGTGGTCGGTCATTGGATGGGTGACCAAAAATTTACTATCTCGAGCTCCTCCGTGCTTCGGAAGGCACGTTAAGCCGTTGGTCCCGGCTGCATTTGCAGTCGTTAGCACCCACCAATCCGCACTGGGCCCGCGTGGTGGGTCATGGCCCAATCTCCCTATTCCATCCATAGGGAAGGCCTGTGCCCCAGCAGTGGGGACATTAATAGGCTGATGATGATGATGATACTGTAGGATTCACCTATTCAGCTATAGACTAGCATGCAAAGGACATCGACGAAATCGGCCCTAGCATGCCCAAAAGAATGTCCTTCACTATTATCTTTCTATTATTTTTTTAACTTATTAGCAATTAACCATAGTAAACGGACAATCTGTTTAAAAAAATAAAAAATTAAAGTTCTGTTACTAGATACTACAGTCTATTCATCCAACTTGGCACTCCTTTTTATTGAAAAAAACAGCATTAAAAATCAACTGATAACTGGATTCAAAAGGTTTCAGTCTATAATAACGATTTATTTTAATAGTTTATTGGCTTCGTTAATATTTTATTATTAAATGGGTGATTCTGTTAAAAAGTTGTGCCAAGATTGTTTACCTTAATAAATGCATTAGAGGCGACCATAGGTATTTATCAAAAGAAAAATAGAGATAACTTAGTTGATAATACTTATTACTAGTATTATATTTATAAAAAGATTATTTCTGAAATTATGTAAAGATAGTTTATACTCCCACCCCATGTAATATCTGTTTATTTTTATGAAAATCATAATGATAACCAGGTACATACCTAATTACCGATAGTAAAATATAGAAACAGGTAAATGGAAAGACTGAACATTTCATTTGAAAAGAAATCTATTATTACTACAGGTAAGGTATAGGTATCGTAGGTGCCAACTGACAACACTCATTAATCAATATGAATATAAGCATTTATTATTTTTATTATTAATTGCATTTTATGTTCATTTAATGCATATTATTTAAGTGCTTACATAGAGGTAAACACTAAATCTATTCAGAATATATAAAGTGTACATCTTTTACGATTAATTATAATAATTATAACCTCAAAATCAAATACATTCTGTAGTAGGCCACGGTTCCTCAAGTTGTCCGTATCTCAACAAATGCCTAATTAGAGTTTATGAATGATTCCGAACACAACTAGCATTTTCTCATTGCTGGGCGTTCTAGGGCATTCAATGTATGGGGAACGAGCAATGTCCTTTACGTTTAAGTAAGTTTTTTATCTAATTAATTATTACTATGTCACATAATTGAATAAAAAATATTTAACAAGTCACAGAATAAGTAGGTAAAAAAATCGATTAAAATCAGGTCATATTTAAAATGTGAATCAAAAATATAATTAAATCAATATATGCCACTAAAAAAGATCTCTGTGTATGTATGTCTATGTGTGTTCGTGTGTGTGTTTGTGACATACATAGACATACATACACAAACAGTGTATGAACAGTGTGTGTGTGTGTTTGTGCCACACATAGACATAGGGACACACACAAACAGAGAAAATGAAAACAGAGAAAACTGATGGGTCTCGCGCCCCCTACAACGCGGCCATGATCTTAGAAGACATTGACACGAGGACGCTGCTGGTGAATAAGTAGTACTCTCCTCTCCGTCTGGAGCCTCTAGACCACTCGAACCTGAGGGGCTGCGCACTTCTCCGTTATCACATTCTATGCGTAATATATTGTATTCTGCACGATCGATCGATGAGTAAACATTATCTATTTTGTTTCAGATTCGTGATCGACGATTTGTACTACTTGCAGTCTACGAAACATAGTGATAAAACTAATTTAAAATTAACATAAGCACGCTCTAGTCACTAAGATGCATTGTTATAGTACAAAGATGAAGAATAAATCATTCCAAATGCAACAAACAATTTTTATTAGACAAACTTATAACGTGTACAACTTTAGAATCACAAAATGTCACAGCACAACATTTTTAATGTTAGCGTTTTAACCTTCAAGAACGATTTTCTTCCACTGCTCGCCGCAGGCCGGTTTGTGTTTCTTGAGCCACGTGAGGCCTTTCATTGGGGTTTTGGGACCAGTTTTTCTTGGGATCCGCAGCGTGACGCCTCTGTTCTTGGTTTGGATATACATCGGCGCGGACTGGTTGATAGACGCGTCTACCGATCGGTTGCGGCTGTGGCCGACCTGAGCGCTCATGGCCTGGTAGTCTCGACTATAAATGGGGTTTGGTCGCCGGCGATCATTCTGTACCGAAGGCGGGCTTTCGGAAGAATGCCTGAAAGTATTCATCATCATCATCATCAGCCTATTAATGTCCCCACTGCTGGGGCACAGGCTTCCCTATGAATGGAATAGGGAGATTGGGCCATGACCCACCACGCGGGCCCAGTGCGGGTTGGTGGGTGCTAACGACTGCAGATGCAGCCGGGACCAACGGCTTAACGTGCCTTCCGAAGCACGGAGGAGCTCGAGATAGTAAATTTTCGGTCACCCATCCAATGACCGACCACTGCGAAAGTTGCTTAACTTCAACGATCGCTGCGGAACGCGCTAACCACTTGCGCCATCGAGCTCCTCCTGAAAGTATTAACGTTTATTAATTACCTCTTGTTCTGAGAGATAAACTTCTTAGCAATCCATGGATTCACCGTGCGGGTGCCGGGTCCATCGTGAGTGAGAGAGTGAAACTCTGTCCAGTTCCCGGGACTTGCGAACCAGGTGTAGGTTTAAGGAGGCCCCCTTTAAGAGCCCTTTCACATTTATTTGCAATAAATCGTAATATTTGAGCGTGTCGTTTACCCCCTTAGAAAGGAATATGACTATTTCCAATAGAAGTAAACAGTAGATTTATTCTTCCTATTGTAAGTTAATGTAGAATATATGCAAATACTATTTTCCTATTTTTGTACTGATCGTTCTACCGCAGCTAGTTTACGGAAAAAACGATAATATGCACAACTTCAAACGCCTGAATCTCTAAATAATGTTCAATAAATTAGTTCAGATTAATTACTACGACATCAGAAATATGCTTTTGTTGTAACATAATGTATTAGAATTTTGTTTTTCCATCTCATTAATTATAAAAAAAAAACATCTAAACTCCGTGAGATTTCCCAAAAAATAATGCAGGTTTACCTCGTATTTTCATATTGAATTAAATAGAATTACTATCAAAAACTTTCATAAAACTAATCTACCATCATTGAACTACTGAAATATGTATGTATTTTTATAATTAGTTCATTAATAATTATTTTATACGACTCGAAACATGACCCGTAAAATGCAATATATACAAGTGCAAATCTACCTACGCGCCGATCAGTACGGCAGCGGCGCAATTTTGTAAAAGGGCTCTTAAGATACGCATCAAAGCTCACCTTCACTGCTCGAGTTGCCCGCCCTTCCTAGCCAAATTTAATAGGAGCCTGTTAGTGTAGCCTTAGTTACTCGTGCCAAAATTGAACTTACTACAGTCTTTTAGAAGGTTATAGAGAGATTTTGCTGTTATTTAAGGTAACTACTCATATTTTCGCCATATCTGTTGCAAACGCCGTTGCTTATAGCCAAAAAGTAGTCGCAGTACACATATTACATAGTGCTATATCTTGATAAGTGTCCTTTATCATAGAATATGTCTAAAATGTCCCCACTACAAGATTTAAGGTTACCCAATCTCCTATTTTCGTCCAAAGAGAGGTAAGGCTTGTGTCCCAGCCCAGTAGTGCAGACATTAATAGGTTGATGATATGAGTTACATAATACTGCAAGTTGTTAGGCCATCCTCTATAATAGAATCCGTGGCTATCCTGTTTGTTGACTTGCTTTAATAGGCTTTCACGTGTGCGATTTGCTCCTAGTCAAATTTAGGGGTTAACTTGGTTCATTTAGTAAAAAAATAAATCGATTAAACTAGTTGACAAACCTGTGTTGGTTCTCATGGGACATGAATTTCTCATTCCAATGCCGTCTGTATTCTTGTTCCATATACGGGGACCTCCACTGCCTCTCTTGGTTCCTCTGGTGTTTGGAAAACGAAATCTTGGAGTGTGACTTGCCCTTCACCAGATTACGAGCTGGGTACGCAACATGATGCTTCTGTACTCGATCAACTTCCTTCTGGCTGTAAATGGTTTGGTAGTCGTCCGATTCTCCTTCAGACTCTTCGTCTTCTGTCTCATTCTCCACTTGTATTTCTTCCTCCTTTTTCTTTGGCTTGCTTTTGAACATTTTAAAAGATCCATTGAACATTTTCCTAAACAGACCTCTTTTTTGCGGTGTCTGAAAAATATTACAGGATTATTAAGTATATATAACATCAACATGATCGCCCGTAGGTTTGCACGGTCTTCAGAGCCAGTTAAGTTAACCCTCTTTAAGGCTTTCTGCCAATCTTTTTACACTGGCAGCCTATGGGTGAGTTATAAGCAGAAGACATACAACGCACTACGTGTACAGTATAATAATGCTTTCAGGATGTTGTTGGGGCTGCCGTGGCGCTGCAGCGCGTCAGGTATGTTTGCCGAAGCGCGAACAAATGATTTCTACGCAATAATGCGCAAAAAAGTTACCTCTCTCATGAAGAGAGTTTATGACAGCCACAATAGCATCTTGAAGGTTGTAGGGGGCAGGTACGAGTGTCCTATAAGTAATCACTGGACAACTGTACTTGTAAAATGTAATGAAATGCAATAACTTAATAATGTAGGTAATTATTATGAATTTTTAATGTTAATTTTGTAATTATTTTTATTGACATTGTAATTTTGTATTTATTTGAATTATTTTGTTGTTGACATTTCTAATTTTGTATTTATTGTATTTTTGATTGTAATTTGTATGCTTTTATAATTATTATTCTTGTTTTTTATGTGGTTTATATGGCTAAATGGCTGAAATAAATGAATTGAATTGAATTGAATAAGTGTAATAAAATCTGAATGGAGCAGGTAACTGCGACGCTGGAACGCCGGTAAACATCCAATGGAAGGACAGATCAATTTCAGCCACTAACTACTAATAGTCCAGTCAATGAATTCTTAATTTTGCCATTTTAGTATATTAATCTACGAACCCTTGCGGAAATTTTCGCGTTGGTTGCAGGTGATCAACTCAAAATGGCAAAGTTAAGCCTTCATTGACTGGACTATAATGTATTTAGATAATGATCCTTGGGTCAAACAAAATTATTACAAGGCAAAGTGGAGATTTGGTTGTGACAGTGAATATATTGAGCTTTCGTCACTTGCTTGTTTTGCATCTTTAATCTAGCCATAGATATAAATGTAGCCGCAGGCCCGCAAGGGCTACAGGAAATCAGGTTGTAGCGGAATATCAGCAACATACGTTAATACAGTGGAATAAAACTGAGCAACTTTCTCTTTTTGTTACCAAAGATAGATTGTTAGCTACTATCAAAAGTAGACCAAAGTTTTCTGTATTTATGTTTTGACTGAAGACGCCCAAGTGTACCTTCCTTACGTACGTACCTTATTCAGCTCTTTGATTGATGTAACTTCGTCGTCTTCGCTTCTCTCCTCTTCCGAAGACTCTTCACTGGTGCTGGGCGAGGGGGCATCGTACTCTTCTACAATTCTATTAGGATTCACCTTCTGTGTTTCTAAATTTTTCAAATAGTTCTCTATGCGATTCTTCCTCAAATACCGCTCTGTGTCTGTCGTACTCATCATTTGAGATTGTAAACTCGTGGTGTAAGAGGTCATTTTATTGTTCTCATTCATCAATGGAGTTGCAGCTGTCTCTTTAGACGGCGTTTTAGGATCTGCATTGGATTTCACGAATGTTTTTATTCCTTCTTCTCGAACAGTAGCAACATCGACGGATTTGTTAAAAGATTGACGCGATGTGGGTGTAATCCCATCGTTTTCGCTGGCTGAGGTATCTTTCGTAAGCATTCCCATGTTTAGTTTCACTGATTTATAAATTTCTTGAATCAGTTTCTGCGTCTCTTCGCTTCGTTCCTTAGCCTCTGTGTTGGTAGCGGTGGTCGCTGCCAGTTTTAGCCTCATATCCTTGGCAGCCTTAGAACTATTTCTATAACATGAACACATGTCACGCATTGGACTCTGGATGAAAACAGGGAAGTTGTGCATGTATTTCCCAGATACATACGGCAAGTTTAGGCAGCAAGCGGCGCCGGGATTGACTTGTCGTGAGCACGACGCCACGTAGGGATTCATATTGTACGGGCTATAGGTGTAACTATTAAGCATACTGGAGCACCCGGGCATCATTCCTTGTGACATACCCTTCTGCACAATAGCGTCTTTAGTAGGTTTTTCATGTACCACTTTTTTCCCTTGACTATTGGTCTTCACTTCTGTGAGTACAGATTGTAATATGGACTTAATTTGATTCAATGCATCTTCAGTCTTTTTATCGTCTTGAAAAAGATCTTTGTCGATTTGCACGCTTTGCGATGTCGTGGTCTGACATTCTGATTCCTTCACATTGTTCGTAAGACATTCTGCATTTTTATGAGTTATTGAAACTATCGGATTGATGGTCGGTTGTTTGATTTTGCCGTCAATTCTCTTCACGTAGACATTACCGCAATCGATGCTACATTTTTTTATACATTCTTGGTTTCTCTCTAGTTGCCTCATAACTTCTTCTCTTTTGGATAAATCTTTGCCTTGCCTCTCTTTCTTGTTGATAATGTTCACGGGCAGTTTTTTGGGATAAACGACAGGCATTGGTGATATTTTACTATAGTTTACGGCAAACGGATGATATCTGTACTTCTGGCGATATTTCCCGGACATTGCGTCCATGTCTCCTATATGTAATTTTCTTTTGGCTGCTTCACGAGTTGTGGATTTGGCGGGTTTCTCTTTTACAGGCACCATGTCGTAAAGACTCGTGTCATAAAAGTCAGAAGTATTAGCGTCGTTGTTGTAGAAACAGGTGGGAATTGGGTCAATGTGAACTCGGTTTGGTGACTGATCAATGTTTTGGAAGGCTCCATGTAAGCAAGAACATAAGTCGGTATCGCAGTTATTGTTGCATTGTCGGTCAGGCTCGGAGTCCAGGTCCCTGCACACAGGGGAGGAAATCTGATCGCATACTGGGAACTCTTCTGCAATAGGCACAGCCGCGTACTGTTTTTGGATCACTTCGGATATGTAATTACGACTGATGTCCTCGTTAGGTGCTCTGGAACCTGTCTTATCTGTAGCACGCGTCTGATTTTGGTAGGTCGCAAAAGGTCCACTCTCCGTTTGAGCGTAATACACTAAATGTGTTTTGTATTTCCCTTTCCTCTTTAGAACGTTTTTCAGCTTGCCCTTTTTGATGGCGCCCTGCATCTGACACTGCGTTTCTGTCTCTATTTGTTGGTTATCTCCATAAGTAGCGTTGATACCGTCTGTGCAGCATGGACAAGCCGAATTACTGTTCTTTAAGCTGAAAGGTTGTGTACTTAGAGAATTTTCTGTTTCGCTGCGTTTCATGTATGCTCCCTCACTTTGTTCTATACGCGCAGTTTGGGCGGCGTTGGGCTGGCAGTAAATATGAAGCGCATTTGCCGCGTTGGGGCAGCAGGCTATAGTCTTTGCTACAGGCTCCGGTTTACTCGCTTTAACTGCGTCAAGCTCCTTTTCAAGCGAAATGATTTTTTGCTGTAAATCGGTAACATCAATTGGTATGCAAGATATTATCTTCACTTCTGTTTGAGAGGGAGTGTTTCCTGAAATTTTGCACATTACAAACTGTTATTAATCAAGTAACTTCAAAATTATTATAGCTAACATACAACATAGTGATGTAAATACCTACCTAAGTTAAATGCAACTTTACGAAGAAAGTTTTCGACACCTTTAAAACGCTGCTTACATTTCTCGTTAGCACAACTCATTTTGACTAGAATTGGGAGAAATAGTGCACACTAGCTTGTTGAAGACTTGTTTGAATCACTACAACTAAAATTTCATTTTTGGTTTTTAAAAACATAAAGGTGGGTGTTTATATATTACAAACTAAGTGATTGCGAGGCTAAAATTATTCTTTCGACCGCATTTGATTTTTGTGACATTTTGTACTATTCTAAAACTTGTGCAAGCTGTCACTATTTGTTAGGATAAAAATGACAAGGGGTTTGATAGCAGACGCCTACCATATTGCCAAGTTTGTCAAAGAGAAATAAACTTTTTTATTTTTTTTTTATAATACGTCTCTTTCTTTCTTTTTAAACCAATGTTGCAGACAGAAGCTCATGATAAAATGCAGTTATTGATTAGATCTCAGGATAAGCCAAACTAAAACTATATGAGTTATCACAGTTCATCATTAATTTGATTTTAAACTATTTTTTTTGACAGTAGGTTGTACATACGAGTGCGTGGACAGTCGGCAACGGTTGCCGCGACCACTCCCGCACTCCTGGCGTGCATTGGGGGGTCACAGGGGACATGATTTTGTCAATGTCCTTTCCAAAGGTGATATATTATTTTAAACTTTCATGGTCACTAACATTATAGATATTAACGGGATTCCAGCGGTTCGTATGTGTAAAAACCGCAAAAATCAAAAAAGTGTCGTTTCGCGATTTGATTGTGTATTGTGTGCCGGGAACAAATGCGAGTGAATAGTGAGAATGTGACCAGTGGTAGGGGTATTGAACGCAGTAAAAGACGACGTCAGAGGGTAGACCGATATGTCTGCCAATAACATCTACCCACAATTACTTCAGTTACTCCGTGATCATGGCGTTTGCAACAGTGCCTAAAATATCGGAGACTCATAAAAAACAAGGTACATAGTAACGATCCCGTTAATATCTATAATTTCCAAAGGTGGTTTAAGGGTAAAAATTAAAAATAAATAAACCAATTTGATTGTTTAAGACATTTTATTGTCATTCACGTGTGCACCCACTAGTTCTACAAATGAAAAGCTTCATCGTAAAGTGCCCGCTATCACGCACCAAGGTAGAAGTGTAGGACTTCACTACAATAAATATCATTAACATGAAACAAAATTACCGTATTCAATGTATTGAGTATTTACATATACAGAGTTTTTGATTTTTCATTTGATATCTTTTAATATCAACCCACAAATTAATGTTCTTATTTTACGATTCAGTGTAACACTGCTCGAATCTGTTACTTTTGTTTTATACACGTAATAACCTGTTACATTTGATTTATATACGTAATTATAATGTATACACATATACTGAAATTCAGAACAAAGATTTAAAAGTAATAATTGAAATCAAAAAGTACCATAATAAACAGACAGTATTATAGAAGGATAGGGTATTTGACAAGTTTTTCAAGTGGGGATGAGCACTTGGTTGTCATTCTGTAATACGAGCCTAAGAAGTGCATAGAGATACAATCATTATACTGTTCAAACCGGCGTGAGCCAGGATGGTTTCTATCTTTAAAAAAATTAAAATTAGATTTATTTTAAGGAATATTATCAATTTCATTATAAGCTTGAAATTAAGTGACAGTAACAGATTTGAACAATGTTTAATCAGGAAAATGGCGGTACAATAGGTGGACCAGGGGGCCAATCGCCTAACGGAAATGCTTTGGAAAACGCTAACGCTTACGATTTTATTTTGTTATTTCTAGCCGCCTGAGGTATTCAAATGCCTCGCGCTCTTTCTTTTTTTTTGCATTGGTAATAACAATATTGAGCGTGAGGTATTCGAAAACCTCAGGCGGCTAGAAATAACAATATAAAATCGTAAGCGTTAGCGTTTTCCAAAGCATTTCCGTTAGGCGATTGGCCCCCAGGTCACAACATTCGCTAGTCTTATAAAATTCGATTGACAGAGCATTGACATTGACAGCAATGATATGACGTATAACTTCTATACCCCCAATAATAAACAAGGAATAATCTTAGACTAGTTACGCCGTGTTTTGTTCACATCACACGAGTTTTTTTGAGTGTGTATGCTGGTGGTCGCAGATGACCTTTACAGCGTCACCGGGTTTGGGGACGGCGAGATCCTAAGGGGAGTTCAAGCCGACAAGCCGGAGGTATTCCAGGCGGATGGCGTCTCCCCACGGGGGGAGTCTCCTCTCCGTCTGGAGCCTCCAGACCACTCGAACCTGAGGGGGTCGGCTCAACTAGAGGGCGTCTCTGAAACTCAGACCTCGGCTCTAGTTAGCCGTTGTCGTGGGGTCACACGAGTAGCTAATCCAAGTTTAATCTGCGTTTATTAATAAGGGGAAAGAGATTTAATTAACGATATTGTGAAACTTTTATTACAGTTACAAAAAAAAATTAGACGTTGTTAAACACTTTCCGCTTTATTCCAAAACACATGCTAAAGTTGGTCTTACCCCCCTAGCGTTAACAACGCGATATGTTAAATGTAGTTCGATTTTATCACGCTCATTTCTCAAATTTCTATGGAGTTTGACAGTGAGACGCGATAAAAATCGGCATAGAAAGTAAATTGGGGTGCCCATGCTACGGGGATTGGTCAAAAACTAATTCTGTCCCTTTCTTCTTTTTAGCAAGCGAAAGTGACAGCATCAGTTTTAGTCCAGGTTTAACTTTAGTCCACGTGTAATAAAGCGGTTTAAGTTTCACTTGCATTGTGGTTTCATAAGACCACACAATTTTTTCTTCTACTGAAATTCATTATGAGTATTGATCAAGTCAAAAAGACAAGTCCACCTATCGCAAATCCACTGTTACTTATATATTATCCGTTACAAAACTCTTAAACTTTGAAAATTTATTAATTAATTTCGAGATAAATGACATTAATTCTGTAATCATATTCGATGGTATAGCTATTCGATAAGAGCACTCATCACTGTACAGCTTAATACATATAGTATACCCCTTAGCACGAACCATTATCGAATTCGAATAGTTTGCGAGTGCGAAATGTCAATGTCCAATTTTGAATGGAAACTTGAACAGTAGCGCCACAAAGTACGTAACGAGAACTAAAAATCAGTACACATTTGACAATGACGTTTCGGACTCGCAAACGTTACGAATTCGATATTGGTTCGTGCTAAGGGTATACTGATTACTTTAGGCTGAAAACACACTATGCAAGTAATTAACTAGACGTACAGCTTGATGTGACCTTAGGCCTAACAAAAAAAATGCATAATCTTATATAAACCTTTTTATAAAAAGTATGTTATTAAAATTACAGACACCTAGACCAGAGACAACACAGAAAAGTTCCGTTGTCTGTGCAAGATATAGCAGTACCCCTAGCACGAACTAATATCGAATTCGTATCGTTTGCGAGTCCGAAATGTCATTGTCAAATGTGTACTGATTTTTAGTTCCCGTTACGTACTTTGTGCCGCTGCTGTTCAAGTTTCCATACAAAATTTGACATTGACATTTCGGTTTGCAAACTATTCTCGAATTGTTCGTGCTAAGGGTACAGGTATGGGTGTTCAAATACTAACCATGGTATCCCAATTCAACAATGCAGTAATAAAAAATAATTATTTATATTGTTTTATCGTGGGAGCCTCATCTTATACGTTTATATCATAACTGGGGGCTAGTTGCCTTTCAAGATTGCTATGGCTATCGCTATCGCTTATGAATCAATTTTGTTTATTCTGACAGCCTAAGGTTTTCAAATACCTCACAATCTTTTCTTCCTTTGCATTGATAATAACAATTTAAATGAAAATGAGCGTGAGGTATTTGAAAACCCTCGACGGTCAGAAATAATAAAATGAAATCATAAGCGATAGCGATAACCATAGCTATAACGTTAGGCGATTAGCCCCCTGGCCTCAGAACGGCGACTTTTATAAAGGACTTTAAAAATATCTTAAGGCATAAAGTGATAAGTACACCCATCGATCAGCGAATACTAAACATAATCTTACGATACAAATCAACAAAAATAAAACATTAATAATAATTAACAATCGCTATTTACACTACTATCTATTAAGTAATAAGCTCTCATCATATTGGAATGTTATATAAATTATTTGCCTTCACAATTAAATCTGGCACTGCACTTGGTTATTCGTATTTGCTATTTGTAAACATGACAACAGTCTGTCTTTATCATGCTTTTTAAGGAATGAATAAGTTTCATTAAACGCTCTAAAGTTGTATATTAACCACTTGCGCTTTTAATTTCAATCTTATAAATAATAATAATAATAATAAATATTTCCAACACTCACACCAATTAGCCTAGCCCCATAGTAAGCACTGTAAGGCTTGTGTTATGGGATACTAGGGTAACGGATAGAATACATATACTGTACATATATAAGTAAATTTTTGTATAGAAATACATATTAAACATCCATGACTGGAGTACAAATGCTCGTATTCATCACACAAACATCTGCCCCCACCGGGATTCGAACCCGGGACCTCTCAAGTAGGCGACACCATGAAACCCGGCGTACAAACCACTCGACTACGGAGGTCGTCAAATGATCTTACGTTGGCTCATTTGGATCACATTGGATCTTTGTTACTCTTTCACCTACTTTACTACCAAGCTTTTAAGCTTGAAATTAAAAGCGCAAGTGGTATATATAGAAGTTTAAAGCGTTGTAGATCCTAAACAATCATATAAAATGAAAAATGGTGTTAGGAACACACAACAAAAACATGACTTTCGATTATGTAGACAGTGATACCCTACTCGACATATTTTGTCAACTTATTTTTTTTACTTCGTCACAATATGGCACCTAATTTTGCCCATATTGAATTTTGATTACTATCATTTAGTAGCACTCCCATGATTGAGGCGAATCGATTGATGTATGAATCATCAAAATCGGTCCAGGTGTTTGGTCTCTAGTGTGCCACAAAGGTACAAACATACATATATAGACTGTTAAACACTATACCCTGTCTGCGCGTCGCGCTTCGCGCTCTTACATTGCGCAGTCGGTTAAAAAACAGACTGAAATCAAAATTACGAATAGCAAACACTACAGCGGCTTGCGACGATTCACTCAAGTCCTCATAAATTTATTCGAATTTATTATTTTAAACATTGTGGGTTACCTACAATGCGAAGAGATGGCACTGCCTTGCAGCTTAAGGCTAGGAAAATTTCGACGCGGCTAACAGGGCCGTGGTAGCATAATGGTCAGTGCATTCGCCCGGATAGCGAAGGATGCGGGTTCGAGTCCCGTCCGCTGCCTGGTCCGCGTGGATATTTTTCTAGTAAACTTTTCTTTAGATTTAAACATCTAGCAGTTAAATGCTTAAAAAATAAATAAAATCATAATTTTAAACATTCGGTTACATACGGAACGGCTTAATTAGGCCTCGATCCTGCAAATAGGTTTGTCGCTTTTGCTTAAACTTGGAATAATATGCTATTGGAGAGCGCCATCTAGTGGAAGTTCAGAGTACTAACAAAAATTACATGCACATAGACAAGCTATCTTCAACGTGGCTTTAGAACTTTCAGACGCCAGTATATTTGCAGAATTAAGGAACCCCAAGTGCTAATATCTACTTTATTCATATAAAGGAAAGATTCAATATTGCAATTTGCAGATCTACTTTGCTTTTTATGAAAACAAACTTTCTGATATTAGTTTATGGAATCACATAAAGTTTAACGACTACGAGTTTCTTTAACAGATATGTTACAATAGTTCTAATAATAATTTGTTATTTTTTTTTCATTCAGTCCTAGTATAGGCAAGATGTTTTAAAAATGTCAATGTTTTTAAATAATACTAAATTTATAAAGGGTTGTACTCAGCTCTAGACATTAAATAATGTTCTTTGTATTGATCGAATTGACTTCTATTTTAGTATTTTAATATCTTGAGTAACTGTCACAGTCTGGTGACAACTTGGAAATATAGCATTTGTGACTTTAAAGCTTCTGTAGAAAGCCACAAACTGTAAATATTCATTTACGATAGTTATGTTACTCTTTATAATGATAAATTGCAATGTCATTTTTTAAATACATTATCGACCATAGCATGAGCTTGGGGCTTTTTTCAAACATGCTTTATCACCATTATAGATACAACCCCACGCTACCATATAGTGGCATGTTGGTTACCGTAAAAACTCGAATAGACTGAAAAATCTAGTAAAGATCTTGAAAACGTAATGGGAAGGAGCCGGCATAATTTTGCTTTTTTAATTTCATTATCATTTACTCAGTCTAGGTTGAATGAAGTGCTTTAGAAATTTGGAAAGCTACGTCTAAACTTCATTATTTTGCAGCAGGTAGGTGTTAAATTTGCGTATCATACCAATGAACCTACGTTATTACAGAACCTTTACATGGTACCGCGTTTCGACCATATTGCGTATGGCATAAGGTGCAATATCCCACGTCATGTCACTAATACGAGTATGAGATCCAGATTTAATATTTAACTCTAATATCAGATGTCGCCGTGACGTATCGTATATAGGCTCTCTTTAAAGTGAACAACTGCACACAATTCACATCTCGACTGAATTCAACATCAAATCGAGAATCATCATCGCCTAAGTTTCTTAAAAAAAAAGTTATAACTATATAATAAAAACAAAGAGTAAATTATATTTTATACAATATGATACAATCACTAAGTCTTATTTACAGATTCAGCTACACATTAATTATACATCGCTAAGTTATTTGTCGTATATTATAAGACAGGTCAGTTAGTCAGACTAAACTTAATTATTACTTTTAATATCACCAAACAGTAAGTACACAACTTATTTAGATTATTAACAAATAATTTTCCGATTTTTTTATGTATATTGGAAAAGGCAAGAAATGATAGATTATAAATAAATATATAAATAATTCTGTTTTTCTGCAAGCCCTTTGAAATATTATTGTTTTCATGAGGCATAAATTCAGATATAACTGTTAATTTTGGCATTGGGGCAAGCTTCATATTTTTTTATAACAAAAAATCAATTGATTCTTTAGTTCGAATAATAAATATCATTTAGCTACTTACAATGATATGGGAATTGTTACTAACGTAATTAATCGTTAATTCTACGTTATAAGGAGTTGTTAGATGTCACTTAAGTGCAAAAAATATTATTCATAATAATCTATAAAATAAATCTTTACCAACAAGTTGAATGTTTAACGTATTTCATGGAATAGATTTAAAGAAATCTTCTTTGTTAAAATTGAGTTTGGTATAATGTTACCGGTATTCCATTAGTCTTTGTACACGAGTCTTGGAAATTTGTAGATAGATTAAAATTCAACAGCATAAAAAGACTTTTTAGAGCTTGAAAGAGATTTACTATAATGTTATCGATCCACAATCGATTTTTTCTTTCTTTGTCGTAATTTGACAATATTAAAATGATTGCGTGCCAAGAATAAAATTTGAATTTTATAAAATACAATCTCACACTTAATTTATGTCGAAATTCATAAACTGGTCCGTCGAGCCGGATTCGTGGACTTAAGTTTTTAGTTAAGAATAATGTCAGCTCGTTTGCCTGCATTAATATAGAAAAAAAACTAAATAATTTGACTGTCGAGAGGTATAACGCCAGTTCTTTCTACAGTCTTTTGGCAATTTATTTAATTATAGTCTTTTATCGTATAGATAGATATAATATATATATTAATATCAGTATTTATTTAATGAGTCTATTATAATGAGAAACAGAATAAAACACGTGTATATCACACAGTAGGTGGGCATAATGTTTCAGTCAATATGTGTGCAAATTAATTACAGAGTTTGTATATGCATTTTTCGATACACCAAACGTTACCATAGCACGTCACTACTTAAAGTAGTAATTGAAAACTGTTAAACTAGTAGACCTTTTAAGTGGATTTAGGTCATAGACAACCTTTACAGCTATACCAGCTTTGATTATATAAAAGCCTAAATACCGTTTTAACAAAAAAAAAATATCTACTACATATGGTAGATACTCTTGTCGCTGCACACGCACGCATACACATCGAATTTCAAACAATCTGGCATTAGGGACACGCACAGATTGCGCGTAACGTAACCCGTTTTCTTTGCTTGGTATATTTTGATTGGTCTATCTAGGCATGTATATAATCAAAGTATACCAGGTTACGAACGGCGAGATCCAAATGGCGCGATAAAATTTGGTCGTTAGCCCGAATACGAGTGCCAATGGAATTCGGATAAATGACTTAGTGTAAATGAACAGAGTCGAGTATAACTGTATTCGGGTAGATTTCCTTTTACCGTTGTCTACCCGACACCGTCTTCCAGCCCGTTTATTAGTGTAAATATTGCGTCGGTTGCCCGAATTCGCGTAATGTCTTCCGTGCACCCTAATACGGGCGAACGACCAAATGTAATAGGGATGATGACTATTTTTTTTTCTTCGTTTTTCAGGTAGATTATCAAAAAGTATTGGACACGTATTTTTTCTTTTTTCACATAATATAAACATTGCAGAGATATATTGATTCGAAAAGTCGCATGACGTCACGTTTTACAATTAAACAAGTACAATTTTCACTCAAAAGTGACGCCACGAGCCCCTACTCCCAAACTTTGACGCGCTATAACTTTGTCATTTTTTGGTTGATTGCCCACAAAGAAAAAATACGTGTCCATTATTTTTTGATCATCTAACTGACGGACTAAATAGAATTTCGTTTACTGTACCCCGTCATCACCCCTATTGCGGCATTAGATGGCCTCGCGCAAAAAAATAATCTTAGACTACAACCTGTACAAATTGAGGCAACAGTATGAGTTCAAACATTTAGTTCGACACATTGGAAAATCGTGCATACTCCTTTGCAATACGATTGAAAATCGATTCGCGGGAGATGGTATAACAACCATGAATGGCGTTTTGCTCGAATAAGCTTTCAATTAGCCCTTAATAGTTGGAGTTAAGGTTCGTTTTCGCGCGGCGGGTTTCAGCCCGGGCGCTTCAGTTGTGGGCAGCGCGTTTCCCTTGCATGTATCCCTCCCATCTTTTGGCTGTATTTATGAGTATCGGGTCGTCGTCCATCCCGGCTAGTAGATATAGCTGGTTCACGTGGGTAGCATGGTAATCCCACCTATAAAGAATTTTTATAATCTTTATATGGAGCACGATGGCGCAAGTGGGAAGCGCGTGCGGCTGCGATCGTTAAGTTAATCAACTTTCGTTGTGGTCGGTCATTGGATGGGTGACCAAAAATATCTCGAGCTCCGCCGTGCTTCGGAAGGCACGTTAGGCCGTTGGTTCCGTCTGCATCTGCAGTCCTTAGCACCCACTAATACGCACTGGGCCCGCGTGGTGGGTCATGGCCCAGTCTCCCTATTCCACTATAGGGAAGTCCTGTGCCCCAGCAGTGGGGACATTAATAGGCTGACGAGGATTTTGGAACTTACGTGTATTTTAAATTGAATTTGTTGATTACCTGGCAATATTGGGGCTAACGCCTAGCGTGAAATGCCGTAGGTCGTAGAAGCTTCCGCTGCCGGTATCGAAGAGAGGCAACAGAGTCTTGAGTGACGTCATGCCGTCGTCGAACATCTTCTTGGCGAGGGAGATGGAATTCTCGCCCTCTATAACGTGCAGGTCGTATAAACCGAGCAGCGTGTATATGAAACCGTTGAGCACGAATAGAGGCGGCTTCGTCGGGTACTCTTCGTACCTGGTGATAAAGTTCAGTTTTGAATAGAAGGAAAAAGATTGTGTGCACGGATTAAACATCTGAAGTGAGACTTCTTTTCTTTAATAACCTAACATTGGGCGGTGCTTAAGGCATAGGGGAATAGCGCACGCATCACTCCTATACAGTGGTGGTCATATAATAGGGGTGATGACGGGGTACAGTAAATGTAATAAAGTTTCCATAACCCTAAAAAAAATGATTAAAATAAAATAGAACTACAAGTTTGTACGCCGGGTTTCATGGTGTCGCCGACTCGAGAGGTCCCGGGTTCGAATCCCGGTGGGGGCAGATGTTTGTGTGATGAATACGAGCAGTTGTAATCCAGTCATGGATGTTTAATATGTATTTCTATATAAATATACTTATATATGTACAGTATATGTATTCTATCCGTTACCCTAGCATCCCATAACACAAGCCATTACAGTGCTTACTTTGGGGCTAGGCTAATAGGGGTGATGACGGGGTACAGTAAACAAAATTCTATTTAGTCCGTCAGCTAGATAATCAAAAAATAATGGACACGAATTTTTTCTTTGGGCAATCAACCAAAAAATGACAAAGTTATAGCGCGTCAAAGTTTGGGAGTAGGGGCTCGTGACGTCACTTTTTAGTGAATTTTCACTTAAAAGTGTACCAAACCGTGACATCATGCGACTTTTCAAATCAATATATCTCTGCAATGTTTACATTATGTGAAAAAACAAAAATACGTGTCCAATACTTTTTGATAATCTACCTGATAAACGAAGAATAAAAAATTGTCATCATACCTATTATAAACACTTCTTATTAATAAAGAAAGTATAACTTCAATGTACAATTGTTCGTAAAAAATATATACATTCAATTATTAACAATCATGTGCTGTTATTGGAAATAAGGGATACGCCACTAAATATTAATTATAACTATTGGTAGGCTGTGGATAGTAGCTATTTCGTGAATAACAATACTAATTCTTAAAAAAAATGTTTTTTATACTTTTTTGTTGTTGTTTCTAATTAGTTGACCATCATTATTATTATGCAGGGTGTTTCAAAAATACAAATAAAGCTTGAAGGGCGTTAAAGTACATCATATATGGAGTCTTCTCTAATTTTCTTAAAATATTTGCATGAAGTTTTAACTTTTTATATTTACAATGATTAATAAAAATATCGATCATTTTAGGACACGTCACTAGTTCGAGGATCATTAAAAATAACTGTTTTTATAAAAAGTTAGAACTTCACACAAATATTTTAAGAACATTAGAAAAGACTCCTTATATGATGAACTTGAACGCCCTTCAAGCTTTATTTGTATTTTTGTAACACCCTGTATTTGTCCATAATGTAATATAGAAACTGCACTCATGTTTGCTGCAATGTTGCATTGTTTTTCCAATAAACGATAAATCGTTGAACATATTGTTTTTTCCTATTTATTGTTTAACTAGTGGCCCGCCTCGCTTCGCTTCGGGGAAGAATTGATCAAAATCCTTTCTTGGCGGATGTCTACGTCATAACATCTACCTGCATGCCAAATTTCAGCCCGATCCGTCCAGTGGTTTGGGCTGTGCGTTGATAGATCACTATGTCAGTCAGTTACCTTTGAGTTTTATATATATAGATTTCAAAATAATAAAAACGGTTGCGGTGAAGTATCTTACATAATGTCAAGGACCGTTGATAGTGTTTCTAATTATATGACCGCCACTGTATATACTCGTATATTGTCGCGTGCGACGCTCGTAGCGTTTCAGCCTTCGCCGAGTTACCCTCCAACTTTCATGCTCATCGGGAAGAGCTGCGCACGCATCTCACTCACATGTCATTGAAATGAAAAGTCATTTATTCAGTCTAGGCTGTTACAAGCACTTGTGAAAGTCAGAAGCTACGCCATCGGTTCGCAAAACTATGGCGGGAGACCTTGTACTGAGAAGAACCGGCAAGAAACTCAGCAAGGGCTGCTTTTTTCTCCCTGTATTGATATATACAGAGTCGTCAAGTTGAAAAATGACTTCAGAGATACTTCTGAAGTCACCTTCCATTACATAATTTAGGATATAGATATATATAGTTACAATAAATTTTATATTTAGTATATAGGAAGCGGCATTAGATAGGTACCATATTACTGTTACAAAAACTGACTAATACCCATCAAATAACAAATTACAAGAAACACTATGTCTATGCATTACGATCATTTAGATAATCATTAACTTTATAATAGCCCTTTTTCATAAGAGAATTCTTGATCTGAGATATAAATTTGGTTAGTGGAAGCTCAATCAGATCTAGGGGAACTTTGTTAAACAATGCAATACTGCATCCCAGAAATGAACCTCTTGATTTTTGGAGTCTGAAACATGGAACGGCAAGCTTGTTCTTAAATCTCGTGTTAAAGTTATGGGTTTAACTTTTTTTTGGAAATGCATCATTACAGTTTACGTACCATCCTGTGTGACAACATTGACGTTAAATCTAATTAATATATGCTCACCACACGTATTTGTCCATCCACATGGCCTTGACGCCGCCCTCAGCGCTGGGCACGTCGAGCAGAAACAATGCCTTCTTGGCTGCGCTCAGGTATAAAACGTCTCCAGTGCGATGGTACGCGCGAGACAATACTGATATAGCGTGCCCTTGACTCATGGCAGAGTGCCTAGTTATGGGAGAAACAAACACTTATAAGTTTAAATGTAAAGAAAAGTTTCATCATCAACAGCCTATCCTAGTCCACTGCTGGACAATACTTGTAAAAGTAACAACAACAAACAAATCCGTATCAATACAAAACTTTGACATTTTACAGATTGCTGGGTTTCATTGCCAAATAAAATTCTTATAATGTTAGTTCCGTTTTTTCCTTTTCTTCCTTTTTGGTTTTCCTTTTTGGTATTTTTTAAGTCCTTTCCTCCTTTTGGGTACTAAATCATTATTCTTATTAAAAACTCATACAGAGTAAGTAAAAACAGACTAATAAGCACTGCAAAGAAAAAACGGAAAAACAAAGGACAGCCGGCCGGAAGCAATAACCACTCCCGCCGTTGAATAACTACCTACCTACCTATGCGCGGAGCAAAGCGCAGTAAGCGAGCGCAGTCTCAAGTCTATCCATCGCGCGTGCGTACGAGTATATTTTATTTTTGTGACAAGACAAGATTTTGACGAGCAAATAATGCCTCGATTAGTTTTTGTTCTGTGGCCTCGATATAAGAATTTGGACACGGTGTGTTGTTATTGCGATTGTGAGCTCAGCAAAGCCGCAAGGCTTTACGAAAGTGGGCTTGGTGATTGATTTTATATACAAACACAAACACGTCCCGTCCGCCTGCCGCGGACTGGTGTGCCGTCAGTCATACACACATACACAACACACACGCACACGCATGCGCACGCACACACACACACGCACACGCACGCACGCACGCACACACACACACACGCACGCACGCGCACTCACACGCACACGCACGCGCACACACACACTCACGCACGCACGCACACACACACACACACACGCACGCACGTACACACACACACACACGCACGCGCACGCACTCACACAACACACACGCTCACGCACGCACTCACACGCACGTGCGCACACACAATGCACGCGCACGCAAACACACACACACGCAATGCACGCGCACGCACACACCCACACACACGCACGCGCACGCACGCACACAACACACACGCACACGCACGCGCACGCACGCATACAACACACACGCACGCACGCGCACTCACACGCACACAACACACACACACACACGCACTCGCACACGCACGCACACACACACGCACGCGCACGCACGCACACAACACACACGCACACGCACGCACGCGCACGCACACTCACATGCACGCGCGCACTCACACACACGCAATGCACGCGCACACACACACACACACACGCACGCACGCACACACACACACACGCACGCGCACGCACGCACACAACACACATGCACACGCACGCACGCGCACTCACACGCACACACGCGCACTCACACGCACACTCACGCACGCACGCACACAACACACACACACGCACACGCACGCGCACGCACGCATACAACACACACGCACGCACGCGCATTCACACGCACACACACGCACGCACGCACACAACACACACACACACACACACGCACTCGCACCCGCTCGCGTACGCACGCACACACACACGCACACACTCACCAGCCGGGCCGCAGGTCGGTGACGCCGGGGATGCGTCGCCGCACGGGAACCGCCCAGCCCCCGTCCGTCTGCCGCTGGTGTGCCGTCAGCCAGGTGGCGGCGGCGAGGAACTGCGCCGTGTGCTCGCTGCCCGATACTGTGAAGTTGTCCGCGCTGCCCGCGCCGCTCAGGATCAACGACGATATCTGAAATATGAAAGACATATTCATCATCATCATCAGCCTATTAATGTCCTCACTGGGGCACAGGCCTTCACCATGGAGCGAATAGGGAGATTGGGCCATGATCCATCACGCGGGCCCAGTGCGGATTGGCGGGTGCTAACGACTGCAGATGCAACCGGGACCAACGACTTTACGTGCCTTCCGAAGCACGGAGGAACTCGAGATAGTAAATTTTTGGTCACCCATCCAATGACCGACCACTGCGAAAGTTGCTTAACTTCAACGATCGCAGCCGAACGCGCTAACCACTTGCGCCATCGAGCTCCTCAAAGACATATTAATAATCATTATATTTCCAACACTCACACCAAGTAGCCTAGCCCTAAAGTAAGCACTATCAAGCTTATTTATGGGATACTAGGGTAACGGATAGAATAAATATCCTGTATACATTTATAAGTATATTTATATAGAAATACTAAACATCCATGACTGGAGTACAAATGCTCGTATTCATCACACAAACATCTGCCCCCACCGGGATTCGAACCCGGGACCTCTCGAGCAGGGGCGGTCTTAGCTAAACTTTTTGGTGGTGCGAGATCTTATGGTGGCGCCCCAGTTTACATTGGACACGGAAAAAAATAACATACCTAATTAATTTTACATTTATGTTCTTTATTTTGTGTCAATTTTTTGTAAAGAAGAGAATAATGGAAAAAATATTAGTTTGACTATATTTATTTAATTAAAAACTCTTAGAAACTAGAAAATCACTTTTCTTGCCTTTGCGCTTGCGAATTTTTTTATTAAATCAGAATAATTCAATCCTTGGGCACGGAGGCCATCGAGATACTATATAAAGTCATTCGCTGACCTATATGTTGAATGCATTTACTATCTAGGGAGGCCGGTAATACGCCCCTGGTTACAACGCCTACTCATGTATTGAACGATAAAACGAAGGTTGAACAAGACACAACTCAATGAGGGCTATCGCGTATGAATCAGCGCTAGAGGCGCTAGTGTAGCGTGAGGTCTCCGAAATGTCAAATGTTATTGCTTGTTGGTTGACTACGCGGGTTTATTTCTAATTAAAAAAAAAATGATGTGGTGTCGTGGGACACCAGGTAGGAACGAAGTTCCTTTGGCTAATGTAGAATCGACACAAATTGCAGGTTTTCTTGATTTTTCTCTTAAATTTTTTTAAGTACAAGAAAGTATTTAGGAAATTCAGTATTTTAGGAAATAATAAATTACTTAAAATAAAAAACATCGTAATTCAAATTATCAACTAAAGTAACAAAATATGTCTCTTTAGTTTTGTTTGACAACATAAAATTACATAGAAAAAACTACTTACTAGATCTCGGTCAAACCAATTTTCGGTGGAAGTTTGCATAGTAATGTACTAGATTTTTTTTAGTTTTATCAGTCTCTTATTTTAGAAGTTACAGGACACATTTTACCACTTTGGAAATGTCTCACTCTGAAACTATTCAGTTAAAAAAATAATGGGTGCGTGTACTTATGTAGGCGCGTGAGAAGTTATCCTTCTTTGGCATCGTTTAAAATTAGTTTTTAATTGCATGCAAATAATTAATTATAATAAATTAATAAAAAGTCTGGAAAAGGACACAGTCAATAAAGTTCAGTTTTAATTTGAAAAAATAAATAAATAATCAAAATATTCAATTAAAATGGCTACTGAATATAATTTATTAGAACATAATGTGATTTGCACTTGTATGAAACTCAAACACGTATTCCGAATCCTGTTAAAATTTTGTGTTACATGATGCGCGCGCATCTTAAAATTTCACTCTCAACATATTTTTTCATAACGCGCCTAAAGAAGTATAACTTCAAAAATATGTTAGAAACCTCAATATCATTTTTGAAGACCAATCCATAGATCCCCACACGTATGGGTTTAATTTTTTTTCCTATTCTAAGGTTTTTTTTCTATTTTTGTGTGAAAATCTTAATGTGGTTCACAGAATATATCTCCTTACCAAGTTTCAACAGTGAAGTTCTTATAGTTTCGGAAAAAGTGGCTTTGGCATACGAACGGACAGACAGACGGACATGATGAATCTATAAGGGTTCCCTTTTTTGCCATTTGCTACGGAACCCTAAAAATCTTCACTTGAAAACCACTCCAACGCAATAGATTCATTCATGGACTTCAATCAGCGTAGTTTTTAAAAACGCTTATTGTCCATCTTTATCGCTTTGACTTTGACGCGATTAAACAAGGTATTATTGGCACAAGTAAGTCATTTTCACAACGATCTATAATATTTGAAGACATTGGTGTCGATTCTGACATGATTCTCTAAACTTAAAACTAAATTTAACATCATTCTCTCCTTGTCATTCTCTATACAGAATACACTGGTGTCGATTCTGGTATGATTCTCTAAAGCTAAACTTAAATTTGACAACAGTGTATCTCTGTTATGTATTCTCTATACAGACTGAAAAGGACAGACTGATGTCAAATTTAGGGAATCCTGCCAGAATCGACACCATTTTATCACTAATACGCTAGGTAGACCCTGGGTAGACACTTTTTCTGTAACACAATTATATAAAATCGAAAATAAACATCTGTTCTTTAAATATGCCGCTAAAAATAAATATTGAGACGTCACATGCATAATACAAAATGTCTAAACAAAAAAAACGCAGCGTTCTTTTGACAGCTTGGGTCCAAACGTACGCATTTTTCCCTCTGACATTTCATATATGGAAATAAATGTATTCAACTTATATCGAATTTAAGATTTTCCACACCTGGAGCGTAGGTTTAGAACGCAGCCCTTGTCGGCAAATGTCATCTTAGACCTGGCGAATCATAGCCGTTTTCGTTAAAATGATGTGATGTTAAATTGAATTAGGCCAATAATAGCCGTTTTCGATGACATGACGTGATTTAAACCCAAATTCGACAATTACAGCCGTTTTCGATCACGTGACATTTATTACCCAATAGCAGGAAGTTATCGTAAATTTTCATTTAATTTTATTGTATTACTAGCTGACCCAGCGAACTTCGTACCGCCCTAAAAAAATAGGGGTTGTCCAGCGGACAAAATTGTGAATCTAAACCATTCTCAGATCCCCTTGAATACACACAAAAAATTTCATCAAAATCGGTCCAGTCGTTTAAGAGAAGTTCAGTGACATACACACTCACAGAAGAATTATATATATAAAGATTAATGAAACTCTCCACTATATAACGGTTACAGAAATTGGTTAAAAAATAATAAAATTGTTTTTGCCAAGCACCTTGTCCACGCTGAGCCTATTTTGGGCATGGCCCTTTATATAGATCCGCACTTAAGTTAACAATTTTTGAACTTTAACTGGACGAAAAAAGTCCGAGTATTGCTATCATTTTTACACTTTTAAGGGATAACTTTGTTGTCCGTCCGTCCGACTGTCAAGACCGTTTTTCTCAGGAACGCGTGGAGGTATCATACTGAAATTCATATCTAATACTCAGGTCTACTGTCCCTTTGAGCTGTGAAAATAATCAAACTTCTCAGCCAAAGCAATCAAAAGATACAGCCGTTTATGCCGCAAATTTTCGAAACTGGCACGGGAATCAAAACCAACAGGGTACTTCCCGTTAGAATCTTCAAATTTGGTACGAAGTAACGTCTTATAGTACAGATAAAGGAAAAATTGCGAAAACCGTTTTCGTTACATCATATGATAAAATTTATTTTTGAAAATTTTAAAGTCACTACCAGGGCTTGAAACCGGTTTCGAAAATACCGGTAAATAAAGGTAAATACCGGTTTTTAGTAAAGGTTTCGTTATGAAGCTAGTCCGAAATGAAAGCGGTACCTAAAACCTTAATAAACCGGTTTAATCCAGAGCGACACGTGCACGCGTCGGCATCGCTTGAAGTTTATTTTTGTTTGAACTAATCAATCAAGTATGAAACTATCCGTCTGACGGATATCGTCACTACTTCACTCACTCTCTCTGTAGCTGGAAAGAAACTGACATGAAATCATTATAAATTTGAATTGAAACGGCGAAGGCGATGCCGTAAGTAAGAGCGAAATGAAACCCTTTAAAAACCGCTTAATTGATTCAAAACCTATTTGATTTCGCTTTTATGGAAAACCAATTTTTTAAGGTTAAGGTAGAGCCCAACCTAAATAAAACGCTCCTAATGTACTTGACACTGATTTAGGTTTGAAAATTAACCGGTAAACAAGCCCTGGTTACTACCTCTTTTCTCATGAACGCGTAGAGGTATTAAATTGAGTTTGTACGGAACCTTCGGTGTGCGAGTCCGACTCGCACTTGGCCGCTTTTTTACCTTAAACTTGGTCCTCGGCGACTTCCTCTTTGGCCGATCCAGTAACGCCCAGCCCTTCTGCATGTCGATGATTAGGTCGCGGGTCAACCGCCGCCACTTCTGCGACGTACCAATGCCGTAGTATATGTGGTCCTCCTGGTCGTAATAACAAATAAATAATAATAATAAATATTTCCAACACTCACACCAATTAGCCTAGCCCCAAAGTAAGCACTATAAGGCTTGTGTTATGGGATACTAGGGTAACGGATAGAATACATATACAGTACATATATAAGTATATTTATATAGAAATACATATTAAACATCCATGACTGGAGTACAAGTACTCGTATTTATCATACAAACATCTGCCCCCACCGGGATTTGAACCCGGGACCTCTCGAGTCGGTGACACAATGAAACCCGGCGTACAAACCACTCGACCACGGAGGTCGTCGTCGGAGATAAATATATCTAACAATCACAGTGTAACGTATTTGTTTCTTAGGTTTTCACGCACATCACTCATTAAATAAAACTAGTTTTTTACGGGTTAATGCACGAAACTTTATTTATTTATTGACGTTTCGTAGCATTTACAGGCTACGTCGTCAGAATCAAATTTTGTTTAATTTTGTCGAGCTACCTTCGAAAGACTTTTTATTGAGAGTTCGGTTATTTTATTGTTCGATTTTTAAAATTTTTATTGTCTATGTATGAATTTATTACTTAATTTAGTTAATAAAGTACTTTATTTAAAATTCTTTTTGTAATTTTGAGTTTATTTATTTGACCCTAACTACCGTAAACTACCACCGGTTCCAAAATTGGGAGACCTTCCTGAGAAGAACCGGCGAAACAAACTCAAGAGATAGAAAGCCTCTCTACGCGAAAGGCTACGAAACGTCAATAAATAAATAAAGTTTCGTGCATTAACCCGTAAAAAACTAGTTTTATTTACAGTGTAACGTGTTAAAAACGTCCCATGATAAGTGTCCTATGGGCACCTTAAATGACGTAGACTGTAATAGGCTAGTTGACCCTTTTTGTATAAAGGTTTTAAACGGTTAATAAATGTTCTGTTAGACCGAAAAAAAATGTTTTGTATTTTTTTGAAACCTAGAAAGCTACAAATCTTTAATTTTAAAATAGACTTTTCATGGACATACAGAAACGCTGTCGGCCATTTTAGTCTAAAGATTATCTATGCTTTGACGTCAACCGGTAGTAAACAAAAACTCCTAAGCACGTAGAAAATAACCTATCTGAGTTTATAATAAAAAAAAAATGATTTTTAATAAATACCACGAATAATATAGTAATTATCATTATTGTATTGTATGAGAATGTAAAAACACATCCTTGATGTATACAGGAAAGTTGTGGATTAAAGTGCCGAAAGAAATTAACCTACGCAATACCTGGTTAGAACTTGCTAAAAGGGATCCTGCAACTTTATCGACTCATAGAAAAAAATATTTTTGCGAAGATTACTTTGATGTAAGAAAGTGTCGGCGACATCCCATGAGTTTTACTTGTTTGAAGAGAGAGACAGAAGGTTTCTGTTTAGGTAATCTCACTCATTTCCTTTCCCATAAACCGTTCAAACAACTTTGACATTACCTTACAGTGACAAATGACGTTGATATGTTGCAAGATGGCAAATATTGGATAGAAAATTTAATTAAAAATCAAAATAAGTATTGATACCTTTTTTTTAAAAAAAACCTTCATCATCATCAGCCCTATTAATGTCTCCACTACTGGGGCACAGGCCTTCCCTATGGATGGAATAGGGAGATTGGGCCATGACCCACCACGCGGGCCCAGTGCGGATTGGCGGGTGTTAACGACTGCAGATGCAGCCGGGACCAACGGCTTAACGTGCCTTCCGAAGCACGGAGGAACTCGAGATAGAAGATTTTTGGCCACCCATCCAATAACCGACCACTGCGAAAGTTGCTTAACTTCAACGATCGCAGCCGAACGCGCTAACCACCTACGCCATCGAGCTCCTCGCTGACTGAAAAAAAACCTTATTGGTAATATATTTACCTTTATATGAACAAGGGCTAAAGAGAGTTACAGGTCGCGGCACGTAATTCTAGAGCTGAACAAAACGCGGAGGGGATAGCTGCGTATGGGCACGACTGAAGAGCCAATCGGCGCAAGGCATGACTACTGGAGAGCCAATCGACGCAGGGCATGACTACTGGAGAGCCAATCGGCGCAGGGCATGACTACTGGAGAGCCAATCGACGCAGGGCATGACTACTGGAGAGCCAATCGGCGCAGGGCATGACTACTGGAGAGCCAATCGACGCAGGGCATGACTACTGGAGAGCCAATCGGCGCAGGGCATGACTACTGGAGAGCCAATCGACGCAGGGCATGACTACTGGAGAGCCAATCGGCGCAGGGCATGACTACTGGAGAGCCAATCGACGCAGGGCATGACTACTGGAGAGCCAATCGGCGCAGGGCATGACTACTGGAGAGCCAATCGACGCAGGGCATGACTACTGGAGAGCCAATCGACGCAGGGCATGACTACTGGAGAGCCAATCGGCGCAGGGCATGACTACTGGAGAGCCAATCGACGCAGGGCATGACTACTGGAGAGCCAATCGGCGCAGGGCATGACTACCCGCACACCTCGTTTCCCCCCAACACATCTTCATTTTTACTTCTGCGCAATAACGGTCAGCGCTAGAGTTTCGTGCCGCGACTTATACCCCATACACTGGGTGAATAAAATAATAAAAGTGTGCATATAGTACAATGGACGATTGATTGCTTTGGTTCAAGTATTGCATTGTTCTACTCTTGATACATAAACAGTATAATACGTAAGTAGAGTCTGTGCGGTAAGAGAATGGGATTTAGATTGGAGGGCGCTGTAGTGCTTTTCTACCGTATTTGTAAGGTTTAGACATGATTAAATACAAAAAACCGCAAGAGATCACAACAACAAACAAATCCGTATCAATACAAAACTTTGACGTTTTACAGATTGCTGGGTTTGATTGCCGAATAAAAATCTTAATGTTTTTCCGTTTTTCACCACGCCCAGTCTCTTTCCGCACAGACTGTATGCATGTCCACACGACATGCGCATGTCGATGTCTACTTTTCTAAAGTTAAAGCAACACTCACTTGTGCATAGATCAGTTGTTGATTGGTGACGTAATGCAAGTACACGGTCTCGCGCCTGTCCTTGTGCTGCAGCACCACCGTCAGCGATGAGTTTGAAGTCAGCTGCAGATCCAGCCCCAGCACGAAGTCTTGGCTGATGTCCAGCTTTAGCCATACCTACATGATACATGGTACCCGTTTTAATCGTTGATCTTCTTCTGTTAAGAGCCCTTTTACAAAATTGCGCCGCTGCCGTACTGATCGGCGCGTAGGTAGATTTGCACTAGTATAAATTGCATTTTACGGGTGATGTTCCGAGTCTTATAAAATAATTATTAATGAGCTAAACATAATAATATATACACATTTCAGTAGTGCAACGATGGTAGATTAGTTTTATGAGAGTTTTTGAGAGTAATTCTATTTAATTCAATATCAAAATACGAGGTAAACTTGCATTATTTTTTGGGAAAACTCATGGAGGTTAGATATTTTTTTTGATAATTAATGTGATGGAAAATCAAAATTCTAATACATTATGTTACAACAAAACATATTTCTGATGTAGAAGTAATTTATTGAACATTGTTGAGAGATTGAGGCGTTTGAAGTTGCGCATATTATCGTTATTTCCGTAAACTAGCTGCAGTAGAACGATCAGTACAAAAGAAGGAAAATAGCATTTGCAAATATTCTGGCGCTCAAAAATTACGATATTTGCAAAAAAATATGAAAGGGTTCTGAAAAGAACACGAAACACAGGGCAGGGTATAGGTTTGTCCGGAGTCACAAAAGTGACTCTGGAACCTTTGCTGCCCATACCTCAGACCCAAATTAAAACGTGGCTGCGTGAAATAACCCAGAAATCACAGTTGAAAGAGTGGAAAACAGGTGAAGGATGCCGGCAAACGAAAAAAGCAGTTTCATAACAAATGATCATCTAGTGTAGGCGAATCAGCGGGCAGAAAACCATAACTTTCTCACCTATCCGATACTCAATATCAGATACTAGCAAACCAGTGAACCAAATGTTCACCAAAAAAAAAAAAATCAATTTAATTAATTGAGAACTTCGGAGATTTTGTGTGGTTTCGTTTGAAATTCGTGATTTCTCGTAAACCGGAAGTGCTACGTTACTCAAATCCGGTTTGTAGTCTTATCAGACTATTCTTAACTTATAACTTAAACATTCTCTTTATCTATCTCTTACGGTTTGGCCGCTGAAACAGCACCACAGACAGGCGGACGGACGGACGGACTTGTCTAATAGATAAGAGATACCGTAATGGTATTCATGAAGGCAAAGTCCTTGCAAACTTAATAGATACAGCTCGTTACTGGAACTGCTTACCTGACTAGCAGCGTGTTCCGCCGTAGAGAACCTAATCACGTTTGTACGCATTTTGCTATCATACTCCCGGGCCATGTACGCGTCTTTACTGACGATCCAGTTCTGAAGGTGCTTCTCCCCATCATCGATGATCCGTCTCCTCGGTTCAGGCTCGGTAATATTCTTGCTGTAATGTGCTAAACCAAACTGGGCTATTTGTGTGGGATAGAAGAACCCTCTCGGCTCCCATTGTATGGATACGGGCACTCCCTCTATGCCGCTGATGCATTTCACCCTGTCTCTCACTTCCACGTTGTAGTTCTCGAAAGTGGTGAAAGTGCCTCGAGGATCATACTTTTTTTTAGGGTGGTAGATTTTGCTGTAGCTGTGTGACCACTCAAACTTCTCCACACCACTCGATGTTGTTATTTTGCCATAGATCTGTAAATAACAACTTAAATAAATAAATATTTCCAACACTCACACCAATAGGGATGATGACTAATTTTTTGGAGTTTACTCCTTAAGAATCGATTTGCATATATAAGGGGCCCGGTATGAGAAAAATGTGAGGAGTGAAATCTATCGATGAACGACCTCGTTACGTTTTTACTGTCTTCGCTGTAGCAGCCGTAGTGCTACACCGTAGCACAGTATCGTAGCGTACTTTTATTTATGCACATCTGAAATTGACTATTAGTACAGTCAATCTGTCGAAAAAAATATCGTTTCAGTGAAAAAAAACCTAAAGGGTAAGTCTTGTTTTTTCTGTTGCCAAATGACGTCAGTAAGCCACCTTGGCGATGGGCATGTTCAACTCGTAGGCGTTTTTTGAAAAACTCAAAAAAAACGTCAAAAATTTTTTGAAACGCATTTTTCTTGTTTTGTATGCATTTTAGAAACTTTTTTTTCGACCATAATGGTAGAGGGCGTTGAGTGCTACAATTTATGTCATTGTTGCAATCTCGTACAACAAAAAATGCGCATTGTAGGTGGCGCTAAAGTCTCAAAAAAGTGTTTTTTCATTTATTCACCCTGAAAATATCATTTTAATGGAAAACTTTTAATGGCAAAGTTGTTTCGTACATAATTACCAACAACTTTTGTATAAACAATTTTTTTGTATTACTTACCGTTTTCAAGTTATAAATTGCGCTGGTATGAAAAATCCACTAAGGCGGTTTTGGGCAGTTCAAGTACACATTTGCAGTGCACATTTCAATGTACGTTTTACTATTTTTTATTTTTTTTCATGATTGAAAAACAAAAAAAAAATAGTTTTGGTTTTTTTTTTCATGATTGAAAAAAAAAATAGTAAAAACGTACATTGAAATGTGCACTGCAAATGTGTACTTGTACTGCCCAAAACCGCTCTATTGGATTTTTCATACCTGCGCAATTTATAACTTGAAAACGGTAAGTAATACAAAAAATTGTTCATACAAAAGTTGTTGGTAATTATGTACGAAACAACTTTGCTATTTAAAGTTTTCCATTAAAATGATATTTTCAGGGTGAAAAAGTGAAAAAACACTTTTTTTGAGACTTTAGCGCCACCTACAATGCGCATTTTTTGTTGTACGAGATTCCAAAAATGACATAAATTGTAGTACTCAACGCCCTCTACCATTATGGTAAAAAAAAGTTTCTAAAATGCATACAAAATAAGAAAAATGCGATTCAAAAAATTTTTGACGTTTTTTTTGAGTTTTTCAAAAAACGCCTACGAGTTGAACATGCCCATCGCCAAGGTGGCTTACTGACGTCATTTGGCAACAGAAAAAACAAGACTTACCCTTTAGGTTTTTTTTTCACCACTCAACCTACAGATTGACTGTACTATATTGTAAAAAGTTTAATGTAAAATATTTCGTCGATTAGTTATAATAAATGTATATGAAATGAATAAATATATATTTATAATATTATTTTCATTAATTTGTTAATTTACTCTTTCATACTACGGATAGAGTACATAATAGTGTTACATATATAAGTATATTGATATAGAAATACCTATTTATCATACATCGACGACCTCCGTGGCAGAGTGGTTTGTACGCCGGGTTTAATGGTGTCGCCGACTCGAGAGGTCCCGGGTTCGAACCCCGGTGGAGGCAGATGTTTGTATAATGACTACGAGCATTTGTACTCCAGTCATGGATGTTCAATATGTATTTATATAAATATACTTATATATGTACAGTATATGTATTCTATCCGTTACCCTAGCATCCCATAACACAAGCCTTATAGTGCTTACTGTGGGGCTAGGCTAATTGGTGTGAGAGTTGGAAATATTCATTATTTATTATTATTTTATTATACATGACTGTAGTACAAATGCTCGTTAACATCACACAACCATCTGCCACCACCTGTATTCGAACACGGGAGTAGGCGACACCTTTTAACCCGGCGTTCATAGCACTCGGCCACGGAGGTCGTCAAAACATTATTTCTATAATCAGACATAGGGGAAACCACCCAATCATTGGCACTCGTCCTATTATTGGCACTTTTGAGTTTAATTCGAAAAAACAAGGCGACAATAGATTATTCAAGGTCGTTACATATTAAAAAGAAAAACCTAGTATGGTTTCGAAATTTGTAAATTGGCAGCATTATTTCTACAATCTATTGTTTCCTGGTTTTTTCGAACTAAACTCAAAAGTGCCAATAATAGGAAGAGTGCCAATGATTGGGTAGTTTCCCCTAATTTAATTTCAAATCTCTCACCTCAAAGTACTTGTGGATGAAGGAGAAGGGGATGTAAACTTCGTCGCGGTCACGCCGGCACGCCACCGAGTACTCGCCGTTGATCGAGCACTCGATCTCGTCGCTGGACATAGTGCGCTCCGACAGGCTGTTCGTCAGTACAGATCCTACTGGAAAACAACGCTTATAAACAAACCGACGAAATTAATGAAAGATCAAATTTCCAATTTGTTATTTAAATTATCAGGGATTCAAAGGATTTCTTTTCTCCGTACAGCTCTGCTCAATAATGTACCACAAGTAGACTTGCAACGAATATTCGGTTACTATTCGGTATTCGGCCTATTCGGCTGCTTTTATTATATTCGGCCGAATACCGAATATCTACATATTATTAGGCCGAATACCGAATACTTAAATAATATATTTTGTCATAGACAAATAATTGGTAAAATGAAAAATTCCATCCATAGGGAAGGCCTGTGCCCCAGCAGTGGGGACATTAATAGGCTGATGATGGATGGATGGATGATTATGTATATACCTATTCATATTTTCATTTCTGTTATATATAATCATTTAAGGCGTCATTGGTACATAACACAGGTACATAATATCATCTTCTGAATTGGAAAAATGGAGGATTCTATGTATTTGAATTATTGTGGTAATCAAAATTTAGAAGGGTAAGGTTCTCATTTCTTTTGCATTTTTGCATTGCATTGGTAATAACAATATTAAAAAAAAAATGGTTGCCTGTAAAGTCGGTTTTACGGGCGAAGATTTTACGTGACAACGTCTTTTTCTCGGTAGAATATTTATTGATATGAATATAATTAAATTGCACAATAGGAACAAGGATTTGAATGAAAATAAGAATTGCACAAATTTTAACTATAGAAATATATTTTGTTTACTAAAACATTGTACATGTAAACTTAAACTTAACACGAGAGACTCATCGTAACGTTACCGAGCGTTACACTTTTTCATAAGTGACTCCCAGCCGCAACCTAATTTAAGACGTTGTCACGTCAAAAAATGAGCGTGAGGTATTCGAAAACCTCAGGCGGCTAGAAATAACAATATAAAATCGTAAGCGTTAGCGTTTCCCAAAGCATTTTCGTTAGGCGATTGGCCCCCTGACTGGGAAACAAACCAGAGCTTAATTGGGGCTAACAATGAAGCTGATCTATATACATATATTAAAATTAATCGTCGAAAAGTAAGTATGCTCATCATTTCCGAACAACTGACCCAAATTAGACAAGTATGTAACATTTCCCATACTTTTTCAGTGGGCATAGTGTTCGCCAGGTCAGCTAGTAGATATTTTTTTGGTCAAAATGTGATTCCAAAAGAGGTTTGACATCAATCAGTTACCTTCAAATTATTTTCAGCATAGGAAATTAGCTGTAAAACAAAGTTGAGGGATATACTCAAGATTGTATTGTTTCAGATAAACTTAATAAAATTAAACACAGCGAAACATAATTAAATATGTGACACCTATCTCAAGGACAATGACACCTGACAATATTCCACAGAATTGATATCAATAAGTCTTTTTATAAAAACTAACAAATTTTATTAAATTTGTATCATGTCAAACTGGTAAAAATCTGTTTTGAATTATAAGGGAATCTATGGGCCTAGCAGATACCAAGGGCTTCTTACTTGATTTTAAGCTTCAATGGCACATACTGATAAAGCTGTAATGAACACAATGAGATGTCCATAAACAGATCTGAGATACTACTAGGTACTTCTACTACTATAGTTATTTACATAGTTGAAACATCATCAGCATCAACCAAAGCTTTTAAGTCTGCCCTGTTTCAGCTGGGTTTGGAAGATTCTTTCGCTTGACGTTTCTTTCCACTGGAATTTGTTGTGCATACTACATAACGGATGTGAGGGAGAACAGGGAATTAAGATTAAATAAATAAAATTCACGAAAACTAAGGTAACAAATGTTTGAAAATGTAAAAAAAACAAACTAAAAACTATAATAAACTAATTATTTATAATAAATATACATAAGGAGGTTGGTTCACCACACTTAGTGTAATCTTTCCTCTCTGAATATCACAATTTGGACAGTATTACAGTATACATACTTGGACGTTGTGAGAGCTCCCCGCATTGACTCCAGAAGAGGGTGAGCAGCATCACAGAGATGCAGAGTGCTCCAAGCAACACCCGCATCCTGATAGTGCCCACCATTATGGCTGTCACCTAGACATTTGTGAACATTTTTGTTATTGGGTGGAGTAAATAAATAATTTATAAAATTTTAAATAATGACTCCAATCTGTAATAAGTACAGTTAAAGTATATTAAATATTCTATTAGCTATTTATGTATCATTATGTTGTATCTTTGCTAAAAGAAGACTGAAATAGCTTTAGATTTCAACCTTTTCTAAATTTTGATCATCATTTGTAATAAAATGAATTAAATTTCGAGCCAAAAAAATATTGTTTTAACCATTTAAAGACTTATACTGTTCTCATTTAACTAAAGATTAAATTATAATTGTTAAGAAATAATTGGCTTTATAACTTTGTTTCTGTACTATATTAAACTGATAAAAAAGAGATGAATTACTGTCTCTAAATTCTATTTCTATCTGCATTAAATAGTGATAACCATTGACCTAGTAATCTGTTCTTTCCCACGGGAATGCCATAGCTATAAATATAGCGTAGGGAATCGTTTTCTAAGAGGCTACATTTAAGCGTGGGCGATACAAACAAGCTTGTGTACGTGTCACAGGACGCAGTAACACGAGACATGGTCATATAAACCGGCCTTGAATTTTTCGTGCCAACAGGAAAAACCGCAGACATTCCTTTCAAATACAGTAATATAATATACTCACTCTGTATACAGTTGTGGCATTCCATTCGTCCCTTTGCTGTTTGTACAGGAATAAATAAGATCTTATCATATAAACGCGTTATGTCACGTTGTAATTGCCATTTCTTTTAATTCATACGGCGTCTCAACGTGAAACTTTCACAGATGTTTGCGGTGTAAGAGATAAATTCCATGAAACAGTAAAAAACCGACAAAATAATTTGTTCTACGCACGCAGCTGACCAGACCAGATTATTTTGACATATGTCAAATTTGACTGTTGTTTTTTAAATTTATGCAACTTTGAGCAAGACAAAAGCAAAGCTATGCAGCCTTTCTTTTCTAAGTAAGATTAAAGATAATATTTGAAGGCTTTTACCGCGTTTATATTGGTAATCACAGTTGAAATCACAGTTGATCCTGATAGTCGAGTCAATAAACACATAAAACAGGCAAAACTTGGAAATCCGGTGGAACAGCTTCGATTTTGATATTTTTTTTTTTAAAATTGGTTTTTTTATATTATTCAAAATCAGAAACTTTTGGAAGGGGGGAAATAATTTTTTTTATTGTTTAAACAATATTTATGACATTTTTAAGTATTTTTTTTTTTAGTATTTTTATTTTTTTTTTAAGTCACCGACATAGCCCACAGAATTGCAAACCTTAAGTGGCAATGGGCAGGGCACATTGCTCGCAGGACCGATGGCCGTTGGGGCGGAAAGGTCCTCGAGTGGCGACCGCGTACCGGGAAACGCAGTGTTGGCAGGCCCCCCCCACAAGGTGGACCGACGATCTGGTAAAGGTCGCGGGAAGCCGCTGGATGCGGGCAGCATGGGACCGATCGTTGTGGAAATCCATGGGGGAGGCCTATGTCCAACAGCGGACGTCTTTCGGCTGAAATGATGATGATGATGATGATGACATTTTTATAAAAAAATCAGTTTTATCGCTTTTTTTCGAAAAAAATATTATTATGTTAATGTTAGTATAAAAAATAGTAGTTAAAATGAGGCTTTTAATAATAATTTAATATTTAAACGGCGGCGTAAAACGGCGTGGTCATGATTTCTCCATTGTTTATGTTTTGTAATTGTTTGCAGTGTCCTACAGATAAACGACTTTAATTTTAAATAAATATGTTGTGGTTGATATAGGTGGTTATGGGTAGTCATGCTCTCTTAAAAGTCTCTTCAGTGGTGTGGTGTCGTGTGAGGCGGATCGTTACGTTCCCTAAAATATGGTTGAGCGAAGCGATGGCTGGTTCATGCGTCATGCTCGTGAACGGGTGCTGCCAGCGGAGATGAGTCTGCCCTAACTACTTTGATATTTAAGATGTAAATGTTTGATTACACCTATTATAAATAACTCTGTTTGTATTTATACTGTGGGACACAGCAACCAAAATGCAGGTGAACAATTAATGTATAATATCACATTATGTAATGGAAGGTGACTTCATGAATCATCTCTGAAGCCATTTTTAAACTTGACGACTCTGTAAATGATAAAACAGGGAAAAAAAGTCTTTGCTGAGTTTCTTGCCGGTTCTTCTGAGTACAAGGTCTCCCGCCGTAGAATTACGAACCGATGGCGTAGCTTCTAGACATGCATATGTGCTTGTAACAGCCTAAACTGAATAAATGATTTTGATTATGATTATTATGATTATGATTATAAGCTTATTACTCGTTTATTATTAAGGAGGAAAGAGTCTAACATTACCCTCCAGCCGGCTGTAGGGTATCCATGAGGATTTCACACCCGCTCCCCCGAGCGGGAGGAAACAAAAAAGAAACCTCCTGTGTTATTTTGTACATATTTAGTTTTGCAAAAATTAGAAGTGGATAAAACTAAAGAGATGAAAAAAGCAATGATTTACGGTTTCGTCATTATTAATTGGGGCTTCGCTTTGGTTTATTAAATTTAAATAGGTAGGTAGGTCTATAATTACAGCGTACTTTTGCGGCTTCATCATAATTAGTAAAATAGGTTTACTTAAATTCCATTAGGCACGAACTAATCTGCTAGGACTATTGTTCTTATATGTCACGCATGTTGGTAACAAATAAAAACTAATTTCAATGATAAAGTAAAATTTAATCATGACAAATTGCCTTCTTATCGGTAGGAAAGGGGATAAAATAGCAATTTCATCAAAATCAAGTATTTTATAATTTTGGTCGCTGAAAAGACTCAAAATTTCAGATATGAGTCAATTTATTGCATTCTCCCGCTATCATATAAAATATAATTCATGTGCCGTTGACACAAGTGTGCAATTGTCGCGAGTGTTATTACAGTAGTCTGGGTACAGTTTTATAAGATCTAAGTTATTCATTGCCGTGAAGCAGCGCGCCGTACACTATGTCAGGTACCCGTTATCAGTTAGGTGCGAGTTATCCGAGTGCATCGGCGGGTGCGGGGCGGGCGCGGGGCGGGCGCGGTGCCGCGAGCGAAGGAGGTCAGTGTGCGCGCGGGAATTGGGTCAGGGCGGTATCGGATGCATCCGGCTCGGGCGCGCTCGGGCCGCGTCGGGCGGCGTCGGACGCGCCGGCGCGGGGCCCCCATCGATCGCCGCCCACGCGGCGCAGCGCCGCTCGAGTGCTCCGCGAGTCGCGACGCGAGTCCCGGGCTTGGCCCCTCAACGATGGCGGCGTGAGCGCGCGCCGCCCGCGGCCTCCGGCGGACATGCCGCGATGGCCAGAGAGGTAACCTCGTCGCGCCCGGCGCCCGGCCGCCGCCTCCCTGCGCTTATGTAACGGTGGCTGACACGCCCGCAGACATGGTTATTATCTCGTGCCCCGCGCCCTGTCACGCTGCCCTCTAGCCCCCAGTAGCCGCCAGCGCCAGCCCCGTGCCCGGCGCCGCGGGCCAGCGCGCCCAGCACCCCAGCACGCCACCAGTGCCGCAGGGCGAGGGCCCGCGGAGCGAGTGCCGCAGCCGGTGTCCTTGTCGCGCGCGCCCGCCTCGCATACGCCTGTCCCTCTCGCTCTGCCGTAGACCAACGCTGCACATGCAATCTGCATTATTCATGCCCAGTGCCGAAGTAGTGCCCTCCTGTAGTGGGAATCCGATAGATCTAAATATTTGTTCGATTAGTTTTTGGTCAAACCGAAGTGCCGCTTGAGTGGTGTCGAGCGGAATGTATCCTGTGCCCGTAGTACCGAATCGACGGTCGCGCGACCAAGATATAGCTTGTGGTTTTTACTCTTTCAAATCCATTTAAATATTGCAGTAGAAGGCCGTAGCACGTGCGTAGCCCTTGTAGCACCGCGTAGCGCGTAGGGAGCATAGTTTACCGTAGCTCTCAGTTAAGCTCTCACTACACACGAAAATCGATAGGATGCAATATCGCGACAAATTTTGCAAATAAATTGTAAACTTTTCTACTGCAATTAAGCACCTGTGTCAAAGCATTACCTTCAAAAATGTTATCCGATTTAATTTTAGAATTTTAATGGCCACGTCAACCAATTAATTTCTATAGGTTATAGGCAATCGGGTGAATTATGACGGGATGAAGGTGGGTAAGCATTTTTAATTATACCTATCTATTTTAATACTATTTTTCTCGACTATCATCAATGTCGCTAAAACATTCAAGCACAAAACACACCAGTGACCACTGTAAAGGCTTCGGATTCTGATGGGCCTATTCCAGTTGTACTGTCAAACTCTACACATTAATTATCTGATCACTAACCAAATAGTAATAATTGGCCGCGCCTATTGGTAAGCGATTACCCAAATAAAAGGCTGTTGTATCTTTCACAAAACCTGCACAAGTCTGTCACGTTCAAAAGCTTTGAAATTAATAATAATAAACTTTATTGCATATCACAAGTGTGTACATGGTATTTGAAGTAGAAAAGGTTTTAGAACATGTGACGGACCCTGCAAGGACATAGCAATTTTATAGTAATTGTAGATTGATGAATCGATTAATTCCATATATCAATTTTTAATCAGTGTACGCATATCAATATTTTATGTTTAGGGTAGTTTTTTGGTATGTGTTGAATTGGATTAATTTTCACTATTTTAAATCCAGTTAGAAAGAGTTTTGTTCAAGTTAATCAATTATTTTACCCAAACTTTCGTCCATCACAATGTTTATTTCAAGACTAGTGGCCCGCCCTCGCTTCGCTTCGGTGTAGAGCTGTAGTGTAAACTATAGTTTTTGTTCTCAGGCTTGTGTTATAAACAATAACTTTATTTATATAATTACACGTGTTATTGTGAGTCAACCATAAAAGATAGACATATGCTGTTGCAGGATATTTTTTAGACAATTTTATATAGAATATTTCCGTCATACATGATTTCTATGTAACTTTAACCATTAAAGCTGCACACGCGATGGAAGCTTAAAAAATGGAGTAACTTCTCCCGTTTTTCCAATATTTCCCTTCACTACTCTGCTGCTATTGATTGTAGCGTGATGAAAAGTATACTTTAACCTGCCCAGGAGTATGAAGAATAATTGTACCAAGGTTCGTTAAAATCCGTCTAGTAGTTTTTGTTTCTATAAGGAACATACACACAGACAGACAGACAGACAGACAGACAGACAGACAAAAATTTTACTGATTGCATTTTTGGCATCAGTATCGATCACTAATCATCCCCTGATAGTTATTTTGAAAATATGTTTCATGTACAGAATTGACCTCTCTACAGATTTATTATAAGTATAGCAAGCATTTGAGCAAGAAAAGAAGACGGAAATGTCACCGGTGAGGATAACACTTTGGGCCTCTGTTTGGTTAAGTAGGTTATTTATGTAGACTAAAAATAAATTAAAGTAGGATTGCATCATACATACTGATTTACAGCTAGATTAATAATTTCTTAAAGTTATAATGTACGTAAATAAATCTGGATTGTTTACTTGTTATAATTTCTTGGGGAAATTGGACAACAAAATTGTATTTTAGTATTTGACTTAGACTGTCATTATTCTAAGTCACTTTATCATCGTAATAAATATTATATTCACTAATGGGACTCAAGCCTTCTTCCTTATGTACCTATTAAATGAAATTTCACAATATGGGGCCATCAATCACACTTTAATAACCGCAAATTCTGACGGGGTTGCTTTTTAACACGAGGTATACATAACGCATTACTCCACCCCATTTGCTTAAAGTATAGTAGCCGACAAGCCAAGTAGTAAATGGGAACTGAGATGCCTCAGACATTCTTGGCACCGATTCCAAATATTCATTTAACTAAAGAAACAAAAAGTATTTTTTGGTGTTGTTTTTATGAAGACGACTTTTTGATTTTTCCTAAAAATGAATTTAATTTTCACTTTTTATCATCATCAACCCATGTTCGTCCACTGCTGGACGTAGGTCTCCCCTAATGCACGCCACTGCTCCCGATTTTGTGCTACTCTCATCTAGCCCACTCCAGCCAGCCTACGAATATCATCATCCCATCTTGTCTCAGGGCGTCCTACACTACGTTTACCGAGTCGTGGTCTCCACTCAAGAACTTTCTGGCTCCAACGGCCATCAGTTCTGCGGCTAATGTGACCAGCCCACTCAACTTTGGCCACTTCAGTTTGCTAATTCGGTGGGCTATGTCGGTGACTTTGGTTCTCTGTCAGATTACATCATTTGTGATGCGGTCCTTTAGGGATACTCCGAGCATAGCCCTTTCCATAGCTCTCTTAGTGACTTTAAACTGGTGGACTCGTCCAGCCGTGAGTGTCGATGTCTCGTTGCCGTATGTCATAACTGGTAGGATGTACTTTTTATAAATCAGATTAACATCAACTTACTGAGTATATGTGCCTCACTGGCAATCTCTATTTTATATTACGTATAATAACCAAACACAATATGTGTGCAGTTTGTAATTGAGGAGTTCCGTTGATAAGTTCCGAAAGTACTCATCAGATCTTCGCCAAATCAATATGGGACAGACCATAATGATTTTTTAAAAATTTTTTTTTCTTCGAAAAAACATTCATTAAAATCGGCCTACTAACCTCGGAGATAAAAAAATTACGAATTGTAAACCTACTACTTTAAAAAGTCGGTTAAGAATAAAAAAAAAACTGGTCATTGTCTACCTATATACTTCACCAGGTGAACCAAAGCAAGTATTTCTTCCCGTAGATTACCTCAAGATAAACTGGGTGTACCAGGAGCTTTTCGTTAGGCATTTATTTCCTGGATAGAGAGAGCTATAATTGATTAATTTGCGTCATCATCATCAGCCTATTAATGTCCCCACTGTTGGGGCACAGGCCTTTCCTATGGATGGAATAGGGAGATTGTTCCAAGACCCACCACGCGGGCCCAGTGCGGATTGCCGGGTGCTAACGACTGCAGATGCAGCCGGGACCAACGGCTTAACATGCCTTCCGAAGCACGGCGAAACGCGAGATTTTTGGTCACCCATCCAATGACCGACCACTACGAAAGTTGCTTAACTTTAACGATCGCAGCCCAACGCGCTGTCCACCTGCGTCATGGAGCTCCTTAATTTGCATATTTGTAACAAACTAAAAGTAGTACTAGTAGTAGTAGTAATGACCCACACCGTGAAAGCACGGTGTGGGTCATTTCTTTTACACGTTGTATATTCTGTTCAGAAAGGCAGCTACTTTTGTTCTGGCTTTGATTGATCAGCTCTTTATGCTATCACTTTCTTTCTTTTCACTGTCCTTGTGCATAATAAGCTGCTCCATGAATCTTTAGTTACAAAAGAAACTTGTTACTTATAGTCACTATTGATACCAAACTATATTATAAGCACATAAAGTGCCATAAGATAATCTTATATATAAAATTCTCGTGTCACAATGTTAGTAATCATATTCCACCGAAATGGCCTGACCGATCTTTATGAAATTTTATATGCATATTCCGTGGGTCTGAGAATCGGCTACTATCTATTTTCATATCCTTAACTGATAATGGTTGTCCACCTGTAACGTAGTGTTCTGAAATCTACAATGCGCTTTCGCGCCAAAATTCAAACTATTGGGTATTGTAACGTAGTGTTCTCATATGGGTTAGGAGGAATGTTATCCCAGGAAATTGATAGAACACTACGTTACACACCCTTTTTGGATAATATTTATTTTTTTATAATGTGGTATTAAAAAATACGTACAACCCTAAATTTTCTCATTTTACCACCTGCCCCTATTTTTATGGCGGTATAATATATATTAACTAGCAAAACAGTGAACCAAATGTTCACAAAAAAAAAATGTATTTAATTAATTGAGAACTTCGGAGATATTGTGTGGTCGTGGTTTGAAATAGAAATCACGTGATTTCTCCAAAACCGGAAGTGCGTTACTCAAATCCGGTTTGTAGTCTTATCAGACTATTCTTAACTTATAACTTAAACATTCTCTTTATCTATCTCTTACGGTTTGGCCGCTGAAACAGCACCACGGACGGACGGACTTGTCTATTAGATAAGAGATGCCAAGAAGATATTATAAATATGTATTTAAACTATGAACAGTGAATTTTTGAGTGACCTGAGAAACTAAATAATCGTGTAAATAAAAATAAAGAGAACATTTATAAACACTTAAGTTACTACACCTCCATACAAAAATATTTAATAATATTGTTTACAAAATATCCTAAAACGGTGCAAATTTGTAAGTAACATAGCTATTATGAAAATATTAGTTTTATTGAAATCAGTTTATGACAATTAAACTGGTTGA